TCATCATCATCAGATTAGGAGTGAGTCGTAATAACAACTCAAAAGCGACTGAGACACTATGGTCCCGTTTCGCCTCCTTTAATCATCATTTGACGATTAATTTTGGATTTTGAATTTTTACGATTCATGTGCTGATGAGAAGATATCAATGAGTAACGGCTGATGGGAGAACATCTAGTGACAACGCTATGAATAAAAACTATTTAAATTTTGCGTATGTTGATCTGAAATTGAATTTGGAGTTGTAATCACCGTTTGGAGAAAGTTTTCATCTTAACTAATGTTTGCAAGGCAAACACAGCAAGAATTCGTCAACAGTGATTAAAAAGAGAATGTTATGTCAAATGTATGTAAAGATTTTCTCCAATTTGGTGTGTCTTTTTCCAAAGTCACTAAATCAGAGGAAATTGTCATATGATTGATTTGAATGAAATTTATGTTGTTGATATTAACCATTTTTGCGGGATATTTTAGTACATTTACGTTTGCTCCAATTATGCGAGTTATGATGACAAGAATGATTATAATAATTTTTTGTATTGATAGTCCCATCAGAACCGTTATTCGTAGCACATAAATTATTTGTTTTACATAGAATTAAATTATTTTTGTCCAAGATATGATGATGATGATTTTGTTGATTTAAAAATAAAGGTAAGTACGAGGTGACAAATCGAGTTAATTGTAAATAAAGAAGAAAAAATGTTTTTAAGAGTTCAGATTTTATTTCTATTACGTGATTTAAGTTTTTAATTACATTGGAGTTACCTTCCATGCTACAAAAATTATTGTTTATTCCCTTCATACGTCGAAATGAAAAAGTTTCTCTTCTTGACTGATAAGAACTCAATACTTTGTATCTTTCCTTTTGTGCTGAAATGTAGGACAATAGAAAAGGTAAATTCGTGGTTGTAAAGTGTAAGAAATTGAGAAGTGTGTGAGAGAATTTCGATTTGTCACATAAAATGGTGTCTGTGTACAGTGCAGATGCAATAAACTGGTTGCTTTCGAACTTACGTTCGAACATGCAAAAATGTATGAAAGCGATAATTGTATGTTGTAATTGTGAGTTTAGAGTTAATATACTTCCAGCATGCGAATTTGAATTATATTTATTTAGGAGAACACCAGAAGAGTTTGAAGCAAATGCCTCTGTGCGATTGGTTTTAAAACCTTGCGTCAAATTATTAAAAATATTAATACATATTAAAAATATGTCGGCAAGAACATGCATGACATTTAGTTCCAGAACAGGAGAAAAAATAATATTTTGGAGAACACCATAATATTTGTTAGCTAATGCTATTGAGGAATCTTTATCATTGCATACTAAATGGTTAAATCTAATCCATTGCGTCAATTTGTTCAAAGTAATGTCCACGGTATCTGAAATTTGGAGGAAAAATATTTACTTACCAAAATGATTATTGGCAAGATGCCTTGAGCCCCAATTTCAGTATTTCCTAACTTAATGGGTATTATTGAAGAGTGGAATCTATTTGAAGCTAATAAAAGTGTCTCGATTGTAATTAAATTTGAAATATTTAAGCGAGTTTGAAAATTTGTTTACTATTGCTTGCAGAGTTGCAAACCGACCCTTCATGTGCATTAATGATTTAATTGAAAAGTTATTAGGTATCTACCTAATTTTTAAAATGAATTGCACAAATGATTGTACTCTAAGATAAAAAATCTTATCACAAAATATAAATTTTCAGTTTCAAAATAAAAATTTCATTTAGAACTTTTAAGTGATTCCCAGAATTAAATAGTAAAGTATTATAAGCTTACACTATACAATTTCAACTAGTTCAATTGATCCCAAGTTTGTAAAATTATTGCAACTAAATGAAAATCAAATGATGATTAATGGAGGCGAAACGGGACCATAGTGTCTCAGTCGCTTTTGAGCTGTTATTACGGCTCACTCCTAATGATGATGATGATGAACATTAGGTTTTTATTTTTTAGCTCTCTTTTGAAATGTTTTTGCACCTCAATAAATGTTCTCGACAAATTGAAATATATCTCATATTTATCGTTCCAGTAAAAAAAAATATTTACGTTCCATGTTTAACGAACAAGTGAAAGATTATTACAAAAAAGAAGAAATAATCAGAATATTTATCTCATCCAATTAGAGGTGGCCACAATTGAACATGGCCATTTATTGGTAATTCACTATATCTACTTATAAGAAATTTAAGAGAGGGAGAGAATATTATTTCATTTTAACTAAAAATTATTCTCTCTCAAGTCATTTACAGAATCCATAGCACATGCGTAAAGAACAAAAAATATCATTTCATACACAGCTGCCATCAGTTTGAGATTCACTTCTACTACGTAAATTCTCATTTCATTCCGTGATTTCAATGAGTTCAGTTTTATCCTAGACATTCTAAGAAATAAATACATAAATGAATTTCAGTTCTAATGAAAAGTGTATGGAAAAAAATTAAAATCTTTTTATTACCATATTGATATAAAAATATTATAATGTCATTAAGTTTTGATAATATGACATTAGATTGAAGTGAAAAAATATGTAAAAAAAGTGATATAAAAGAAAGTAAGTCAAAAAAATAAAATATGGCGAATACTGAATAAAACTTATCAAGAAAATGAAGTGAGTAACAAAATTTTAACTGATAAAGAACAGTGTGGGAGAAAACATGTGTCATAATGTCAGTTTGGGGAGAAATTTACTATAATCGAACTACATAACTTCAATGTCTATTCCAAAAAAATCATCTTAAAATTGCATTTAAGTATCTAGATGATAAATTCATGCGACGTAAAGACGTAAAAATAGCAGGAAAAAGAAATAATAGTGAAACAGGAAAACGAAGCTCAAAGACTCAGAAAAAAGAGAAAAATTCGAGAATAAAAATAGAAAATTTAATGTAATGTGATGTGAATGATGTTTTGTTCTTTTATCTGGTGATGGGTTCCCCCAAGTTAGTCAATCCTTTGAGTTTGTTTAAACATTTTTTTATTAAGCGACAAATTTTATTAGTTTGCAAAATTGCTTTGAAGAGTCTAGCGCTTAGTGGAAAATTACATTCAATATGCTTCTAAATTATGCAAGCTTTAGATTCTCTTAAGTAATAATAGAAACTTTCATTACTATGAATGAGTCGTAAATAATTTTCATTTATTTTGAGAGAAATATTTAGAGAAACACTTTTCTATCTTCTAAGCGTATGACATATATACATTTGATCTTAATTAATGCTTGAAATTTCATGGTGATTTCTTTGAATATGGAAAGAAAAAGTTAGTTGCACTTTAATTTATGGCAAATTTCCGCTTCACATTGCTGCTAGACTTTATAAACAGGTCATTAATTATTTCATTAGTTAAGTTTCATACAGATCACCACAGGTAGAATTTCAATCGTATACTTATTAGATGACAATAATTTTATTAAGTATTATATACACAACAGCTGCTAAGATATAAGAAAGATACAAAAGAAAGAAACTTCTTATTAAGAAAATATTGAAATTTGAGTCGGATTTTTATTACTCTGACTATCTTTCTTAGTTAAGGATTACCTGATGAGCGTGGAATCAATTACGAATTTCTATAATTTACCTGAGTACAGATCACGGTAAAAAAATTTGTGAGGGCGCTTTAAAAGTCAAATATAATGTATTAAATGACATTCAACCCTATCTGTCAGCTTCTAAATATTGAAATGCGTTGAAATAATCAAACTATATGTTTACATTATTTATATTTATTTAAAGCCTACAGTTGTGATTTTGTTTGTTTCATGAAAAAATTAGAGGAAGGTGTTGTAGTTTGAAGTACAAATCCCTCAATTAAATTAAATCTAGTTAATTTTGCTTGTATATCTGTCACTTTTATTTTTCAACAAAAAAAAAGTTCGCATCACGAGAATACAATGAAAAATCTTTTTAACTCGTGTTCGTTTTGAAATTTCATATTTAAAACAATGATAAAAAATAATTAATTTTCAATGTAAGCGTGGGTGTTAATACACAAATCACTAAAACAACAAAACGTTTTCTCTGGTTTTTCGAAAATTTGTTTTAAAAGAATAAAAACTGAAAGCACTGATTGATTTAAAAACTTCAAATTGACTGTCGGTGTTGTGAGGAAACCGAAAACTTCTCTTTAAAAATACTCGAATAGACGCATATTTTCCTTGTAGAACATAATTAATTAAATTCAAATAGAACATTAATTTTTCCTGAAAAAGTTGTCGCGTAACTTGAGATTTCAGCTGTTTATGTTGCTTAATCACAAATAAATTAAAAAGTTTTAGACGATCGTCAAAAAACCAAAGTAAAAAATTGCTACTTTTCCGCTAAAACCGTTGACAATCTAGAAATAGTTCTGTGAAGAACCGATGATTGCATAATACGCATTTCAAAGCTTCTCCACATAAAAAATTATGTTAGAGAGAAAAATTAACTCTTCCCTTGGGAAGAACTGAATTATGGTCACTGATTTTGTATACATGTATCAATTTTCAAAGTAGAAACAATGTCACCGACTGTTTTATTATTTATTTTCACTTTCAGATTCAGTTAAATCATGTAAAACTGCAATACAGAACAGAAAGAAATGAAAGAATTTATAAATTTATGTTGTGAATAAAATAAAGTTTAAAAACTGTTCATATAACTGAAGCAGTGAATTGTTTTTATGAAAAAGAATTTTAAAAACTCAGATTGAGTCAGAATGTCTGGAATATTTGGAAGATTCGGAGATAAAATATCAACGAGAGCTTCTCACTCAGGCCCACCATCTCTATCAACACCATCAAGGCGAAGTCTCGGACTGTTATCTGGGTAAGTTTAATAACAAATAAATTTTCCATCAAACAAATTGTCGAGCTAAATTGAAATCAACAATCTTTAATTGCATTATAAACAAAGAATATTGTGTAACGTATTTTGATAAGAATTCAACGACTTTTTCTCACTGATAAGAGGACTCAAAACATTTTGATTCATTCATATTCATTCGACTTTCACACTGATGAAATATCATCAATGTATTTGATATGTGGAACACTGCTGGCCAGATCATAACCATTTTTGAAATTATTAAATAAGCATTAGTAAGATCTCGTCTAACTTTTCACATCTTCTTCAAGCGAAATTCGTTTCTAAGTTCATGCATCATAACAAATATTGAAATGGAGAAATTGTAAACATAAGACATGTTACTTGATAACATGACGATAAACATATGTAAAAAGATTACGTATGCTGTCACTTGATGGAATTTTACAGAAATCATTAAATTTTCTTTTTCTTATTTCTTTCCAGTCAACAACACGATGGAGACAATTCACTTAGTGAGTAAATTTAGATTTTATTTACATCACAAACACATAAATTAAAATATCACAAAATTTTCTAAATTTATCTAAATTAGAAGAATGGAAATGAAGGAACAACTTAGATTTTTAAATAAATCAATTCACTAGAATTTCTTTGATTTAAACTGTTTAGATGTGGTTGAATATTGTTGGGTTTGAATATTTGTAGGAATGTAAATGGTTTCAATTTCTTTTACAGATACCAAGAAATTGTTCTAAGAAAAATTTCCTTATTACAAAGACTACAAATCTCATGACAGTAATTTCAATAAAATTTCATTCTTCCGTCCTTTGCATCATCATCACAATTTTTTTCATTGGTTTGAAATTGTGACGCATGATTGATGCCAAACACAATCATCGTGTTTTCATTTACTCCGATTACCGAATAAAATTGAATATAATCAAGAGAGTATCGTGTAGTAAATAATATGAGAAGCAAAAACTTCACATTAAATTAGCTCGCAAGAAAAACTAGATTATTTGAAGACATTAATACACGGCACATTCTACTTCTTTTACTCATGGAAAATTATCAAATTGCAGACGGAAACTCAACACCAAATCGATCATTCACTAGTTATCCATCATCGCCCGGACAAGGAAGATCTTTGCGTGAATTTGAAGAACAAATGACGGCGTTGCGTAAGGAAAATTTCAATTTGAAATTGAGAATTTATTTTCTTGAAGAGAAGACTGCATCAGATTGTAATGATGCGTTCCATCGACAGAACATTGATTTGAAGGTAACTAAATTAGTTCATGCTCTAAAAAAGCTGTGCCCAGATTTTTCTAAATAATTTTATTATTCATACACATCCAACACAAACAAACAAAGGTGGAGAATGAAACGCTGCGTAAAGAACTTCTGGAAAAGCAAGACCTTCTTTGTCAAGCATCAAAAGCGATGGAATTAATAGAAAACCAGAGCAAAAAACAAAGCAGTGAATCTCAAATGGTGATTGATGATTTGAATCATAGGATTGAAGCGATGACGGTGAGTTAATTAATTTCTGATTCATTCATAAATTTATTTCTCATCATTTAATGTGAAGCATGAAATGAAAAGCTTAGAAAAAGCTTTGATTGAAGGTAGTGGGAATGACGACAACGGTTACTCAAATTTTCTTGGTGCCATCAGTTTAAAAGATGTTGAAACACAACAAAAGGTAAAACATAAGTTAACTACGATAATTTTCAAATCCATATTTTTATTTTCATTTAGATTGCTGACCTTGAACTTTTAATCAAAAACTTCAGCGATCAAAATGAGCAGTTGTGTCAAAAAATTGAATCAATGGAATCTGATCGTGTTGAAATGACGAGAAAAAATAACTCGCTTTGTTATGAAAATGCAGAATTACAAGAAAAACTTGAAGAGAATGCAAAATATATTGACAACAATACATTAAAGAAAGTAGAAGATGAAAATTACGATATCAAACGAAAGCTCGCTGATTTATATGCACAACTTGAAAATGTTGAACAAAAGCTTCAGGAAAAAACAGATGCACATGAGAAGTCATTACAAGTTATTAAAAAAGCTTGTGAACATATTGAAGACTTAGAATTTCATGTTGAACAATTAAAGTCAAGTCAACCAAACTCATTGTCATCAACAGAAAGTGCTAAAAATGTAACAAATATTCAATGTAATTTATTTATCAAATCATTAATTTTCTTTTAATTTAATTATTCAGGATGATACATTCGCTCACACCAACAATGTCATTGTTAAACTTCGTGAAGAAATCGAACAAATCACAAATGATAAGAACGAAGAAATTCGACGAATCAAGGAAGAACTTCATAGGAAATCATTACCGATGTTAACTAACAATTCCATCATGAATCAATCACTTTTCTTTTCACAGAAAGTTACTTTGCCTATTAATGAATCATCTTTCGAAAAAGAGAAAGAAAAAATGAAAAACGCAATCAAAAAAATTTGTTTGCTTAAACAAAAGTTGAGGTGAGAAAAATCTAACAAAGTTTGCTAAAGTTTTCTTAATAATCTTGTGTTTTTCTTTGTCTAGTTCAAGTACTGATCACAACAACATAGAAAAAGAATTCCTTCAACTTCAACTAAATCAAGAACAAAATGATCTCGAAGAAAGTGAAGCGACTTTACGTCAATCATCAGTTTTCTGTGGAGTTTTGATTGATCGTTTGGAAGAACTTGCAAGCTTTTTAAATTCTTTGTTAGAAAAGAAACAAGTTGTAGGCCAATTAGGATATGAGCTTCGTCGTGCGATAACCAAAGCTATCGATAGAAGTTTGAATCTGTCAAGAAATAGTACTGTGCATCAAAAGCCAATTGATCAGAGTGCACATTTAAGCGACTGTTCGATGATTGATCTTGTCGATAGTCTGCAATCATCAACAGTGACTGATGATGCATCTTTGTTAATCGACAGTCTTCGATCAGAGAATGTCAAACTCAAAAATGAACTTGACACGTTTAAGATGTTCAAATCAGGAAATGCAACCACTAATCTCAATTCAAGTCGAACTTCTCACAAATCTCAAAAGAGTTCCAGAAAATCAAATACGCCGTTACTTTTTATGCATCAATCTGAGTCTGAAGAATGGTCCGAACCTGATCGTGATGTTTCACAAAAACGTATTGGATTAAAAACTGATGATGTAAGTGGAGTAGCTAAAACTGCAACAACTTCAGACGAAAACGACAATGATGATGACAATTATTTCGGAAATGAATACAAATTGGTGAAGAAATCAGATTGGAAACTGATTCAAAGCAAAATAAAGAGTCTCGAGACATTATTACAAGAAAAGAATAATAAAATTCTTGAGGTGTCGAGTATGCTGTTAGAATCTGAAAACGAGACGAAAGATAAAATTCTTCAATTTAGAAAGAAACTCGAAGAGAGCGAAAATGATTTACAAAAATCTGAAAAACTTTATAATCAAAAAATAGCAGACATGACTGAAATGAAAAAGAAATTCGAGGACACTGTCGATCATCTTAAACGAGAGAAAGATGAGATGAATGTAGAGTTGCGTGTGCTTGGATCAAAGCATGAGTCGCAATTAGAGAATAACCGTGACCTGAAGATGAAACTTCAGAGTGAAGAAGAAAAAGTTCACAAATTACAAATTGAATATGAATCAAAATGCCAGATGTTTGATGAACTTTTAAATACATCTGAGAAAAGAGAACAAGAAATAAAAGACGAAGTGCAAATAAATTGGATTCGAAAAATCGATTATAATCAATTGCTTCTTGAACTCGAAAAGAAACAAGAAAGACTTGATACTTACAAACAAAAGTTTGCATCAATGGAAGAAGATATGAATTTAATGAAAAATCATATGATGGAAAGTGAAAATCGATTAGAACAAATCAATCGGAATCTTGACAATGCAACACTTAATTTGTCATCTGCTTCAGTTGAACGTTCAAAAGCTTTAAATGAAAAGCGACTAATGGAATCGAAATTTAAGAAATTAAGTGAAGAACATCAAACACTTAGCGTTGAGAAACAAGAATTGAATTTAAAAATCGCTGATCTCGAAGTATTTAATGCGAAGTTACAAAACATGCTTCTGACGGGTGACAAAGTGAATGTGCCGCTAACTCATCCAAGTTCAGATGCCAGCGGATATGCAAGCGAAGAAGCAAATCATGCAAACATTCATTCACCTCCTTTCAACTCCAATAAACCATCAGAACATCAACAAGCTTCATCGTCATCATCTACTTGTGAATCATGCAAAAATCTTGAAAGTGAAATCATCGAGATTAAAAAGAAAATGTCACATTCTAAAAAGTCTTTAGAACAAGCATACGCCAGACTAAGAAATCAAAACCTCCGAAAAGCACAAATCGAAATGGACATCAAACAACAAATCGTGAAAACCCAAAACGTCCTTCAAAATGTTCGAGCAAATATGGAAAGTGAGCTGAATCGATCAGTTTCTAAATAAGGAGATTAATTAAGATAGCACAATGAACATAAGTTCAAATAACTTAAGTCGATTGCAGTTGTTGAGATTAGTATTTTAGTGTTTTTTTTTGTTTTCATTCGAAAGTGATATTCTAGTTTAGAGCTTTTAATTGACGACATTAAATGGCACATAACGATACAGTCGTACAATTAAGTAAACTAGGAAATGACGAAATGATAATAAACGAAATATGTTTTGTTAACTTCTACTTTACTAAGTACAAACTAACCAGCCACACACTTCACCCATCCTATCAAACAGAAAAGAGAAACTTGATGAGTTTCTCTCGATATTCTAGTAACTCAACTTCCAAAGAATACGCCATTACTTTTTTAGAAAGTAAGAAATCGAATGCCAAATAATAACCGAAAACTGACTGAAATATTTTCTCTTCTTAGATTTGTAAGTTTAATTAATCAATCAACCGGATTGATTTTATGTTTACTTTTTTTTTGCTGTTGTGAGTTTTAACTTATAAAATTTTAAGTGTAACAGTTTCGAAAAGAAAACGACGATAATTATATTTAGATAATAAAACAAATTTTTAAAGTAAACAACATATTTATTTTTCAACCAAATACATTTTGTACAACTTCTCCTGCTCGATATCTTTGAACTTTGGAATGAAATTGACTTTTAAAATATCCGCAAATCCTTCTTTAATGTTTGGTTCAACGTATTTTTTCTTGTAGATGTTGAAAACCATTTCGTTAATTTTCTGATGATCAGAACCAGTAAGTGCTCTAAAGATATTGTTGTGCTTAGCTTGATCGTAAGTGACGTTGAGAATGAAGCAGCGAATAGGAATTCCATGTTTTCTAGCTTCGTCAATGAATCGTTTGCGACTTATGGGATCAGGATTTGTGTTATCAATAACGCAACTCTTTTTCAATTTGATAGAACTTTCAATTGCAGCAATACATTTCTGAGCAGTATTCAACGTGTCACGGTTGATGATCTCATAACCGGCTTTTTTTAAATATTCCCGACAGAAGAAACTTTTACCACTGCCTGGAAAGCCTACCAACAGAATAATTTCAAGTTCATCTGAGGTATGTTTTGTATTAGCCGGTTCGATCAAATTTCCATTTTCATTCGTCACTAATGTTGGATTAAACTGTGGACGATTCCAATGCTTTGGCGTATCTTTTGCATTCAAAAAATGTTCTTCAGGTGTGTAAAAAGAAAGTCCGATATTAATAGCGAAAAGTCGATCAGCACATGAATGGTCTTTTTTTCTTTTTGTTATTTTCACTTCTGGTCTTCCGGCAGCATCACCAACATAAAAAGATTGACTTCTATCAATCTTTATTCCATCATTAAAAGATGTTTCTAACGCTTCCCACATTCCGATTCGAGGCTTACGAAATATCGTCGAACCTGTAGCCATGAAGAACTGACATGGAACTTCTAATCGCTGTTGAATCAAAGCAAGCTTTCTTTTCATGTCATCTACAGTTGTTTGTCCTGTCTCAATGCCACGTTGATTTGTAAAAATAACAATCTTAAAGCCATTATCATGAAGTGACTTGAGCTTCTTTGTAATATTGTTGTAATTCAGCTGCCAGTCATCAATGTTTTTGGGAAATACATTTCCACTAATTGTTTTGATTATTGTGTTATCCATATCGTAAGCTGCTATTTTAGATCTTCCATCAGCAAGTTTGGAAGTGAAAATTATGCATTTTCCATTCTCAATCGAATCCCACGAATCTTTTTCTGACTTAACTTGTTTGTTGTTTGATTTGAGTAATTCCTCTTGGCTTGGTCTCTTTGTACTTCCATTTGATGTTGAGGATGGGAAAGTTACTTCATATTGAAAGTCGGAGTTAAACACGAGATTTATCATGTCACCCTCCACAGCCTCATAAGCTTCATCAGGATTCATAACAAATCCATTGAGTGCTTAAAATTCAAATAAAATTTTTAAAATTTAATATGAAACAAAAAAATTAAAATTAATACTTGCAGGACTTTTTCCAACGAAGCGAATTAAAACTATACTGTCGTCAAATTTAGGTTTTATGACAACTAAAATTAAATTAATAAAAATAAAATTAATGAATATAGGATAAATAGAAAGCCTTACGGTGCTCTCGAGAAACAAAACTTGATTCAATCATCGTTTCCATGCTTCTTCCGATAGTTTTCTTCTCTGATCCAGCAATAATAATATCCGGCAGATTTCTTGCTTCTCCTATTTTGAGATTTCTTAAAATACATTTTTGATTCATTCTTATCTCGAATGACAGCAAACGAATTGGTTTTAAAATAATTAAACTTTTGAAAAGGTGAATTTTATTAATTTAACGTCAGAATTTATGATAAACACTGAGTTATTTTTCTAATTTGTTGCAATGTTTACAGTCGAATAAATATTTAAGGTGAGGAGCATTCAACCGCGTTTTTAGCGTTTTCAATGACGAAAGAAATTTAAATTTTCATTTGTCGTTGAAATTTTTACATGCAAGAGCAACAAGAAGATGATAGTTATGTTGCATTAATCTACATATTTCATAACATGGGAAATAATTAAAATATTTTTCAATATATTTGCAATTTTTTTTCAATACTTCAATTGCTTCGTTTAAAAACTCGAATATTTCTTTAGGTTCTACAAAGTTCTCGTCAAATCTTTTTAAGTCACCAATCATAGGAAAGCTTCTCGTACACGCAATGCATGAACAACGAAATCCGAATTGTTTCAGAAGTGAATTTTGTCGTTCATCAACAGGAGTTTGATGAAAAAGTTCACTGTAATTATTTATAAAATTAATTTTATATTTTAAAAATGTTAAACCAACTTACTGATAGCAAATGAATAATTGTTCGTTCACTTCAATTGGTTTTCGTACAATAAAAATAATCTCATCATCAATACAAATCCAATGAAGGTTTGGTGAACATGAATGATTTATAAACGATGCTGATGGTAAGACCGCACATCCCGTTGCATCACCATCAGATATCCAAGAAGAATTCCAATGCATAGTGAAGGAATTTCGATTCAAAATGCCTATAACTCTAATAACAAACTCGATGAGAATGTTTTTCTGGCTTTGAGTCTGCCAAATTTGACGGATATATGGGTGATAATTGACAAAACTCTTCGCAAAAGATTTTTCTTGATCAGTTGGTGTTGAAAATTCCAATGAGAAACAAACGTCGACAAATTTCTTTTCATGTTGTTTACGTGAACCTTTACTAACATCGAGATCAAAGATTGTTTCTGATTTTAAATCATTTTTTAATAGTTTTCCTAAATTATCCACGCTTTCATATATTTTCATAATCTTGAATAAAGTTCTTTGAATCATCATTAGAAAGCCATCGTCTTGTGTGTATTTCTTTATTGTTGAACATTCAAACTTATGAAATTCCTCCCACGCATTATCCTCACAAACTTTTGAACAAAACATAACTGAAGCACATGATTTACAAGGATCAAGATCAAACAAGTTGCATTTCAGGCAATTCACACACCGACTACAAGAAAAATTCTTGTCAAGTGATTTATAAAATGGTTTATCAATAAGAACAAAGTCGCCTGGCGTCAATCTTTTCGTGGTTACAATATGTCTTCCATATTTATCATTCACACAAAGTTTCAGACATTCTGCCAATGAAGGATTTCTTTTGTTACGCGAGTGCGAAAGTTCAAAGAAATCTAATTTCTTTGGATGAATTTCATAATCAGTTTTAATTAATTCAAGACATTCTTTCTTCATGTTTAAAATGTTCGTACTTGTTCCATTTTCTCTTGCAGCATTAATATTTCTCATGCATTTACTATATTGCTTCATTCGTAAATAAATTTCTGATCTTCGTTCATAGCATGAAAATATTTTTTCTGAGCTTTTTGCTGACATTAATTCACTGTTCACGTCAAATAATTCTTTTAAAAATCTTGATTCTTTGTCATTTGCTTTTGAATGGCTTCGTTGATGATAAGCTTTTGAAATTTTATCTGTTTCCATTTTTTTAAATTTAATTCAAGCACAATGTATGATCAACTTTGTAAGACTAAAGACAACAAACTAAAGAGAAACATAAATAAATTTCCACAAATTTCAATGAAAACTCTTTTTTTTTTTTCGTTTCTCTTGTCGCATTTCTTTATTTATAATGAAAATCACAATTTTCTTTTCTATAAACATTTCAAAAATACGTATAAATATTTTAGTACGAATCAAGAGATATTTATGTATTTATCTATGAGAAAGCATTTGCTTGGTAGTGAGAAGAAAAAATTATGTTAATGAAACAGAAATTTCTTTAAGAGGATTTGTGACGTCAATTTTATCGACGATTGTTTTCGATGTACCCTTGATCGATGACGGAACCTTAGTTTTGTTGTTTTTTTTCTTTTTGTTTAAATTTACTTCCACCCACTCATTTTTCTCATCCGCCTCCGGCGTTTTCGGACTTTCTTCTTTTGTTTTTTCCTTCAATTCTTCAACTTTTTGCCAAGCATAATCGAATGGAAATTCTTTCAAACGAAACTTTTCTGGCACTTTTTCTTTTGTGACATCATCGAGATGATCTGGTCGAGTAATAACATGTGATGGTTCGCCTTTCATGTGAATTCTCTCCAACATTGTCACATTTGTGGTTAGAGGATCAAGTTGTGTAATTTCGAAAAACAAATCCTCTTTACTCGTCACAGCAACGCCTCGTTTCTCAAAGAATTTCGTGATGTTATCACAATCACGCATAAGAAATTCCATTGCTGCTGGATGAAGTGGTTCCACAGCTTGTGCTAAATCAATAACTACACATTGTCCATTATGCCAAAGAATATTAAATTCAGAGAAATCAGCATGCACAAGCCGAGCGTTTTGATACATTGATTTCATGATTTCAACAACTTCATGGTATGCACAAATAAGTTCACCTTTGGATAAAATTGCATCCTTGAGCTTCTTAGCTGGGTTTGCATAACTATCTCCAATGTATGACATCACTAGAACATGTTTCTTCATTATGATAACTTGTGGACATGCGATGCCAGCTTTTTTTAATCGACTCAAGTTGTGCATTTCTTTTTCGCACCACATTTGAATGATATTTCTGTTATTTTGCTTTAAACTTCCCTTGAATCGATAATCGTCTTTGATGTATCGATCACGCTGTTTAAACTCATTAAGGGTGGTGGAGAAAATTTTTATTGCCACTTCTTTAGGAAGATTAGGATAGTCAGGATTGTGTTGATTACTTTCACCATGTAAGATGACAGCTTCTTTACCCGTTGAAATGATTCCGTCGATGCTATCGAGAATACAAACTGTATTGATAAGCTTATAAAGAATCATGCGTGTTTTCACATCAACACCCATTTCATTTGTTTTCACGTCAAGTTTTCGATCTAATCGAGCTTGATTTGTTTTCTTTGCCATTGAATTTGAATGAGCTCGAAGTTGATTGAAAACTTTATTTGATACTTTCATATCGAAATTTCCACAATCTCCTGATGGCAAATCAGTATCAAGCTCCATTATTCTTCCTGCATTTTTCCGACCACTCAAATGCTCATCATGTTTCGTCAAAATTTTTCCATTTGAATCAACATATCCACTTTTTCCTATCTTTGACATTTCTTTTTGATTCAAATCGAAACGATCCCAATTTTTTGTTCTACGTTCTTCAACTAAATCCTCATCTTCCTTATCCGAATCATTGTCAAGTAATTCATCTGGATAAATTCGATATTTAGCCAGTGAGATTGAAATTTTTGAATCTATAATTGAATTGAAATTTAATATTAGGTACTTTTAAAAAGTTTTTTTGATTTAATCTTTACTTTTGTTTCGACTTTGTTCAAATCTTTTGAGATCTTCGTCAAATTCAAGGTCGTACTCGGCTTGAAGCAATTGTGCTATTGCAAGATCATCATTTTCTTTTGATTTTTCTAATGAGCTACTGCTTTCATTGGGAAGTGTGATTGAATCGATGATATTTTTACTACAACAAGCTTCATATTCATCTGTTTCAGTTTCTTTTCCTTTCTTAGCAGTGAATGGCTTCCATGACTCATTGACTGAAAGCTTCTCTGATAAATCCTTCGCTAAATTAAAGTCATCTTTGATTTGTTTACTTGTTTTCTCCCTGTCAATATATAAATAAATAAATCAATCAATGCAATGTGAAATTATAATGAAGTTAATAAATTTTCTTACTTTTGTATTTTCTCAGATTTCATGATTTTTGACAAGTTGACAGTTTCAGTATCAATTTTGGGCAAAGCCCAAGGCGATGAAAGAGCCATATTTCCTCAGCAAAATAACCTGGGTGAATGAAATAAATAAAAAATAAGCACGATGAATTTCACAATCTTTGTAAAAGTAAAAACAAAATGAAATATCATTGATAATATTATTGATGATGATGATGATGATTATTGAATTGACAGTAGCGCCCTCTTTAAGTATTTTAAATTTGTGATTATTAATGTTTTCTTCAGTTTTTTAATTTTTATTAGTGTACTATAACTAATCATTATGATTTATTTTCTGTGAATTCTTAATTGAATTCCAAGACGACTTAGTTCTAAAGAAATTGTGTCTCACAGTTTTAAGTCGTACACAATTTTACACAAAAAAATCTGACATTCTCTAGCAAAACTTAATCCCATCCAGGTTTCTTAACAATGTCCTTATTTCTTTCCATCATATCATCCATTTTATCCTTTCTTGCTTTCTTTAACATTTCTTCCATGTCATTTAAATCTGGTCTTCCAACACTATCTTCAGCCCAACGATCTTCTCTTTCCTTTCGTCTATCATCATCACGACGGTTTTCCATTGACGATTGTCTTTTTGGGGAACGTTCGGGACTACGTGAGAAGCTTCTTTGGAATCTCCCTCCAAATCTTCCACCGCCACGTCCCATTGGACGATCTCGATTGAATCTTTCCATACGACCGCCACGGGACCAATCTCTTGTATCTCTAAAGTTATTCATACGACGACCTCGTGATCTCATCGGTGGGCTGTAGCGTGATCTTTGATGATTTCCTCCACGTCCTCTGAATTTTCTATCACGTGATCTGGATCGACTGCGTGAATATGATCTCGAATCAGAACGTGAATATCTTCGACGATAACTTCCTGATCTACGTCGACGTCTTGGTGATCTAAAAAAATATAAATATTTATCATTGTCTCTTTAAAATGATATGAAATTCCATGACCCACCTTGAGTTTGTTCGACTTTGAGAACGTCTCGTAGAACTTGTTGGTTCTAAAGTGGTTTTTGGGGGTGCAACTTGAACAGGATCGGCCAATCTAAAATTACCGAACTTATCTAAAACTACCGGACCTTTCGGTATAATTGGAACTTGTGCAGGAGTTAAAATTTCAATTTTAGCTTTTGTTGGTGGAACTTCTTGCTTCTTCTGTTTGTCAATAATTGCTCCACTTGTACTTGCAGTTAAATAATTTCCTGTTTGTTGTGTTTGAAAATTTTTCAATTGATCTTCCTCATCTGAATCATAATTAAAATCAAATTGTTGCTTTGTCGTTGTTTTCTGTCTGTTATCTGTTTGTCGTTCGTCTTTGGCAAATTTCATCTTCCATTTTTCAGGCGCACCTTCATCATTTTCTGCACGTTTTAATTTCATTTCTTCTTCTTTTATTTTGTCATTATAAATTTTCTGAAATTTTGAGAATTCTGGAAGATTCTCGAACATTCTAAAAATAATTTAAAACGGAAATTTCTAATTTCATTGTTGAAAAAAATTTAATTCATTAACTCACTTCAAAGCTTCACGGAGATTTTCAATCTCATTTCCTTTCGACTTCTTTTTATCCTCTTTTTTCTTCTTCTTTTTTCTGATAAATAAAAATTAATTAATTTAACATACTCAACGAATTGTTTTATTTAAACTTACGCTTTTTGCTTTTTTTCAGATTTTTTCTTTTTCCTTGCACTTTTGGCTTCTTCTGCCTGTTTGCTTTTTTGATACTTTGAGGTTTCTGCCATTAATTGACGTACTTTATCTTCATAATCATCTTCGTCGCGACCCATCTCCAAAAACTTTCTTACTTTCATTTCATGATCATCTAAAACATTGAAGCTTTGATTAAATTGATAGCTCGAATCTGCTAAATCCATTCGCTTGCTTAGAGGTGACAATGATTTTTCGCGTTTTTTCTTTTCCTTTTTTTCATGCGAGAATTTGAATCCGAATCACCTGAAGGAAAGAAAAAAAATTTGAAATAAATTCTAAGCAATCATTTAAAGGAAATATTTAATTTACCAGTTGATGAAGATGAATTATCAGACGATTCAGAAGATGATTCGCTACTATCTGATGAGCTAGTTGATTCGCTTGATGAGCTGTTGTGTCTCTTCTTCCCTTTTCGCTTTTTATCTTTCTTCGATTTCTTTCTATTTCCATCCTTTAGTTTTGATGTATCTAAAAATTCTTTTGAACCTTTTGATGGATCATTTAACAATGGAATCGATCCAATGTTAAGTGCTGAAAATTTTCATTGAATTATTTTTCACAATTTCTTTCTACTTAAAATTAAAAACTCACGAGGAAGTTCCAATTCAGCTGGCTCAACAATTTTCTTCGCACTTAACTTCGTTTTGAGATATTCTAATGAAGAATGAGCTTCCTGATGATTTGGATTTATTTTGAGACAATCAATGTAAGCTTTTCTTGCTTCTTCAAATTTATTCGCCTCCTCAAAATTTCGTCCAAGAGCAAGTAAGGTTTCTCCCAAATACTTTTTAGCATTTGCATGATTTCCATTCAATTTCAATGCAGCTTCAAAATCAACAATAGCTTTAGTAAATGATCCGCTATTTGCATATAATGCTCCACGGGCTACAAGTCCTTCAACGTTACGAGGGTCAATTGAAAGTGCTTTGTTGAGACACTGAAAAGCTTCAGTGTGACGTCCCTCCTTGAAATGCTCAATCCCTTCAGCGACAGATCTGTGATGAATTGAATAAAAAATAAAGAAATTATCGCGGAAAATATTTATAATTCTCACCTAAAAGCTAATTTGCTTGCTTGTAGTTGCCGCAAGTCTTTGGCGTATTCATCTTGTGTAAACTTCTTTTTCGAAGACATTAGTGAGTAATGTTGTTGCGGAAATAATCCACTTTCAATATATAAATTCTCAACAATCGCTGGATTATTAATTGATTTGGTTTCCTTAAGGATTTCGTTGACACTCTTGCTTTGATTTCGATGATCAACTGCAATCCTAGAAAATAATTTTTTTAAAGAACGTTTATGTTATTTGAATCAATTCAACATCAAAACTTTTCCTCATATCATAGTTCAAAATAATTTAAAGTCTTCGGATTATTTTATTAGATTTTCCTTCATCTTTTCAATCTACAAATTTCCGTTCACATCTTGCACCTGAAATTCTTATCACTTACTTATAGAATGTTGGAAGTTGATGTGAGGAAATTAATCCAAGTGATGGTCCATTATCGTAACGTTCATTTATGCCAAGCATACTAAGATTTAATTGCGCGTTCTCCAATATGTCAACAACTTCACAACATACTAGATCATTTGGAACAAATTGTCTTTTCACATTCTTCGAGTCAACTGCTGAAATAAGATTTTGTGGAGCGATGATTCCCTAAAAAATATAAGCATCTAATAGTTAGAAAGAGAAAAAATAGTAAAATTAACATTTGCTAGAACTACTTTAATATCAAGATCCATTAGAAGTCGCGACACAAACCCCGTTGTGCATAAAACCTTCACAATTAATCCGAATTTTGTTACTTGCTTTACTGAGCAATATGCGATATCGCCAGCCTTGATTGCCTAAAATTATAATTTGTACTTATAAATAGCAAAAAAGTGATTTATTTATTATAAATTAATTATCGACTCACCGAAAAAAATCTTTTGATTCTCTCCTCTTTCTCAACAGTTGCAAAAAACTCAAATGGAGGTATTTCATCATTTCCTGATGCTACAATTTTCTTTATTCTTCGATCACTTGGACTTTCCCTAAAATGCTTAAATAATTGTTGAGATTTGCTGCAAATAAAACGATGCAATCGAAGACGTTTCGTTCGATCGGTGAAGTTTAAGATTTTTAATCGACTTTGATAAACGCTTGTATCAATATTGTTTGCATGCATTCCCAAATTTTCTAAACTGTTTGATCCATTTTCTTCATTCCATGTCTTAATTAATGGCAGTCCATGAAATCCGAATGATTGCTCTAATAATTCTGCGTTTAGTTTATTATCCATTATCTCCTCGTTTATTTTCTATTTAGGTCATTTAGATTTTATCACAAATTCTGCTTTCTGATCTGTAACGAAAGGGTTATTGACATTTCTTATGCTTTGATTCAATTGTATTTAGCAAAATGTCATGTTGCATATTAAATATAAAGAGATTTAAGTACCTGCAGGATTAATAACACTTTCAAAAAAAAATGAAAAAGAATTGACTTACATATATGAATAAATTTTTAAAAACTTTATTCCTTTATAATTTTTTTTTTTACAAATTGTTGTAAGATAGTATTTTTAGTTATCTAATGGAATACGACAACTAAATAATTATTCCACTGGATCTTTCTTTTGTAACCGGCTCTTTTGTGACTTTTTCTTAACCTCCATGGAAATCTTACTGAAATATCTTTTGAATACATTATGTTGCATTTCAGAGCATTATTGATACTCTTTAAACATTTAAGTCAACACTAATTTATGGTGATCACTTTATCTCACTTAAAAAGCATGAAATTTCAACAAAAATGAATTTGGAAAATAAAAATGAAAGAACAAAAAAGAAAATTTCAAATTCCCATAAAATTTATAACTTTATAAATTTATTTTGTTCGGATATCTCATTGTTGTGAATTTTTGATGATTACTCACCTGAAGTTTATTTTTTTATCTTCACAATATATAACCACTACTAATTTTTTTTTTATTTCATTACAAGCTTCATGAAAACACTTTAACGAATCAAGATTTCGTTAAAAGTTTCGTTCGATATCGTAGAAGCGTAGAATTTACGTATAAGTACGTATACGTATTGTTGACATTTTTGAATTCCTCAAAATATCAATATTTTACTATTTTCTTAATTCTTCAACTTCATCGGACCTATTCGAAGTTTTGCAAAAAAACTTTGAAAAATATTTGCGTGTTGGTTTTCCTAAATATATACCTATTAAGTCTCCGTTTCATTAACTTTCAATCGATAAGAATTTAAGTTATAATTTTCACGCATTGAAAACAAAAATTTGTCAAATGTTTTTGTTGCAAGTAAGGAAACATTTTACAAACAACTAATATATATCGAGTTTAAAATATTATACTTCATAGAAAAGTAGAATCGCTGTATCAAGCTTCAGTCGTATAGTGTTGCCTTACCAAAATTCGTTTGGGTTTTCTTCTGAACTCCAACCTCGAAGTAATGAAAACAAACCGGAAAATGTCGAGGAGGCTCCTGAAAAAGATAGACTTTACTCTCATCTTGAAATTGAATTGAAAGGAATTGAGCCAGAAGTGATGAAAAGTTATGTATGGTTTGCAAAAACAGCTGCTAAACATTTAGACATCGAAGTGGGAAAATGGTAATGATCGATTTACGAACATAATAAGCCTATGCTTTTATAATAAATTTCTTTCATCAGCTACGCTCCGAAAAAATCTACCAGAACTAGATGGAGTATTCTGAAGTCTATTCATGTTCATGCAAAACATCATGCTCAATACGAAGTTCGGACTTATTATTACTTTTTAAACTTTCACAACCTCACCCAGTCTACACTTGAAACATATTTAGAATACATTCAACGTAATTTACCGGAAGGAACTGGTATGAAAGCAACAAAGGTGGAATTACAGGCAATACCAGAGCATATTAAGGTCAATCCTTCATAGAATTTCTGTAACAAGAAAGAATTAAAAACGATATAATAATATAGAAATTACTGTAAAACTAGATGGATTTCTTTTTATTTCATATTTAAGTCTATTTTTTGTCAATCTTCTCAATTGGAGGTGTTGATTCGATTATTTCTAACTCTGGTAATATATCTTGAAGCATAGCAATTGTCAATTTCCATTCAGGATCTCGATAAGGTTTGTCGAGAGTAAGACGTTTAAGTGATGGAATTCTATACAAAGCTCCTAATCCTCTGAAAGTTACTTCTGTTCCTGACAAGATCAGAACTGAGAGATTGTCAAGCTCTAAACTACTGACGCGGTCCAAACACCAGTCATCAAATTTTTTGACATTTTTAAAAGATAAATAACGAAGATGTTTTAGCCGTCTAATATTATCTAATCCTTCGTAATACAAAGTCATATTTTCACAATCAATTGCTTCGAGAAACATATTTGAGACATATTTATCAGGGAGATTGAAATTTCTTTCACTATCAGCTTTCATCCAATTATTCTGTCCCTTGAACTTAACTTGTCCGAACCGGAACAATATAAAATGTGCTGCTGCTAGATCGTTTCCTAAAATCTCATGTCTGTCTGGGATGAATTGTTGTAGAAAACGTTCCTTCTCTTCTGCATGTTTCACAAAAAACTCTTTGACTTTTTTAGGTCTCAGATCGAGAGGTTGAATGACTCTTGTCATAAGTGATTCTCTTGAAACTTCATCGTCATCTTCTAGAAATACTTTAAATTTGCTGTACCAGGCTCCTTTCTGTTCATGTGGTTTTTGACGCCATTGCATATCTTTTATGTCTTGTTCTATTTTAATTTTTCTTTCCTCTTTCAGTGGCTTTGATGAGGGAACATCAACATATCTCTCAGCTGAAAGTGAAATAGTCCGCGATATGAACGTTGGGACATTAAATGATGATCGCAGAATATTTATCATTGCAATTTGGTTTAGTTTACAAAGTAAAGCTTTTTTTCAATTTTAAAGAAGGAATTTCTAATTATAGGTAGGTACCTACTTCTTTTGCTACTTCCAATTTTTTCACATAAACATTCGTTCAATTTTTAACGATGAATATAAATGAACGTTAAATTTTTTTAAACGAAATTTCGATAACTCAAATGTAACGTTTTATTAAACTGTAAACAAACATAAAAGTAAGAGAATGGAAGCTATTGATGATATATTAGATATTTTTCATGAATTCTCTATCCTCGAAATAGAGGAACTAAATAAAGAGTTATTATTGAAAGTGAAAGAATTAGGTAAGATTAAATTTTTGTTTCAATGATTTTGAAAAACAATTTTTTTTTTGTAAAATTACAGAAGAAATGCATAAAGCAATACATTTCAAACAATCCACACTCGCATCTATAGAAGCTAAATTCGAAGAGATCAATCTTTTAGCTGAAAATTTCATTGAAGAACATAAGAAGCTGTCTTCGGAATTGGTTAAAAAAAAACGGATGAAAATCAAGACGTTCAATTTATTTTTTTTTCTTTATTATCTTCAGGAAGAAGAAACGGCTAAACGAAAGCGGATTAAAAAGACAATAAATCAGCTTAATGCACTCAATACCGATCGTGCTAAAATTGAAATTTCAGCGAATGATAAAATTAAAATGGGAAAGAAAAAAGCTAAATTAGATCTGATGAAGAAACTTTCGAAAGCAATTTTCTATGATCAATCGAAAGGATTTCTAATAAATCCAAACAGTTTAGATATAAAGTTATTTGAATTAGCAAAGAAGAATACGAAGAAACAGAATCGAGATATTCTTTGGGATAGCATTGGTCAAATTTCTCAATTTAACAATGAATGGGAACAACTTTTCGATAACTGAAACTCTCCATTATTTCTTTTATTTTTTCCTTCTTAAGTATGTAGATAATCGAATGAAATGGAATTAAGTAATGTATTATAATAAAAAGCTCATCATTTCTTTACATTAAATTTCCATAATTTTATGTCACTATCATCACTTGTCGATATCAAAAGTCCAGGTATTACAGGATTCCACTTCACACAATTCACGTCCTGTTTGTGCGCTAAAATTTTTGTTTCCAATTCAAAAGTTGGCTCATTTTTTTTATTAGATGATTCAGTTTCCTTAAATATTCTGATGTTGTCATCACCACAAGCAGTTGCAATAAGTCCAGTAAGTTTGCACCATGAAACATCGTAAATACTTCGATCATGGTAACCAGACAGTGTACAAACGCATTTCCAGGTGGGCTCATTATCAGGAGTAACAATTCCTTCTTCATTGTTCACGTCATATTTTTGCCAGACTTTCAAAGTGTTGTCATCACTACAACTGATCAATCGATTGCCAGTTTTATCAAATGAAATACTCCACACCGTTGAAGTATGCGATTGCAAAGTGTTTGTACAAATCCAATCATTGTCAACTGAATCTTCTTTGTACATTTTAATAGAATTATCGTAGCTTGCAGAAACCAGAATGTCAAGGTGTGGATGCCAAATAACTTTTTTCACATCTTGTGTGTGTGCATTCAACACTGCTGCACAATCAAACTCCTCACAATTTGCTCCGATGTCCCAAACCCAGACAGATTTATCTCGACTGCAAGTAGCAAGAAAGTTACCCGTTACTGACCAGGCAACACTTTTCACTTCATTTTCATGCCCTTCAAGGGTTGAATTACATTCGAATTCATTTCCTTTCTTATCCCAAATTGAGATTGTCGCATCAAATGAAGTTGAAGCAAGAAACATTCCACAATTCGAAAATGCTACATCTCTGATTGTTCTCGAGTGACCATCTGAAAGAACTGTCTGCATCACCCAATCATTTTTATCCTGTGACCAAATTCTTATTGTCTTGTCTTCACCGCAACTTGCAAACATTTTTCCTAATAAATTAAGCATTTTTTTTAATATTATTGAAATTTCTAAGGTTAAAATCTCACCTGAAGGATGCCATGATGCCGACCATACTTTACCTTTATGTGCTGTTAATCTTTGCACCACTTCTAGTTGTTGTGGCATTTTATTTTATATTTTGAAACAATTTTTAAAATATTTTAGGAATAAACTTTGTTGTAATGTTCAAGGGGAAACTTAACGAAACATTAAAGACAAATTAAATTGATCGTTAAAATTTGCTCGATTTTCAGCTAATTGGTAACAATTCTTGGACATCAATACACATTATTAATCATTTATAAAAAAATTAAATACTCAATTACTTTCTTTCTTCTTTTATTTCAAACATTAGATTGTCAAATAGATTACCAATTTAGTTTACATAAAAGTCGTTGATGCCATAAAATACTCAAAATGTGTAAATAGGTTTTAAGATCTGCTTGGTGGTGCTCGAGTTGGACGAGCTGTAGATGGTGGCACACGTGACTTGGTTGTTGTATTATTATTATTGGAAGGAGCTCTTGTTGGAATTCGTGGTGGAGCTCTAGTAATCGGAGGTCGAATAGGTGGTCGTGGAGTAGCACGTGTTGTTTTAGAAGCCTTAGTCGTGGGTGTAGCTCTCGTTGGAGTAGGACTATTTGATTCACAAACTAATGAATCAGAATCAAAAATCATTCCTCTAGGACAATTTCCTTGAGTTAAAACCCCATTTGAACAATGAAGAAAACTTGTTCTTGAATTCGTAACAGGAAAGAAATTCTAAGCAAAAACTTTTCATATAAATAATTTGAACATTGACATAAATAATTTCACTTACGCCCTCCTGTTCTGCTGAACAGAGATTCTTTGAATCTTGACTTGAAGTTACTTCTTCTATTCTTTCACATACATTGTCTCTTGGGTGAAACTCAAATCCTGGATCACATTGTCCTGATAAAGCAAGTCCGTTAGAACAGAAAAAGAAACGTGATCGCGAAGATGGATCTACTAGAAAAGTCTTCATAAAACAGTATGAAAAGGATAATTAATAAAAAAAAGAAGAAATTAAGAATTCTTACTCCATCAGGTTGATCAAAGCATTGATCTCTCGCTGGTTGTGGCATCGGCCTTCCACCAACTAAAAGATTGCAAACTCTGTCGAAAGGATTAAATTCAAGTCCTGATTTACATTCACGTCTTATTTTTTGTCCTTGCCAGCAATAAAAGTAATGTGATCGAGATGAAGGATCTGCCAGGAAGGCCTGTAAAATATAAATTCATTTTGAAATAATTTTTTTAAATATTTTATTTTATTCTCAACCCCGTCAGGATCATTAGAACAAATTCCTTCAACATATCCTAAAAGAATTAGGTGGCCTAATAACACCAATACGACCAACATTTTTTTTCCTAAGTAGATATTTCGGAAATAATATTTTATCCTTCTTTACTAATCAATTGGAGTCAAAAGAATACAAAACAATCAATTTTTAAGTTGTTATCAAATGTCTTACCGGAACCTTTCATGTAAAAGCATATGTTCAAAATCACTTATCAAATTTTATCACACATCATTCACAAGTTGAAAACCGTCATCAGAAGATATTTCCACATCACCTGGGAAGTATTTTAAGCTGAATAAATCGAAAGAAACTTTAAATTCGAAGCTTGGAGTTTGAAACTTTTATTTGATTATATTAGTTAGTGGTTTATAATAATATTTGTTGCATAACATAATTAATGGAAAAGATATAATAAATGAAATATTGAAATTGCTACCATTTTATTTTAATCAAAACTTATCAGTTCCGCTGTTTCAACTTCTTTAGGTTTCTCAGGTTCAGCTTCTGTTGGAACTTGTGGAGCAACAGGTGGACCAGATTGAGTGATTTGTTGTGTTACTGGTGGTTGAACACTTTGATAAATTTGATTCTGTGGCATCTGACCTAACTGTGGTTGATGAACATTGGGATTTGTTTGAGGTTGCGTCATTATTGGTGGTGGTGCTGTTGTTGATGTAACAGGAATTTGTTGTTGCTGCTGCTGTTGCATTGGGACTTGATGTTGCATCATTGGTATTTGTGGACCGTGTTGAGCCATCATATGATTGTTTGCACCAGTTGCACCTAAAGTTTGCTGTTGTTGTTGATTTATTGCGGAAGGTGCATTCGACATTAAGGTTGCTAGAATTAAAAAAATAATAAGAATGAAAAAAAGTAATCAGTAAAATAGAAAAAAACTTACGAACTCCACCAGCACCAGCATGCATTGTATTGTGAGCTGGATTGATGGGAATAAATGCACTTTGAGGGTTCGGTTGTTGATGTTGATTTGGAAAGATTCCTTGACCTGACATTGGCATCTGTCCATATGATCCTTGAGTCATTTGTGGATTGCCAGGATAAACTGGAAATTGACCAAATTGCATAGACCCGTGCATAGGCGATCCTGTGGATGGTGGGGACATATAGGGAGCATAATTATTAGCACCCATCATGTATTGAGCTTTTTGTTGCTCCTGACGTATCTGCATTTCCCGTTCTTGTTCTTGAATTCTTTGTAAAGCGAGTTGCCTTTGATATTGCAAATATTCTTGCTTTTTTTTCCTCATGATTTCTAATTTATAAGCCATTTGCATTTGACGCTGTCGTTCTTGTTCTTCTGCAATACGACGAAGCTTCTCAAGATGCTCCTGTCTTAAAACATCCAAAGCAGCTCGTGAATCTTTTACTTGAGATAATTTGTCTTGGAGTTGTTCGTACCATAAGCGCTTATCGTCCATTTCTTTAATGTACGTCAACAAACGTGAATGCATTGATGTTATATTCATGAACAATGTCTGAACGCTTGTGTCATTAGCAATACTGCGACCACGACTCGAATTTGATTTCATACGATTAACAAATATTTCAACTTGAGTACGCATTGTTGAGGTAAAATCATCAATCTCAATGTCTTGATCGTTCGAAGATTTCTGAATGTTTAAAATGATTGATGATGCCATCGGACTTGGTGCTGATGGACTTGCAGGATTTTCATTAATTTGTCGATTCTCCCAATATCCTCTATTTAAATATCTCGCTAATTCGGGATCGGATGGTGTTTCTGGTTCAACAGGTGTTGGCGAGAGTCGCATTTCAGGTGATGGCGACTTTGGATAAGTTCTGACAAACGTTTGTTGTTTCTTTGACTCAGCTTCCGATTGACTTAAAGCCAAAGCAAGTTGAAGTTCTTCTTCTTCACGCAATTCTTCTTCTGTCTTTCGAACTGGTTGTTGACTTTGTTGAGCTAATGGTGAAGCAAGATATTCAGCAGGAAGTTCCTCTTCTTCCTTTTTTAATGACGGCATAATTGATGATGTTGATGGACGTTGTAATTGATCATAACATCCATCACATACACGAACTTCTTTCTCAATTCCAAATTTAGGCAATGTACTTGTCTTACTTGAACATTGACCACAAAAAACTTGTCCACAATTTCTACAATGATGCTTTCGTTGGACAAGAGAAAATGAAACTCGACAACGATGGCAAACATCACCTTCAGCCCATTCTGGTGCAACATCAGATACGAAGAGTTTATCTGATACGTCTTTCATTTCAGGAAATTTATATCCTTCAGTTTTCAAAATGTTCATTGTATCCTGAAACAAAGAAAAAGAAAAAAGTTAATCTAATTGTCATTTGTTATCTCATTTAATACAAAGCTAAATTTTCTTTAAAAAAACATGCGCAATATTTACCTTAATTCCACGATATTTGTGAGCTGTGCGGAAAGCAAAAGACCAGGTTTGTATTAGTTCAAGCATTTTGTTTCTAACATTTTCGTGAGTTGTTTGCTGAACAAGTTGGGTGTAAGTTTCACAATTAGATTTGTTGGAAATTTCTTCATGAATTGGAGATCCACAGTTTTTAACAACAGACTCAAGCACCATCAAAGCATAAAGAGCGGTGTGTGGATTTGTCGAGAACATTTTTTTCTTTATCTGTAGAATTGCATATTTTGGCCTGAATAATAAAGAAAGACATTTATGAGTCATCATACTACTTATTCGAAACTTGTTTATTTTAGTTGAGCTATTACGTGATATCATTCTGACGAATCAAGTCGCAAATCACCATAATCGATGCCCAATCAGGCTCCAACTTTAAGTGAGATGTTGCAGTTTCTTTGAAAATTAACAAAAAATAATAATTTTAAATGAATCACAAGTTGTGAAAGAATCATTCGAAGAGATACAAAAAGAAACTCTTAAACAAACCTAAAGTTTTATCGAATGGAGATGATTTAAACATTTTTGATGAAATTCAAGCTTTGAGTTCACAACGAATTTGATAACTTTTTACAAAAGCTTTGATTCAATGTAATTAAACGAGTTTAAAGTTAGAAAGCAACTTTCTAGGTAGGTGGACCGATTGTTATAATTTTATATTGATATAACAGTTCGAGGGGAACGTCTGAGTATTTTTCATGTCCTACTAAATAAATTCGTTCAGTGATTTTTCTCTATTTTCACTTACGAAATAGACAGAATACATTACAAGTTCTGCAATTCATTGTCGTAATTTGCATTAACTCGTGCATCCGCTAAGTATGGAAGATCCACGAGAGACTGCAGTGAGTGAAAAATATTATCTTCTAAACATTTACAAAGAAAATTTTATAAGATTTATTAAAGCCATTTGATTTACAGATAGTTACAGCTGTAAATTTCCTCAAAAATCCAAAAGTAACCAATAGCACTTTAATTCAAAAGCGAAATTTCCTCGCAAGTAAAGGACTCACAGAAGCAGAAATTCAAAAAGCTTTTGAAAAAGTCGGAATTTTTATAAAAATGTCTGATATTGATAATAATGAAAATAATACGAGTGATTCAAGAATATATATTGGTGATGGCTCTAATTATAATAAACATCAGTTGACAACATTCGAGAAAATTAAAGATATAATCAGCTCAGCTGCCCTTATCAGTGGAATCGCTTATGCAATTTATATGTTTTACAAAGTGAGAACAAAAAAAGATATTTTTGTGAACTTTGACCAATAATTCTAGTTGCGTTTTTTTGTATTTTTTAGAAGTTCATTGAGCCGATTTTATTTGGGCGGAAAAAGAAAGGAGATCAAATAGATGAGCTCACAAGAACAACAAAAGCCATAAATGGTGAACTTATCAGGGTTCGTGACGAAATAAATAAACAAAAGCAAACACAGGAATCGAATCAAAAGCTTTTACAAAATACAATGCAATCATTCAAACAAGAGATTGAAACTATCAAAGGAATTCTTTTAAATCGAAAGCAATTTGCTACACCAACACAATCTGTTGGTATTCCAAGTTGGCAGCTTAACAAGAAGAAGAGTCAGGATAAAAATGACGATGCCGGTTCAGCACATTCCGCAAACTCAAGTGAAAATGACACAGAATTAATTCATGAAGAGGAGTCACAAAAACGATCACCAGCTAATTCCGACTCCAGTCTCGAAATTATGTAAAAAAAGTTAAGATCTTTTTAGATTTTTTTTTATTTTAGGAACCTTATAAATTGAAAAAGAATAAAAAAAATTATAGATTATTGGGAGCATCAAACAAATTATTTGTGTGGACATCAATCTGTGCAATCTATTTTCTTGTGTCAGCATTTTAAAAAAGTGTTTCTTATGTTTGTTCAGTTCACTTATTCTCAGTCTTTTAAAAAATAAATAAAATAGAAAATTTATCAAATTTGAGTCAAACTTTATTTTGTTACTTTTATGCTTTAACAAATTCATCTCGAAAAGCAATTGCTGTAAGAGCTTTACTGTGACCAAGATATTCTCGTTCAATTGTTTTTGTTTCAATTTTCCATAATCGTGCAGTTCCATCACTGCTTGCAGCAAAAAGATATTTGCTATCTGAACTGAATACAACATCCCAAATCCAAAATTTATCAATTTTGATTTCACGATAAAGTTGAAAGTCGTCATCTGTTCTATAAACTCGAGCAGTTCCATCACCACCAGTTGTGACAAATAAGGTTGAATCAGGAGAAAATTTGCATTTTAAACCATACCGTGTTTGAGCTAAGAACTTTAGTTTTGGGATGATTTTAGTAAGCTGATCTTTTCCTTCATTGTATAAATCCCAGATATAAGCAGATCCTATGTTAGAAAAGGTTTGCAAAATATTATGAAAAAATAATTAATGAAATAATTTACAAACCTTTGTTACTAATTGCTGCCAAATATTTGCCATTTGAACTTATATCAATGCAGTTCAATGATGAATTCATTTCTGGAAGCAATTGCTCGTTATTATCAGATTTAATATCCCATATATAAATAGAGCCTGATGAAGTGCTTATTGCAACTTCAATTTGATTTGGATGAAGACAAACTGAGTTTACAGGAGTGAGACAATCAAACATTCGTTTACAGACCGGCTGATGACAATTAAGATCCCATATTCGTACTCTGCAATCTTCTGAACCTGTATACATGAAGCGACCATCCTCTTGGAATCCTACTGCTGTTACATTTCTAAAGCAAGTGTTCATTTATTATTAACTTCAAGTAAAACATGAAAAACTGAATCTTACTTGCTGACACCTTCAAAATTGATTATTGGATTTGTACTTGAGTTTAAGTCATACAAACGAATACTTTGAAATCCTCCAGCAGCGAGAAAATTTTTTACTGCTAATGCATTCACCTGAAATAAAGAATTGAAGAAAAATTACATGAAGATATAAATTTTTTACTTTTACCTGAGAATCCGAGTGTTGAAGTGTTTTCACTGATGTGGCTGAATGTGGTGACCAAATTTTTATAGTATGATCATATCCACCTGTCGCTAAAATTGGCTCATTCATAGACATTTGACTTGTATTCATATTCTTCACGCTATATTTTTTTCTAAATATCCTGTTTATATGTTTTTGTTGCTAACTTAACCAACGTTAACTTAACGTATGACAAGCGTAGAACTAACGTACGTAACTTTTATCGGTTATATCAAGTAACATGAATCGGATGAGAAGAATATTAGGGTAAAGTAACCTATTGTGAATACAATTAAGCTCTTAAGGTTTTAAACTTTTTTCAAAAATTAATATAACAGACACAGTAGATTTTCACATCTTTTCTACAATTTTTTGTTTTTTCACTTTTCGAAAAGCTTGTTTAATTAAGCTACAATATGAATTTTAAAAAAGGTCTAACATGGACCTATTGTGAACACACCTTTTGCATCAGGGACCTATTGTGAATACAAGATGCAAACCTATTGTGAACACAGCTTTTGCATCAGGGAACTATTGTGAATACAAGATGCAAACCTATTGTGAACACAGGATGCAAAGCTAAAAAATGAACCAAAACAAGTCTGCATCAGCATTTGTTTACATATTTTAAAATTTATAAAAATTTAAAATTGTTCGGCAAATGCTGAAAAGAAACATTAGTTGTAATATTAAAATAATTAGAGATACCATAAAAGTAAGTGAAACATTATTTTAAAATATTTTTTGATTTAAAATACCTAATTATTCTCATTAGGATTCCCGAATCAATTAAACTTAACATTGATACATAATGGATTGGAAAAACAATTACGAATAGAACATTCTACCATGATCATCAAACTGAAAATAACCGATGCTGATTTCATCAAACATTCATTTACGATAAATGATGTTATTGCTGTGTTGTCGACTGACAATTAAACAAACTCATCTTCATTAGACAAGCAACATTATAATAGGTAGGTAATTTTGCAGGTTCTTTGTTTTGGCCTGTTGTCGCTTATTTTTTTCTCCTGCTTTTGGAGGTATAGATAATGCGAACAATTTTTAAGAAAATATAAGATATTGTTAAGGAAAAATTAAAAACAAAATTGTTGGCAATAGTTCAAAGTACCTCTGTACAAAATTGTGAGTCATAAAAATGTAAGACAGCGAAAAAAATCGTATGTAAAGTGGATTGTATTCACAATAGGTACTCTTTTTTTGCTGTATTCACAATAGGTTACTTTACCCTATATTTTCCATCTGAAAAAATTACGAAAAAAATTTTCCAGATTCATGTTATTGCCTGGCAGAAAATTACATGATAATTTTTAAAATTTTAACCGTTAAAAATATATATGCGTGGAAAAATATTTTGTGACTTAAATTTTAATTAATAAAAGAGAAGTAAACTTATGTTGTATTTAGCATCATAATTTGTTATCTTAATCATCATATTATGATTAATTTAATTTTAATATCATAAAATTAAAAATTTACCTTAATATTTTTAACGGTTAAATTTCAAAATCATCACGCAATTTTCTGCATGGATAATTTTCAAGCAATAATCGGGTTGAGGAATAATTATTCGCGGATATATCAAATTTGACGTAACGGCTACCTAGCTAGGATCGAGCAGGAATTGAGTGGTATTCACGAACTTTTAATTTATTGAAAAAAAATAATAATATAAAATAAAGTTACTTCTAGTTTATTTAGGTATATACCTTAAAACTTAGACAAATATCAATTAGAAATTATTTCTCTAATTCAATTGGTTGAATCGATCCATGGCGGTTTGAAGTATTTCAAGTTCAATGGATGATTTTATGTGGGGTGGAAATTTTCGAAGGAAGTTAATTAATGTTCGACAAAATGCAGCGTCCTCATCATCCTCAAATAGGGGCTGATTCCCATGAGTGTTTGTTGATTTAGATAATTTTACTATTTCCCGTTTTGCTTTTGGTTGCTCTGTATCTTCAGATTTGTCTTCAGATAATTTGCGCTTACGACTTTCTTCGCTTTTGTCAGTTGTTCTTACGATATCTTTAAATATATTTGTTTCTGAAAATTTTACTGATTCTGTAGCTTCTTCTGCTGCTGTTTCCGGAAGAGATTCAGCTGTTCCATCTTCAATAATTTCTTCATAATAATAATCAGTTGACATTTGACTGCTCCCTTCGAAAGCATCTTGTTCTCTTTCGTCTGCTGCAAAAATATCTTTGTTATCTTCACTTTCTTCGATTCCATAGGCGACAACGTTATCATCCCATCCATCCATTGAGGTATCTCCTAAAGCATCTGAAGCATCTCCTTCTAAGGCTGCTTCATAAGTTTTTGCTTTCACATGACGAACTAGAAAAAGCATATCACGGAAGAAAGATGAACATTCTATTTGTGCTTCTCCTTCAATTTTCTTTGTACGACGGAGTTCTCGTACAAAGCGATCTCGCATTACTCTCCATCGTTTCTGAACAGTAATTACATCTAGTCCTGCTATGTTTGCTATTTCCATCCATGCCTCTTTTCTTACACTAGAAACTCTAAAATCTTCATGTTGTCTATCGTATAATGCAGGTCTTTCTTTCATCAGCTCTATTAATAAGTTCTCATCTAATTGAGCTTTTTTTCTTACTGATATTGGTTTCTCAATTAAAAAAAGATCTTTAACCAGCTTTTTATCGGCTTTTAAAGACACGTGAGGTTCAAGAAAATTACAACTTTCATAATAAATCCAGGTAGGTATAGTTCCATCCAGACAGTACTTTCGATAAGCAACTGAGTACTTTTCTCTTAAGACCTTCCATCGTTTTTGAACAAAATTTGCTTGAAAAGATATAAACTTCTGTTAGTTCTCTTGTTTACTATTTTATTTGAATGATTTAAACTTACTGTTGTAAAGATCTAACTCGACTGCAATATCAGACCATATCTTTTGCCTTAACGAAAGATTTCTGTAATCCATACTTTTAGTATTGTAAAGAAAGTCGTGTCTTTTGACACATTCTATCAATCTTCCGTCATCAATTTTTGGCAGCTCAGGTTTTTCTCGAAATTTTATCATTTATATAAGTACTTATGGATGGTTCTAATGAATAAAACAATTTTTATCTAACTTTTTTTTTAAATACGAACAGAATTTATTTGGACAGTCGGTCGAAATTAAAACAAACAATGTAAATTGTAAATAATTTGGCGGGAAATTTTGAAATTACAGACCTTCCTCGAATTTTCAATATGATTGAAACATACCTACCTACCTAATTCGAAATTCATGGATTCCAATGGAAATCTACATTAAATCATAAGTTTATTCTAAAACAAAAAATAAACATAAAGGAAACACAAGTTTTATTCTTCTAATATAAATTTTTATTCTTTTGCAAGACAGAAATTCTACTAGAACACTTTTATAAATTACACATTTTTAATGTCCAAAATTTTAATCGAACTGCATTCCAAGAATCCGTTTTGCAAGATCATAATTACTTATTAGACCAAACGTATGGAATATTTTCAATTTTAATTTGGTATTGTGAAATTGAACAGATTTTGTATATTTATTGAAAATGTGGCTGGGGTGTTCGTCAATTGGAACGATATCATCAATATTACTTTCATATTCAACTCTTCTTCCATAAAAATTTATGTAGGAGAACTTGACAAGATTTGGGTTAACTTTATTAATATAGACGAAGCCTATCATGTTTTGAAAGATGTAACTCACTGCAAATAATATCAATGAACCTGTGAAACCAATATACGCAACTACTTGAGGATGAAATATTTCAGGAATTGATAAAGCGAAAGGAATTAGAAAAAAAGCTCCTCCCAAATGATAAAACTTTAAACGATTGATGACAGATATTTGTTGAATCAGAGAACATTTGTATACTGGTTTCCATTCTTCTTGAGGCTTCAGATTTCCGGGTTTTTGCGCAGGTTTTAATTTTTCTGATGAGCAATATCCTCTCTCGTATCTGATTGAAGTTACTAATTTTGCATAACTTCTACTTTTACTATTAAGTATAAACTTTAACAATAGCATTATTCTATTTCGTAGATTTAATTCTTTTAAAATTTTCGGTAATTTTTTTATTGTTTACTTTGGAGTATAGTACCTACTTTGACACCCTGTTAAAATTTTGTACTTTTACACCCTGTTAAAACAATCGAAAACACACGCGACGACCGCCAAGAATAAAAATTATTAAACACTTCAATTAATTCTCTATAAAATACTGAACATTTTTCCTGATACAAGCTTCGATTTATAAATTAATCAAATATGGGATCTAAATTGAAAGAAACGTAAATTATTGCTAGAGATTGATGAACTACCTACTTCTACACAACAATTAACAATCTGTTATACTTTTTATTTACAGATTGAAAGCTGGCAAAGAATATGGATCATTTTATACTGGAGGAACAATTCTATGGACACTTGATGGGAATTTTTTCTTGTGCCGTGATGGAAACAAAGTTAATGTTATATCCATTAAGACATTGGATGTCGAAAAAGTTCTTGGTGCAGATGATTCCACATCCGAAGATTTAATTTACACATTTTCTCTAACTTCAAATGATGAGAATGTCGTAACAGCACATCGAAGTGGATTGCTTAAACTATGGGATTTTAAAATAGGAGAGTTAATAAAATCATGGAAAAACTTACATGTTGGACCAGTTTCTTGTCTGGAGTACAGTCCTTCGGCAGAATTATTGGCATCTGGTGGAACTGATTCCTTAATTCGCATTTGGGACTTTAAAAATCAAATTTGCAAGGGAACATTAAAAGGTGCACAAGGTGTAATTAGTGTGATGAAATTTCATGTTACTGAGAATATTTTGATTGGTGCTGGTGACGATACGACGATCCATGCTTGGGATTATGAAACGAGAAAAATTTTGAGATCCTTCGTTGGACACATTTCTAGAATTACCTCACTATCATTTTCTTTGGATGGAAAATTTTTAGTATCATCAAGTCGTGACAAAGTGCTAATATTTTGGGATTTTAATAAAGGAAATCAAATTCGTACGATTCCAATTTACGAAGCAATTGAAGCTATGGAAGTACTTCCTTATGATATCAAACTTCCTAATGGAATCGTACTCTCAGATCATTCAAAAGTTTATGTAGCGTGTGCTGGAGAAGAAGGAATTGTCAAAATTTGGCAAATTAATGATTCGAAGATGCTTCACAAGCAAAACATGAGTTTGATTTCTAAAGCTTCTGAAGAAGGCGGTCTTGCAATAACACAAATGTTGTTCAATCAACAGCTTGAACAGATAACATTAGTTAGTTTTGATCACAACATTATCATTCATGATTTATCAACGTTTTCATGCTGCAAACAACTCATTGGATTTAATGATGAAATTCTTGATGTCGTTTTATTAGGAAAGAAAGATCAATATTTGGCTATGGCAACAAATAGTAATGACCTTAAAGTTTATGACACATTCACAATGAACTCAATAATTCTTAAAGGTCATACTGACACTGTTCTTGCTCTTAGTGCTCACAAAAATTTTCTGTTGTCATCTGGTAAAGATAATTCGATTCGCTTATGGAAAGGAGATTTTGAAAGTTTTTCTTTCAAATGTGTTGCTGTCGGTATGAAACATACAGGAGCTGTCGGAAGTATTGCTATAAGTAAAATGTCAATGACATTTTTCGTATCTGTAAGTCAAGATCAATGCCTTAAAATGTGGAAGCTTCCAGACAAAATTGAAATGGAATCATTGGAGAATGTTAAACTGAAATGTGTCAACACTCAGATAGCACATGAACAAGATATTAATTGTGTAACAATCTCTCCAAATGATCGATATGTGGCAACTGCTTCACAAGACAGAACCGCAAAATTATGGGACGTTGTTGATTTAAAATTGATTGGAATATTTCGTGGACATCGACGTGGTGTTTGGTCAGTTCGATTTTCACCAGTTGACCAGATTATCGTTACAAATGCGGCTGATTGTTTAATTAAGCTTTGGAACATTATAGATATGACATGTCTAAAAACTTTCGAGGGTCATGATAATTCTGTTCTTCGAACTGAATTTATCTCTAATGGAATGCAACTTCTCTCAGTAAGTGCTGACGGTTTAATGAAACTTTGGACAATAAAATCTTCTGAATGTATTCAAACTCTTGATAATCATGAAAGTCGAATATGGACAATGGCAATAACCGAGGATGAGACAACCATTTATACTGGAGGTTCTGATTCAAAACTCATTCAATGGCATGACATAACTGAAGCCAAAAAGGAAGAAGAAGCGCAGAAGAAAAAGGAAGTAGTCCTTCAAGAACAAGATTTGAGTAATTTGTTAGCTCAAAAAAAAACCATGAAAGCTCTTCGATTAGCATTGAATTTAAATAAACCATACATGACACTTAAAATTATTAACTTCGTTATTAAGAATCAAGAAGAAGGATTGAAAGATACAATTGAGAATCTTAGACCTGATCAAAAACAATCACTTCTTGAGCATGCTGTAGATTGGAATTCGAACAGTAAGAATTGTCGACCAGCACAACTCGTTTTCAGCCTATTAATGCACGATATTATCGCTGGAGAATATCAAATAAATGGCTTAAATAAAATATTAGAAGGATCTTTACCTTACAGTGAACGGCATTTTAAAAGAATGACTGAATATATGAAGGATTTAAAGTTCATTGAATACACTATGAATTGCATGCAGACATGTAATGATAACACAAAAAATAAATAAATCCCATTTAGGAAATAATTATTTTACTGTTAAAACAATTCGTATTATTTTTATCAATAAAACTTCTTGTCATGATTTTGAATTTTCTCCAAAAATAAAGAATTAGTCAAGGAATTAGTAGATTTGTGAGAAAATAAATTTAAGCGATTTAGTTTGGTAGGTATCAATAAAAGATTGACACAATTTCCTACCTTGTTTGTTTAACAAACAAGTTCATTTTCTTCTTATTCTTGGAATGCGTTCCGAATTTTCGAAAACATATGTTACGAGAGAGTCTCTCATTTTCGAAAGAAGAACAAATGTTTTATCAAGTTATTGTGCATTTTTCTCTTGTTTTATTTCCTATTTATACAAAACTTCGCCATTTTAAAAGCATCTACATTTTGTCATTACACTGTTGGCAAGACGCACTTCAGAATTTTGTGGTAAATTATTATAAATTTCCGTATAAAACTATTATTTTCTAACCACAGTAAATTCTCATTTCAGTAGAAAATCATCTTCAACAAACGCGCAACTTTTTGAGAAATTTTCTCAGTTTTGTGTGAACCTTTGAAAGAATCGGATCGATTTTAAAAAGTTGCAATTGAATTATATTTTTAAAAAACCCTTTACGACTTTTCGTCATGATGAGTAGCGCAACGAATGGAAGTTCAGAAGTTCGTGTTTGGTGTGATGGATGGTAAGAGAAATTTAAATTTTAGAAATAAAAATTTAATTAAAAAGGTTTCTGGACTTTGATCTTGGAACCTGTTGTGTGAATTCAATTCCTTTTTATATTCAAATAAATTATAAGTAAAAGTCTTTTTAACCAAATTAAAATAAAAATTCAAAGGGCTCTCGAATCAAACGCTAAAAATTGGTCATTTAAAATGAAAATTTTTGTTAAAATTCTCATTGCTTACTGTAATGGGAGATATTTTTAACCGGCTATTCGTTCACTTTGGAAGAACTGTCATGCGTAATAGGCGCATTTAAGAAAAAAAACGCTTGCGAAATTATCATTTTTTTAGTATCTTTTCAAATATGCAAATGGCTCATTTGAGATTTTATATCCAATGGTAATATACGATTTATCATTCTTCCATAAAACGTGCCTTATTATTGATAAAAAAAACTCAATATCAAGTATTACAAGAAAAACTTGATAGTGTCTAATAAACTATAAAAGAGTTCTGGTAACTTTTCATTCTAGTTACGACATGGTTCACTTTGGACATGCAAATGCCCTCAGACAAGCCAAAGCGCTTGGTGACAAACTAATTGTTGGTATTCATAATGATGCTGAGATAACAAGACACAAAGGACCACCTGTATTTACTCAAGAAGAACGGTAAGTAACCCGTAATAAAACCAGCCCATGCATCACGCCACATGTCCATAATACATTACAAATCTTCTGACCTACTACGAAAACTGATAACAAGACTAAAAAAAGTAATTCTCCGGTTCATTGAATGAAATTATCAGAATTTATTTACATTCAAGACTTGTGATGATTATTCTTTTATGTAAAAACGTTTATATTATTAATTACACATACAGACGCGAAAAGATAGAAGTTTGGGTCGTTTCATGATTAAAAATTTAAGCTATCATTTCATGAAATTTATTTAAATCAGACTTCACTCATAAAATTCTAACACAAATCGTGCGATGTTTCTGACGATGTCTATCTAATCCGTTTTCAAGTTCACGTGCATGTCTATGGCTTAAATAAAATAAGAGACATTATCAGCATTCATTTTAAAATTTTATTATGTTCGTTATTTTTGTAATCAATGAATTAAGTCATCATTTTCACTTTTCATTTTCTATTTAAAGATACAAAATGGTTAAAGGCATTAAGTGGGTTGATGAGGTGGTTGAAGATGCTCCCTACGTTACAACACTAGAAACTCTGGACAAATATAATTGTGATTTTTGTGTACACGGAGGTAAGTGTTTTGTCAATTTCGTGTGCTAATTAAGGAGGCTTGAATAAAAAAAAATAGATTAGCATCAAATTCTTTTTCTTTGCAGATGATATTACAATGAGTGCTGACGGAGTGGATTGTTATCATTTGGTCAAGGCTGCAGATCGTTACAAGTAAACTCGATGACATGACTGAAGGAAATCAAATTCTTATCATTTCTTTCACTATCTTCTTTATTTTTTCTTCCATTAGAGAAGTTCAACGGACACAAGGAGTATCAACGACTGACTTGGTGGGGCGCATGCTACTGATGACAAAGAACCATTTCCAGAAAGGTGACTCTGAATATACTGTCGCTAAGGATGGTAAGTGTTGGATCATATGGAGTTCATTTTGTTTGAAACTTGAGAAGCTTATCAGACTATTTAAGCTCAATTGTAAATATTGTTTGTGTGCTTACAAAATTTGTGAATTGCTTTGAATTCCATGATCCCATTTATCCAACCAAAAGACGCTTACAAAATTTAACAAGCTAAGTTACTCATACTAACCAACAAAAACTCATTTGAAATGTGCTTTGAAGTTTTATTAAACATAACTCCATTTAACATTTGAATAATCTTTATAAAATCAAGAAGCTATGCAAAACTTAATGAAAAAATGCAAAATTAATTCTGAAGGTCTGTCCAACATTGGAATGGATCATAAAGCGAAGGGATCACCATGGACTGGTTCATGTCAATTCCTACCGACGACACAAAAAATCAGACAATTCAGTGACGGAAGAGGTCCATCTCCAGGTGATAAAATTGTTTACGTTGCGGGAGCATTTGATCTATTTCACATTGGCCACATGGAATTTCTTGAGAAAGCAAAAAGTTTTGGTGACTTTGTTATTGTTGGACTTCATACAGATCTGGTTGTCAACAAATATAAGGGCGGAAATTATCCAATTATGAATATCCACGAGCGCGTTTTGAGTGTTCTTGCATGTAAAGTAAGTTTCTTTCTTTTATTTTCTTCATTACATTTATCAGTTATTATTTATTTTTATTCACAGTATGTAAATGAAGTCGTTATCGGAGCGCCTTATGAAGTAAGCAAAGAACTAATGGATCATTGCAAAGTTGACGTTGTTGTTCATGGGCAAACATACATACCATCAGAACATGGCGATCCGTATGCACTCCCGAAAACAATGGGAAAATTTATTTTGATTGATTCAGGAAGTACTGTTACTACGGAGAAAATCGTTGAGCGAATTATTAAGAATCGGTTAGAATATGAGCAGCGAAATATCAAAAAAGAAAAGAAGGAGATTGCTGTTATTGAAGCTCTTCAAAAATCGCAAAAAGTTGCTGAAAAATCTGGTTAAGCTCCTTCGAATTATTCCTTTAATTCCATTTTATCAAATGGCTGATCACTATTTTTTTATTAATTTCACTTATTTTTTTGATCGTCACAATATTTAAAGCTTGATTGCTTAAATTTATTCCTTATTTTATTTGTCAAATGATTAACTGTTTGTTATATCTGTTTTTTCATGTTGAAGTATTTACTATAACTTTTGTTTTTATTTCTTAATTTTGTACCATATTTTTGTCAATAATAATACCTAATATTTAATATCTCGAAAGCAACAGAAAAAGGAAACGCTTAAATATAGTTTTTTTCCAAGCTGGGTTGAGTGTAACGATTTAGCTTCATAATTGGAAATGATTGCCTTAAAATGTCAATGTTTAAGGTCAACTTTCTTCAAACAGATTTTTTGATTTAGACTCTAAATTGACCTTTAATTAACTCCCCAAGCTAATTATTATGGGTGTTTATTGTCATGTAATTAAGTCATTGGAATAAATATAAATCTCAAAAAACTTTCATAAATTTGTTATTATTGAACTATTCTTTTTCTTTAGCTATTAAGAAAAATTGTAAAAAATCATTTCGATTAGATTCAAAAACTTAAAAAAGCTCATGGTTGTATTGTATCATTCTTTAATTCAGAAACTTGAAAAGTAGTTCAATGACGATGACGATGTATAATAAATTTCAACGATCAACATAAAAAACCAATACTGAAAACAATGATAAAATTTTCTTTACCTCACGTAACGCAGACACAACATTAATGCACCCGAATGTGTTATCGATTTAATGGGAAAATTGAAAATCACTGTGAGGAACATATGACGTGTACCTACGTCGGTTGGAAATTGATGTTGGATAATTTCTTGTGCTAAATGATAAGATTTTTTTTGGTTTCCTTTTCTCAGAAGATTCAATATTTAAGAAATTTGTAAGCAATTTCCAGACTGACTATTATATCAAATAAATTCTAATACTTACATCCGAAGACAATGATCAACATAAAGCTGCAGTTTATTCATGTATTTCGACTTAATGTAGACCGGAAAACGAATATTTTCTATGATGATGATTCTTCTATTTTCATTTTACTGAAATCAAAACGTTTTTTTTGCGTTTATAATCAGTTTTACACGATGCTGATGATTCGCATGTTGAAGGCCTTTCATTTAAATTTTAGTTACGGTTCTGATCAGTCGCTTTATTATTTTATATATAATATTTTATCCAGTGATATAGCAACAAGTTTAGAAATAGAAAGTGAAAATGCTATTGATTCATATTTTTGGTGTTATTTTTATATCTAGAATAACAAATGAAGTTGAAGGAAGCGGTAAATATGCAAATCTGATTTAGAAGGATTCTCTTAATAAAAGCTTCTTCTTGGTTTAAAAATACCTCAAGATCATATCATTATTGAAACGGAAAACATCAAAGGTGACGATCAAGAGAATCGAGAATCTCCCGCACAATATCGTTTAACATGTCCAGGAACAAGTGAGTGTGTGTCGCTTCGAGAATGTCCCCAAATTCTAGCGGAGGCAACAATGAGATGTTATAACAGCGATCGATCTTTGTTTTGTGGTGTTAATCAAAAATTCGAGCCTTTTATTTGTTGTCCAACTTATCAATCTCCAACTTATGTTGCTGAAAGTACAAACAATCTCAATAATTACGACAAGTTAAGTGGATCATGTGGCAGAAGTTTAGTTCAAGGATCATCATATAAAAAACTCGGAGCTTATCCATTCGTTGCAAGAATTGGTTTCAAAAGTAGGTTTTTACAAAAATTATCTTAATTTTGTTACAAAAATCGCGTTCGCGTCACATTTCGATATCCAGACTAATTTTTTATATTCGCTTTATTCATAATTGCCGAGAAAATAATTTTGCATGCACACTTATTCATATTATTTTTCAATAACACAATTTGTGTAGTGATTCAATTTGAGAAATTGGAATATTTAGAAAAACTCAATCGACAAAAAAAAACAGAATTAAATTTCACTTTCAAATATCCAGAGAAATTTAATTGTTTTTAAAAACATTAACTTTTTTAATGTGAAATAATTTAACTGTAATTGCATCAGATAACTTTTACACTCGAGTAATTGTAGATTTTTTTGTTTCTATATAAAATTTTCTTACTTTGTTGCAGATGTTAACACAGGTCATTTAGCTTATCCTTGTACGGGATCAATCATTTCAAAAAGAATTGTATTGGTAAGCATTTTATATTTGTCATGAGATAATTGAATAATTGACAATATTTCTCTAGACTGCTGGTCACTGCGCACTAGCCAAGGCGGATGGTCACCGTCTTTCATCAGTGCGTATCGGTGAATTTGATTCTACAAAAGACCCAGATTGTGCTGATTCAGGTTTTTGTGCACCATCAGCAATAAACCATGCCGTGTCTCATGTCGTAGTACATCCCGACTATACAAATGGACAATATCACCATGACATTGCTTTACTTATTCTCAGAACACCGATTAATTATACTGTCGCAGCTCAACCGATTTGCCTTCAACGCGATCGAACAAATTTGGTGGTCGGAAAGCGTGCTTTAATCATTGGTTGGGGGAAAGTTTCATTATCAACTATCAGATCACCAGAAATGCAATACATGGATATCCCTTTGGCATCATGGGATCAATGTTTGCGAGTTTATAGTGCATCAGGTGCATTAGACTCACAGAAATCTATTGGTAAGATTTCAGTAAATATAATTTTAAATTCAAATTTTATGATAAAAAATGAAAAACTTTTAGAAGGACAATGGATGTGTGCAGGTGGTGAAGGTCGAGATGTTTGTCAGGTAAATAAATTTTTACAAAATATTTGAGGTGACATTTTAATTTCCTTTATTCAATAAATTATTAAGGGATTTGGTGGTGCACCACTTTTTATAACAGAAAATGGTATAACTAACCAAATTGGAATAATGTCATTTGGATCAGAGAACTGTGGAGGATTGAGGGTTCCAAGCGTGTACACATCTGTAGCTCACTTTTATAATTGGATACAAGAAAATATTCCAATTGAGTGAATCACATCAAATACCAAATTAAAATTTGAAAGTTTCATATGCCTTAAGCATTTTTTTGCATATACCTGCATACCTACATATTTTTTTGAATTGAATAGAATCAAAAAAATGTTTTGTAAGATATATGAGTTAGGTGCTATAAAGTATAAATTATAAAATTTGATACATTGATTTTTGATTAATTTTGGCACAATTGTTGTGAAAACTTAAGATTCAAAACGATTACGATATTTTAACATTTTTGTTTGTTTAATAAGGTACCTAATTAAAGAAATATTTGGCGAGACATTTGGCAAAATTGTGACATTTGGCAAGAATTCATGATGAGCATGCTGCAAGTCATTACTATGTACTTAGCCAATGTTTGAACGTATTATTTTACCAAATGCTTTCATATTTAGTCAAGGATTATTGCGATTCCATCCCGCACTCAACTTTTTACCTGATGAGTTAATTTTGGGGGCAAAAAAAATACATTTTAAGGAAATTAGAAGTGCAGTAGAGTACGAAGATGTTAGCGAGTTGAAGAAATTTGAAGTAGAATTTTTAATGGTGCATTGTGGTAAGCAATAACAGTTAAAGTTACTAGTTTTTACTTTAAAAATATATTTTTTCTTTTATTCTATTTTCTGAGGTTTTATGGAGCAATTTTGATGCTCATTCAATGGATTTTATCTACAAGATTTCAAATAAAAGTAGCTTTCTGATCCAATCATTGACCAAGGAGAGTGTCGGGAACATGAGACAAAGCTTAATGTTGATGTTACAAAAAACTTGAATAAATCATACAGACCGATTTTTGAATCGTCGTGTTATGTTGAAAATAGTCATGTGGCTCATATCTCAAATCCCTCTACATTGATCCACAAAGATAAGTTTTCGTCTACGTTCTTTTCATCAATAAAAATTTTTTAACTCGTGGAACAGCTGATCTTGAATCTTGAAAATAATTGAACATTGCTTGAGCGTTCATGATATGAATTTTGTCTGTGTAAAAATTTTAATATTTACGAAAATCATTATAAAATAAAATTAATCACATACCACATGAACCTTGCAATTTAAATGTTTTAATAATCTCAACTTCAAGCTTAACAATCCATTTGGAGTATTGTCGCTCATAGCATTTGTGCTGTCTAAAACCTCAACATGAAGATTACTACCATCAGCTTCCTTGACAAGTATTCCAGCTATGTTTAAGTTTTTTATCTGGTGGACAATACTCGTTTCACATTTTTGGAAATCTTCCAAAACTTTCTGAATTGATGGTCTTATTAAGTATGTCGGTGATACTCGATTCTCATCAAAAGAAGGTTTCGTTGGTTTGTTTGAATCTTTTATCCAATTTGGTCTTTCTATCTCCACACAAGTTTTTAGCAATTTTTTTCTCGAATCAATTTTCACTCTGTCAGGATTTGCACTGAACTCGTGGAAACGCTTTTCAAAGAATAAATGTTGAATCAATCCATGACTCTTGTAATTCAACATCCACATTGACAATGCAATGTCGACAAAATTATCGAATCTTTGATGGAATTCTTTAAGTTGTGTTCGCAAGATAACATTTGATTCCAGATTCTTTAGATCGGATTGTTTCATATTGTAATTTATCATGGAGCAAGAATAGAGAAGTTTCTGAATATCTTTTGAACGAGTTTGATCGTCAAATGTTTTTAAGCATGTATCGACGATTACCTTTGATAATTTATCATCTTTAATCAAATTGTCAGCGATGATTGGAAAAATGTGTACGAGACTCTTATAATCAAGATTTTGAAGTTTATTCTCATTACTCAAGGATTTTAATTTCTTTAAAACTACTGGTGAATTTATTTTATTTTGTCTTAAGCTTTTGATAAATGCTATGAAAACTTCACTATCAATTTCTGATGTATCGATGACTTCATTTATCAATCTGTTTAGAAATTTCACATTTTTATTCTGAACACTTGCTTTGAAAGTTGCTGTACATATAATTGCAAAGTCGATGGAACTTATTTTCTCAATGAATGAGTTTGAGTATAAGTCAATGAGATTTTTAAGAAGAATCGGTCCTGGATGTTTTCGTTTAAATAATCCAAGATAAAAACTGAGTTTAACAAACTTTTCCTCACTTGGATTTTTAATAAAATTACTTTGAAGTTTTTTGATAGCTTCAGTGTAGCAATTAAGAGATACGACAGCAGCGGGCATTACAGCAATCAATGCATCAAGTATAACTTGGATTTCTTCTGGATGACTATTCTTGATTTTGTAACTGCAGGTCTTATCAATCTTTTTACGTCTATTAAGATTTTCTTGGTTATTTCCCAAGGCATCTCCTGCATTCTCTTTATACATGTCTAGAAGTTTAGATAGTTTTGTTTCACTATTTAATTGTTTACCTTTCTGAAGATATTTGAAAAACCGCATATGCAAAGTATTTTCAAGTACATTCGTTTGTACATGATTATTTCTTGTTATTAAGATGAATGAATACTTTGTTATCTTATGAATGTATTTTAACATCATTTGTCTTGATTTTTAATTTTCTTTATTAAATAAGTTTTCGCTGTTTCTTTAAAAAAAATAGAAAAAATACAACAAATTTAACCTTAAAAATGGGTAAGTTTATAAATTACGTCTCAATGTTGTAATCAATGAAATTATGACTTTCTTGCAGCCATCATCGAATTTATCTCCCAAATTATGCTTCTAATATTGTCGATTATTTCTTTTAATTGCAGATTTTTCTGAGCAAGGACTTCTGTTAATTCACGGTTCTCAATGATTGCACGTTCATATTCTTCAGAATGAACGGGAACAGTGTCTGGTTTATTTTCATCATCATAAAACGGAATTAGAGTTTCAACTTGAATGAATTCTTCAGCACTATCACATTTGTCATAGAGCAATCGTAATCGTTTAAAAAGAAGTCTGATTGTTCTGAATTGATCTTGCATTTTCTGGCGCTTATCAGATGACATAGGTCCACTTCCTTGTAATCCATTTGGTGGCTGATGATTCTTTAATATTCCAAAAATATCTTGAAATCTTGAGAGTATATCCTGAACAGTTTCTTGACCAACCCGGCAAAGTGATAAAACATTAAACTCCTTTTGTTGAGAATTCATTGATCCTCCAACTGTGTTAGGATTTGGTCCTCCAGCAATAGCATTGCTTGGAGTTTGTGGCGTTTGTAATGTTAATTGAGGCATTGGTGCTACATTCTGATTAGGAGGATTGTTGTTTGGAACAATTTGATTTTGGAAATCTAAAATTTTTTTTTTATATTTCCTCGTTTACAAATTCTCGTCAATTTAATTTTTCTTACCAATCATTCCCATTTGATTATTCATTTATTGGAAAATTAATTACTATCTTTGAAAAAAAAATTTGAAAAAAAACTTTTTGTTTACGGGAAATTTCATAAGTTTTGATACTAAAGGGTTCAATTTTTAGTGACAGCATTTTGAATAATAACGGTTCAAAAGAGTATCATAACGGTTCAAAAATTATGTTATGTGCAATTTTACGAGTGACAGCGTTATTTCTTTGTTTGTTTAAAATATAAATCCAGTGTAACTCTTCCATTAAACTTTAAATTTAATTAGTTCAGCATCGAATTGACTCTTATTCTATCAGGTTTAGGTGAAAATCGTGCATTGTTTCGGCCATCAGTTATTGAAATATGAAATAATATGGAATCGACCGAAAATTTGCCTTTGTTAGATGCCCAAGTAAGCAATCTAATTAAAAAATAGTTTAATTATTCGTCATATAAGACGGTTAACATAACACTATTCGTGTTTCAACGTTAGTCACCATCGTTCATCGAATTTTTACAATTCGCTAAGCAAACATATTGCACAAAGCAACAGTGGGTGGAGAACATCCTTTAGTGTTTATAAGTTAATTATTATTTACTGCGGAGATTAAGTGAGTTTTTCTATTTTGATTTATGTTTTAAGTTTGTAGTTCCAAAAACCCCGAAGTCCTTTCAACCGTCAAAAGCTATATAAACAATTTTTTTAAAACATCCAGAAGTCATTGAAGAAAAAAAACATACAAATCATCATCAGCTGATTGATTTATCACTTTAATAAGTATGAAATCCGATGCATGATGGATTTCCATGTACATATCTGGTTTGGTTCAGTTTCAATTATTAACATTTGACATTATCCCTTATCTACATCGTGTGTTTGTATAATAGCATCATCAAATAAAATGATTTCCCAGTTATTTGACACATTCCGTCGCGTGGGATGATAATGAATTATTCAATATGTTTTTTTTTCTTGTCTTCCTCTCAGTCTGGTCAGACATCCTTTAAAGAAATTCCTTTCAAATTAGATTTCTCGGTCGAGTGTATTTAGAAAATATATAATTTAGATTATCTGTTATCAGTAAGAGCCGCTGGCCTTTTATGAATGATTCAATAAATATTAACTTTCCTCACAATGCGTGTGATTAAGATTGAGTGGAAAGTTTCCAAATGCATTTGTATATAATTTACTCGTCGAGAAAATTCTCTCTGTAAATTTATTTACCAATTGACTAAGTTTGATTTGGGGGATTACCATAAAATAACTAAAAACTTTCCACACATTCCAAAAAGTTATTTTTGCACTTTCAAGATTATTTTATTTGTTTACCTGACTCTCAAAAATTTTCCCAACTTATACTGTTCATAGTTCCATATTTCGAAAAGCTATTATTATTGTTCCTAATTATCAGTCTAATGATCCATAATGATTATCTTTAAAAAGGAACTTGCTGTCTCTTTTTAATCAATAAATGACATATTGTCGTTAAATGGAAACCTTTAACTTCATCATTCTTATTTCTGTTCTCAAAACGACAAGATCACAAATCAAACTTGTTCTAATATAAGTTAAACTTCCTTTCTTCCCTTCAGTTCTATGTTATTAATTCAATAAAAAAATGTTTAGTTTTTTCATCAATTCTGGCAAGGTAAAATTTGTGCTTTGGAAGTATATACCTACATAGAATGTTGTTCGTGTTTAAGAGAAGAAAAAAAGAAAATTGCGAAAAAAGGATAAAACATGAAATTTAATACTTAATAATTTCTCAGGCATCATCGCGAATGACTTCAGAACGTTCGCCACTTTTGCATCATGATGTAGAGCAACATCGATCAATACCACGGCCTGACTTAAGAAATTCACCAGAGAATGTCGTCGTTGATGGAACTGACTCGAATAACTTAGATGGTAGGCGAGAGTTTTGAATGATTTTCTTGTCAATAACAAACATTCTTGACTTAATAAATATTTTTTTTCGTTTTTATTCTCAGATCATAAAGACGAGTCGAATGAATCATCCTCGTTATTTAATGCATTAGCAGATGATTACGATCCAGCAAAAAATCGTAATCTTGAACATCCAACATCAAACCTCGATACTTTAATTCATTTATTGAAAGGTAATATTGGGACTGGAATTCTAGCGATGCCAGATGCCTTCAAGAATGCGGGTCTTTATGTTGGACTGTTTGGAACACTTCTCATGGGTTTAATTTGCACACATTGCATGCACATGCTGGTTAAATGTTGTCATGAACTTTGTCGAAGACTTCAAGTACCATCATTAAACTTTTCTGGTGTTTGCTACGCATCATTTGAAACAGGACCTCCTGGAATACGTCGATATTCACATATCGCTAAAAATCTCATCAATACCTTTCTCATCATTACGCAAATTGGATTCTGTTGCGTATATTTTGTGTTTGTCGCTGTGAATCTTCAAGAAGTTGTTGCACACTATTGGGCTTTGCTTGATACACGTGTCTACTTGATTCTTATGCTTCTGCCGATGATTGGATTAAATCTTGTAAAGAATTTAAAATATTTAACGCCATTCTCCTTTATTGCTTCTGTTTTAACAATAAGCGGCTTGGTCATTTGCTTTTACTTCATGCTTCAAGATCTACCAAGAACAGATACAGTGAATGGGTTCAGTTCATGGGCACAATTGCCGCTTTACTTTGGAACAGCAATTTATGCTTTTGAAGGGATTGGAGTTGTTTTACCACTTGAGAATAATATGAAGAATCCTGAAAACTTTGGTGGATGGAATGGTGTGTTGAACACTGGAATGGTGATCGTTGCTTGTCTCTACACATCGGTTGGTTTCTTTGGCTACCTTAAATATGGGGATAATGTAAAAGGTTCGATAACTTTGAATCTTGGCGGTGATTTATTGGCACAACTTGTTCGCTTAATAATGGCTATGGCAATTTTTTTAAGTTACACACTTCAATTTTATGTTCCAATCAACATTATTGGACCTTGGCTACGTGCAAGACTTCATGGTGAAAACAACAGAATACTTGGAGATTATCTACTTCGTGTTGGTCTCGTTTTATTCACATTTATTCTTGCCGCAATGATTCCAAATCTTGGCGCTGTTATTTCACTTGTTGGCGCCGTTAGCAGTAGTACACTTGCCCTCATCTTCCCACCAATCATCGAGATTGTCACATTCTGGCCAAACGGTTTAGGAAAATGGAACTGGATTCTATGGAAAGATATTGTGATTATGATTTTTGGTATTATGGGCTTCGTATTTGGAAGTTTTACAAGCATAATGCAAATTCTTCATCCCGATCTTAATACTGAGTAGAAAAATTTAATTACTTAATTTTTGATCGCTCAAAAGCCTGAGGAGATAACAAAAAAAAAAGATCTCATCATGATGATGTTGACGCTTTTTTATGTTCAACTTTATATATGCTTTAAAATGGTTCTGAATTGAATCGGATCTTTAAATGATTCTCCAATCCTACCCACAATGTTTAAAATATTTACTAAGTTAAATTACCCAAAAAATATATTTTGTGTGAATGGTTAGTATTTAATTAACTTTTTTTTTTGAATTTTAGTTTATTATAATTTTTGGAAATTATGACTCACATTGGTGAATTTTATGTTACTGCCAAATAGATTTTTGTGTAAGATCCAATCATAATTAAAAGATATGATCATTCCTGAAGTTTGTTCCTGTGAATCTCTCATTGAGTTTTCCTTAAGAAATGCCAATTTTAAATTGACAAAATTGACAATAATAAATAAACTGAATATCACTTTCAAGTGAATTTACGAAAGAAAAAACTCTGAATATTTGCTTATAAAAACATATTTTATTATGAAAATATTAAGACAATAATTTTAATCAAAGCTTGCATAGCATACATTACTATCTACTTAATGTTCAATATAAATAAAATGTGCATGGAGTAAAACCAAGCATGAAGTTATATTCAAATATTTAAGTATATAAAATCATAAATGTCGATCAACGTTTTCACTAATCTTATTCAATCTTTTAAGGAATTGAAAAAGAAAATAATTTCATGTTATCAGTGATACCAGTCGGGCTTTGTTTGTTTCTTTAAGTTTAAAATTATGTGTAAAGAATAATATAAAAATATATCTAAATCATTGTGATTTAAAAGAATATTGGACGGATAAATTTACATATTAATAAAAAGTATGTATTATAATGTAAATGATTTTTCACTTAGCAATTTAACAAGTAAATCTTCACTAATAAACTTCATTGTGTGTGTTGGAACTGCTGATACAAACAATACACAAAGAATGCATTCATCTTTGATTAAGGCATGACATTTATGATAATCTGATGTATAATATTGTTCCGGTACTTTGACAGGTTCAGAAAGAGCACCAAAATCTTCAGTATAAACAGATTTATGGAAGAATGCTCGAAGAATGTCCATGCGATGTGAGCTACGCTTTCCAACCACTTGTTGAATATTTTTAGAGATGAAATATTTCTTAAGTCTACTGTTGATAAGAAGAAATCCGATAACAGAGGAATCAAGTTCTATGGTGGGTGGAAAGTTTCTTGGATTATTTATTTCGGCGGATACTAGAAGTTCGTAATGATCTTGCCAGAAAGCTTGGCTAAGAACTTCGAGTTCATTATAAGCAGGTTTCGCACCACAAATTAATCCAACTGATACACCTTGAATTATTGGCAAGGATATTAATCGATATGCAATTGTTGGTGATTTGTGCGGTAGGAAAACTGGAAAATCTTTTTGCAGAGCATTTGATTGAGTTATGAGAAGAATTAAAAGCTTTCGGTCGCTCACATGGAGATCGTAAAATCCTTCGCTTGCACAAATTAAACGATGTCTTGACAGTACAAAACAATAAGGTGAGAATGTTTGTTCACTGAATGTTAGGAGTTTCTCATGAATGGCAACTGACTCATTACAAAGAAGACTTTCATTGAAGTCAAGTAAATCGTTTTCTGCAGTTTCCATCAATTTTTCAATTATTTGAAAGTAAGAACTTTTCAAATCTCTCTTGAAACAATCAATATTTATCAGCTGTTGGATTTCATTTAAGCCGACATGAAGAACCATTGCCTCAAAAGCTTTTTCTATCAGATTTCTCAGAACTCTTTCCGTCAGATTAGTAGATATTCCAATGAAAAGTAATGATTCAAATTCCTTCCATATCACAAGTCCGTTGTCACCGAATTCCGTCAATTCTAATCCAACATTCTGTGTTTTACAGAAAAGATGGACACCGTTCAGTGATGCAACTGTAGAAAACGGCAACTGAAATAAATTAGTTTATAAATATTAAATAATTGATCAAAATAAATTTGTTCGCTTTTACATTCTCCACATTTTCACCTCTTCTTTTAGTGAAAATCGGTGTTCCGCTAGATGAAAGGCACATCAAATGAATCGACATAACTGTATTTTTAAGTTTACATTAAATATGTTAAAAGTTTTATTCAATTTGTTATTAATTTCAAAAATAAAACTTAGGATTTCATTGAAAACATCAGAGACATCAATAAAAAAAAACATTAAAAAATAATCAGAGTAATCCTGATCAACTTAATCCTACAATTAGGGGTATAATTACGCGCAACATTGGATTAGATCGATGAAGTATACTGTATACCCTTTTTACTGTTTATTCCGAGCAGACCGAATTCGGTTTGTCATACGAAACATACAAAAACCCATCTCACGGCGAATAACTAAACACTCTCCACCTGAAACTGCTCCCAGAGGTCCAGTTTCAGGTGGAGAGTGTTAAAAACGACGTTCCTAGATGTATGACAACGAACAAGTCGACGTTGTTGGGAACCCAACCAATTCCCCTTCATAACGTTAAGAGAAGTTGAACCGTACGAACGTTCGTAAACACGATCGGAAAGAAAAACAAAGTTTTTTTTAAACTTGTTGTATTTTGAAGTGAGAGGGGAAAAAGAATAAAGTGAGATATTGCCTTAATGCAAAGTTGAAAGTTGAAAGTTTCAATTGAATATTTAAACAAATCGAAAAAAATACAGTGAATTGCTAATATTTCTGGTCAAAGAAAATTAGGTAGTTTATAAATATATAGAAAAAATAAAAAGAAGAAATACCTATAAGTGAAAAGAATTGTTAGTGCTTGAATGTATGCTTAATAAATTTGAACGCATAACATAAATAATTGTCTCAATTTGATGTCGACAACAGAAAAAGGATCAAAAACCTTTTAATATAATTGCTTAACAGAGAAAAGAAGTAAAAGGAAGAATTAAAGATTATTTTTATGAGCTTTTAAAAGTGTGGAAAGAGATCGAGAAAGTAACAAGAAAAGGGAAGAAACAAGAACAGAGAAATAGGACACGACAAGAGAGTGGAAACCGGATTTTTTTTTGTTTTGTGTTGAATTAAAAGCGACGAAACCAAACAACGATCACTTTTATCAGACGTCTCAAGCATAACAACATTTACAACGAAAATCGTTAATTCTGGATTTATCCTGTGTTCCGGTGAAGAATCATCGATTGTCTTCTGATTCGAGTATTGTGAGTTCAAGTTTTTTTTTTATTCCTCAATTAATCTTAAGACGTCTTAGAGAACCCAAACAAAATGAATGATTTCAGATAATATAAGAACGTTCGATGGAGCCAATGCGTGCTCAATCAACCTTAAATTTCCTTTCCTTTAAACACTTTTTTGGTTTTCTTTCCGCTTGCGTTCCATTTACATGCATCATAATGAACCTTCCTTAAGACATGCGACATGAATCATGACCGTTTTTCCATTTCTCTGAATTAATCAATTATTTATTTCTTTGGGGAAGGTCAAACGGAAGAATACATACAAGAAGTAAACCAATGTTATTGTTATTTACTCCTTCGAGAGCAACTTTGAAATCATTTAATTGGAAGAGAAATTAAAATGCCAGTAGGGAAATTGCGCAACTTCCAGCAGCTTAACAAGCGAATCATTCATTGGAGCGAAAGTCGGCTTATGCATTAACATCTCAGCTAATTATGCTGGTGTGGAAGTCGTTAACAGAAATACGTTTGTTTAACAAAATTTTACCATTTTTGTCACCACAACAAAAACCTTTCGCATAAAAATACTCGAGTTTCTTCGAAATAATGTTAATTCGCTTTCTTTGGAAATCGGCTGATGATATCGTTTTCATATGTTTTCTGTTTCGTTATGTCAGTGAAATAAAATGCTAACACACATGAATGACAAGCTAAAAGTGATTACAAATTCGTGTGTTATTCTCAAAATAAACTCTCAAGAACAAAATTTGATACTAAGAACAAAAACTATATTTATTGCTGCATAAAACAAACGAAAATCTTTTCTTTTAATCCCAAAAGTATTTAAGATTTGAATTGGTAATTTTCTTCCTTTCAGTAAAGATTCTCCAACTACACAATCAGATCAAAAAAGAATAATTGAACTTTTGTTTAGTTGCTTTGTGAAGAAATAAGAATTAAAAGTAAAGTGAGATTACAGGGCAATTCACCATAATTTTGTTGTTAAGATTTAAAGAATCTTTAGAAAGTAGAGGAGAGAAACGCTTCATTTTGTGGCTTCATTGAGACATGAAAGATGACTTTTGTATGGGAAGATTTCACAACTTCCATTTCATTGTTGTGTCATCCATTGGTTGGGAAAAGTAATTGGTGGTCTGCAACGTACACATGAACTGCAATTAATTTTTAAAGTAATTAATGGAAAACGTCCATCGTTATCGTCGATTTCAATTGTTTTCTGCGTTTAACACTTTCCCACATCTAAATGAGCATCGCGCACAAATATTTATACGCGTTCTTTAATGGTGAATAGCAATTTTTTTCTTATTTTTTTCATCATCTTCTTGCCTTAAGTTTCGTAATCAAAACGAAGCAGTTTGCATTTGGTTTCGATTATCATCGCTTCCATCATGTCTTGATTTAAGCTTTCAAAATGGTTTTCTTACGCAAATCTTTTTGCCAATTTCTCTCCATCTCTATTCCATTTAAGCATTTGCATTTAAAATAAAGACTTTACTTTATTTACCATTTCATTTTGGAAACTACAATCATGATGGCGCCTGTCGTTGCATGATTCAATTGAATAGTGCTTGACATTAAGATGACTGCTTGCTTGTCGTATTTACTTTTAAAAACAAAAAAAAATCTATTGCTTATGGTTGATTTTTGTCGGGTTACGACTTCAGAGTTTACATGAATGACTCTTGGTTTGGAATCAAAGCAGTTGACTTTATAACAAATCAATAGCTGAAAGTTTCCCAAAGTAAAGCTCGCGATGAATCAATGACCATGAACTTCAATAAAACTTACGACATCGTCAGAATGTTAATCCCTGTCCGATTGTGTCATGAATCCAAAAGAAAAATATTCTCGATAGTATCGAATTATGAATGAGGAATAATGCTCAAGTGAATTTTCGAAGGAACAATCATGACGATGCTGAGAAGTCGTAAAACAATTAAACACCGGATAGGCTCAATTAGTAGTCGACAAAAATCTCAAAAGAATCTTTAATGATCTCATGTGAACTTCGTCATCATAAAGATTTCTGATTTCTTTCCAAACTACATTTATTATCGGATTAATGGAAAAAGATTTCTTCGTTTTTTAAACGAAAATACAAAAAAAAGAAACATATCGATAGCTTCTTATGAAACACCAAAAATGGCAAATGGGAAAAAATCCACATGATTACACAACACGAACGACGATGATTAAGTTTTATTGATTTGCCAAATAGAAAACGAGTAGAAAAGGAAGACCGCGTGGAATGAGGATGGGCATTTATTTTTGTTCTTCATACTAATGCTAATTTACGCTCGCTATACACAAAACACTCGCAAAGTTATTTCGCGAATAACGACTTTCTTGCTATCTGCGCTTACTATCGACGCTAACTTATGACAGTAAAAACAAATATAAAGAAAGAAGTATTGAATGAATTCCATATTGATGACGTCACAACTTAGCAGTTGAATACCAGTCTTAAATAAACTACAGAAAATGTGTTTTTTTAAGGGGCGAGTAGCACATGTGTTTGACTGGATTGACGCTGGAGAGAAGCGGAACCATGAAAAAAAAATGTTTAGATCACGCACGAACAGAGTTGGGCGATCCAAAATTTTTTGTATGGATCGCCGATCCAATCTGGATCGCACCAGTGTAAATTTTGGTTGGGCGATCCGGATCGCCCAACTCTGCGGCACGAAACATGAAATTAAAAAGCAAGTAAACGTGGTGATAGTTTGGGATTTACGATCATGTTTGCGAGGTTTTAAATCAGAATCCAAGGCAACAGCAGCCTCAGCAACTTCTATTAAATAAAAAAGGAATGAAAAATGATTTTCATTTTGGTCGTTAAACTTCAATCGATTCTTTTCATTTATCTTCTCACATAATTTTGTGGGTGATGTGATGATGAAATGTCTTTTGTTGCTAAGAGACTTAATTTTTTATTTTGAATTACAAGTTTTCGGTACCGTACAAAATCTTGCAAACAACAGCTGACCAATCCAATTATAGTAAACGGCACGATTTGTAGGCTGGGAGCAATCAATATTGAAAATAATAGAAAATATTTCCATAAAAATTAGGATTTGTTGAATGGACAACTCAAGAAAGTCATCGTGAAGATGATCATACATATTGCCGATCGCTTTAATCTCGATCAATGTCAGTTTCTTCTTAAGTGGAAAAACGAGCCACGAGAAAGATTTTATCTTATGATTTTTATGCGTGGGATTTATTTTAATTGTAATGAAGATTGAAGTTTGACGATGACACTTCAAATGATTCACAAAATTACACAAAAGAAGTCTTTTAGTATGTCTAAGTAAATAAGATGAGCAAAAAGTAAGAGTTGATGTCATCATCTACGTGTGATGTTAAATTCGACCTGATGACCTGAAATATTTGAAATACATCATATTAAGAATCGCTTCGATTATTATCCGTAAAACTGTAAGTTTCTTTCTTGCTGTGCTGCCAAAAAAAGATTCCAGCATTTGATTGATTGATTTTATATTTGTGCTTCATTCTCTGCATCTCATCTTCATCTTAATCTCCGTCTTTTAAGTTCCATTCTATCAGCAACATCGCATATCTAATGTTTATTTTCTTTGTTTGAATGAACCATCGTGCGCTGCTTGATTATTGCTCCGTTCGCATTTTGTGAATTTAATGTTGAAGAAGAATTTCTCTCTCAATGACTTTAATTGGAAACTGAAAATAAAAACAATGAAAACTATTTATCTTTTCTTTTGTGATGAAACTGATCAATTGGAACATTACAACAACAAATGGCAGTAAAATATCCGGAAAATGTTACATTCAAATTGAGAAATTTATTTTAACGAAAATTTATAATTTCATGAGCGGAAATCTTAAATTTAAACAAATCGTATAATACCATAAAACTCAAGTAAGACGAATGCTTGCCCTCGCATTTTTGTTTCGCGAAGATGGTTTTAATCATTAGCATTTTATGTTGCTTTCAATCTTTCGCAAGGGTGCAATGTTCTTTTGTGTCTGCTGTTTAAAGTTAGTGTAAAGACAATCACGAAATGAAGATCTTAAACAATCATGAAAGTGCAATTGTGCAACGTCGTGTGTGTGCTTATGCAGTTTTAAATTGCGGAAAGAATGAATTTCGACACGACAAAATAATTATATTAGCATAAAAATTGGCAACATTGTAATATGCTTTGCTATGACTCTGAAACAACATTAAGTGAAACTTAAGAGAATGTGAATATGGTGCAATTGTTTTTCTTGTTCCACATTCTTTTTAAATGATAACAAAAACTGCTTTTACGTCACAATTATGATTTAATAAGACAAATACATGTTTAAGTTATCGTTTGCTTTGACATCGAGCTGCAATTTCCGGATATGGAAGTTATGTTATCAGACATTGCAGACATGAAGTCTCAACAATTTAAAAGAAGGAAACAAAGTTACATCCTAAATAAAAATCACCATATGTGCTTCGAATGTATTTTCTGCATACATTCTAAGAAACTAAACATGTGTTTGAAAATAAGCACGATTTGCAACATCATGAATAGAATTTTGTTGTCCAGAAATATAAAAGAATTTCATTGATTTGAAAACTGCAAAATGTTGCGATTCGTTTGCCTTGGTTAAATGCTATTTAAAATGTTTTCAATTCATAAATATTTATTCGATAAATTCATATTTAGCCGAATCATATTCTTTTTTATGCACTATTCCCAAAATATCCATTTTACTTAATACATTTTCAATAAGCACCACGTAGTTTGAGCTTGTTAAAAAATTCCAATGCAGCTGGTTAGGGAGAAAAGAAAATAATAATAAAACATAAACATTTTTGTGCAAAATGCTGCTTTCCTGTTGACCTGAAACGTACAAAGACGATACATACAAAGCATACGATTTGAAGAACGTGTTGCTAATTCCCAATTCAAACATTTTATGCTTCGGCACGAAATTTGTTCTTTAAAAATTGTTGTCTGACTATTTGATGGATTCAAATGTCGATTTAAGCCTTAAAAAAAACTTATTTATACTCACTCACCGCCATTTCAATTCAATGTTCAATTTCAATTGATTTTTTGTATTCTTTAAATCGAATCAAAAAGAAGGAAGATGCGATGATGATTGGGTAAGATCGGAAAATCTTAAAAAACAATACATGATCCACATTTTTTCAAACCTCACGTTCAGATAATTTCAATAAAATTTGGAATTTCATGGTTCATTCAGTTGTTGGTTTTAGAATTGTTTTTCTTTTTTGTTATTAGATGTCGATGAAAGGAAAAAAGGAAAATTAATCGACCTCAGCCCGCGATCCAAATCGGTTTATTCAAGTAAAAAAATATCACAAATGGATCGTAAAAACATTTCTGAGGTTTCACTGGTTTCTGATCTCTCGAGATTTTCGATTTTTATTGCTCTGATAATAATCGAAATGAATGCTTGGTTGATCCTTTATCGGCATCAAAAATGATGAGATGAAGAATCCATAAAGAGCAAGATTCATAGCATAAAATTATGTTTTTTGTGTTCCACGTCGGTCATAAAATAACAGAAAAAGTTTTTTTTGTTGTTTCCCGTGCTGGCATCGCTTTTTTAATTCATATAAAATCTATACAGAATCTATGAATATTAAATGAAACAGCTAGAAATTATTTATAACAAAATGCTAAACATTTGTTCAATTTCTCTCGCGACTGCAGTCTCTGCATAAATATTTGCTGAGTTTTCATTACTTGACTTATTTGATTTAAGTAATGAAATTGAACACATCTCCTGGGTGTTATTAATGCATTTGAGCGAGGGTGAAGACGTCATTCAGCTTTTCATCAACGAAAATAAAATATTTCCATCATCCTTCGTGTTTAACAACTTTTTTTTAATTTCCATCCCTCAAGAGAAAGAAAGAAAAATGTAGCAATTACGAAACCAATGAATGTTCATCTTTAGGGGGATTTTAGTTTTAGGGCATGTAGGTATTTGTGTAATTGATGAAAAAGACAAAATAGAAATGTGAGAACGAGAATTCTTAATGAAATTTCTTTCGCTTTCTACGCAAAAAAACAAATAAATAAATACTGATGACGCATTTGATTTCGATACAGAAAAATTGTGTAAGTCCCTGCGTCAATGTTCCGATGAAAATATTATGGAAATTTATGGACATCTCAAGAGTTTGAAATAATTTCTTAGAAATGTTTGTCTTCAAGTGGATCTTGCCTCCAATAAATTGTCTTCCTTTTTCTCTTCTATTTGTTATTCTCCTAAGAGATACGACACTGTGCAGTTAAGATGATTTTCATTCATTTTTAATGGTTTCCTTCTTAAACAGTACAATGTCCCTTGAACTTGTACAAACCAAGTCCTTATTCTTCTCCATTGTATTGTGTAATCTTTCAGGCTAAGACTTTCAAAGAGATAGTCGAGAGTACTTGAAAAAAAGTTGATTTTCCTTTGCATTTCTTATTCTTACTTTAAGCACGCCTAGCATGCTTGATGATGTGAACCAAATGACGATAGACAAACGAGACGAAATGTGTGAAATGAAACAGACAAAGCGTTGGAACTTTTACACGTGTGATGTCTGTGTGTTGATGAAGAGAACCTTTAGAAATTCTCTTGATGCCATTAAACATACACACGCACATGAATGTATAAAATCTTAATAAGAAGAAACCGGTTAGATTAATAGAAAAATAAATAATAGACTGCTGATGCTAACGAGATGGATAGCAAAGTTCGAAAGAAAAAATATTTCATTTTGATTCAAATGTTCACTTTTTACCTGTGATCGAACGAGCGCCTTTGGGGACTATTTTTCTTCAATGATGAACCTAATGAGCAACGCATCAAAGAGATTCGGAACGTAGGTAAACATAATTAATAGGACCTGATGATAAATTTCTCTCCTTTTAACCTAATAAACATTCCAATGTCGAGCAGGTTCTAAAGTTGATGAAAGAAAGAAAAAAAATGTTCTTCCCACATTTTGTTTCATCAGTTCGTTTTTCCATTCTGTTATCTTAGATGTAATTTCAATGTTTTATTATGCTTGCCGCAGATCGACGTTAAGAAGCCTTAGAAGGCGCATCAAAAAAATGGATTGAAATTCAATCGGAATGTTTACATCATGAAAGGGCTTAAATGCTGTTTCAGCGCAACTGAAAGTCTCGAGAATCACTGCTTTTAATTTCACATAAAAATGTTCTCGTGCTCAATGCGTGTGTGTTTGTTTGTTTGTATGATAACCAAGACGTGAAAAATTCTTGGTAATGTTATGTAAATAATCAAACATGACTCTTCCATTACTTAGAACAGCAGTTCGCTCTGGTCTTTGCGAGAAGAGAGAAATTATTTTTTAATTTCTTTCAAAGGTCTATGATGAAAAGAGATGTGGGCAGATAACAAGATAATAAGTATGAATGGAACGTTATATGTCCACGTATGTCTATTTAAGATGAATGTTCAACATAAACTGCAACGAATCAAATTTCAATCTAAATGGGTTAAATGTTAAATCAAACACACATGGTCAAACATTTCGATGACGTTTGTTAAGTTTCAACTAATGAAAAAGAGTTGACTATGACACAGATTTCATTTTAATGATATAAAGGAAAATTTATGACTTGTGGAAGTGAATTTTTCGCAGGCTTTTAATTTATTTGCTTTTCGTAACTTACGCGTTCATTGTCTTAGATGAATTCTCTTTTTTTATGTTTTGTTTTGATTTTTTTTTCTCGCAGCTATTAAATGTTAATTTTAATTCTTCACTGTTAAAGAAAATCTAACACGCATAGAAGATTAAAATGAGATATTTATGTTAGGGTCCAAGATTCATTTTCATGTGACCCATTGAATTGTAAATCAAACAATTTAAATCCCATTAACTTCTCGACGCGATCTCTTGCCAATAGAGCATTAAAAATTTGATTTTGATGAGAATGTAATTGAGTGAATGCTTTAGTTCTGTCAAGGGGAAGAAGGTCAACGATGTAATGTTTTCAATTAACGCAAAGAGAAAAAGAAAGCGGTAGATGATGAATTAACGGGATGCGGTGAAATGTGTAATTCGGTGAAACTACTATTTTTATTGTACGTTTTGATGATGACAGAAAAGCGACGTTTAGATAAATGTCAATGTTTCATCTAAAAACAAATTTCTTTGTGATTTTCATAATTTCGGATGCGGAACAGCATTACATGTCGACGTTTAACTTTTCTTCTATGATGTTGACTTGCTTTTTCCTTGTGAATTATGATGCCTGAAGTTTATGACTTAAGAAAAGTCGTTATTTTATGTCATGGTGGATAACAGAAATAATGACTTCATATGCTTACAACTTTTATTTAGAAGATTCATCACATCGTTGTTGTCATTGACTTTATTCATTAGACAATTCAGTTTGCTAAATTCTCAGTAGACATTCATGTGTTGTCACGTTCAAAGCGTGTCGTCAACTTACGAAGAATTTGTTGAAAAAAAACTCATTAAAAATTCAATACTGACGGCCAATAGTTCAAACACCAGCAGTGATGTTCAACCTTCGTGCTTGCTGTGAACATACAAGCAACATAAACATGACTTTCGACGTGTTTGAAACGAACGACAAAACAAATTTGATATTAAATTACATCAGCTTTGCAACAGATTAAACGCTTGATGTGACATCGTTGTCTTTCTTCCAACTTCTGCATAATTTATTCGTTGAAAGCGAGAAAACTGCGACGTAGTTGAATAATATTTGAATTTATAATAATTTTCGGTGTGACAAACGCGAGGGGAGCTTTAAATATGATGACAAATATCTTTCAATTGACATCAATTAAACGCTTAAAATGGAAAATCCCAAAATGTCAATTGAGACATCAAGCAAAAACATTGAAATACTTTAATCCATTTTTTTTGTTTTCTTCTCTGATATTTTCTGTCACTATAGATAGATGACAAACCCTCACATTAAATTTCTCTTGTACAAAATGTCAGAAAGGATTTCAACATTGTTGTTCTATTGAGTTATTGCAAACTTAAATCATTATTGGTGGCTTTCTCAGATTTTATTTGTGAATGGAAATGTGAGAAGAAATCTGAATCATCGAGATTAAAATTCCTCTTCAACATTGCAGTTGAGTAAGTGAATCATCCAATCTTGACGTATTCTTGTGAAATCGTAAATGTTTAAAGCGAAAAGAAACTGGCGCAATTCTTTGGTTTCTTTATTACCCACTTAATATTCAGCGTTAAATAGTTTCAGCTAAAACGATTTATAAAAGCAGAAAAGTAGTAAAAAATTCCTTTTCACTTCTTCACCCTTCTTGGAAGTTAACTTTATGCCATTCAAAAAACGCACAACCCCATCGATACTATAAGTAAAATATGTTTCTTCGTTTGAAAGCTGCTGCTACCATTAACTTTTAAATATCTAAAACCCCATTTCATATTTATAGTTAATTTTGTAACGTTTCCATTTGGAAATGGCTTCACCGCTTTCCCGAATAAAAATTCAATTCATGAATTGATAAAAACAGAAAAGCAAAAGAATTCCTTTCATTACAGAGACGAAAGCGAAATGTTTATTGCATGAACGTTTTTATGAAATTTCCCTTTAAAATTTTAAAACTTTTTTTATTATATTTTCTCGAGAGAGAAAAAAAAACTTTGTGGATTGGGAACAAAGAAAAAATAGCTAATGATAAACTTAAAATTGGATCAGATCAGATTGAATGATCTGCCAAGAGAGTTTCGTTTGGTGTTGGCAATCAAGGAACAAAAAAACACAAAATTAATGGGAAACAAAGAAAAAGAAGATGGAGCATAAAAAACTGGGTCGAAATTGGAACACGAACTGAAAAACTTTTGTTTTTTTCAAGATTTTTGTGAAATGAAAAGTCGACTTGAAGCAGAACTAATGGCGTCTCCTTTAATGTCTAAAGTATTCTTCAACCTCTCATGCTTTGACGTAAAATAGACTACACTCGTCTTCATCCCTTTCTCACTTGAATATTTAATGTAACATTGCCAGCCAACATAAAATTTTCATCCCCCCATTCATTTCATGACAAGTTTCATGATATCTAAAAATAGAATTGAGAGAATTGAGAGCTTCCTTTTTTGACATGAATGAAAAAGCGTTAACAAAAGGGAGTAAAATCAATGATGAAACAGAAGCAAAAGAATAAAAGTGATGACGTCGCAGAGTCGTTTGAGTTGTTGTTTTCGACATGACGTTCCATCAAATTGGCGTCGCCAAAAAACTTTTTAATGTTGGCACAACCCATTGTGACGTGATAGCGCAATTAAAAGCACGTAACCTTTCCGTCTTTCATTTGGCGAATCATCAGTTTTTATACGGTGGCGCTAAAATGGTTTTTATTGATTCAATACGATGAGTTTGTAGAAAAAGACAATTTTGTGAGCTATTTTTGGTTTTGATTTTGCTGCTGACTGACCCAATGCTATTTACAATGAATTTACAGCCATAAAACTTAATGGATGAGCACGCAATCAATAGAAATTTTCTCATCCATTAAGTCTTCTTAGACACTCGCACTTATTCAACGATGATAGCATGAGATTTGACGGTTTCGTGATAATGAAATAAAAACGATTTTCTATTTCTACCGTCCTGACCATTACGCAACATCCAAAGTTTTCACTAGAAGAAAAGTCAACAGAAGAAAAGAAAGAAATAATTTTTTGTTATTTTTCTTCCTCATAAAATCTATTAAGTAATCAAATGTTGGCGAAAAATGTAATCAAATATGTAGGTAGAGAAGAAGAAAATTTAAGGCGTAGCATCAGTTGTCGTCAAAATACGTCATTGCTTGTTAGATAACAAAATAGAAAAGAAAATAAACGCGCAATAATTGAAAGTAGAGAAATTTTAAATTGTTTACCTTTATCCGAAAGTTGATGAAAGATCTTCCAAGAAGGAACAAAAACGAAATAAATGGCGAACGCATAAGTTTATTGATGTTCATTGCCCTCGTTCATATCTTGCCATGCTATTAATTCCTCTTTTGAGTTTTCTCATTCGAGAGACATGAAATGTGAAAAATAAAATAAAAGTTATGTGCGAAATTCCATCAGTTGAATTCTTTTGTCTATACTGACTCAAGTGGTTGTAGATGGAATGTCGCACTTGTTCTAAGAAGTTCATTGTCACGTTTTTTGTTTGTTCTTGTCTCAATCGCCATAAAAAAAAAGAAATACGAAAGAAAGACCAGTTCACTTGTTTCAACAATCAAAAAGTCACTAACCGTATGTTGTTCTTGCTCACATTTTTCTTCAATTTTAATTTCATTTTATATATGAAATAAAAATTTACAAGGGGCGTAATTTAAGCAGCATAACAATGGGAAATGAGTTTTATTTAGAAGAGTTTTCAGTCTCGGTCCAGTGACTTCGTTCGGAAAGAGTCAAACAAAAGGGAATTAATTAATTATGTACATGGCAGTGTTCTAGCAGTTGATTATATATCTCTCCTTGTCACTCTCGCCATCACTCGGTGAAAAATGATTTAGAATCTACCAACAATGGCTATGAAATCTCAGTGATTCTTAATTCAAGATCTAAAGTTCAAAAACTTTTAATTACTGATTTTCTTGTTGAAAATTCATTGTTTCAAACTTTATGTTTATATCCCCCGAAGTTTTAATTAGACTGCACATTATTTCTCTTGTTGTCAACTCCAGCAAAAATATCTCCATAGAAATGAAATTAATTAAATTAATTGCTGGTGCAATCTGAGCTTTATTTGAACAAATCCAATTTATGTGTAACTAAGTAGTAATTGAAGCATGTTTGCTCACTTTCTTACATGTTTAGTCATTTTCCAATATGCGATTTGTATCTTAAGCCAATTACTAAACATTATTGCCAATTTTGGATCAATTTTTAAGGTATTAGCAAAGAGAAGTAAAAACGAAATTACCTTTTCAAAGCTCATCGAAATTACTGAAATAATCGTCGACTTATGAATATATGTATTTATTTAGCCAACATCTGATACATTACATAAAGCAACAATGAAGTGTGTTTAACGGAATGATGTACAATGCTTAAATTGTAGAGTCATGTAAAAAGCATTTTGCAAATAAGTGGAATATTTACAGCTTAATAATCTGTTGATGTTAAACTGAATGCTGTTTGAGGATGATACCACATCGATCATTCATTCGTGATCTTCGATCTAAACAACAGTAAGCTTTCATTAAAAATTTTCTATATAACTTTTATTGTGGTTGAAAAAAAGTTCACGATTGAAAGGTAGATGAAAAAAAAACATTCAACAGTAGCTGAATTTATTAATTGCATTCGGAAGCGAACAATGCTACGTCGTTTTGTTAAAAGACTTTACAAAAATTAGGCTCGTGTTGTGCAAGAAAGAGATTATTGAATTTAAGTGGATTTGGCTATTTACAGATTTGGTGAATGGTGCAAAAGATTTGAAGACGTGGTATCGTATGACACTAAACATTCGTAAACGACTGTCTTATTTTTCCGGGAGGTTGCCCATTGAATCAGCATTAAAACTTACTGCGTAATGCGTACATATTTACAATTAAATTTATAGAAAACTCATGATATTGGTGAGAAAGTAAAAGTTTTGAAATTCCAACTCAATCAATGTGATTGATCAGTCAGTACATTGATCTCAACACAACAAGAGCCAAACTACATCGTTAACAACAAATTACATTTTCTGTGCGTTTATTACATGTATTTTTTAAAATATTTTTTAAATGTTTGCGCCTTAATTTGTTAATAGCGACGTGGGTGTTTAGTAAATTAACAACGTCTATTAATATTTCTGCGGAGAATCTAATAAAATGTGTTTGCTGTGGTACGATGTTGCAATGTCATGTGCTTGAATATTGGCTTCCTTGCCTTTCATCGTTCTCTTCTCGTCATCAACATTTTTTTTGTATTCTCAAAGCGAGCTTTAATAATTCTCTGACTAATCAAAAAGTTATTTTATTTTCATGTCAATTCAAACCAGATACAAACGAATTCGACCGTGTTGATGACTTCAAGAATAATTTTTCATTTTTTCGATAGAATTCATTCACTTTATTCATTTGCTTTTTATACTTTGTTCAAGGTGCGCCTTTCCGCACTGACTGCTTAAAACTACTTGCGTTCATAGACCCGTTAACCATGTGACATAAAATATGCCGTCTGTCCATTTAATAATTAAAGCGCAACAAAGCAGTAAGCACATAATTATTTAACATTTTAATGAAATCAACTGCATTCGGATGAAACTCGTCTGCCTGAATCATAAATTTTAATCAGAGTGCAAAGTTGTAAAGCTTGTTTTGATATCTTGATGACGACTTGGACTAAGTTACTACACTTGTTGGTTAAAAAATACAAAAAAGCGAAGAGAGAAAAAGAGCGAAAAGTTTTAATGAATTAATAGCGACCCCCTGAGTGCTGAAAATAATGATAATAAAAAGCGAGTTCATGGCCTAGACTTCCATGATACATTTCATAAATCTTAAATATTGCTTACAAACGCACAATCACCTCCCACTGTCATTGTTTCTCATTTGGCGTTGACTTTATTTCGTGCCAAACCTAAGCAGAAACGAAAATTATTTTAGTTGTCTTTGATATTCAAAACTTCTATTTTAGTCTTTTAAATATAAAAATAACACGTTTGTTAAATAACGCAGTAAGCGATTTGTGACATTCGTCACCGTGTTTGAACGACAATTCTTCTCTTTTTCATTTCAACATTTCACTTCTTCCCATTTCGTCATAGTTTGATGATTTTAATAATCGAAAGCACCGGAATAGTATTTATGAAAATAAATAGAGCACTTCAAGTTAACTTTAATTAAAATTTCACATTCATGGAATTGTTACCTATATCAATAAATTTTCGGTTTATTTGTTATTAAAAAAATAAAAACTCATCAAACTGGCTGGCATAGAAAAAAATCAAATCAAATCAACTTGCATATCTAGACCATCTCCAAGGCATATTTCCGGTTCTATGTCGTGATTTAATTACTTTTTAATGCAAGTCAGATTGAAATTTTTACTTATCCGATTTTGCTATCAGTAGTTTTTGCTTATTATTTTTCATTCTTATCAGAATGAAAGGTAGAAGAGATTGAACATAAACGTGAAGACACAAACGAGAAATTAAATGGTTGTTGATTCAACTGGGAGAAAAATCAATAAAATAAAGTTCGATAAGAAAGGAAATCAATTTTTAAATCGAAAAACTGATAAGACGATTTCGTTGGAATTCACTTTTCACTGATTTACACATTAAGAGTTAGATTATAATAAAAATATCAAACATACTATTTACAACTCTTATCAGCAGGAAAGCAACTGATAAAATTTTCATGTCTGACGATAACTAATGCGATTTTCAAGGAAACGATTTGCTTTTGTTGAATATTAATTAAATCTGTTAAGTCATAAAAACATCATTTTCGTGATTAAAACTATCGCATTGATACATCATGTTTTGGAAAGGAAAGGAAAACCAATGGATATACACATGACCTGATAACAATCCACAATAAAGTTATCGTCTGACAACATCCGGTGTTACATATTTACAAGTTACTTTTTTTACTTGTCTCATCACATTGAAAAAATGAAAAAGAGAATCTCTCAAAACAGGAAACTTTGATGAACATTTAATCTTTACTTGTCATCTTTCATTATTTTTATGTCGTTTCTTTTGTGAATAAATAAAATCAAAATGGTAATCATTAAAGATCATTGGTGGTAAGGTTCATGATAGAGCGAGGTCAATAACAGTAGCAACAAAATTATGTTTTGCGGATATGATGGAGAAGAAACGATCATTAGTAACGATAATAATCCATTGAAAAACGTTCAAGATCGAAAAGATAAAAAAGAAGATTGCTGAATTAATGGATTCTTAAGTACTTTTTGTACTTATACTTATGTACATACATAGAATGAAATTTGCATTTAGATTTGAAAACATTCTAGAGACTTCATGGCTTCATGCTTTAATGGAGAATTTAGGATAATAGAGTTAACAATGTTAGTCTAAATATTCGATGTTAAGCCACCAGTTAGGCTTACTTCACATACTTTTATGAGTCATCAAAATGGAAAGTTGGTAATTGCACCATGATCAGATCCATAAAATTATTGAATAATATCTTAGACTAAGCGATTTCACAGAAAAGTTTTCACTGTAAGTCACGTAATATATTTATATCGTTACGCAATGGTCATGGCGTTCCCATCGTTAGTTAGTAGAATAATATTTTTACAACCCTAAATAATAGCAATCATATTATTTTTGTTACTGAAAAACACTTCATTTAGTTACAGTAATTATCCATTTAAGAGTAGTAATGATGCCCATAGGAGAACTCATAAAACTTGAAACGAAATTGAAAATTACCTTTGTTTAAAATTTTAAATCATTGTTTAATGTCTCTAATTGTTATTCGAATAGTTGAGATAATTACTTGACTATTATTAAAGAATGTAGTAGCTTTTCGCATATAAAATTATTTCCATTCTTATAAGATTCAAAGTGAAAAAGAATTTCCTTTCTGCGAGTCGACGTCCATGAGAAGTTTTTCGTTTTCTTCATGAAACACAATCGGATTTTACTTTTTTTATGTAAGATAATTAATTTCATTCCTTTTGACTTCTTAGAATTCTCATCAGTTTTCTATAATTTCTGTTACGCAATGTTGATTTTGTCTTCTGTTCGGTAGAAACAAAATGAAATCTTCTGGCGGTAATTGTCGAATTGTGTAATCCGAAACATGAAAGAAAATTCAAAGTGGACACAAAAGCGTTTCTATTATGGCCACATAAGATTATTCTAAATTCTTCTTCACGTCGACGCTTGTTACACAATCTGTTGTCTATTAATTATTGAAACATTCAATCATTTTATTGGATTTTTAACTTTTGAGTCGTGTTGAGATAGAAAAGCGGTAAGAAATTGCTCACAATCGAAAGTCAGACGGTCGTTTTTTTTTGATATTTCATTATCAATCACCAACTGAGCTTCACATCACTTCGTTTTATTCTTGTTTGCCTTCTTCGTGTTCTTTCTTTTTCTACTTACATTCAATTTTCTTTTGTTTGTTTGTAACATCCATTTCCTTAAGACTTGAGAAAGAAACTGGAAAATCGAGGTACGTACAAGAAACGATCCCAACCAGTTTCATTCCCTTTCGTCTTATTTCTTCTGTGCTACTAAGATCATGACTCTTCGTTAGAAATATTGCTTTTTTTTCTTCTTAAAAAATGACATAGAAGAGGAAAACGAAGAAATAAAATTGGCAGATGTTTTGAAACTCTTCAGTGATGCCTTTTGTATCAAACATAAAATGTCTTTTATCGTAAAATAAAGTGATAATATTTCCTGATGTATTTAGTAATTTTTAATCAGAAACTCGTGTCATAAAATAATAATGAAACACGATATCATACATAACATTTGTGCAAATCTGAAATTCGAATGTGATCATCAACCTCATCATTTTTTTTTGAAATATTTTTTAAAATAAAAATCATGTTTGATTGTTAAAAGATGATTTAATTTTTTTAGTTCATTTTTATGTAGGAAGCAAAGCTTCCTCATTGTCATTTAATTAAACAAATTCGATGTGCTTGATCATCGTTGAGGGAGATGAATAAAAAGTATTGCACAGCATGAACTTTCCTAAAGAATATTAAATTTATGATGATGATGGCGTAGTCTTCACCAATGTAATTGAAAGTTCATTTTATTCAACAACCAGCTTGTTGTCTGTAGTCCGACATATAATATTAAATGAGATTAAAAGAAAAATACAAATTTTCGGAAGCATTAAGTTGTCTCTATCAATGTAGATACTTGCAATGTGAATATCTTCAGTGACCTAAAAGAATAAATGCATAATTTGATGTTCAACACCTTCATTTTCCTTTTTATTTTGAACTTCAAAGTCAGCCTCATGAATTAGATTATATCAATCAATGACATTGAAATACATTCAAAACGAAAGTGATCAATTCTCGCTTTCTTCTCTCTCACACATTTTGAATATTGAAGTCATGAATTAATTAACGAAAAAAAAGCTGAAATTCCATTTAAGCGAAAGCACCATGACGAGTGGACGGGCAAGTATAACAAATTTATAAAAAATCGAAAAGATGTTGAATTAAGTTTACTCACCGGAACCGGCGTATGCTTTTCTTAATAACTTTATCATTTGTCTATGAACATAAATTCAGTCTTCATTAATTCATGACTTGTCTTAAGTAACATCATCAAAGTGAAATAATTTTAAACAAGAGGAGAAAGAAACTGGTCTGAACAGACGAAGTAGATACACATCATCATCATCATCATCATCATCATAGACCATCATCAAGTTTCAATTATTCGCATTTAAGCGAGAAGATGAATCAGACGAAAGAAACCGTAGCGAGTGAGTCTGGATACAGTTACAGTTAACTTTTACAACTCACGTTTTATATTTTATTTTACTTAATTTTTTTCCTCTTCTCGCATACAAACATCGCGCCATGATTTTCCCATTTTTATTTTTATTTCTTGTTTGTTGTTAGCGATCTTTAGCAAAAGTATCTACAATAACAAAGTTAAGATGAAAAAAGTGGGTAAACTTTAATGAAAATAAATGTTGGATAAGAAGAAGGCGTAACAATAATAACAACTGTATGAATAGAAACCATATGTGAAGACAAAGTAAAAGTGATGAACGGCAATTAATTTTTCGGACAAATAACTAAATGCAAATAGTAAAAGATTTGCTTTTAAGACTAAATAAGTTTCATTATTTTGTATGGATGTGATGACGTTTCTTATAAAATTACCTTGAAATTGTTGTGGAATAATTAATATGTAGAAGGAGAGAAAAATATTTCTTGCCTCTATTTATGAATCACCATAATTCGCTTTCATTGTGTGTCTTAACACGGATCAAGTTTGAAGTTAAAAATATTTAATGTGTTGCATTGCATGTGGAAATCAATTAAATTCATTACTTATTTACGTATATCCGAATGATTCTAAATGAGTAGTGCAAATAAGCAAATAAGCTAACAACAGCATGCTTACTTTTTAAATAAAATGCATGTGCGCAATAAAAACCGGTTTTTGTGTGCCATGTCAAGTCAGTGCTTTGCAACAATCACGAATTGATTTAAATTCGCGACCTAAACCCCTGACTTCATATATTACCAAACGATACTTACAAACTTCGCTTCGTTTCGTTGTAAGCGAATTAAATTTCAAAACAATTGTTCTGGGCTCGAAGTAAGACTTTTAAATTGTTCAAAATTCGAACGACAAAAACCGGTTCTACGGTTGAGGGAGGCGAATGGAGAGCAACAAAAAAGCAAATAAGTACAACATATACGAGTGAATGCTGGAAACGGGTTTACTTCTTTCAATAAACAACATACATAAATATTAAACCTTCTTGATGTTGTTCTTAAGTTTTGCTTTTTTCTTTCTCTCTTTCTATCACATGAACAATTTGCTGCGCAATTCATAAAAAAACTAAAGCTTTCTTTACTTCTTTTCGCCGGGAAATGAAAGAACAACCTAAAAGAATCATACGTTAAACTTTCGATATTTAAAGAGTTCTTAAAATTGTCGGTTGAAATAATTTTATGTATGAAAAGATATAAAAGTTCTTTTCTTCTGTTTGGTTTTTCGCCTCGTGATTTCATCATCACGTTTATTTATTTTCTTGTTTCTGATTTCACTTATTTATTGTGCTTGTGCTTGAGTCAGCACAAAGGGCAACGTCGTTGTTAACTAAATTGAACTCTTCATTCTTCGATGACTATGAACGAAAATAAAATGTGAAGATTTTAAAGACTTATTAAAAACACTCATTCAGTTCAAGAGATTTTTCATAACTGAAATTGCTTTTGATTAAGATCATGTTTATGTCATTCTGCGTATAATTTCGATTCCAAAAATGGAAAAGTGGTGCTAATTGCATCCTATACTTAAACAGCAATAGTTTCACTTACCTTTAACAGCTTCACATTCGTAATTGTGTAGGAAATATTTATAATTACTTACGATGCTTGCTATTGACTCACTTTTCTTCACGTTTGCATGTATCAGAGTCAATATCAATGTACATAGCCCGTTTAAATTCTAACATTTTCATTTGATCTTTCAATTTGAATTTAATAAGAATCTGTTACATGCTTCGATAATTTGCTATGTAAAATATTTCTAACTTTTGATGTATGTTAAAGTTTTTACTTCACGCCTCTAAGTCTCATGATATCTTAGTTCCAATCTTTTATACTTTTAGGTATTTTAAATAAATCGTAAGCTTCATGATAAATAAACTAATTATGTAACTTTTCAGTGCCTTTCAATCAAAATAAAGTCTCAAAATATTACCCTGACTTAAATTACTGTGCCAAAAATTTAATCCATCAACTTCCATTAATCCTTCCTTTTAATTTTATTGCTCAATTAAGCTTTAAATCTGTTTCCAAATTTCCTTGTTATAATTGAATGGTTCGATAAAATAGAAGGAATCATTTCATGAATTGGCAATCAATAATATTTGTCCTTGTTATTACTTAACATTTTATTTATAATCACAGGATGTTTTAAAGGCTGAATAAATAATAGAAACATGCGCCAATTCCAACAAAGAATTAAAACAATTGAAGAAACGTTTTTTATTTGTGAATTACATTTGCAGAAAGAGTTATGTTAAAAACATTTTCATCTTTAAGATCAAATACTTTGATTGCTAGTTTATAAAGACCTGAAGGGAAATAATCCAAAGATTTGTAGTCTCCCGGAACCGATGCATTTGCTAAGTAGAATTCACCCGATCTTAAACAACTTTGCTTCATAGTTCCATTAAGAGTTTTTCCGTAATCCAGAAATTCAGTAACGAAACTTATAGTATCGGCACCTTTAATAATATGGCAAATGTCAATATCTTTCAATTCTAGAATATTGTTATAATAGTCGCCACCAGATCTTCGATATATATTAATGTTAATCTAAAAATAATGTTGGAATGATTTTTTAGTTGGAAATGATAGTATTAAAATGATTAAAATTCTGAACTTTTGCATTGCTTATCGGTCGATTCAATGTGTAACCAACGTTTACCAGAGGCTGCTTCTTCTTAAAAGCTTTCATATAGCAGAAAAATGGTTCTGCTGTCTTTCTTGATCCCCCACATTCAATTTTACTGATTCTGATATAAGTATTTGAATAATTCAGAAATATTAGTTGACAAAATATTAACAGTTTGAACAATACCATAGCGATTGGTATACTGATGCATGGACAGACACAAAATTTTATAAAAGCGACATATTTAATCGTTAATTGTTTGGTATCTAACATCAAGTAATTCACAGATACATTTGATCAGATAATTTTAATAAATCTTTGTCACTTTTGCGAAATATGTCATATCGTATCTAAATCTTTCTAGAAATTGACAACAAACTGAAATAACATAAAAAAAGTTTTCCAGGTCATTTGACTTTAAATTGTCAATTCACTTTCCATTAACGAAAAATTGCTTGTAACTTCTTACGATGTTCAATTCGATGTTCAAAATCACTTATCCTATAATTACTTAGTTCGATAAAACAGAGGGAATCATTTGATGTATGGAAATCAATATTCTTTGCCCTTATTATTTCATAACATTTCATTCATTTTATTCATAATGACAGTAGCTTTTAAAGGCTGAATAAATATGCAATAGGAACATGCTCAAAATCCAACAAAGATTTCAAACGTTTTTTATTTATGAAATAAATTTCCATAAATAGTAACTGTAAATATGTTATCATCTTTAGTATCAAATACTTTAACTATTCCTTTATATTTTCCCCCAGGAAAAAAATCTAAATTTTTTAAGTCTCCTGGAACTGTTGCATTTGCCAAGTAAAATTCACCCGATCTTAAACAACTTTGTTTCAAAGATCCATTAAGAGTTTTTCCATAATTCATAAATTCAGTTATGAAACTTATAGTTTCAGCACCTCTAATAATTTGGCAAACGTTAAGGTCTTTAAAATTTAGAATATTGCTGTAAAAGTCGTTTCGGCCAGATATTCGATATAACATAATATTAATCTGAAAATTATGTTGAATTGGTTTAGTTGAAAATGACAATAAATTTCATTAAAATTCTGAACCATTGCATTGCTTATCGGTCGATTTAATGTGTATCCGAAGTTAACCAGAGGCTGTCTCTTCTTGAAAGCTTTCATATAGCAAAAGATGGTTTCTGCTGTCTTTTTCGATACCTCACATTCGATTTTGCTCAATCTAACGTAAGAATTTGAATTATTCAGAAATATTAGTTGACAAAGTATTAATAACGTAAGTAATAATTTGAACAATGTCATAGCGATTGTCTTGGCGATTGTTATACTGGTTCATGAACATCAAATGTCATAAAATTTTATTCGTTAATTGCATGGTATTTAGCAGGAAAACTGTCGTAAATAGATTTCAATCAAATAATTTCGACAAATATGTACATGCCAATTTTCTGAAATATTTTATATCGCAAATCTTTCTGAAAATTGAAGAAAAACTGAAATTATAATTGAACTTTTTCACTTGACTTTAAATTGATATCATTTATTTTATTTATGAACTAATTTTGAAAACAAAGTTAGGTTGTATATGTTAGCATCTTTAGAATCGAAAACTTTAACAAATGTTTTGTAACTGCCTGCTGGAAAATATTTTACAACTGATAATTCTCCGAAAGTTATATTAGTTAAAAAAATCTCTCCTTCAATTTCACATGTTCGAAATAGATTTCCATTAAATTTTCGGATATAATCAATACTGTCTTTTAAGAAAGGTTGAGAAGATGCATCTTTGATCATTTTACACACTTCAATATTTTTAAGTTCTAAAACCTTATTAAAACTGTCACCGGAAGATTGCCGAAAAACAACATTGTATCCCTGAAATATTTTAAAAACAATAGCATAACAAGAAATTTATAAGTCATGAAAAAATAATTTGATACCATCAAGTTAGAAGTTTTACGAGTCAACGTGTAACCAAAATTCAATAAAGGAATTCTTGAAAATTTTTTAACATTGCAATTAAATTTGCTGACCGTTTTCAGAGATGCTCCACATTCAACTTTGTCTATATAAACACTTGATTTAGAATCATTTGATAAAATTAATTGAAAGAAGATCAGCAACCTGCTCAACCTCATGGCGTTGATATTTTGGAAGACAATCAAATTTAAAATAAAAAAAAAATCTGTATCAAATTTAACTTTTGTAAGCGATGATTACAATAATTATTTATTCAATTTAAAAAGTAAAGTTATCTAAAAATTTATGTGCTATCTATAAAATTATAATTGGTATAAGTGTGTAATTTTTTATGCTTCCGCGATGTGAATTTTACATATTATCTATCTGATATTTATATTCTCGTAAACTGAAAACTGATATTTATCAAATTTAATTGTCGGAAGAGCTATCAGTGCATTCAAGTATTGCAAATAACTTCAATCATTGTGTTAAAATAGAAAATATTTCCTTCTGATGTCTATCAAATTTCACACAATTACTGACAGATCTATTAAATCTGATAATAATATTAAGTTCTAATAAACTTATTTTCTTCAAATCAGGAAATATTTATTAAATATTCTCATTTGATATTTCATTTTTGCACTAAAGTATCATAGAAAGTAATATTGAAAATATTATCATCCAAGTCATCATGTAATCTGAGTGATACTTTGTAAGAACCTGAAGGAAATACTTTTAAAGATTCCAAACCTCCCACTGATACATTTGCAGAGTAAAACTTTCCTGGACCTTTACAAGTTTCCAATATATTTCCAGTGAGACTTCTTCCAAAACTTAATACATCAAATAATGTTGAACCATAAAATTCACTTGGAACATCCCGAAGAATCTTACAAAATTCAGCTCCCTTATATTCAAGAATTTTGTAATAATTCTTTGTCGCTGTTTGTCGATAGACTTCATTAGATAACTGTAATAATATCAATATGTATTTAGAATGAATGAAATAAATAATTAAAAACCTTCGCATTTGGAGTTCCTCGAACCAGTGTGTACTCTACATTTAATAAAGGATTGCCTCTTGTATACGCTTTTAAAAAGCAATTGAATTTGGTGACAGTCTTCCAAGATGTCACACACTCGAGTTTATTTAGTCGAACATTTGGTTTTGAGTTACTCAAAAATATCAGCTGAATAAAAATCAGTGAGCTACAAAGTATCATGTCGATTCCTGCTTTGAGTTCAATTTCATTTTTATCAGAATCACGTTTTATAAAAGCGGATGAGGAAGTAAGCTTATAAAAACAATGTCATAAAAAAATTAATTAGGTATTTTCCGTGTAAAACTCATTTAATTTCTAGTCATCAAACATGCATCATTGAATTTGAGTGATAAATTGCAGTGATAAGAATTCAAGTTTGATACATTTTATTTCAAGTTTGATACATTTCAAGTTTCTGTTTTTATTTATTTGACAATTCATTTATGTATGAACCAATGTGATAGCTATTGAAATGTTCATTACGTTTTCATCTTCTGAATCATACAAATTATATCTCATTCTGAAATCGCTTGCTGGAAAATATTTCAAGTGTTCAAATGATGAAAAACTTGCGTTTGTTAAATGAAAATCCCCGATTTTGTCACAGACATCTAAAAGGTTGGTGTTCAGAGTTTTGAAGTAGTTAATCAATTCAGTTATATGAGATAAGGTAGAAGAACCCTTGATAACTTTACAAATTTCTACTTTCTCATAATTCAGAACCGTATTATAGCTTCCGACAGACGATTGCCGCTGAACTTTACAATCAACCTGAATTTAATGAAAAACAAAATTATATTTCAATGCATGAAAATTTAAATTAGAACCTTTGCATGATTGAGTTTCCGTGTCAACGTGAATCCCGCATTAAACAAAGGATTGTATCTTTTGTAACTTTTTGAAAAACAGTATAGTTTAGTGACACTCTTTTGAGAAGTTCCACATTCGATTTTATTAAATCGAAGATTTACTGTCGAGGTACTTAAGCATATTATTTGCAGGAATATAATCAACTTCAAAAATATCATAGTGAATGAATGTTTTTCATATAAATGGAAAACATTTATTTGAATTTATTTGAAAGTTATAAAACATTTATTAGGAAGTTGGTTGATAAACACTAAATTTAAACCTCATATTATTACGATAATTAGGTATTTATATTTATGCTACACAAAATCATGACAATCTTTTCAGGCCTAAAATAATTTGCGTCCTATAGTTAAAAAGCAGATAAGTCATGTTAAGAGTTTTATCATTGTCCAAATTATAACAACAGTTTTACAATAAATTTTGCCAGCAACAATTAGAATAAATTGATCGGCAATCCAAAAAAGAGCGTAATTTTTGCTCATAAATTGGAATAATAACTTTAGAATGATATTTAAAGGAAAGTTGGTTGTTAGAAAGTAACATTCCACCTTGAGCTAAAATATTAAAAATATCTAAAAACAATTTTTATTTCTAATGAATATTTTTTCTAAATGAATGTATGAAATAAAAGGATATTATGAAAATAAGATTTGATATTTAGAAAGGAAATATTGTAAGAATTAGATAGTAATTCATATTTCATTAAATAGAATTTGAATTAAACATGTTCAATATTTAGAATAATCAAAATTTATTAGGTATACACTTGTGAAAACAAAGTATTTATTTGACTTGTCTATATATGAAATATAGTGCTAATGAAGGTCAAATCAAATATATTGTCATCATCCAAATCATGAAAATGATATTTATTCTTATATTTACCAACTGGAAAGAATTTTACCATACCCAAACTAGCATAAGACAAATTTGATATGGAAAAATCACCAATTCTGTCACAACTCTCTAGTACATTGGTACTGGAATTTCTTACGAATTCAATGTATTCTTTAATGAATGGAAGAGTCGATGAGCCTTTTAATATTTTACAAATTTCAAGATTTTCTATATTCAGAACTGTGTTGAACTTTTCGCCAGATGATTGCCGTTGAACTTGAATATCAGCCTGAAACATAAAAGTTATTAAGTTGTTTTCCTTGCATTCCTTTTTGATTTATTTAAGAACCTTAACGCCGTCAACTCTTCTTACAAATGTGTATCCAACATTCATCAAAGGATTATTCCTTTTATAACTTTTTAAATAACAATAATATTTACTGACAGTCTTTCCTGATGTATTACATTCTATTTTATTTAAACGTAGCTGGGGCGCCGAAATATTTGGAACTACCAATTGGAAAAATATTACTAGCTTCAAGAGTGTCATAGTGATTGACAGATTTTTTTTAAAGTCCAAATATTTTATAAAAACTTGCATTAATCATTGCACGCTTCAACGGAAATAAACTGTTAACTTATAAATGTATCATCAATTTAAAGTTGTCACACAAAATACTTCAATATTAGTGTTTTTATATTTCCTTTTATTACCAATAATGGATTGAAGTTAAATTTAGTGATCTTTAAAGATTTGAATAAATTTTATTTGTGAACGACATTTAAGTTCATAGTTGCGTTTATGATGTTCTCATCTTGAATATCAAACAATCTAAAAGTTGATCTGTAATTTCCTGCTGGATAAAAATTTAAGGAGTTATCTTCAGCAACTGAGATATTGGTCATATAGAAATCTCCGGATCGATCACAAGCTTCCATCATATTTCCATCAAATGTTTTAATAAAATCAATAAATACGTCAATGAATGGTTGACTTGAAGCTCCTTTGATAATTTGACATGCATCGATACGTTTGAGTTCCAAAACTTTATCGTAGTTTTCATTAAGTAATTGTCTGGATATAATGTAGTATATCTTGAACGAGAATAGATGAAAGTGTGGATCTCTACGAGCGAGTTAATTACTAACCTTTCCATTTGGAATCGCTCGATTCAAATTAAAATTTACATTTATCAAAACATTATTTCTTGAATATGACTTAAGGAAGCACTGAAACTTAGTAGCTGTTTTTAATGACGATCCACATTTCAGTTTACTAACTCGAAAAAAAGGCTTTGTAGTTGTAAACAGTATGAAATTGAAAAATATCAACAACTTGTGAAAATTCATTGCAGCTGTTTGGATAAAGTTACTGAATGAAAAAACAAATTCAAAGTATTTAAAAAATAAACCAGAGAATTATTTTAAAAAGATTGATTTAAATGATAAGTTTAAATAGTTTTAAATGTTTAAAAAGCTTTTGAATCAAATGAAATATTTATTCCACAATTTTTGCTAAGTATCATTATTCAGTATACAATCCATGCACAGTGGAAACTTTTCTTTAAGAGAGCGGTCATTATTTATTAAATATCTTTATACATGTCCGTCGAATGTCATGGCGATGTGTGAAACAAATGTTCTTAAGGAGACTATCCGTTAAGGTGCATTATTTTTAGTTCGGCCCGGCTCAAGAAGAGGGCAAAAATATTTTTATAAACCATATATAATTATTCTCAGATGTCTTAGATGTTGTTGATCAATAGAAAATATTCACTTATGAATGAGGCGTGCGAAGTAAGTTAAATTTAAAATATTGCTATCATCGTTATCATAAAGCCTGTACTGTGTCTTGTAGTTTCCTGAAGGAAACATTCGCAAAAGCATTGAATCATCGAAAGAAATGTTTGCAATCCAAATCATTCCAGATTTCTTACAAAAATCACGAAAATTAGAATTTAATGTTTCTCCATAACTTATGAATGCTTCAAGAAATGGACTTGAGCTTGCGCCGTTGATTATCTTGCAATATTCAATTTTTGGATACTCAAAAATTTTCTCATATTCTCCACCACCAGTTAGACGAAAGTTTCGCAAGTACACCTGAAAAATAAAGAAAGATTGAAATTATCTCAAAGATAAATAATTGAAATGAAACAAACCTTTCCGTCAGTAATCGGGCGAGTCAAATTAAAGCCAGCATTTATCATAGGAAAGTTTTTCCGATAAGCTTTCAAATAGCAATAAAATGAACTGGCAGATTTTAATGAAGTGCCACATTCGATTTTTGTGAAACGATAATAAATTTTTCCATTTGCATTGTTCAAGTAAAATATATTCAAAAGAATCAAAATGGAAAAACACTTCATCTCTCTTTACTTTTCAACAGTAATAAAACAAACTTGAATACTTTTTATTTAAATTAAAACTTTTCATTACGGAAATTGAAAAATTTGTTCATTTTTATTACATACACATTTTTTAATTGTCAATTTCATTAATATTAAAAAGTTTATGCCACAAAGCTCACCAATAATTTTCAACGACGAAAGCTCGAATTTGACACGACCTTTTGTCCGCAACGACACAACTTTAACATTCCACCTGCAATTATTTTTATTAACATCATCATCATGCAAATCTGCGATCAAAATTGTTCATTTGAACTTTTTCATGATGCTCGTGAACTCATCGTTGAACATAAATCGTGTTTTAGTTCATTCACGAAATTCATTGAGGGGAAAGTCTGGTAATCCGATTAGCTGTAAAAAGCCGCAGTCAATCATTGTTGTTGTGTCTCTTCCCTTACTTATTTTTTTTATTGCAGGAAATCATTATCAAATTGGATTGAAAAATCGTTTATCAGACTGTTAAATGGGATTTTTTCAAATGTTTTCATGTAAAGTGTTGATTATGAATGTATTTAGAATATTGAATTAAATTATGCATAAATGAATGAATTGGTGAACGAATATTTGGAAAATGATGTAAGTTTTTATTTAACCTTCGTGCTACGATCTACCGTGAATCGACAGTGAGATTCCTATTTCTAATCCAACATCAAATAAACATTTCTCAGAATTGTGAAAATGTTTCATCGAAACATTTGATATTTAAAAACTCATCATCATCTCGCGACATGATCTGCTGTAAACTTCTATTTTTGTTTCTTTCACGTTTACATGTTTAAGTCCAAGTCTTCTTTTTTTACGAGATTTTAAGTAATTTATACGACTGAACGAAGACACAAATTAATTTCGAGTAAAATTCTGATGAAATTGTGACAGCTGGTCTTGGGAATTTTATTTCAGACTTTGCGTCATATTTACTTTAAATGCACCGCAAAGTTGCCACAACAACTATCAAAATTATCTTCAAAATATCGTGTTGCATTTGTGTAAAATATTTTCTTCTAAGGAAAGTAACAATGAATATTATGCTGGCCATTCCATGTGAATGCAATTACGTTTTAAATATAATTTAGAAGTTAATTAAAGTGCGGATTGCTTTGTACATAAAATTATACATTTGAGACCTCTCATAGGCAAGTGTACATTCTTTGCTGTTGCTTGCCGATAATAAATGGAATTTTCCTCAGTTGTGAGTTCAGCAATTGACGATTGAAATACTTACTTTATAGTTAATTTACCGCTTCTGGAAGCAAATTATTAATTGCATGAAAATGTGTTGATTACGAGTTTTAAATAAATTACAATGAAACTTTTCCTTCTTTAAGTTGTGAATTTTATTTGTCTCATGTTTCACGTGTTGATGACATAATCAAATACTACACGAAACTACTTGAAAATATATTATAATTTAATTGAATTTAAGATCTAATATAATAAAAATCAGTTTTTCGCCTTAATCATTCAAGTGCTGGCAGACGATGATGGTTCTCCTAACATATTTTTAAACAGAACTTTCCTTGTGAAACGAAGAACGAAAGAGCAGAACGTAATGAAATTATAATCATAATTCTCAATTTGTATGACAAAAGAACGTTCGTTCAATGCAGTCGTCGATGGAAACAAGATGACAGAGGTCATCGGCCTTTCGACAGCTTTTCACGCTTGTTTACGTTTTTCTTTTTCTAAAAAAAAATTGTCTTGTTGTGCTTCCTCCATCGAAAATAAACTTATTCAGTTATTCCAAGGCGATGGATCATTATGATGCTTTCTTTTTATGGTTTATTATAAGTCTTCATCTTCCACTTCTGCTCTAAATTCAGACACAGAAAAATATTTACACTGACTGAGTGTATGCTTTACGATGCTCTAAATGATTATTTCAATCTGATTAATAATGAAACATTTAGTGCTTTTAAAAAATCATTTCTTCTAAAATTATTTCATCGCTCTCAATCTGAAATGCATTCAACTTTAAATATTTGTTTATCGTTTAACAAACAATTTCGAAGAGTTAATTTAGAAACATTTTTCATCACATTATTGATGCTGCATTTTGCTTCATATCTCATTCATTCATATTTACAAGTGTTCTTGATGGGATGGCTTAAAGTATTTTTTTCATCTAAAATTTCCCTGGGACTTGAACTAAAACACTGTTGTTGATGGCTGTTTGAAGTTTGAACTTGAAGCGAACTCATGGTGTTGATATATTTGATCAGTTAATTATGGATATGTTTACAAAACAACCATTAATTAACATTCCTTCTTCATCTTTTTCTTCGTCATCATCATCGTCTTGCTTCATACCAAATCACGAGCCAATACCATACACTTATAAATAAGTTAGTTACGATAATGATCGAGTTTGTTGATGCGAGTTTACCATACACAATAACGATGTTATGACATCGATCTCTCTTGTTTCTATCCGTTTCTTGTCGATCACGGCACACAATACACTTTTTATTCTTGGTAAATGTGCTCATAAACTAATCGAGTGACACAATTCTTTAGCTTACGTTGCGATAAAGTATGAAATGGGACGACAACATTTTTCTTCCATCATAATTTTCTTTTGTGTTGCGTGGGAAAATGTGGGGAAAATATGGTAATAAAGAATTGTAAGTTACCAGCTGATAACGATAAACAACTATGCCATTAACAAATATAAACATTTGACCTATTAGCGTTTAAAATGAAAGAAAATTTGTCGACGTATTTGGAGGTAAAAATCGATCGAAAACAAAAACCTTGCGATTAACAGTGGTGCTTTGAAACTGAATATGGAATTGAACAGCGTGTTTACCGCTCCATTATGGAGCTAATTGCATAAGCGTCAGTTTTAGTAAAGCTTAGCACGATACCTTTTTTCCATTCCAGAAATCTTTCATCGTTAAACTCCAAAATCGAAATATTCGTGGGAAATACCAACGAATGGACAATTTGTTTCAATCTCGGCTTAATTTAATTTCCTAATCTTCATGTTCAATGGCCTTAAAGAGCATACAAATATGTTGTGACATTTCACTCTCAAATTTCATGCGCATGGGTTTAAATAAAGAAGAAAAAAGGGATCGGAAAACGTGTTGAAAGAATGGAACTTGAAAAGTTGCGTCAAACAAATTTAACGAGTAATTTGACATGCATGTTAGAAAGTGTAAGAAACTTCACATTATTTTACGATGAGAATTTATTTGTAAAGTTAAATTAGATATTTCAATTTTAAAGAATGATAAAATGGATTGGAAAAGTGGCAGGAAAATTAGAAAAATTTCTGTAAGAAATCCAAAAGTTTAAAATTTGTTTTCAAACAGCATCATTTAAAGTAAAACTATCAAAAAGAAGTTTGCACACTTTTATGAATAACTGGAAAAGATTAGCGAATTCAAGTACGTAACTAATTTTTTTCTATATTTGTTTATGGATTTTTGTCCATGCAGGGGCATAGTAAACTTTTAATTCCTTTTCCACAACAAAAAAAATTGCTGCCAAACTCCCTGGGTTCAAATAACTGTTCTTCTGCCATAAAACCCACTGGAAAGACTGCCACCTAAGAATGACTTCTTAATAATTGGTGAAAGACATTTTGAATGATTCAAAATAAATGTTTTCGTTCATTTTGTGTATCCTACCAATTAACATGTGAAAAATATCTAATGGAATAAAAGCGTGGCATCCTTGAGAAGAAATTTTAGTTTCTTTCTGACATTTAAAGAGATAACTTAAGAAAAAATTATAAAAAATCGAAAGAGAAAAATGAAATTGTCGGTTATTGTCGCTGTGATGATGTTATGGTCAATTAAATCAGCAGAAAGTGAAAATTTCTCCTCTGAATCATTTCAATCTCATATCATGAATACTCTTATTAATGGGTATCGATCTTTGATTGGTGTCAAAGATGAAGCAAGAGGTGCAGCTGCAGTTGTCGGATCGTACATCGTAAATTATAATATCAAGAAAACAAAGAAAACTAAGAGAACTAAGAAACCAAATCGAAATTCGAGGCCAACGAAAACGACAAAGAAGCCTCAAACAACGTCTTGGAAGCATTGCACGTATTACTCTTATTATTATCAAGGAGTTCAATATTTTTATTATGACTGTCCCTATTAAATTTCATTAATTTAAATAGATAATGATTTAAAATTATTTATTAATTTTTATGTTGTAGCTTTTTACCATAAAAGTTTTAAATTAAACATTGCTTTCCAGCTTCTGCATAATTCAAACGAACGTGAAAAATGTCAAATCGATTTCAAAGCCAATAAACCAAATCAATTTATGGATTGATTCAACTTTATTTTTATGAAAAGAATGATAAAATATTGTGTGAATAAAACGGTATCATCTTTGACCAAATATGTCAAGATTTTCGACGACCCAAAAATGAGATATAGAGAGTTTATATTCATTATTATATTCATTATAAAGAAGAAGCTTAAGAATTCACAAGGAATTTATTTCATTTACGGTCCTCTGAAATCCTATTGTTATTGTTATTGTGAAATCTAAAATAATTCCGCCTGCCTAATGTGTCTTCTTAACCTTGATGGTAAATCTTTCTGATTTTGTTGAACCCTCAAACTTGTCCGTTTTGCATTATTGACATTGTCGCTTTGTTAAGAAATTATTTTGCTTTTTTATTTAATTCCTTGTCGCCTCAAAAGTTTTGTTTTCTTTAATGTTGTGTTGAATTAAGTGTTTAATCATGTTACATCACAAGGATTTTGCTTTTAATTGGAAATTCTTGTTCAACATTTGCATTACAATTTTCTTATTTCAAAGGCGATTTAATTGTTTATAACTTTCATAACCTGCGTCGACAAGACGACAACGCAATAAAAGCGAGCAGTTTGTTTCATTGAGATATCCAAGGGAAACAATTGGGTTGAAAAAAAACGGGACAATTGCTTCTTAAATTCTATTGAACAATGTGAGTGTGCTGTTTTAATTCCATTGCTTTAAATACCCCGCACTGCCGTCATAAATCTCTTGTTCAATGTCGAACTGCTAACAGTTGTCGGTTCTTACCGTCGATTGTTTTCAAATTGAATTTGAACACCAAATAAATTGTCGGAGAATCGAAAAAATATAAAATTAAATAAAAACTGAAACAAAAATTTCCAGTCACGCAACGTGGTCATCGTGTTGGCGAAGTGTGGGAAAATTTGTTTGTGTCACCTGCTGTTGACAGAAGTAAAATTTGCAGAAGGATTTTAATTCAATGCATGTTATTTTCCGTAATAGTATCCGGATGTTGCGGTCATAAATCATCCATAAATGAGTACCACACAAGTTGTGTTTAACTTAAAGTATTGCGGTTGAAATTGCAGTTAATTAGAATTTTATATTTGAAGACTTGTATCAGTAGAAACAGAATCTAACAATTGTTTGAATGATTAAAGAGTATCTATTTCTACTCAACAGAAAAAGAAATAATAAAATTTATGACTAGACGATTGCTAAAGTCAATGAAATCATCAAAAGTACTTCATAGAGAGAAGATAAAAGCAAATCATGTTCACATGAACTTGCAAAACGTGTAGTGGAAGGAAAGAAAGAGAGCGATGATTCAGCAACTTCGCTTAAGTTGAACTTGTCACTAATTTCCATGTTGCCAAACTTAAGAATTGTAATTCATACATCACAAGCGATTGAAACGATCCAGTTTTGATTCGTTACGGCAGTTAGCTCTCAATTGACTTCAATTGTCTTCCGTCTTGTACATAAATTGATTGCATCATTCTCTTAAAGCACATGTTGATGTCGAGTCTTTGAAGTTTTAAAACCTTTCAAGTGATGCAATTTGTTTTATCGTTTGGCGGAAAACCATGAAAGTCTACCACTTAAGATAAAACCATATCCTTCAAGTAAAAAAATACTAATTCGAGTAAATAAATTTCAAAGATGAAAAAGAAATACAGAAATTGCAGACAAAAGAATATTTCCAAAAATGTAAGAAAGAAGTAAAAAATAAAGCAAAGATGAAGTTATGTAGAAGAAATAGAAATTCCTTTCTAAAGCAGATCGGTTTCTTTCAGAAATTCTCAGAATACGACAAGTTGTGTAATTTCAAAGACGAAATATCTGCTTCAGTGTCATTCCTACGATTGCTTCAATGATGAAAAGATTATTTTATTGTTGTATCTGTTCATAAATTACATCATTTGACGATCTCACAGTCACAATATTTAATAATGATGAAACCAGTTGAAGATCACGTTACTTGTATCAGATTGCAAAAAAAAATGAAGAAAATTAAAAAGTCTTCAGTGTTGAGTTAAGAAGACACGAATGCTGGTTTTTTTACGTTCTCCTTCGTTATAAAAACAACCATCATCATCCGTTCTGGATTCCTTTACACCGCGAATTGTCGCTTTTTTTTCTTCGGCTTTTTGTTTGTTCATCCATTGAAACTTTATCGCCAAAAGAATGTTCGCTTTCAGTCTCATTGCGATACTTCCGTTTCTGATTTCCTTTGCGCGTCTCTTGTTTGGATTCTTGAAGAATAATTTTTAGATTTTTTAATGAATGAAATTTCATCTTTTTCTTTCTTTTGAATTCCAGGAAATAAACAATGGGATGATCGGTGTCAAAGCAACAGAATGTTCGGGTCCGTCAGCCCAACGTGGAAATACGTCATCGAATTTTTCAAATAATCACCATTTACAACGTCAACCAGTGACACCAACATCTCGTGAGCGAGCAATGCATGCTATAGAATATTACAATAGTAATGTGCTTAAAGCACGAATGGGTGCAGGACTTGCTGGCCCAAGAAGTTCAGTCAATGAACGTCATATGAGCTTCGGCGGTGGACGACCATTGAATACAGTCGGTTCAAGGTTGTATCCATCTCACGGTGAAAACATTTACCGAAGTAATTCGAGCTTGGAATTACTCGATGCTGGAAATAACAACGAAACCATTACACATTTAAGTGGACCATTAAGACGAGAGTACGGTTCTCATGGATCAATCGATGTGATCTCATCTGATAGAAGTCCCGTCGCTGCATCAGCTGGCGAAAATTTCTTTGCAATGTTGCAAGAATATCGTCCCGCTGTTCTTGGATTAAGCGAAGCAAATGAGAAGCGTAAAGAACAAACTGAGGTCGTAAATAATCATCGCAACAGTACGATCGTTGAAGAACAAATCGACCGTGGTAATTCAAGTCCAAAATTAAGAATGAAACTTAAACTTTGGGGACCGACAAAAACTACACGTTCACAATCTCATGTTCCAACAGTTGATGAAGGCAATGGAATCACATTAAATGTTTCATCATCAAACTCAAGTGTCACTTCAGTTGCTGCTGCTGACATTGAAGAACGAACAAAGCGACGAGCTTTCGCTCATTACGATTGTCAGTCATTGACTGCAAACTTGGGTTATGCTGCAAAGTTACGTGGACTTTTATTAGCACGAAGAAGAAATACAACAACTGGTGCTTCAGCTGCTGCTATGTACAGTACACGATCATCAACACCTGATGGTGACAGTAACGATGAAGATTATGGAGATGGATTTAACAATGAATTGCTAGAAAATTGTCCATTCTTTCGTAACGAAGTGGGTGGTGAAGAAGAACGTGAAGTTAGCCTCACAAGAATGGGCCAATCTAATAATAAAGTTCAAAAGCGTCCAATTCATCGTCCAACATTAGCGTATGGAGTATCAGTTCTTGAATGCTTAACAAATGAAACTTTATGGAATAAACATACATGTCCTTATCAGAAGGGATTAAAGCCGATTGAACAAGTCGATAATGGTGCATATTATTACCGGAAATTCTTTTATGGACAAGAACATCAAAATTGGTTTGGAATGGATGAACAACTTGGACCTGTTGCGATATCAATAAAGAAGGAAAAACCTTTCAATCAACCAATAACATCTGATCCAAATCATCAACAGCATCTTTATCGATTGATTGTTCGAACCAGTGAATTGTTGACACTTCGTGGATGTGTATTTGAAGATTCAATTCCAAATCCACGTGGTGCTGGAAAAGCGATAAATACCAAAGAAGTGCTTGAATATGTTGCACCCGAAGTACAAATTCCATGCTTGAAACTTGCAAATAATACGCCACAATGTGAAACACAATTGCTTAAGCTCGATGAACAAGGATTAACGAATAAATATAAAGTTGGAATTCTTTATTGTCGAGCTGGTCAATCAACCGAAGAAGAAATGTACAATAATGAAGAACCGGGACCAGCATTTACCGAATTTCTTGAGACAATTGGTAAGAAAGTTCGATTGAAGGGCTTTGAAAACTACAAAGCTGGATTGGACAACAAAACAGATTCAACGGGAACACATTCAGTTTATGCAACTTATCAAGATTGTGAAGTTATGTTTCATGTGTCAACAATGCTTCCGTTTACACCAAACAATCGACAACAATTACTTCGAAAACGTCACATTGGTAATGACATTGTTACGATTGTATTTCAAGAACCTGGCGCTTTACCATTCACACCAAAAAATATTCGATCTCAATTTCAACACGTATTTGTAATCGTTCGTGCTGTTAATCCATGTAGTGAAAATACTTTTTATCGTGTTGGTGTATCACGTTCCAAAGAAGTACCAGTGTTTGGACCACCAATAAGGATCAATGCTTTATATCAGAAGGGAAAGAACTTTTCTGAATTTCTTCTCGCGAAAATTATCAACGCTGAAAATGCCGCACATCGAAGTGAAAAGTTTGCAACGATGGCAACGAGAACAAGGCAAGAATATTTGAAGGATCTCTGCACAAATTACTGCACACAAACCCCAGTTGAAACAGGACAAAAATTTTCTATTTTTCCGATAAAGAAGAAGGAACCCACAAAGCCAAGATTCAGTGGTGATGCTTGTCAACGTGGTGCTTTTTGTTGGCAAGTTGTGTTACATGATTCTGGCTTATCAACACAAGTTGATTGTTTCCTAGGCATTTCTGCAGAAACTTTCGTTTTAATCGAAGAATCTTCAAGACAAATAATTTTTGTCATTCCAAATCGCGCCATTCTTGGATGGTCAACAAACGGAAATGCTTTGCGTGTTTATCATCATCAAGGTGAATGCATAACGATGGGAATGCGAGATAACATTGAATCGGGTGATGAACAACTTGAAGTCATTGAAAGGTTAAGAAATGTTTCAAACGGTTGCGGTGCTCTGGAGTTGAGTTTAAGACGAAATTCAATGGGACAATTGGGTTTTCATGTTCAACCTGATGGTGTCGTTACACAAGTTGAAATGAATGGACAAGCTTGGACAGCAGGATTACGGCAAGGTTATCGATTAGTTGAAATATGTAAGGTTGCTGTCGCTACTTTGTCACATGATCAAATGGTTGATCTTCTTAAAACATCGGTTCAAGTTACCGTGACAGTTATTGAATCATTTTCTGATTTTTCACCACGACGCGGTTGCTTCGTGTCAAGTTGCAAGTTTAATGCGATTAATTATGAAGATGATTACGAGAATGTTGATGGAAAAGGAAAAGGTGTAAAGAAACCAGCAGCAGCACCACAAATTCAAGCAACTGCAAATCATCAAAAGCGTTATGAAAGAAATTTTTCACCACCAAGATCGAGTAACAGTTCTGGCTATGGGACTGGAAGTTCAAGTCGATCTTTTACAGCGAATAATGATCAAAGATTTGTTCCAGATATGGGAACATTAACATCGTCATCAAGTGGACATTCAAGTAACGATGAAAGATGGTACGACGTTGTTGAACAACAACAACAACAGCAGCAACAAAATGATTCAAAAAATGATCATCATCAAAAATTGGGTCCCTCAATATCACTTCCATTGACACAAAACAATCCGTTAACAATTCATGAAGGACGTCCATTACCGAGACAAGCTAATATTGAATATTTAGCTCAGCATCGACAACAACCAAAACCAATGTCAGATTATGTTTCACCGGAAACTTTAATGAAGAATTTTCACATGAGTGACGATCATTTGAAAGGAAATGTTGAGAAGAATAATAATCATCGACCTGAACCAATCTACAGTGTATCAATGAAGAATGCAAACATTAATCATCAAACTTCTTCTTTAGATGAAGATGATTTAAATCGAACGAATAAGACAGTGGAAGTTACACAATTGAAACGTTCAGCAACGACGAATAACATTCAATCAACAAAGAAAACTTCCGCAACAACAACTGTTGCACCACAAACGTCATCATCATCGTCATCAAGTCGAAACAATAGTCCTCGACCGCTAACAGAAGCTAAACTAAGGCCAGGTGTAACAAATCGATCTACTAATCCAAATCATCGAGCGAGCGTTCATTACAGCAGCACATTGCAAGAAGATTTACTTAAATTAATCAATCCAGATTACTTAATGGGTGCAAGTGACGACAACTTTCATCAGGGCGGATTAACGAATTCGATCATGAAACAACAGAAAAATTCACCAAATAGTCATAGTTTGGGAAATTTATCGAGTAATTTGCAGTCATCACCTTTGAAAGCTGCAATCATTTCTGATGATCTCATTTTGGCTAAGAAGAAATCGCGGTCACGAGAAGGAATTAATTTAGGAAATGGTGGAAATGTTGGTGGTAACTTGAAACTTCATCGATCAAATGGAACATCACCTGATGAAGAAATTATCATCACAACTGCTAGACCAGCAACTGTTATTTCATCATCAAGTTCATCGCCAGCACATGAGGTCTTACAAAATTCAAAGTTACTTCACATTAGTGAAGAGAAGATGAAAGTTTCACCAAGAAAGCAATTGAATGGAAATAGCGTACTTTCAATGAGTGGTGGAATGATAAGAAATAAATTTCCAGTCTTAGCTGACATGAAAGATTCTGATTGGAATAATTTAGTTGATACAGCAACACGTGCGATGCTTCAGGTAAATATTTCAATCTCCGTTTTTAAATCAAAATTTTAAGTTTTGCTCCTTTCAGATCTCAGAGAATGGAACTGGACATCAAGAGAATCTTTATGAAGAGTTAAATGCTTTAACAAATGGTGGAGTTGCTGCTTCAATGACCCATCATGGTTCATCATCGAATACAACGCCGAATTCTCTTTCACCGATTTCAAATTCAGGCGGTGGAAGCAGTAGCAGTAGCGTTTATGGTGCTAATGGTGTTAATGGAAATTCGCCAGCAAATGCACTTCCTGAGCTACAGAGTCAAGTCTCTCAACTCTCTGATCGTGTAATGCGGGAACAAAGAAGACGAAGAAGTCTCGAAGTTGCTGTGAAGAAGTTAACAGAGGAAAATCGTCGTTTACAGGATGAAAGTCAACAGGCTGTTCAACAACTTAAACGATTTACCGAATGGTTTTTTCAAACCATCGATAGACAATCTTAAAAAGCACGAATATTGACATTTAAATTATTAAACTTTACACAATATGCAGCATTAAAAATACCCTAATTAATAAGAAAACATAAAGGCAGAGAAAAGAAATCTTATGATGATGAAATTGAATTAAACACCAAGTTTTTATTTTTCATAGAATACTTAGATCTTTAACATAAATTAGAAACAAAGAAGAATGGATGCATTATTAAGCATTAATGCTAGAGTATTTACTTACATATATAAAAATATATAAAGCTGAACCAAAATATATCATCAACAACACAAATCACATCCCCATCGATATCATAGAATTTAAATGTGCACATTTTCCGTCTTCCACATTTTTTCTCCCGTTTATCTCATAATTTAATTAATTATTTAAAAACAATTTTTAACCATCATGGTGTAAAGTATCAAAGAGTATTTTATTATTTTATTTTAATTTGCATCGACAGTCTTTGTTAATACCAAAATAAAATTTAATGTAAATTTTAGAGATTTTCTTAATTATTTTTTTGCTGGTTTCTTGAAAGTATCTATTTCATATTTGTATGATAATTTAATTAAAATTTAGACAAAATTCTTCTTTTCATGTAAAATCAAATCATGAACAACTTTTCGTTTGTAATATATATGTAGTGCCTTGAAATTAAGTTTATTTTTTAATTTTATTTCGTCCCAAGCACAAGAAATGAGAATAAAAGATTAATTTAAATGAAAACTCAACAAGAAATTCTTTGAACTTATCAAATATTTTCATGTGTTCAGTTAAGAAGTTAAGATCGAAGGGAAACATTTGAGTAAATATCAATTCATGCTTTAAAAGGTAATTCGTTCAGTTCAAGTTTCACTTTCATATCGACTGGTTAACAACTTACTAAATATTTGAAGTTCTAATCATGCTCGGCTTGTTGCTTATCCGATGTGATTTCTTTTACAGGAAGGTGATGAAATAAATCCATTTAAGTGAAATATTTCAATATATTTCTTTAGAAATTTAACTTCCAGATCTTGCGCAAGAGAAGTTTATTCAGAAAAGTTGTTACGTGGATGTGCGTATTGATCTTGTTGTTAATCGTCGGTTTATATAAATTAATTGTAACATCAAATCATCCAATGGCAATAAGAAAACATTTTTATTATATTGAACCAGTTAATTCATTTTTCCGAAGTAAAACAATCACGAATGAGACGAAAGATTGGAATGATTTCTTGATGCTAAAAAATGACAGGAAAAGAGTTGGATTTGGAGAATATGGCTTGAAAACCTTTGTAGAGCATGAAGATAAAATAATGCAGTTAAGTATAATGCATCAAAATGGCCACAATACTATGGTATCAGATAAAATCGCTTTAAATCGATCTGTTCCCGATTTAAGAAGTGTTTCGTAAGTTTCGCTATCAATAACTTTTCTTTTATTTTATCCATGAGAATAACAATAAAAACAATTTTCATTTCAGCTGTCGTAAGAAATTTTATAGATCGAAATTACCAACCGTATCAGTCATCATGCCCTTCTATGATGAACACTTGTCAACTCTTTTAAGATCACTGCACAGTATAATTAATCGTTCTCCACCTGCACTTTTGAAAGAAGTTATTTTAGTGAATGATGCGTCAACGAAAGCTTTATTATACGATAATTTAGAAAATCATATCAGGGAACAAAAATGGAGTAACAAAGTGAAATTATTATTGATGGATGGTCGATCTGGTCTCATCTGGTCACGGTTAGCTGGTGCACGTGCTGCAACGGGAGATGTTTTGCTTTTTCTAGATTGTCACGTTGAAGTTGGTTACAACTATTTACCTCCACTTCTCGATCCAATTGTCGATAATTATAGAATTGTCGTATCACCAACACTTGATATTATTGATAAACATACGTATGAGATCAGACCAATTGGTCAAGGACGAACTGTCTTCGATTGGAGCTTTCATCCTCAGCGTATTCCATTAAGAGATCCAACAAAAGTTGATTTATATGAAACACCCATAATGTATGGTGCAGCTTATGCAATAGCTGCAAAATTTTTCTGGGAATTAGAACCTGACAGTGGTCTAATAATTTACGGTGGTGATCAACTGGAAATGAGTTTTAAGATAAATCTTTGTGGTGGAATACTCTATGAATCTTCATGCTCACGAATCGCACATCTTTATAGAAGATTTCCTTACAGGAAAGCTAATGCGGGCTTAGATTACAAAGCAAGGTAAATTGAAACATTCTTCTTATCAATTTACTATTCCATTATTTTATTTTTAAAAATATTTAAGGAATAATAAAAGAGTGGCAGAAATTTGGCTGGAAAATTACACGAAATATTTTTATGCGAGACATCCAGAACGTTATGAGAATGTAGAAATTGGCGATATTTCATCTCAATTAAAGCTAAAGCAGAAACTTCAATGTAAAGGATTTTCTTATTTCTTTGACGTTCTTGCACCAGATATGCTTGAAAGATATCCATTTAAAGAACATCATAGTTTTGCACATGGAACGGTTGGTATTATGAAATAATAGTTTCGTCATTCATTAGTAAAAGATGATTCTTAATTTTAGCTCCGAAACGAAGAATTCAATAAGTGTCTTCAAATCACTGATCACGAACATGGCGGAAATGTTATGTTAGCAAAATGCAGTCATAATAAAACAAGTCCACATAGTCAGCAATATTTCGTGTTGAGATATCACAGGGATATAATGATTTATGGAAAATCGGACTGTTTAGAAGGATCAGCTAATGGTGTAAAGTATGCAAGATGTCATTATGAGCAAGGCAATCAATATTTTCGATATGATCCCGAATCACATTTACTTTATTGGGGAAGAAAACGAAATAATTTATGTCTCGACGCCAGTGAAAAACATGATTACGTTTTTATAAATTTCTGTGACTCAGACAAACATTCACAACATTGGAGATGGGGAACTTATATGGTTCATATGTTGAAGAATTGGGCTTCTACTGGCGCCGCTATTTTGGATGAATTCGAAATCGAAGATCTTCAATCAGATCAAGCTTTCACTAATCCAAATCAAGTTCCCCTTGAGGATGAAAAGAATGCAGATAATCAAGCACAAGGAGAAGAACTTCCATCGAATCAAGTTGTCAAAAATCCGAATGAAGTACCGGCTTCCCAACAACAAGTTCCAGATAATCAAGCACAAAGAGAAGAACTTCCATCAAACCAAGTTGTCAACAATCCGAATGAAGTACCGGCTGCCCAACAAAAAGTTCCAGATAATCAAGCACAAAAGGAAGAACTTCCATCAAACCAAGTAGTCAACAATCCGAATGAAGTACCGGCTGCCCAACAAAAAGCTGCAGATAACCAAGAAGACAAAGGCTAATAAACTTAAAATATGTACTAAGCAATTATTATGGAATATTCTTGAAACTGGAATGTTTGCATAATTTATTGAATACAATTAAAAAATAATATAAATGAATAACGGTCAAATTTTCAAATTCTTTCGTTCAAAAATTTAGCTAAATTTATAGGTAGTTTATACTATAAAAACAAATGATGCAAAAAGACTTGAAAGAAGCAAAACAATTTCTCGAATAATAAGAATAACAAACGAGGAATCTCTCTTTAATTCTTTTAAATTGTAATAATGGCATTTAGCTTTTCTAAATTAACATTATTGCGACGGTTTGTGTCCGTCAGTGTAAATGAAAAATTAGTAAGTATTGACATTACTACTTAAGTTCCACAAATCTTCAAAATATCTATTTAAATTTTAGGTTGAAGGATTACAACCATTGATAACTAAATTGAAAATAAACAATATAAATGAACTTTTACAAACTACACCTGAACTCAATAATTATTCTCCTGAGCAATGGAAAAGAACGCATGACTTTTTAAAAGGAGAAGGTTTTAACACAAATAGCTTTGCTTACATGATTTCACAAAACCCCAAACTGATCAAAACACCGGAAATTCATATTTGCGAATCAATTAATACTTGGAAATCTTTCCAATTCGGTGAACGTAACACAATAAAATTACTTGAAAAGTTTCCCGAACTATTAAATATTCAACAGTCAAAGGAATTCACGAAAACGTTTAATACCATAAAATCCTTTGTTGGAGGTGGTCAGAATATTTACAAGTTGCTGATGAGCTCACCATCGATACTTTTTGAAAGTCTTCCAGATATTGATGAGAAAATTGATTATATTAGCAATGTCATGAAGGTTGAAGTATCACAAGTATATAAGTCAACAGTGATGTCTCTTGACATTGTTACTTTAAAAACTCGCCATGTCTTTCTTGAACGCCTTGGACTATTCATTGCTAAGAAAGTCAAAGACAAGGATGAAGTTAAAAGTAACGATAAGAACCCTAAACTATTCCGAATCGCTGACACAGACGATAAGACTTTCGCTACCAAAGTTTGTTCCGTGACATTAGAAGAATTTGAAACTTTCCAAGAACTTTACAAAAAAGAATTAGATCAAGAGATTGATGATGAGTCATCCGATGAAGAAAGCTATGAGACTGGACATGACGCATCTGTAAAAATAGAATTTGAAGTAATTTAAACATTTTCATGTTGTTAATATTTTGCTTAGCAAGAAGCAATTGGTTTTTAACTATTCATGAAATGAAATAAGTTACACAATAAAATTCTTAAAATGTAGATTTACAAGTACATAAAGTTGGGCACACCCTTTTAAAAATGCTGAAGAATCTCATTATTATTATGTTTGTATGTCTATAGAGGAGATGTTTATGTTGAAGATTGTCAATATTGGGATATTTTCATTTTGTATTTGAGGGTTTACAGATTTTCTTTTCTTTTACTTATGCTAGATAAATATTATTTTTTCCATCTTCTTCTTCTTATAAATTTATAGACGAAAGCAAATGTGATGAGCGCAATGTCCAACATGAAGGCAAGTGAAAAAATTTGTTTTAACTAAAATCACAAAAGAAAAAAAAAATGCAGCATATCTAAACATCGTGATTCAATAGTGGAACATCATATTTTCGATTGTTGAGTCCTGTGCAAGGAAATATCCAACAAAGTGGATGATTGCGTGTTCCACAAACTTCCGCCATAAGTGAAAGTTTTGGCCGATTCGGGCGATAGCTGCCACGCATTTGAACTTGTTCAATTGCAGTTTCGTCATCTGATCGATGAAAACAAAGAAAGAAACCTGTCAATTCAAGAAATTGTTTATAAAAGAAGAATCTTACATAAAATTGCATGTAGTTGATCAACCATAATTGCAACTACAAATAAACCGAAAAGTCCCGATTCGAGCAATAGAATGACGCTATGTAACATTTTTGCTTGTGCATCTGCCATGGAAATATTTGGATCCGTTGGTTCAATCCATGACATTACAATCAATATAATTGAGTAAACAGCTAATATTCCAACATAAACAAGGAATTGAAGAAAATATTTTTGATTCCTTTCACCTACACAGTTGTTAACCCAAGGACTGAAACAGATTTTTTAATGAAGTTAAATATTTTTAGTTAATTACATCGAATTATTACCAATGATGATCCATTCGTCGAATACATCGCTTGCAAATCCTACAATGATGAGCTCTTGGCGGTCTGAAAGTTTCACATCGTGTACAAACCGTCCAGTCATCATTCTCAAATTCACTTTTGTTAGAGTGAAGATCAGAGAAATCGAGACGAGTGGTTGGCAAAGGAACTGTACCGGGATCTAAGAATACTGCTTTTAGATGAGACATCACAAGAAGAAAAACTATCGTGTTGAAAAAAATAACATTGAATGGGCCCCATAGTCTGAAAAATGTTTCGAATAACAATTATCGATTGACGAGTAATGAAAAGAAAGGAAAATAATGATGAAGCTTGCTTACGAATTTTGAAAGTTTAGCAAAATTATCCATCGTGTTACAACATAATCAGCGTAAAAAACGGCTAAGTATGTGAAAATTAAGCACACAATTCCGCAGGGATCTCTAACAAATGGCATATTTAATGTTTTACACTAAAATGTAATCATTACAACTTTAAGCACTTGAGATTTTTTCCATCATTTAATCTCGAATTGAACATTGAGTAGATACGAAAACACAGTCAATTTATGTGGAAAAGACTACAATATTATGCTTTCAGAAATTGATTAAGAATTTACGTTCAACAACCCACGAGAAAATAAGAAATAAACAATAGATTGCAAGATTTCTATTTACTCTTCAATCTTTGTTTTTGAAAAAAACCTTGGGACTTGGCACTTTTCGCTTCAATCAGCAATCTGCCCCTGAATATAGAGCATGATAAAACAAAATCGTTCGATATATTCAAGTAAAAACTTTTCATAAATTTTGGAAATTCCCTATTTTTTAAATATTTGTAGCCAATTTGAGCTTTTTCATCATAGAAAACTATAACCTGAGTGTCAGCAAAACATCAGTTTTCTGCTAAAGTTAAAAAGCTTTGAATGTTTACAAACTAAACGTGATAAATAAACAAGAACAATGGGTTTATTCGGGAATTCTGCGACAAGTGCTTTGGAGGCTGAAATTGGTAATTTAATTAAGTTAAAAAAGAGTTAAATGATCGATGATTGTATTTCCTCATACATTATCTATAATTTGTGATGTAAACAGGGATGAATGTCCTTAATAATATTCAAATTGTTGGTTCATTAATTTGATTTTCAAATTCCCTCTTTGTGGTTTGTACAATCTGTTCGCGTTGTCCAATTAAGTCGTCACCACTCTTTTCATGATATCGAAATCAACTTTGGACAATCACATGAATTGAATTTTTAATATATATTTATTATGTATTATGCGTCATTGATGACTAATACTTTATAATGCGAACGTTTCTTCTTTGTGTAGAAATATTTTTTATTTTCATTTATTTATATTCATTCATTTCCAAGTGATTTGATAACACAAGAATTAAAACAGTCCTTAAGATGTAGTTATCAGTTCAGAAGTTCTCTCTGATTTATCATGTATGTACATGTGATGATTTTCTTATATTATTTATAGAGAAGGCAACCAGTGAGAAAAATATTTCCGAGAAATGGGGAATGATTATGGATATTTGTGATAGGATAGGAACCAATTCAACCGAAGCTAAAGAGAGTTTACGGATAATTATGAAACGTTTAAATCATCCAGATCCTCATGTTGTTGTGCAAGCCATTACAGTAAGATTTTTATACATTTATGCTATCTACAACAAATTTTAATTTAATTTAATGTTATTAAAAATTTTCCAGCTTCTTGACGCATGTGTCAATAATTGTGGAAAGAATTATCATTTAGAAATTGCATCGCGTGAATTTGAAACCGAATACAAAAGACTTATTCAGAAAAGTCAATTGCCCGTTGCTGCTGTAAGTTAATTTCGTTAGTATTTCATCATTTAATCGATTGTTTAAAATCTTTTTAAGAAACTGAAAGCGTGTCTCAAGAAATGGGCAGAAGGTGACTTCAAGAAAGATCCTCAACTAAATTTAATTCCTTCATTGTATAATAAATTGAAACAAGAAGGACACGACTTTTCCGATCCTGACACGACACCAAAACGCGAAGTACAATTGAGTAAAGATCCAAATGTTGTGTCTAGTCAACAGGAAGAAGATGATATTTTAAAAGCCATTGAGCTTTCGCTTAAAGATAAGACAGCATCACCGAAAGCTCAAACTACTACTTATTCATCATCTCTTTATCCATCTATGAACATGCCAAGTTCATCAACTGGTGCTACGAATGCATCATCTGCTTCCGCTCCAGCATCAGAACCGAGGAAAGTTCGAGCACTTTATGATTTCGAAGCTGTTGAAGACAATGAATTAACATTCAAAGCTGGTGAAATAATTATGGTAATCGAAGAATCAGATCCAAATTGGTGGCGCGGAACAAATCATCGTGGTGAAGGCTTCTTTCCGGCTAACTTTGTTACGGCAGATTTAAGTGCAGAGCCTGAAGATCTGAGCAAAGATATCAAATCAAATAACAAAAAGTCAGAACAGGTCCATGAAGAAGCACAAAATGTTCAAAATCAACAACCAGTAGAAATTAATGAAGAGGCCATTGATCGTTTACTTTTCCTTCTTCATGAAGCTGATCCGTCAGATCCATCGCAAGATAGCCAAGAAATGTTACGATTGGAAAATGTTGTAAACCAGATGGGGCCTTTAATAGACTCAGAACTTGAACGAGTAGATAGAAAGCATGCTCAGTTAACTCAGTTAAGCAGTGATTTGATTGACACCATAAATCTTTATCATAGTTTGATGCGAGAGACTGAACGTGCTCCAGCCATGAATCTTTATTCCGGATTTTCACATAATCAAATGTTTGGTGGTGTTCCAGGTGTTGGTTTTCCGCACAACGCTTATGGTTTGCCACCTGGTAGTATGATGCCACCAGGAATGATGATGGGAATGCCAGGACATGGACATCCACAAACTTCATCGACTCCACAAGGTAACTTTCCAATGCCTCAAGCTCCTGGGAACTTTCAACAACATTCTGGACTAAATAATATGATGCCACCAGTTTCACAACAAAATATGAATCAACCCACGACTAATGGACATCAACAACAACAACAGCACCAACATCAACCGAGTAGTGTGCAACAAATGCCACAACAACAAATGCAAACTCAAAATATAATGTTACAAATGCCAAATGGACCACAACAAATGATGCCACCGGCACAACAGCAACAAATTCAAGCACCAGGTTTGAGTTTTTAAATAATTCCTTTGAAGAGTTTTAATTAATTTTTGTTTATTTAATTTACAGGTCAAAACTTCCCCCCACAGCAACTTCAACAGCCTCCTTCGACTACAGCGGCACCTCAACAACATCAAAATGGAATTCAACAACCAAATTATCGGATGAATCCAATGCCAATGTCACATCCCAACATGCAGTCACAACTTAATCAAATGATGGGAAATATGACAGTTCAGTCACCACCAACATCAATGCAGAATCTTCATCAAATGACACAACAACAAGGACCTGGAATGCAAATAACTCAACCGATGACGTTTAATCTTCAAGCAGATTCCAATCAGAATATTCCGGTTTATCAGCAACAACGATAAATGCTATGTAGCGAAATTTTTGATTATACTTTTATATCGTCGATTATTATTTATTGTTTAGAATGATTCAGAAAATGGAAACTTTTAAAATTTCTGTAACGAAGAAGTTGTCTCCGTAAGCCTCAATTTTCCGTCGCTATCACTCTTTGTTAAGTAGCAACTCGCTTGCATATTTCCTTTAAACTGCAAATGCTTAATGGGCTTTTTTTTCTTATTTATGTTGGTGCGCTATTATCCCGATTTATTATTCGTAGAATATAAAAGAAACCATTACGTAGATATAATGTATAATTTTACTCACATAAATATGAACATTCTGTTGAATTAAATAAAATAACAATTTAATTAAATTATAACTTTTCACGTTGTTGTGGTATTTTATTTCAAAGTTTATGAATTTTTTTAATTTCATTATCAAAATAATCAACCATTTCTAAAAAGTCTGGATAAGTCGACAGAGTTGAAATCTGTTCTTTTGTGACAAACTTAAAATCTGTATGTTCATCTGACAAGGTTGGATCACGACCAGACACTAACTCTGCTAGCCAATAGACGACAACTTTTGGTTTGCCTTTGACATTGTAATTTAATGTTTTTGATAAATCTTTATAAATTTTAAGATCGTTCTCTGTGAAGCCAGCTTCTTCTCTTGTTTCACGTAGAGCTGTAGTGTAGTCATCTTCCCCAGGATCAACATGACCTGAAAAATATTTCATCATAATAAAATGTTCAAAATAATTAATAAAACTTTAAATTACCTTTCGGTGGTGTCCAATGGAGTTCTCCGTAACTTGCTTTCAGAAGAAGATATTCAATTCTTGATGACACCAAGCGATAGATGAGAAAGCCAGCAGCTCGTTTTATCATTTTTATGGTAAGCTTATTGTTGCTCTTATGAATGGTTTTGTTTACTATGAAAAATACAATCATTGGCACATTTTAAAATTTCTGCTTATGTCTGACTGTCAAAAGAATTTCAAATGTAAGTTGCGATTAATTATTGTAGGTACTTCCCTTCCGATATGGGTTCATGAGTAAGCAAATAATCAATAATTCACATTACTGCATATTCTTCTTCTTGTGTTTATTTCTGTGTCAACATTTTAGTTTTGAATATCACATGTTAATTAAACTCATATTAATGATGAACTTTGGCTTGATCGTGACACTGAATAAATATTTATGTCATGATATTTGTTGTATTAATTAACTTGACAATTATTACCTTAAAAAGAAACGGAAATTTGTTTTCTCTTTAGGCGCTTCCTACCATGAGTTCATTCACAAGCAAACTTACTTTGGGTCAATAAATTAAAAATAAGTTTCCGGGCACTTAACATGTCTTTTATAAGTAAACTTGTTCTTCCCACCATACGCAATGTCACTTAATGTTAAAGTTAAAAAGAATACTACGTACGACTCAAGTATTTAAAATACAAAAGTCCTTTATTTTGAATTCAATCTTGAAGAGACACAATAATATTGCAATGAAAAACATTTGTGTTTACATAAAGAACGCACAACTGGTTTGCAATCTTTGGAAAATGACGCGCGTTGCTAAATACCTACCTATTTATTTAAACATACGCAGCATCTTACACACGTTTTTTCTTGCACTGTCATTTTATTTTTCAGTTGACTTCTGAACATTTAAGATCATTTGGCTTTCTGTGCTTTTCATCTTAACAGTTTTATTCAAATACCTATTTAGATATTTCGAGAGATAAATTATAATTGAAATATGATGTTTATGATAGTTTTATTCTTTTTTTCATCAGTGGTATTTGTATCGCCATCTCCAATTTTTAAGAAAGGTTTTTATTACTTGAAAAAATTTTTATGAAAAAGTGAAAGTGCATTGAATTCAATAATTTTGTATAGGATTTGCGCGACCATATCCAGTTATACAACCATATCCGGTATTTCAACCATATCCCGTTTATCATCCTTATCCAGTGGGGGTACCAGTATATCCATCTTACCCATATCCAGGCTTTGGTTACGGAGGTAATCGAAAAATTTGCACGAATATATTTATCTATCAGTATTTCAATTCAAATTTTAAAATAATTCATTAGGATATGGTGGAGCTAGCAGTTACAGTTCATCTCAAAGTTTCGGATTCTTCCACGGATAATATTTGCGCGGTAACATTTTAGTTGGACATTATGAGATTATCATAACATTCTTGAAACAAGTTAGGTGTTATAAGTCACAATAAATATCTGCATATATAAAAATAAAAAAATCCAAAGGTTGAATTTCTATTTGTTCTCGTGCTGCAATTCAGCCTTCAAATCTTCACTCGAAGTGACAAAAATCATTTTGATTTCTCAAGGTAATTCAGGTTATCGACCGAATCAAACGTTTTTATATTCGATATCATTTTCAAACAGCGCGCTTTCATCACAAATTCAGCTTAACGCAAGTTTTTTCTTTCTTCAATTTCATTAACAATTGTGAAGTGAAACATACAAGTATGGGAGAGAAAAGTGCGGTTGTTTGCGATATTACTGGTCAAGTTAGTAAATAAATTTCACACACTTTAAATCGAATAAAAATTATCTAAATTTAATAGGTGATAAAATATGGCTTAGCCGAAGATTACACACCAATATATAAATTTCCAGCGATTCTCGGTCGTCCAAAAAATTCTAAATCAATCGGTGAAAAAATAAAAGACCTTGAAATAAAAGTGAGTCATGATTGTTTGCCGGTGTTTTGGTTGAAGAAGTTTATGCTTATTTGGGCTTATCTTATCAAAATTGAAACTCAGTTCGATCCATTTTAGGAAATTTTATTCGGCAATGATGCATTGCAACTTCAATCTGAATTAAATATTTCTTATCCAATTAAAGATGGAATTATTGAAAATTGGGAAGACATGACGTTGTTATTAGAATATATTTTTAAATGTGACAACATCAAAATGGATCCGAAGAACACAAAAATATTTCTGACACAAACAACCATGAATACAGCAAAAAACCGAGAGAAAATAAGTGAAATAATGTTCAAACATTTTGGATTCCACTCAGTTTTCATTGGAAAGCATGCCGCAGCATTTTTGATCGGACAAGGGATCACTGCTGGCGTTGTTATTGACTTTCATGAAAATTTCACAGACATTTCCCCTGTTCACATGATGGTGTTGAAAGATTTAGTGAAAAGAGTTCCAGCTTCTGATAATAATAAAAACATTTCTGAACTCATTTTCAACACAATTCAATCTGCCGATGTGGAAGTTCGACTTGATCTTTTTAAGAGAATTGCATTGATTGGAGATACAAACATTCAACCTTCCACTATTGAAAATGATGTTAAACATCTTTATCTTAAAAATGTTTTATTAAATGATTCAGAAAAATTGAAAAGATTCAAAGTTCGTGTGGACAAATATGCTTCAGATAACGAAAAAGTTTATGTTGGTGGTGCTTTATTGGCAAAAGTCAATATAGAAAGAGACGCTTTTTGGATAACAAAAAAAGAATTTGAAAGCATTGGACTTAAAGTTTTAGACAAGTGCATATAAATTTTAAGACATGAATATGGCTTTTATTATTGTGATTTGCAAATTTCAAACAACGCTTTTGTATCTGTAAAATCATTAATAATAATAAATTTCTTGATTATAGAGAAAATATTTTATTACTTAACTAATTTATAATATTTTCAACTGATTAAGTAACTCATCCCATGGTTCTGTTACAATTTCTTAACATAAAAGATGATCACTACGTATAATAATTATTAATTGTATAATTAAATTTTATTTCCTTTAAAAATATTTCAAAATTCGTTTGTTAAATAAACTGAATCTAAGGCACCGAGGCCAGCAGCGACACCACCTTCGTTTGCACTTGAAACTTTTGTTCTCAGCATATGCCCCACTTGACGATTGTACAAAATTTTCTCTTTTGTTCCTATGATTGCACCGAAAATGCCAAGCTCCGAAACCATGTCGAAAATCGGTGGTGGATTTGGTCCGCCAGGTCTTATCATGTAACTTTTTGAAATTGGAGGAAAGATTCGCTCCATCAGAATGTATGCTGATCGTTCGGTTTCGTCCATCGCCTTGAGCCTTTCAGGTATGTCAACACCGTAAATGTTATTTCCGCCTCCTTCTCGTTGCGGTTTCATAACAAAATTTTCAGGTTTCTCCAAAACCATTTTGACGGTTTCATCACCACCTTCGCCTTTATCAAATGAATACAATCCAGTGAAAATTTCTTTTACTTGCTTAATCTCGTTTTCATCATTCAAAAACCTGTTGAGAACTCCTGGCTTTGCTAATGCTTGTTGCACCTTCTTAGTTCCAGCTAAGTGATAATGAACCGATGGACATTTTATCGCAGTCGAACGTTCAATCATAAGCCTTGCAGCCCATTCATTTTCAGAATGATAATGTCCGGGTTCGTAACCAGCACGAAAATAAACAACACTCGCTGTTACATTACCAACAATCAATGTCTTGTTGTCGCCTAATTTTCCTTCTTTAAAGATTTCGGTCAATGATTGCCTGATGACTTTGACGTGAGGATACTTTTCACGAATATAAAATTCATGAAATCTTTGATCACAAATGTTGTAGGTAACATCTTCAATAATAAACAGAATGGCAGCTTTATCGTCACCAATAATTTTCCAAGCTTCCACCATCGCGTCACAAAGTCCAGCTAAAGCATTGTTTTCAGGCAACTAAATTTATAACAATCATTAAATTTAGTAATAAAATTGACTTAATTAATGTCACTTACGTATTTCACTTTGTCGTCATGTCCAAGTTCTTGAAGAATGTAACTGAATTTTAAAGAAATTTAAAGAATTATTGAATGAAGAATTTTGAATTTCAAGATCAATTCTACAATTTTTAAATATTAAACACATGCAACATTATGAAAGTTAATAAACAAATAGTAAGCTTGCTTTATGTTAGAAACACATGAGTGCTCTTCCAATATTTATTATGATTCGCAGTCGCTACTTTTACACGCATCATTTAATTTCTTCTTTCTTTCATTCTGATCTCTCTCATTTCTGTCTCAACAACAATAATAAAATGAAGACACAAAAAATGTGATGTGAGAAGAAAGACGATTGCTTTCATGCAATGTTTGTCTTTCTTATAGATTTTTAATTATTTATGTGAGCTATGAATGAAAATGAGTATTGTACGAATTTTAATTATAAAATAAATATTTTAGAGAACTAAGGCAGATCTAAGTGATTAAGAATGAATATTTCAAAATAAAATGCAAATTAATTTTGTTCGTCTACCTATGAAATTCTCTGAACTGAGACGAAATGCCAGCGAAACTGCTCGCAATTGTGTTAAATTCTACCTGAAGAATTTTGTTTCGATCGCTAACAAAATAATCTGACCGCAGCAAACCTAACGTTATTGTCTGCAAAAATAAAAACAAAATTTATGAAGACAGAATGAGATTTGGTTAATTAGTTTAATACGTTAAGTATGTTTTTTGTACTTAAGCAATGTCAGAGCGGTCGATTTTCAATGATGTGATTTAAGAAAAAGAAAATTACGTGATGATCCTTAGCGTTTTAGACACAAAAAAACTGTACAAAAAAGATTGGAATAGCACTCGCATATTTTTAAGTAGAAGATAATCATCGCAAAATAATAAAAAAAAATACAATTCAGTGAAATATTTACAAAAGAAAACAAAATGAAGATAATGATAGAAACTAAAAAAAACTTAGATATGCTGCACCTTTGCAAAAGTCCTGAAGCTGGCCCAAGCCAACCAAAACCACTTGCGATTGTGTTTATTTCAACCATAGCAACACAACAATAAAAGCTCCGTGAAGGCATACAAGTGGATTTGCTGAAGCAACTTTTACGTGTTTCCAGCATTGTGTCGGAGCGAACTAATCCAAGAGAGATTTCCTAACATTGATAACGATGTGAAGTTTTTTTTGTTTATAGAAATCAAGGATCATCGAAGTTAAGCAAAAAATATTTATGTGATTAATGTTATTAAAAAAAATCTCACCTGAGCAACACCTTCCGATAAAACTGTTTCATAGATTTTAAAGAGTGATGCTGTGAAGTCATCTACTTTTATTGTACTTGCTAATGTTTCTCTCAAGAAATCAACATCATGGGCAACGTTGTGGATCATTTTATTTAAAATGATTTGAAGCTTTGTTGCCTTCTCGAATTCTTTCCGAGGGTAAAGTGATGGTGTCAGTACAAATGGAGCAAACTAAAACGATGAAAATATATAAAAGTTAACTGTTTAATACTGAATCAGTGACACTTTGGCAATATTTATTTATGTATAACTACGCTTTAGAAATTTCATCTTAGTCAACAATTTAAATAAATTTAATCAAATTACACATATTTTCATAACATGATATCAGACTGTCATGTTTTATTGACTACTTTTCATCAAACACTTCATATCGTAGATATTCTTATCTCAATGAAAAAGTAAATACTTTTAGTTAGAGTTTAAAAAGTGTTTGTCATGCTGATTATCTATTTGTTCTTGACCTTCATATATTTTTATTACTTACTTGTAAATTATCTGGATTGAAGTTAGCTTTTGATCGCATACATATTCCATGCATTAAAGCGTAATCTTTTGCCTTAGATACAATTTCTTCCAGTTCTTTTCCAGACAGAGGTAATGAAATACAACTTGGCAGAATGTTTTCCGACATCTTCCTGAATTTTGTTCACTAAATCAGATATCTAATACTGTATTATAGTCACGATAATGTTTCACTAAAAAGTTTTAATTTTTGTTTCAATTTTTATTTATTTATTTTGAATAAAATCACTTAAAAAATATTCTCAGCCACGGACCTTTTCATAAGAAGAGTAGAAAACAAATTGACATCTAGAAATTATGAATGAAGTTGCCGGCTTCAATTATCTATTGAATACCTTAAAAGCTGCGGATGGAAGGCTCTAAACTGCTTGAAATTTATTTATGAGAAGCAAAAGCATTACAATTTGTACAGCTCTGATTACCTATGAAAAAACTACCAATTTATTCTTTCATTTTTCATGCGCTGGACTTAAGATTACTTAATAAATAACAGAATATGCACATTCTATCATATTATTCACTCGTTTTATCTTTCATTGTCAAATGAAAACATGTCAACTACCTGTTTAGAGATTGATGGAAATTTCGTTCAAACATCATTGACATAAATTAGTTGGATTTGTTGATCAAAACAAAGTTTGAGTTTCTTGGGTTTACTTATCAAATTCTTTGCTCTTTCAAGGATTTCATTGTCATGCATTCCATCTAAGTCAGTATTATAAACCGTGAAGTTATTTTATCCTTAAATAAGACTGAAAAATAACCAAAAGTGAAACATACAGTAAAATAATTATCAATTTGAAAGTATTGATAAGAGATAAAAACCTAAATCAAGGAAATCGAATAAATATCATAAAGTTTAGATCATGGATGATCTAGGTAAGTTTAAAAACAAATAAAATATCAAATTTAATTGCCACGTTTGCAAGAAATATTTGCACGAGAAGGAAGGAAATAGAAATAAGAAACCGCGTAGAAGATAACGACGGCATTAATCATTGATGATGTCAATATGTATATTTTTATGGGCTCTAACTTTTCTTTATTTGCGCTGAGATTAACATTAAGCGTAACAAATACTTTTAAGTGATGATGCAAGAGACGTTTGTTGTTTTATTTGGAATCGATAGTAAATAAATCTTCATCTTAAAAGGTCTTGATTCACAAGCATTTAAGAACATTCTGACATTTTCAACTTGTTAACAAAATTCCATAGACTCACATCCAGCAAACAGGTGGTGATGAATGGCTGAAAGATGTTTACTCTTGACACCACAGAAGACATGAAAAAAAAATCACCATGGACGCTTTTAAAAATACTTAAGCAAATCTCTCATCATCATCTTCACATAAATTTGTTTTTCATTTTCTCTCTTGATGATTGCTATTGTAACAAAAAGAAAACATAATTCAAATGAATCTTACTCTTTCTAATCTTAAGATCGTGTGATAGAGAACTCGTTTAAATCTTGAAAAAAACATTTTTAAGTTGTTAATCTCCATATGATTCATTGCTTTTGGATGCTTCATCATATATACCACTTCAAAGTCAAATACAAAAAACTCTCGGTCTTCAAAATATACTGAAAGATTTTAAACATTAATTCATTCATTGAGATATTTGCAGATGAGAACTTATTCATGTATCAAACCTTGATGATATTCGAACCAGTATTTGTTAAAATGTTTATGATATTTCTTGTTTATTTACGAAAATATTTGTCACACATGTCGTCTGATCCTGCTCACCTTTAAAAATACATTCGCATGGTGATAATAATAAAAATGTTCCTCTTGTCACTCGTCAAGATTTAAAAGTTTCTTGCTCCTATTAGTTGACTTCAAAATTTGAGACGACAAATATTTTGCATGTAAAAAATCATAAACATAACCATGACGTTGCCAAGTGTTAACGATTCGCTACTCTTCAACTGAACTTAAATTTAGATCTTGTGATTTCCACAAATACATACAATAAACAGTAAGAAACTTTAGTCAAAAATCACATCCCAATGCTCGAAGATATAGAAAAGAAGATATTCACGATCCTAAATTCTATCGTGACTTCTTTCAAATAATTAAGAAGCAAATTACTTTTGTTAAATTTTCTACGCTCCAAGCTTTAGGGTGAAGAAGTCAGGGTCAAACAGATGATCAAAGTCATAAAATATAAATCTGTTGCGCAATTCATTCATTAAAATGAATAGAAATCATAGAAGTGAATTTATTCTGAAACGTTCAACATTATCCCCACTCACCCTAGTTACTTTAATATTTTTTCCTCTATCTCTCTTTATATTTTTCTTCACGATGCCAGTCAATTCAGTTTTGAATTTGTTGTCGCATTGAAACGTTCGAGCGCTTACGAGATTTTCTTTCTTTTTTCTGTCTAAAATTTTTCTTCTCCGTTCATCATCAAAGGTTTTTTTTTTGTTATTTCTTACCATCGAAGTAGAACGGAGAACTTTGAAAAACTGCTCATAAATTCACAGTGAATAGTCGCCATATTATTTAGAAAGTAAAATTTTGAAACTCAGAAAGAATCTTGTTCTCCTGACTAAAGTGCCATCGATCGCTATTTTTAAAGAGTAAAATTCCGCAACGCGGAGATTTGTAAATAAAAACAAAAGTTTAGAGAGAAGTGAAAGAGTTTTTCACGACACGAAATTTTTGTGTGTGACGAAATGTGAAAGATCATCATAAAAGCAATTAACTAGATTTTTCGAGACTGTTAATCGTCAAAAATAAAGATCAAAATGAATGGAAACTTTCTACATTTACATATCTTATAAACCAAAACAAACTCAACACATGATTTAACATTCTTCGAATAAAAACAATAGAATTAATGTTTGCCATATGTGACGCAGGCTTTTTTTGTTTTGATGTGATTTTAATCTTATCTATCTGTTTCTGCTTTTGTACATAGCAGTACCGAAGAAATTAAAGTTAGATATTCATAATTTTCCATAAAATTTGGACTCAAAACATCCAAATATGGTTTGAATTAATTCAATTAAATTTATGCTTCGTATAGTTTTTGCACATGTTTCATTGATAGAAAATGAAATAACCAAATGTGATTGTTTGATTCGAACTTTAAAATATCATTATTCACGATCTATTGAGTACAACGACCTTCAACTGCACGGTGTAATGTCAATTTTTCGTAAGCAATCGTAAGAGAAAAAGTTTTTTTTTCTTTCTTTCTATCTAATCCTGACTGATGCCAGGGTTTGACGCGATGTTGTTGACCGCACGATCGCGATGAGACGGTAGTAAAATTCACTCAATCGAATTTTCCTAATGTAAATGTTTACATTAATGTACATTGTGATAAAATTGAATCATCAAAATTGTTTCATTAGTCATACAAAGAGTTGTGATTGTTTAAATTTGATTTTTATTTTTTATCATAACGTGAAAAAGTTTCTGTAGATTTAAACAGTCTTTTTTTTCTCGAAGAAACAGAACAAGAAAATGAAACAGTGAAGTAGTGCGGGGGAATTGACAAATGAATATTTTTGACGCGTGAAAAACCACATGTTGTTATGAACTGTGCGGAAAAGTTTTTCTCATATGTAGAGCTTTTTCACTTCCTAATTATAATTGATGACCTTTAGCCCTAATGATGTTGGGGACACACCTTGTTAGTATTCAACCGCTAATTTCGTAAATTGTTTTATGATTAGTGCTGCAGTTTCAAAATGAAATGGAAAGCCTTTAATAGCTGGAAAAGCATGGAAACATAAAAGCTTTTTTTTATTATTATGAAAATGGTGTTCAAACAAATCCGATGATAATCGGGGACGCAGTGTTGTGGAAACACGCTGATGATTGAGATTCTAAAAATACGTATGAAATATCGCTCATCGTATACCGCGCGTGAGAAAAGAGCGAAAGTGGGAAGTGGAAAAAATTGGATGGGCAGTTTATGGGTTGTCACTTTTACACAATTTTTCATCGTACAGGTTGGCATCAGGAGATGAATTATAAGATTAACTTCTTAAAGATTTCATGACACTTAGCAAAACGAAAAGAGAATCTTTCCAGTTTATGTAGCTATGTCACGTCATGGCCATTTCTCACATTCATTACACCATTCGTCGTCTTGGTGAAAATTTCCACCCCCCGAGAAATCCTTCCTTTGTTCTTTTATTTCTAATTCCACTTGATGAATTTATGGGATTCTGTGTTGTTTTTCGACTAATTAAGAAGAAAATGACATGAATCTGGTTGACTCACACAGTGGATGATGTATATAAATAATTTAAATATAGAAAAGATTTTCCATGAAAAGTGCTTCTCCATAATGGAGTAAAAAATAACATTTTAAGTATCCAATTACATCAGTTTAGCTTTTTTGTTTGAATCATTTTACTATTTTCATCCATTTAGCAGCGTGTTCATCGAAATAATAAACATGAGAAGATAGAAAACTTTAATTTTACGGTTCTTTCCACATATTTTTCGCTATAATTTTCGACTTCATCATTCTGTGTGTTTTTAAAGGGTTTCATTAGTGCGGCCTTTGGCATTAATTTTTGTGATCCGCTTTACAAACAAATAACGTGCAGACGGTGGAAATATGAAGCTAATTAAACGCTAAAAGTTGCCCATAAAATTTGAATTTTCCAATCATGTGGGCAATACTATGTGGTTGCAAGTTGCAACTTTTCTATTAAATAGATTAAGCTTGATCAAAACACGCTTGAATTCCTTCTCAGTTAACATAGACATAAATTAATCCCAATCGAAATAAACGACAGAATGTTAAGCCCACATGTTATCGAAGACGAATGAATAAGTTGTAATTGAGTAACATAAGAAGAAAAAGAAACATTTCCATTCATTTTTATTTCTGATTATCAACCAACAACATATGTATGTGTTGAAAAATATTTTAAGTTTTCAACTTCTATATTTCCAATGTTAAATAGGCAATCATAATAAATTAAACTGATAAAAGACGAAGAATCCGTAAGCAGTCTATCGAAACTTAAAAGCCAAGTGCAGTTCAACATATAAAAAGATATATAGAAAAGTGTTCAAGCAACCAGCTGATGTAAAGTGACTACATAGTCTTGAAAAATTAATGATTACAAATTGTGCTTTATACGAAATAAATTATGGATCGCACAGATTATTGTTTTGGAAGAATTGATCCATTTGATAACAGAACACCATACAGATGTGCTCTAAAGGAGAGAGGAATCGCCCCAGGATGTAAGTTAATAATGAATGAAACAAGACCAATTAAAGAAGTTTAACTGTAACAAAAATGTGTCTTGACTCTTTAGTTTGTGTCTAGGGTGCTTATGCTTATGTGAACGTAAAAATCTAATTTGCTATTTAAGGTTAAAATTAAAATTTAATTAAATAGGATTGACATGAGTTTACATCTATTGCACTATGTTTTGCAAAATTAAACATGTATGAGCTCATCGTAACTTTTCCAATCACTTTGAAAAGCTTTTGAATTATTGATCATAACTGGAAAATTATGCTGCTTGAGCTTAAATTATACCCAACCAAGGATATCTATTGCTCGTAAAAATGATTCTTTAATGAGATGATTTGTGCTTCATGCGTTGGCGAAATCATGAATTTCTCATTCATCAAACATTTGTTAACTTGCTGTTTTCCTTGCTACAATGCTTTTCTCTCACATATGTGAGCATTAAAACATTTTAATAAATCTCCGGTTCGTATTTTGCGCTCACATTCATTTTTTATATTTATTTCTTTTTTTTATTTTATTTATTTTTTCATTTGAATGCAAACTCCATGTGCGCACACAACCACGAATTGAGTGTAAACAAAAAAAGAATAACGTCCAGAGAGACCTGAAGAAGAATACATTAAACGCAATGAAGTTAAAAATACTAAAACGAAAACTTAATATTTGATGTGTGCGAGACTGAAATTTACTTGCGATTACGTCATTTTTCAACACTTCGTCTCATAAAAACAGTGAGAAAGAGACTTGCAATGGCTTTAAAAAAATTTAAATATTTGTATAAGTATGTTTTATGATGCAAACTGATGAATGCTGTATGTGTTGAAAATAAAGCAAGATGCAATGGATATTTTGATTAAAATTGATTTCTAACCATATTCGTGTTCTTCTTCAAATGGAAACCGTTGAATAATTGATGAAACCATTGGATGGATTCAATAAACGTGTCTGTTCAAATCGACAACATGTTGAATTTTTTTTTTTCTTTCTCTTATTGGTATTTGATTTTCGATCACTTCTCAATATTCTTTTTGGTGTAGTTGTTGTATGATTCAAGTGTGGTGTTGCTTCTCCAGCATTATTGATTCTCGACATTCTCCATGTGCCCAACATCTCAACTCTCCGTGTTTCCATTCAGTCGTGAACCACTATAACGTGTTGTTTGGTTTTTCAATTGCTCAGATTTCTTGTGAACAACAAAAGTCTCTTTCCTTCTTTTTCTTTTCTGTTAGAAGGCGAGTAGTGCAACTGTTTGAATTTGCACTAAAATTATAGTTTTGTTATTATCATATCAAGTGGAAAACAGTGTCAAGTGATTGCTCTGAGATCAAAGTTTATTTTCTGTGTTGGAAAATTTCTGGGAAAACCAAAATCTGTTGAGATTTTTCTCATTTTCATTTGACTGATTTAAAATTCATTGTTATATATTTTATACGACAAATATTGCAAGTTTAAATTGAAAATGATGAAGTTACCAGGTGAGCGAAAGAAAATGTGGAAAATCCCTTAGGGTAAAGTAATCTCTACCTCTCATCGATTATTTTTTTATTTCAAATGAAGCTTTTCAACAATATACGGAAAAATCTTTAACATGATTGATTTCTGTCAAACATTCTTTGTTTTTCGGAATTTTAGTTAGCTGTAAATAATTAAATTCCCCCAGAAGATTTCCAATTCCGATGGAAATTCTTAAAGTCTCGTGCTTTTGTTTGTTATTACAAGTGCAGATAATTTTCTATTTATAATCATTGAAAATATTCAAGAAAAAAATTAAGAAGAAGAAACAAATATGTATGTTCATTGGATAACCTTCGGGGTGAGCAAGATCAGGTCTCAGTCTATCGATCATCTTTTGAACGATCGACATAACATCAGACTGTAACTTAAATATAGATCAAAACATTTTTACGCGAAATATTTGTAAAAGTGACGTAATTTAAACTTCTGCTACTTCTTTCGGTCCGGTTCATTACGCTAACAACAGAAATAAATTCGTCAGAAAAATGTCATTTATATGTTTGAATTAAAGTCAAGTCAATGTTGAATTTCATCAAATTCCATTCCGATAGGCGATGTTTGTGTTGATCTTTATAATCTCCAAATTGAGCGTATTAGATGTGTAGGCTTTTGACGTTGAGTTTGCTTTAGCCATTTACAGGCAATGGAATTGAGTGAATGAAAAAACAATAACGAACGCTTTAAGACAACACAACCATGTGGTTATCAGACTAATGGGTGAATCGTGAGTTTGAGAATGCTTTCTATAAACTTTTCTCAATTCCCAAAAGAGAAATGAAAATTTCTTCCTATCCCAATGCGAATAAAATTTCCCATTAAATAATCATCATGTGTGTACACTTACGAGTCATAAATAACAAAGTCATAAAATAAATTTAGCACAGATTCGATTTTGAAACAAAAAATCTATCGGACAGTCGACCTCTGTTTGAATTGGTTTGTGTATGTGGGCCATGCCGCAAATTCATTTAAAGTGAAAATTTCAAAAAATCAAAAATTTGTTTTTATTCTCTATCGATGATGATGGTGATGATTAAAATGTTTATCTTGAATATATATCAAAACAATGATTTACAGTAAAGAGCATAGATAATGGAACTTGTGGATTTATATATCTAGTTCGTCACTGATTCATTCACAATTTTGAATTGAAAGAGTAAACAACTTGATGATATTTTATACCGTCACTCTTCTACAATCCCATCAGAAATTTAAATAAATTCGTTTTTATTATTATTATTATTTTTCTTTGTTGGATACGCAGCATAAAAACTAATGAATGGAAATTAATTGAAACGAAGGCGAGTCTGGCTGTCGCTTGATTTTTTAAGCTTCTGATATCAAATGATAATGACCAGCAGATGATGCTGAGAATAATAAGCGTCAATTTAATTCTCTGATATTTAAATTTGTCTCGCTGAGAACGACAACGCAGTCAGTTCATTACATTGTTATTGCTCGCCAACCTCAATAAACGTAAAAGTATATAAAATTACAAAAATGCAATTTAAAGTTTTGGATTTTTTTGGCTGTAATTTTGCGCAATAAAAAAGATTTTCACGCAATTTTCTGAAAAGTAAACTGGTCAAATTGGCCATAAAAATACTGTAGGTTCTCTGCTTCAGGTGATGTTCTTTCATTTTATTGAGATTATACCAAACTTTCGTTGACGCTTCTTCAACTTATTCCATTCACAATAATGAAGGCAAACGAGCTTTGAAACCAACGCAAGTTTTTTTGTGTTTCTCCTTCCCTCTCTCTCTGTATATATTTCTCTGTCCTTTTTAAATGTTTCACATTTTTTACGATACTTGTTTGTGGTTGTTTGTCGTTTGCTTTATTCATGCAGATTTGATGACATCATCGTCATTATATTGAATAAAATTCTTTCTTTCTTTTTTACTAATTTTGGACAAGAATGTGAATGAAAAAAAGAGAATGTCGAGCAGTTTTTTTAAAAAATTATTTATGAAATTCTTCAAAATATAAAGCGAAAAAGGTGTTCAATGTCAGTCACTTACAACCGCCAAGTCTTCTTTATTTATAACATTAGCTGCTTGACATTTAGTGCACTAGAGCGTACCTGCAGTTGATTGCTTAGTGCAACCATAATCCCTATGCTTATTCGTTATCACGTTTACGACAATATCACATCTGAACTTTGGGGTTGAATAAATTTCGATGTGCTTTAAGTATGTTGAAGGTCAAAAGAATTATTATCTAATTAAAAAGAAACAAGAAATTAGGGGAAAAACTTTACGTTTATTTTGTTTTCAAGTTCGCATTAATTAAAAGCTCCTTATCGTTTCGGGAGCAAAACTTTTTTTATAAATATTTTACTCTCGGTTGATTTCACTGCTTTTTTTCTCTGTCGAAAATATTCATCAATGATGGTTTTGTTTGCAAATACATAGGTTGAAAGACTCTTAAACGTAGAAAATGTTATTGTCGAACAGTGCCAGTAAATCTGCAGTAAAATTCCATTTTATCGCTTGCCCCTTTTCTATCGTTCCGTTGCCTTCATTCTTGATGATATTCTCGCCATTTGAGAAAGAAGGAACGAGGGTCATGAATACAAAACCGAACAATTAGAGGGTCGAAAGATTAGGAAAAATGGCAAACTAATAAAAGCTATTCGACGCGGTGAAAGATAAGCAAATTTTTATTTATTTACGTCTCGATTTCGGTTGTTGGGTTTGTTGGGATAATTTGTCATACTCCAAAACTCAAAAAATATTCAAGTGAAGGGAAAGTGAATCTTCTTAATAAATTCACAAAACTTTACTTTAATCCCTAATCTCTTTCTAATTTCTAAAGAAATTTAGATTCACCCTCAAGCAAGCTTCTTGTTATCTCAATTCAAAGTTAAGAGTTTCTTTAATGTTCGAATTTGAATTGCTATAAACTTTAACCATCGACTCACTTCGATAGAGTCAAAAATATACACAGAGTTCATTATTGTTGCATGCAAAAGGTTCTTCAGCTTCTTTTTCTGTCTCGTCACATTGTTCAAACATCATCACTTTCATGAGTTTGTTTTCCCTCTTCAATTGCAATTAATTGATGAGCATCGAAGAGAAGAGAATAACTTTTCATTGAAAGTAATTGACTTTGTAAGAGATGATGTTTGTCGAGGGTCGGATGCTTGTCTGTTTCGACGTGATGAGTTGCGAGTTGCGCGGAGTGTCATGAAAAGGAAGACAAAAAAAAGAAATTAGAGCAAAATAGTAATAAAAATAAAGTTTTTTTTTCGTGGAAGCCACGATCTATTTCACTAAGGTAGAGATTCGAATTTGACTCGTGTGCGGGTGTGTGATGTCGATTGTGAAATCATTGAAACTCTCGATCGTCTCTGCATCTCGTTTGAAGAAGAAAATTTAAAAATAAAAAGCCTGAGAGAGAAAAAAACAAGATATGTAGAAGCAAAAAAGTCGGTCGGAAAATTCGTTTCATATGTGAAAGACAAACAAGTGGTCAGTGTGTGGCGATTACCTCAATTCATCATAACGCGTTCTTTTCGTTTTCGCGGAACGAAAAAAGTATTAAAAAATCTCAAATTTAAAAGTGAAAATGGGCAAAAGTGAAACAATCGACGAAAAATTTGTTCCACAGCCAGTGGGAAAGTTTGAAAGTTATTTGAGTAAGTTTTGAGAGACTTTCAATTGAAGCGTAATTAGTGAACGCTTGCGATTCGACGTTCGCTCATAAATGTTCACGTTCATAAGAGCTTCTTCTTTTTATGCGTTATCCGCTTTTCACCAACCAACGCGAAATTTCCTTTGTTTTTCTCCATTTTTTCTTGTCTATCTTTTTTTTTAACCCACCGACGACTGGAGTCAAGATTGAAAGAACAAGTTGATGACGGACTCGCGGCAGCAAATGGCGCCAACTTTCCGAAGTCAAATTAGGCGAAAGGAATGTTTGATGGGTTTGGGAAAATTAGTTTTTCTTTTGTTAGTTCACCCTCCCGCCGTTCGTCTTCCATGTGAGTCAGTCTTATCGCAGGCAGGGTGGGTTGGTCGTTCCGTAATGAGGGGGATGGACGAGATTCTTTTGACAGTATCTGCAACGAATGAATCTCTCTAATAATGGGAGCATGTGTGATGCCAACCGAATGATAAGCAAGAAGCATTTAATTAATTGACCAGCAAATTGCTATACTTTTTGACTTGTATAAAAATTGTGAAGCTTAAGACTCTGATCAGAATGATCTGATAAGTAGATAGCGGCAGTCGAGTCATTAGGAGAGCGCCAGAAAATATTTCTCTCCATGTTTCATTTGCTGATGTTTTTCTTTTCGTTTTCTTTTTTTGGCAATCAAAATAACATTTTAAGAACGAGAAAAACATTCTTCGTCTTATCATTTACTTCTTATCTTTATCGTATGTAATTGTAAATGAGAAATGAGTCGTGTATGTGACACATGCTCGATGTTTTTTTCTCCTTCTTCTTCACAACATGGACTTGTTAGTCGTTTGGAATTTAAAGAAATAAAAAATGACGTCAAACAATGTTGTGAGAGTAAAATTAAGTTTGTGTTGTAAAAAATACTTGAAAAATATCGTACAATTTAATTCCATTTATGAAACAATTTTTTTCTGTCATCGGCGCTAACTTCAGTCATTATCTTGAATCGTTTTACGCTGCCCGAAATTGTGGTCTCTGTTCTCGGTTCTCCAATTAGCCAAAAAAAGCTTCACCATCACCGCAAAGTGAACAATCAAAAATTTGCATATTAATTGGTGCTTTGGGGACATTCGTAAACAAAGATCCATTGTGGATAAGAAAGACTTTTAGAAGACCAGAAAAAAGTTTTAATTACGCGATTTTTGTGAAGCATTGCTTAGTATTCTCAATTATTCTCCTAAGAAACTTTTCTTTTTTGTTTTGTACGATAATTAACGTAGTTCAAGTTGTGCGTGGGTGGAAGACTGTAGAATAAAAGTGATACACAAAAGTGAAGATGAAAACGACGTCTAAGCAGCAATTTGGGATTTCTTATGAGAATGTTCAGAATGATTTAGGTAGTGATTGAACAATTGTTATCCAATTATGGGTCATAGAAGCGCCACAAAATTCCTTTTTCCAAAATTGAATTGGTCAATCGAACGATAAATTTTACTGGCGATTGTTCAAATTGTAAAGCCGGATATCATTCAACCGAATATAAATCCTTAATATGTTCGCCATAATCTCAATTTGCCTTTTTCCTTCCTTCATCCTCTAAATTTGGCTTGAAAGCCAAACGAAAAGTCACTCGTCACCCTACTCGTGCGGTTTTCAATTCCTTATAAAATAGAGTATAAAGTATGGAAGTCGATCAACCAATATTTGAGATCAAAACGAAACGATTAAATTAAAAATCGATTTTAATTTTTTTATTCTCTTTGATTTATTTGTAGATGCTTTACTTGCTGACCTTCAAAACACGGTGCCTGGCGCCCATTTGACTCCCGTCAATGGAACAGCTAATGGAACATCCGGATACGGATGCTTGAAAGGTGTCAGAAGAAAGGAACCTCAGGTGAGTTGATTCATAAAATTTCTTCCTTTGAATCACTAGCGATCTTGACTCACTCGCGAGAGCATTAATATTTATGTGTTTGTGGCTTTGCGCACGTTACAACACATGCTGTATTATAAACATACCCACAAACACACTTTCATCGAGAAAAATAATTGAAAAACGAAAAAAACTTTTCATCAGAAGTAAAAAAAGAAGAAACATTTTGAGATGTTGGTAGATTCGAAATGTCAGCTAATAAATATTAAATTTAAAGCGTTTTGGCGATAACTCAGATTTTACGAATCATGAACTTTCATAGAGTAAATGATGGAAGACGTCTTAAGGGAAATGGAAGTGTAAAACAACAACATTCAATGACCATCATTTGTTAAAAGAAAGTCAACATTGAGAGTTTATTTAAAAAACTTAAGTTCAATCCAAAGCATTTTCTTTTTCTGTCTCATCGTAGCGAGGAAAGCTGCAGTGAATTTTCATAACTTCATCTAACTGTCGTCCTTTTTCCTTGGTGTTAAAACGAACGCTTATTTCGCTGCAAGACATTTTCAAATTGTTGTGCCAACGCACCATGCTACTTTCGTCATGAGACTCCGGCCTTAGTGTTGTGTGCGATGTCATTTCGCGCCATGTTTATTGTTTTAAGATTTAAACACTCGCCAGTTTTTTTGTCGTCGACAACAGAAAGTTATGCAAAACAACTTTTTAGCATTCAATGTTTTCAGTCTCTCCTACTTTTGTTTTTTTTTTTCATGTAAATATTTTTTATTTCTCCAGAATGGTTCGGCTTATGAAAACGGAAATTTCAACAACAATCGTCAAACGTCGACGTCGCCAACATTCAATTCGTTGCCACGAACTTCGACGCCACAAAATAAAGCTCTTTATAGTAACGGAACTGGTTCAGCAACAAGTGGAAATTTAAGTGAATTGGACTCGTTATTGCAGGATCTTAGTAATGCACGTTATGGTGGTGGAATTGAGAAGAAACGTGAGTTTTTTCGTGTTTCATTTATCTTCGTTTCCTGACTGTTTAATTTTTTTCCTTTCTAAATTTAACCTTCATTCACCACAACATTTCACACCAAAGATGTCAATCATTCACATGCTAGTGTGCCAATGAACGGACAACCAAATCCTGGCTTGTCACAGGACATTATCGATCAAATTCAGCGTCCATCAGTCGACAGTCTGTTAGACGAACTTAGCAATGCTCGAAGTGTTAGTCCAGTGTATGCTGTGCCACATGATGGAGCTGATGGAAAACCAAAAGCAGGTCGTCATGTGACAATTACTGTAAAGGAAACAACAACGGAGCGTGTTTCAGGAACTCCTAGTCAATGTAAGTTGGAAAACATTTTTTTTAATATTAATGCTGTCGGTTGCATAAGTTTAAGGGAAAATGAAAAAAAATTAATTTTATTTAAAAAAATCCGTTATCAAAAGTTTCTCCAACATTTTTCACATTTTTTTTGCTTCAATAATTTTGAAGATGTTTACATGTTTACAAGTAAAGAATTTCCTTTTTCTTTAGAAAGAAGAAGAGAAAAGAGATGAAAATTCATTGAAAACTCATCAAACATCCGCTTTTATACTTAAGCTCGTTAAATTTTAAAGTACATTTTCTAATGACTCAATTTAATTTCCCTTCATTTATCAATGACAACAGCACGATCCCAAAGTTCGTTGAGCCAAACATCTCCAGCATTGCACAATGCATCAACAGCAACGAAAGAATTGGATGATTTGATGGCTTCGTTATCAGATTTTAAGGTGAGTTTTTCAACAAATTATATTTCATAAATCGCTAAAGAAAAGACTTCTTTTTTTAATGCTTCTTCATGTTATTTTTCCCTGCTGTCAAAATCATAAATCAGAAGCTATGAATTTTGAAATTAAAATTAATGTATCAGAAGCAGGCGGTGTGAATAAAGAGAAAAATAACTAAACATTAAAAACGAAGCTAATGTTTTATCAAGCGAAGAAAAAACGGAAAAATTTAAGAAGGAAAAGTTTATTCTTAATAGCTTTTTAGATTTTCATTTATCAATTTTTCATCTCGATTGTTTGACATTTGACACAAACAAGAACATGGATACGAAAATAATTTCCGATGCTAGTTATTGTCAATTATTTTACTTTCTGATTTTCACTTTATCAATTGGATGATGTTTAATATGTCCGATAATGTCTCAAGATACCAATCGATTTTGTTAAATTAATTGTATTTTAAACCAAAAAGTAGTTCAACTTTGAGTATAGAGAAACTTTTTTCATTAAACCGATTTTTCCCTCAACAAAAAAAAACTTTCCTTTTTATATAGGAGAAATCTTTTGATTCGTTTTATGTTTTTGCTTTAGAGAATTGTCGAGAAAAGTTATGAAACCAAAGCAATGACCAAAGCTTTTCTATTCTATAGTGAACAGAAAACTTCGACTTAAGATTTATTGAAAGTTCCAAAATTTTCGGTTTCCAGTGCTGCCGGAAGTATGACAAGAAGAAATTAAAAAGTTTAAATCATCTGTGAGTAACTTCAAAATTGACTTTATTTCCCTTTTTCCGAAAATGAATCTACAAATTTTTGAAATCAATTTCATAGGAATTTTCCTATATTAGGTACTTTTCGATGATTTCAGTTTTAATTCTCATAGAGAGAGAAGAAAATTCCAGAAAAAATATCGAACTTTTGTTTTAACTTTTTGAATCGGGAAATACGAATCCACCAAATCTTGAAACGTAGCATCTTTCTTACAATATCAAGTAGAAACTTAAATCCCCAACTTTTATAACAAAATAGCGCAAAAACATAATTTTTTAAAACTTTTCTTTTCTTGTCGTGTTTGTTGCTTTAACTTTTTTGATGTAAAACATTTTGTTGAAACTTGGACTGAAGCGAAAACGAACTTGTATTTGAAAAGTTAATTAATTTCTCATTTGCTGCCACGAACGATTACTGCTTTATGTTTCTCAACTTCCGATGAGAAGATTTATAAAGGGGAAGAAACATTTTGCATGAGAGCGCTCAAAGATTTGATAATGTTAAAAAATTTCAGATGAAAAATAAGGAAAAAATTCCCGTCGAAAGTTTATGATTTTAATTTTTCAATTTTGTGTTGAACGAAGGCAAGAGAATCTTTTTTTCTGATATAATTTGTGTGGGTGAGAAATGGCGCGAGCGTTAAGCGAGATTTCTCGGTTATAATTAATGCTGATTTATTTTCTATTATTTTCCCATCAAAGATATTTCTCATCTATTTTATCGTGAAAAGTTCGAAAACTTTATTCTCCATCTCGTTTTCAAGCTCGTAAATTTTTATTTTATTGAATTTCAACAGTTTCGAATCACAGATTTTTTTACATTTTTATCGATTTTTCTGATGCTGCAATTCTCCGATGTCACTGAGATAACTGACTCTTTTTCAATATTTCATTTCATTTCGTTTTTGTTTCCTACATCAAGTAAAAGCGATATTTTTTATCACACATGAAGCTAGCTCATGTTTGATGAATTTAAATCTGACATCAGAAAAAGGAAAATAAAAAATAATAAACGTGGAGACAGTTCTCCTTCGACTTTGCAATGATATTATTTCGATGTGGATTACGCGACTTTGAATTTCTTCTTGACTCGATCATTTGTTTTGGTTTGTTATAAATATATTTTTTTTGCAAGGAGCACGGAACAGTTTACATGCCAAGAGTCGTAAAGTTTGAGAATTTTAATGTCTTTTTGACTTTTGCAATCAATTTTAAACGATTGACTGAAATGACCTGAAAATCACTATAAAGTAATTCCTTCTGCAATTAACTTAAAAGATGAAATAGTTTAAGCTAATCACTTGCGACAACAAACTTTAATAAAATGTAGCTAATTGCGCAATGTCCGTTCACGAAAAATGAAAGTAAAAACAAAAGTTTAAAATAGAAAAATTATCTCAAAAATATCGAGAAAAAGAATTTTCATATTTTTGACGAAGCGCTACCTCTCTGTTGGAATATTCTTAGTTCGATTATTTTTGGAGGACTAATTAAGACGTTACCTAATTATAGCTTAAGCTGAAGATTAATTGCCATCAGCGTAAGATTGTAGACAAGTAGTTCTCTGTCTGGGAAGTGGGAATGTTTCTTTTCAATCACTTCATGGTGATGTAGCGAACTTTTCTTACATTTTGATAGATGCGCGTTGTTCAAAATAAACAAAATCTATTCAATGTTTTCAGGTCAAGATCAGAGAAAAATATTGCGTGATGAATTTAACTTGTTCCAGCTTCATTATCGTAAATCATTTCTGCACGATAATTAAATTAAAGGTGAAAGCTTAGTCGATGTTTACTTGTCACTGAAACAAGTAAAGTGATGAAAGGTTGTTGCTCAAATCAAGCGTTCATTTGAAAAACAAATGACTGAAATCATCTTATAGTCTGTTTAATTTCAATTCAGTATACTTCTCCAGTATTTATTTAGCCAAAAATGATTGTAGGGATTAAAAATGCATCGTTAAGCGAATCGAAGCAATCAAACAAAAGCAAAACAGAAAAATAGAACATTCCATAACTTTGTTTGTGTTCTGTTTTCTTTCCTTGCTTCAGGGTGTGGTGAAGACAACCAGAATAATTTGCATAATTCATCAAAAAGTGAACAAAATTCCTTTTCTTTTTTTATCTTTTTGTCCTTGTTGATGAAAAGAATGCGGACTTTGTTAAATTGTGAGTAATTGTAAATTACTCGCGGGGATTTTCCAAGGTTTTACTTTTAGTTCCATTCTTTGTATGAATTTTCTTTTCTTTTTTCTTTTTGTTCTTCCTTTTTTTATTTGATTGCATGCCTTTAAGGATGAGAATTATTAATTTTAATGAAGACGAGGAAAAAAGAGAAAAATATCTGAACCGAGATTACGAAGTAAAATAAAATGCTGATGAAGAAAAAGTTTACGTTCCATATATGAGCCATAAATGATTCTTAGATTATTCTTAGCTCAATAGTTTTCAATGAAAGCTCCCTTGGTGGTGATTAAAAATCTTAATTAGAAGCGGTATTGCGTGTTGTGACTTGTAACGGTAGAAAATTAAGTGAAAATTATTCCAACAGCGAAGAAAGAATTTTTCTTTCGCTCCAAGACAAGAGAATGAGAAGAAAAAGGTTAATGAAGAAATATTAAAATTGATATAAATTGCTTCAAACATCATCCCACCACTTAATTTCACTTCGCAGACATTTTATTCTTTTTAATTTCTTTTTTTCTGTTGTTCATCTCGACAACGTTTTAGCGTCAACATCGAATTGCTTTCAGTGCTTATTTACTTTCACCATCACTCCGCTACAAAGTTCTAGTATAAGAAAAACAAAAATGACATCAATTTATTGAAGAAATTAACGAACATTTATCATTCCATATAACTGAAACTTATTGATTCGTAATGTGATAGAGTAACAAATATTTCTACGTTCGCTATTCGCAGATGTTTGATAGGTTTCATGTCTGTCAACCGATAAGAATTTTATCAAATAAATTTTTGTTTAATATCGTGCACTGTGCAACAAGATAAGAGAACCGTCAGAATTCTTGTGAACGACACAAAAATATTCAAACCGCAAAATTCTATCACAACTTTGTATTATCAAGCCATTGAACGAAAAACAATGTCAAACGATGGTCGACTTGAGATTTTAAGGAGGGAAAATCATTCGAGAGAGAGAAAATTGGTTAATTTGGTTAAGGAAAATCTCGAAGCTGATGTCACGTTTCACGTTTGTGTGTTGTGGTTGCCTGCTGCTTTAGTTCAATTTTGATACGCAAAAAAAAAGCAAAACAGAAACTGAAGAAAAGAAGTAAAAAAGATTCTTGAAATAGAAAAAATGACTTCATTGACGAAGTTCTCGTGTAAATTAATGAAACAAAAAAAATCTATAACGTAGATAGATAAGATATACGTATCGAAGTACAAAAAACAAAATAAAAATCAACTCACAATAAAAATTGAGAAGTAAGCTCGTGTCATGAACAAATAAACACAAAATAAGTTTATGTCGACTTCTTCTTAATTTTCATTGCCGTTCGCTCATCCGCTCAGCATTTAATTCTGAAGAAAACTCAAGTTTTTCCGAAAATTTATGAAATATAAAAAAATATTGAGAGAATATCTCGGCGAGCGCGTATAAAACACGAAAAAAATGTGTGAAAATTTTTAGTTTGATTTCTGAAATTCGCTTTTATTGAACGACGAACGCGGCTTAGCTTCACGGAACGGAAATATTAAAAGTATTATTCAGTCTTAATCGAACACTTGAGAAAATTGGAGCTCAACTTAAAAGCTGTTTACTTGCAAGTTAAGCATCTGCCTATCCCAGAATCGCAAAAGCATTCAATTGGAAATAAAATAACATTTGAGTACGTTTTGTCAACCTTGACTCTGGAATTATAAATTCACAACCAACGAAGCACTTAAATTTTGATATAATTCATGGAAGAAATCTTTAACCAACATCTTAATTAACGAACCTGTCTTGAGGGAAATTCTTGCAGAACTCATGAAAGAAAATACGAAAAATCATTTCGTCATCGACTTTTAAAAAAGTTCAAACATGAAGAAGCATTTTACATTTTACGTTCTCTTCATTCAACTCCCGCTTGTGAATAATATTCAACAACATTTAGAATCGGGATCGTGTTCAAGCTAAAAGCAAAGAGAAAAGAAGAAATTTTTATGTTTGAAACGTAATCGTTTTGCGGACGGTACCAATCATAAAAATTGCTCGAGCTCTGGTTACAGCGGTCAATAAATAATGGAAACGAAAGAGAGAGAGAGAGAGATAGAGAGAAAGAAAGACAAAAAAGCATTTATCATTGAAGAAGAACACCGACACAATATTTCGTTGTTCCTCGATGACCAAATGCGTTGATTGAACATAATTCGATTTCGCTAAGGGCTTTAAGTTTTCTTCTTTTCTCTACCAACAAATTCTCGAAAATTTTTTGACTTCTTCTTCTTCTCGAAGCAATGAAAAATTATTTTTCCAACAAAAATAACTTATGCGGGGTTGTTTGATGAACATGGGAGATTTCACGGTCACGGGAACAACTTATAAAAAGCAAAATGAATTGTTCATGTCTTGTTGAACTATTCAAAAAGAAATCTTGAGGTAAAGAGGACAAACTCAGTTCTTTTTCATGCAAACTTTGTTCCCGTGACCGTGAAATCCACCATAACTAAAAACAAACATTTCTTCACATATTTTTATACAACAGGATAGCTAAAAATAGAATTATATAAATATTTTTAATGATCGGCATTTGGAGACAAAATTTTTCTCTCGTTGAAAATATTTTTTAAAATTAGACAAAGATTAAAGAAAAAATGGAAAATTGATATTCTCATCTATATGGTACAGATATTACTGCAAAAGGAAGAAAAGAAATAGTTAAAAAATCTTATTAACTTTTAAATTGTTTTTATTCCATAGATTAATCCATCGCAACAGCAACAACAACAACAATCAGTAACAGATTACGTGAAACCAACAAAAGGCGTCACTCATTATCAAGTTAGCGAAGATACAATTGTTGAAACAACGTTCGACAAAGGCGAACCCCGACGAGATCAACTTGAGTTTATGCTTGGTAATCTTCAAGCAGATATGTCACGTCAAGGTGTAAACACAATGCAAAAAGGATGTTGTAGTGCATGCGATAAGCCAATTGTGGGTCAAGTCATAACAGCACTCGCAAAAACCTGGCATCCAGAACATTTTACTTGCAATCACTGCAATCAAGAGTTGGGCACAAGAAACTTCTTTGAGCGTGATGGAAATCCATATTGCGAAGCTGATTATCACAATTTATTTAGTCCACGTTGCGCATATTGTAACGGTCCGATTTTGGATGTAAATCTTCATCTTTTTCTATCAAAAGATAAACTTTAATCAACTTTTTCTTATCTTCCTATAGAAATGCGTAACTGCACTTGATAAAACTTGGCACACCGAGCATTTCTTCTGCGCTCAATGCGGCCAACAATTCGGTGACGATGGTTTCCATGAACGCGATGGAAAACCTTATTGTCGTAACGATTATTTCGATATGTTTGCACCAAAGTGTGCTGGATGTAATCGTGCGATCATGGAAAACTACATTTCAGCTCTTAACAGTCAATTCCATCCGGATTGCTTTGTGTGCAGAGTAAGTCAATTCATATTATTTTTCACTTTTTTTCTAATATTTTTTTATTGACAATCACTTTCCACATTGCATATGAATTTTCTTTCTTGGAATTTCTTTTATTTACTTTTACATCATCGAATGATTAGGACTGCAAGAAGGCGGTGTCTGGAAAATCCTTCTATGCAATGGAAGGCAAACCAGTCTGTTCCGGATGCGTTGGTGTCGATGAAGACGAGTAAATCTTATCACAACACACTCTGTCTCTCGTTCGACATGTGAAAAATATGTTTATGCTCTGCCCTTGTCCCTTATTACTTATTTGTCTTTGCCAGTTACCCCCTCTCAACTTAAATGAAAAACAAAAAAACTTTTGTCTTAAAATTTATCATTAAATTTTCCCCCCAAATGTTTATTGAGAAAAAGAAAAGCTTCATCGACTTCTTCTCTCTCTCTCTCTATCCTTCTTTGATATTTTATGATTTTTAAATGATTTTCTTAAATGACAAAAAATAAAAGAAAAAAAATAAACAAAAAAAAGAAAAAAAACAAAACAAAAATTCAAATTCAACATCGCTTTTTCGTGATGTTGATCGGTGTCTGTTGATTTGTTTCACGTATGATTTCCACACGTCTTTTAATGACGTCACGCGTAGGAGTTGATGAAGCTTTTCTTTTATTTTGATCTATCGTCACGTCGTTTTCACCTTGAATTCTTGGCTCTTGATAATTTTTTTTTTCTTATGAAGTTTGTTGGACGACGTTCCTTGTCCGACGATTATCAGGTCAGGTGTCGGCACTTAATTTTCTCACATGTAAAAAAAACTATAAAACGAAAAGCGAGGAAAAAGAAGGAAACTGACGATAATCTCACGCGATTAGCTTGCAACATAATGATCGCGTGCGTGTAACACTTGCCAATAAATTTTTCGACTTTTGCCTTATATGTGACGGTTTTAGAATTCTATTTTGCAATTGATATCATATGGAAATTCCCGTACAAAAATGAAGGTTGTTGATGATGTTTTCTTCTTCTTATCATCATCATCATCTTTAGCTAATGACTGATGTAAAGAGAGATTAAAAGTGAAATGAAATTGTTGTGGTTTTATTTCAGATGTCACATTTAACGATTTATGTTTCACAATCTCATACTGCACTCATCAGCAAATTTAAAATAGCCAAGAAATGAAACTTTTTGATACTTTTAACGATTTTAAGAGCAAAATAAGTATTTCATGTTTTAAAATGTCCGTAAATTCAAATCGTGATTTAAGTAAGCGTGGGTGGATTCTTTTCTCCATCGTAAGAATCTCCTGCTAAGTGGTTGATGGGAAAGTAAAACATAATCACAACAACTGGCGATATTCCCTCACAAATCCTACTCTTACTTAGAAAACAAAAACACAAATCTTGAAGTAAATAAAGTTTTACGCCAGCAGTGAAGCGATTCCTTGTATTTTTACATCATCAATGATACAATCATGAGTGTTCCAATTCAAAAACGTCTACATTATTAAAAATAGATAAAAATCCGTTCTTTACCCGAACTCATTTACAGATTTATGTCATTCTCTTTCATGGTCATTAGAGATAGTTATTAAAAGAAGAAGAGGAGAAAAATTAAAAAAAAATCTTGAAAAAAATTATGATCGTGAAGAGAACAAATTTTTTAATTACAATATTTGAAAATATTTTCTCATCCGACAAACAAGCTGACAAAACAATTTTATAGTAGAGCTTCTAGTCATGAAAATAAGCTAGTTAAGAATTTGGGTAATTATGACATTCATAACATGGGATTCAGGGTGAAACATCGCCTGCCCAAAAATTTCTAGTCGATGTGACTTGCAATATTTCTTTTTATTTTACTTATGCTATTTCGATTTTATGTATTTATTTTTTTTTACTTTTTATTTTTTTTGTTTTAGATTAGGATTAAGTTTGCTTTTTATTTTTAATTAATTTTAGTTCGCATTTTGTAAGGTTTTTATGAATTTTCCTTACTTTATATCATATCTGTCAAGTCACATCAATTTTATTTTATATGTTCGTCAATGACTGCATTGGTTTAAGATCGTAGGATCAATACCAGTTCATATCATTCCATGTTATGTAGAAATCATAATAATTAAGGCAATAAATAGAGATTTTTAAAACTAAAAAAAAATCATCCGACAAATTGAAAATAACAAAAATTAATCACTTAACAAATTTCTGTAATAATTCTTTGTACTATACACATATCAGGGCTTCTCAACCTTTTTTTCGTGTAATTTTTTAGTTTTTCTTGTTTCATTTGAACATAATATCTAACATTTTTAAATTGCGATATAAATTATTACTCATTATCAGTTTTCACAAACCCGCTAGCATTTCTTGGTAGACCAATAATATTTGCCATGGTGAAATTCTTTAAGCTTTTCCATATCAAATGTGATATTAAATTTCTTGGGAAATACTTAGTCGAACGTCGATATTTATCTTACTCAAGTAGGATTTTCACTTCATAATAAACAAAAAGTAATTTAAAATGTTTATCGTGCAAAGATAAGAAATCGATGTGAAATCTAATGACATCAATTGCATGAAACGAATAGAACAATAAAATATGGATTGAGTGTTTCAAGAAAAAGAAAAGAGATGTGTTCGTCGATATACGAAAATTACCAACAAACCATCCTGTGTGGGTGGATAAAAAATAGGCTTCGATGTTGTTGAAATATATTTTTCTGGGTACTTTTAAGTTAATTAGACGGTTGACTGATGGAGTTTAACAGCAAGCTTCCGTCCATGATTTCTACAGCGCCGCTCAGTGACGAAATTTCAACATCGCCTCTAGAATGTTTTCAATATTTTATAGAAAAATAAAAAGAATTTTCCGAGAAAGAAAGAATATTAAATCGTAACGCAAGTTTTCGGTCTCTTTGTACACCATTAACGAAACTTTATTGCTTCCCTATGGCGTAATTAATTTTTATTACACATCTACACCATCTAATTGATGATTAATTCTCCTGAAACCCGTTATTTAGTTTCCTTTTACAATAGTTTATTATTATTCGTAAACGTGATGTTTTTTTTTTCTTCGTCACAAAATTGCAGGATTGCCGACAGCCTTTCTATGGCGGTTCATTCTTTGATCACGAGGGAATGCCATATTGTGAGACACATTATCACGCTAAAAGAGGATCATTATGTGCCGGTTGTTCCAAGCCCATAACCGGTCGTTGCATAACAGCCATGTTCAAAAAGTTCCATCCTGAACATTTCGTATGCGCATTTTGCTTGAAGCAATTGAACAAAGGTAAGGAAAATTGTTATGATAATCATTCGAACGTTGCGTGAATATTTAATTAATGTTTCTTTCACTCTCCAGGCACGTTCAAGGAGCAGAATGATAAGCCATACTGTCATCAGTGCTTCGACAAGCTGTTCGGATAAATGGGAGAAAGATGTTGTTGAACGAACAATTGTGCGTGTTTGTTGAGAGTATTTTTAATCAATTTAATCATCGAATCGCGATTCGATGGTTTGTTTTTCATTGATTTTTGATACATGATTATATTGACTTCTACACTACCTACATATACAGGATAAAGTTCCAATTTCATTTTAATTAAATTCTCAAGAATCGTGATTTTAAGTTATCTGAAAATGGATCAATTTCCTTTGAATTTAACCAACTTAACAAATGAAATATTACTTCAATTTTCCAAATGTAATGACAATTAGAATGAGAGCTTCTAGAAGCTGAGTAGAAGCTTAAAAATCTTAACACAAATGTTAATTCCCTTTTTGTTTTATTTATTTTTCTTATTATTGACAATTTGAAAGTCTTTTTAAATTCATAATCTTATCTTTTGTCTTGTGTAATCATCCAGAAAACGCTGCAAGTCATTAAAAGTACCGAAAAATATTGAAATCAAGTTTCAAATTTTCTTTTTTCCTTTTTGTAATTTTCTTCTTCATCCTTCATTCTTATTAATAAGAAAAGAAATAAAAGCTTAAGTTGGAGAAAAGTAAATTATGTCAATGGTTAAATGAAAGAAAATCTTCCACTCTCCATTAATCATGTTTTAAAATCACAGAAGAAAATTATTTTGTAATCACATCAACAATTATAGTCATGTCATCATGAATATTGTAAAAAAAATATGAAAGCAAGAAGTTCCACCCCTAACCTTCCCTCTCTTGTTCTGATCAAAAAAAAAATAGAAAGAAGGAAAATCCTTAAAAGAAATCATTCGTGCATTTTCTTGATAAAAAAATTATTTATGCATAGCTGAAAGTTTTCATAAAGCTCGACTGTTGAGCAACTGATAAAAGAATTTTCTTCGTTTTTTCAATTAAGTGCAGCGTATTAGATCATTGAATCAAAAGAAAGAAAACATAACATGGAATAAAATGAAAATGATGTCATAACAAGGAAACATTTTGAATCAATTAGAATAACTTCCTTATAAATACATAGTTTCTTTTTTAAAAATTCATAAGAAAACACTTTTAAAAGCATTCAAGAAAGTTGCTAAATAAACAAAAGGAAATTTTTAGAACCCGTCGAGATGAAAAGAAGGAAAGCAAAAATTAAGCAATCGCGATAGGAAAACTGCATAATCAAGCGTAAAGAATCCGCTTTTTTAAAAAGTCCTTTTTTTAACTATGTCTTATCATTATCATGCTTCGCTGAAGCATAACGAAATCAAAAACAATTAATCAAAAATCCAATGGCCATAAAAGTTTAACGAATGAAAGAGTCGACTAATTAAAAACTTCTTCCTTTTGTTCTCCCTTTTTCCTTTATTTTGTTTATTCAATGTTTTCTCCTTTCTTAACAAAATAAGGAGTCGTTCTTAAGTTGAGTCACAATTTATTTAAAATCCTGATGCCATAACGTTTCATCCAATAGAAATCTTGTGACGCAATATTTAAATAATATCATTATGTTTTGTTATAAAATTTTATCCTTATTTGAATGAAGAAATATTCATTGTGAAGAAATTGATAAAAGAATATTTGAGAAATAAATAACAGTCAAAAAGCATCCATAAATCGAGTAGATTCATGAAATTTTTTCCACCATTTCAGAATTAGTTTTAATCTTCTTTAACGGTCTTTTTAATGACGCAATTCCCGACAATGCTCGAGAGGTGAGTAAATCACAATTTAGGCTCTAATTTCCCCAACCACTCGCGTATATTTTTATAGTCATTTACAGTCATAACTCATAAAAAAAATCCCATGAAAGCGTCTTAAAAATACATTAAGAGAAGACCATAAAACCGACACAAAAGCGAGTAAAAAAAGAAGAAACTTATGAAAATTAGGTAGTTTACATTGCTTACTTTATTTACTCGTCAGATATTTATCTCCACATGGTAACCAAGTGTGTGTTTTTTCCGAGGATGGAATGCATACCTAAGTACACACATTCCCATAATTATCAAAAATTACTTTAAATTACAAAATCTCATTAACAATCTGTACCACACATACGCAACCTTAAGCTATGCCCTGCCATTCCAAGTTGTGTAATAAAATGTTTGAACGAACTGAAATCATTTCAGGATTCGTTCTATATGTGGCTTAAACATCAAGGCAAACAAACAGAAACCATAAAGCCATTTTGATGCTTGACAAGCATCAGCATCAGAGTAACAGCAACACAAGCAGAAAAAAATGTTGAATTGCTTTTTTGAGATTCGACAAAAACCGCAATGTTGTTGGGAAGATAGGAAGAGGGAGAAGAAGGAAAAGAGAAAATTTAAACATGTTTATGATGTTCAGTTCTTTTCTGCGGTGATCACCCACAAACAAACATCCAGCCTGCATCTAACAACAGACAACTAATGGGGGAAACACAGAAATGAAAACGAGTAGCTGTAAATTTTAATAGCGATCATGTTTTTTATTTCATTTTGGGATCTTAAATATTTTTTAGACATGTGTGTCGACGACTACTTTCCGATAATTTTCTTAAATATCTTCAAACTTTTTTCACATTTAGAAATTTATAATCACAAAGTGTGGACGTCGACTTTGGTGTTTGAGTTTATTGGTTTTTTTTCCTCTGAAAACAACAACTAGTGAAGTGAGTAAAGCAAATACACACATAAACATATGAAATGAAAAAAGAGAATTAAATTAGCTTAAATTTTGGAATTCACAAAACTTTTCTCGTTTCGGTTTTTCCTCTTAAATAGGATAAGGGGCTGATGCGAAAGTCCCGTCTCGTCATTGTTTTAACATCATTGTAGATGGTTTATGGAAATATTGTTAAGCTGCTTTGTCGTTTTTCCTCATTCTCCATTCATTCGTCTAATTTTTTTTTGTATTTTGCTTAATCCCTCAACATAAGAAACATTTTTTCCAAATTTCCGGCTTTAAAAATCTTTTTTTGTCTTGCTAATGTTGCGCAATGGGAGAAAGCTTTGCCACAGGAAACTTTGGAATGCCGTAGATTTACTTTAACATGTTTTTCCTGTTTTTCTTTAAAAAGCGGAAGAAAAATTAAAACACTCGAGAATGAACAGAAGCAAAGATAGAATTTAAAGGTTCAACAAGATCTACGACTCTTTTCTTTGACTTGATGAGCTTCCACTTTCTCTCAAACCATCTTTTGGTGTACATAAAACGAAGTTTGTACACATATGAAGAAGTATTTATCATGGATGATGGAATTTTTATTTTTTCTTTTTATTTTTCTTTTTGTGTATCTTCACCGCAAATATAAAGAAGAAAAGTTTTAAGAAAAGCTACCGATGATGATAATTACGTATTTCTCTCATCTTCTTAAGCGCTTTTGAGGGTTGAATTCGAAAATTAATCCAAATTTTCTTCTACTTAGTCTAACTTTTGATGCGGCATGGGAAAATTTTCATCTTTACAAGGGCAAACCAAAGTTTTTGAAGCGTGTAAGAAAAGAGCAAAGAGTTGAGTTCAAACTCTGTGAATTATTCTAATTTTTATTTCTTTCAAACAGCTCCGTTTCTACTTTGAAAGTCACGTCACAAATCTTTTAAGCTCTGAATGCTTTTCCGCTTGAGGACAATAATAACGGAAAAAACGACAAGAGAAGTAAATTTAATTTCAATATAAAAGCAAAAGGAAATAAATTTTGGACTTTCAGAACGGAGCGAAACGATACGACATTTGTTGCGAGAAACAAAATTTAATTGCATTAAATGAAACCTTCATGCACTTATGTATAAATGTATGCCACAGATGTAGAAGCTTTTTGTGATTTACGGAAATATCTAAGTGTTTTACGAAATTTCATTACACACATCACATGGTGCATTTAATTTTATTTCTTGTATAAGCACAAAATTATGTTCGTGTTAGTTGTTTGTTGCTTGCAGGTGAAATTTGCAATAGAAAACATAATTTGAAAGTTTTATTGCATAAAATTACATTTATTTTAATTAAAATCATTTTTACGTCACTCATCTGTGAATGAGAATTTAAATCAAGTATTTAATAGAGAAAATTTTAAATTTAATGAACAACATGAGATTTTTCATTGTGCAGAGAAGTAGATGTGGAGGTGATAATTGATTTTCATGGAACCTTAAACTTTTACATTTTTGGATTCTCTGCATGGTTGAATAATCTGCATACATCGTCAAGCTTGAGGGTGAATGAAAATATAAATATAAAAGAAAAAAAACAGAAAAGCTAGAATAGATTTTTCAAGCAACACTTTTTTGCATTAACATTCGCTCGTCGAACGTGCATGTAAAGTTCAGTTGTTGATGCTGTTAAAGTTTCAACTCAATATCCAACAGCACGACGAGAAACTTTCGCCTCGTCTGATGATGTTTCTGGTTTGTATATGTTTGAGTTTTTTCCCTCTGACTTGTTGTTTGGATAGTTTGTGGCCGTTCAATGTTTCTCATGTCAAATTAACTTGCTTTGATGGTTGAGCTATCTTTATTTTCTGTACGTTGATTTATGTGGACAATTAACTATCAGAAAGCAAAAAAAAAACTGTGTAAATGTTTACGCCATCATTGTAGTTCTGTACAATGTCGCCACATTGAATTCTTCTTCTGACAAATTTCTTTCACTCTTTCTCTCTCATTTGATTTCACATTAAATCCCATGATATCAGTTCATTGCATCGTAATAATGTATTCTGAAAATAATCTTGAAAAAGGTAAAGGATCTGTAGATGATGATAGAAGCAAAATGAATCTGAGCTTTGATATACCGGAGAGGGAAATTAAATCGAAAGTAAAACCCTTTTCAACCTTATTCAAAGACATCACGACATGGAGCCCAGCAAATCACTTCAACCGTCCTTTCCTTTCTCACTCTTCGCCATAAATGGCAAGTATAATAAGCAAATAATTGGCTAATTAAACGTTGAAGATTAAAATGAGTTTTCCGCTTTTCTTTAGCAAGAAAACGCAAAGAAAAGAAAGAGAAAAAAATTGAAATTTTTTCGATGCAGAAGTTGAGTCGTGAGGGTGAGAAATTATTCCATTAAAATATTAACGCTATGATGTTAGAGAAAACTGACGGAACGGAACAAATGCGAATGAGTTGAGCGGTATTAGTTGATCATTATAATTAAATGGTTCGCAAAAGGATTTTTCTTCTTTTCTCTCATTTTACTCGTTTCTCAGCATTTGATGCGAAAGTTTCCAGTTTATAAAATTTATGCATCATTTATTAATTGACGCTGTAGGAAAAGTACAGAATGGAGCATATTTCTCCAATATTTACTACAAAGTGCTTCAAATTCAATCCCTGATCGATGCTAATGGAAATTTTTCAATCCATCAACAAACTTTTCCTTCTTTCTTTCATTTTTTTCGTCACGATTCAATGAATATACACTCAATGAAGCATTTTCCCATTATATTTCAAATCATTGACGACATCCTTGTCTCCTTTTTTTTATGTTTAATACAAAATGAAAATAATCTTTATTCAATGTCGCCGCTTTCTCCTTCTTGTGACTAGCGCGCTTTTCTGATGGACATCGTCAAACAAAATTATTTGTTTGCATCACCTAATTGACGAAGCTTTTTTTTGTGTCCTTAGTCTTAAATAATCCACTCCTTTCCTTTTCCCTTCATCTTTCTATTTGCATTCATTGGAGTCTTCTTTTTTTTCCTTCCTTTCATTACAATATCAGAAGCAAACAACGAAAGTAGAAATTAAGGAAAAAAAAGTTTTCATCAACGTGAAGATGATGGGGAATGTTGGCATCGTACTTACATTTCTTTCATGCTTTTCTACCTAATTATAATTATTTTTAATGCTTATTTTGTCCTGAATGTTTTGAAGAGCTTCTTCTTCCTTTACTTATCCACTCATTGAAATGAAGAAAAAGCAGAAGGGACAATTAAAAATGGTAGAAATATCATCAGGTTTTTTTTCTGATGTTTAATTCTGTAAAATTTCTACTGCTTTTTCAATGAATGAAAAAAAGTCTGCTGTAAAGTTGTTCAAAAGAATAAAAGACTTTCTCATAATGGAAAATAATAATAACAATTCGAACTTGTATTTTTAAGTAAAGGTAGAAGAGGTTGCTGTTGTTGTGACATCAGGACATCATGTTTCTCTTTAAACTTTCAACATTATAGCTTGAAAAAATATTCCACGTTTTGTCACTGATGAGAGATTTTAAGGAAAAGAGGAAGAAACATGACAAAACTTTCTTCATTCATTTGAAAAGGCTAAAAAGGGGGACGCTTTCATTATGTACGTGAAATTTCTTAATGCTGATGATGGTGTGTTGCTTCATCTCCATTGTTTAATTACATGCCTCTTTATACGAGCGCTCAAAACTTTTCTCAACTTGCTCTTCTCGTCTTTCAATTTGTTTTCACCGTCTAAATGAAATTAGAAAAGAATTTTCCTTCTCTAATAAGATGCGGGGGTTGAACGTGAGACCTTTCTAGCAAACTTCAAATGAAAAAAGAACAGAGCTCTAATTATGTTTGTTCTATTTAGCATGTTTTGTGTACCAAAATCTTCATTTTAGTTTCTAACATAGCAATTGGTCTGGAAATTGTTCATTTTACTTTGAATTAAAAATATCTTTTCATATTTTTAAAATATAAATATCAACAGAAAATAATCTACGTTTAAATATTTACACAATAAAAGCTTTTTTCTCAAATATTTAATGAAATTGATAAAAAGCTGATTAACCTTTCTCTAATTGGAATCAAATTTGATGAGTATTTTTCCGCTATAGAAAATTTGTTTCTGTCAACATTAATTTCAAATTTTATTCAATTACAAAGATCGAAATATTTCCACCAAAATCCAACACGAAAACATATTTAGAAATTAATTAAAATTTATTATAATCATAAATAGATTTTAATTCTAATTTTTGCATCATAAATTGATTTCAATGTTTTTCAACTCATTTTCAAAAATTCAAATTATATTTCTACAATAAACACAAAACCACTCATTTCATCGATAAATAAATCAACGAAATATGTTAATTACAATAAATTATTTGTTTTTCATAAAATGCCATAGAATGAAATTAAAATTGATGAATGGATAATGTAATTGAATAATTTTCATCCCCGCCAATGAATGTAAATAAGCATAAAATTTAAATTTGCAATAAGCAACGGCTATGGAAATTTCCTACACTGTTTATCTCCTCGATTAAAATGCAAATTATGATTTCACTCAATTGTTGCAGCAACTACACATGCTTTTTGGCTGAGCATGAAAACAGCTTTACTGTTATTTATGCTCATGAGTGCTATCTCTAAATGGGACTCCATATTAACATAGAAAAGCCTCGCTTTTTAATTAATTCAATCTGCGCATTATTGCTACTTGAACTTCCAGCTACACTCCCGATGCTGTTCTTAATATCAGCTTACATGAAACGGAACAAACAAAAACGAGAAAACTTTAAGCTTGTTCAACATTAAAAATCATTGCAAATAATAATTAAAAAGCATCATAGTTGAAATTTCGCCATAAAACGGAACATTAAGTTCTTCTCGTGATGATATTTCTCTACAGCATAACGAGAAAGTTTTTTTTTACTTCTCTCATTCTTTTTCTCACTGTCTACTTGCTTTTCTAAGAAGCCATTCTCGGGTGAGAAATGGAAAAGTTTTTCCTTGCAATTCTAACAATAATTTTATCGCTTCTTGCCACCCTCAACATCAGGCATTCGCTTCCCCTTTGACCAAAAACAAGAAACTACTTTTACACAAGCAATTCATTGTCGAGATGGCTTCCCAGTTAAGAAAATTTTAGTTTCTTGTATGTAGATAAGAAAATTTCTCCTCAATGCTGTCTTCATTGCTTTCCATTGATCATTTTTTCCGAAACTACTTTGAAAGAAATAGAAGAAGCATACATAAAGTTAGCTAGGCAAGACAAAAAGGTCAAATTTATGCAGAGCTTTTCGAGTGACAATTGTTGATGATAGGAAATCCGTTTTGCATGAAACTAAAATCCAACTTAATGCCACCGAAAGTCTTTGTTCGTTCCAAATTATTCTCTTCTTGGTCACTTTTTTATTTTCATATTTTAAAAATTCTCGTAAAAAAGTAAGACGAAGAAGAAGCACTATGTGTCGAGAAGTGAAAAAAGAAATTAGAAATTCCAGATATGTCCGAGCAATAACAAATTGTGGTGGAATCTCAAGAAATGAGAAAATTTCTTTACTAAAAAAACTGAAAAGAGGAAAGAAAAGTTCATTGAGACTTCCTTCAAAATTCAACTCGAGTTGAAAAAAAGTCTGAAGGAAATTAAAAAAATCATTTGCATTTAAATTCAGTCCCGATGATAGCAGTTTTGGGTTGTTTCAAGTCGACAGCCGATGAAGAAAGGCAAGGAAAGGTAAAAGCAGAAGACACTCTGCTGCTGCTTTCCTCGAATGTTGAAAGAAAATTTCCATATTTAACAAGGTGTGACAGGTAAGGCCGTAGAACTATTAAAAGCTATAAAACATGCAATTAACGAGTAAAGGGACCGGCAAAATTCTATGTAGATTTCTTGGGCTTAAACATCGTCGAAGACCATTTACTTTAAGCATCACGCAACATGAAAAGGAAGAGTAAAAAAAGTCGTCTCCATCACGAATTAGAAGAAAGGCTCAACTAAAAGGGAGAAAAAGTGTCATGATTTTAATGATTTTCATTGGAAAACTTTTCTAAACTTCCGTCTTGGGACGATCTTTGGCGAGGAAATAAATTATTAAAATGAGTTCCAAGGGTTTTGTCGGAAAGTTAAGGAAAAAAAACTGATTTCAGGGTTCAATAATCTAATCATAATTATAAAATAAAATTTTAATGTCAATTTACACATTTACGCCATTAAAATCAGCATCAACATTTACCCAGAAGCTTTAATATATAAAAAGGAAGAAATCACTGAAAATACAGCGACAATTTTATGGGAAAATAAACACTGCATAACACTTTTGCTTCCTTCTCAACCGCTCGTTATTTCAACCGTCGGTTGCACAACAAGCTCTATAAACTGTGAACTCACCCAGTGTAACCATAAACTTTTATGAAGTTATTTAGTTTTTAAACTGCAATCGAGAAAGTTTCTCGCACCATGACATGACGATCATATAAAAATCTATCACCTTGATAAGCTAAACTTAGACTAAAAGAATAGCAAATTCTTTCAAGCATATGTTATTTAGATGGGTTAAACCTTCTTGTTCCGTCTCTTTGAATTTGAATGAAAAGTCCGCAAATTAACATACTTCAGCAAAACATCCAAAAAAATAGCAACTGAAACAATCTCAAGTTTGTGGAGTTTAAAACGACTGAATGGCACTTCACCAAAGAGCAACGCCAATTAGATATGTTTTTTTCTTTTTCTTCATCTCAAGCTTATAGTTTATTAGAGGTCAGAACTTTGGGAACGGAACATTTAATGCTATAGCATCTTTTAAGAGACAAAAAAGAAACTTTAATGGCAGTGCAGTGGTTGGAATTAAAAAAAGAAATTTAAAACGTAACATTTAGTAAAATTATGAAAACTAAATAAAAGTAAAGTTTCGAATTTGTTAAGAAAATTCACAACAATTAACTTTTGTTCTGTTTTAGGATATTTGAGAACTGAAATAACACATTTATTTAATTGTTAATGATTTCTAGCCCTGTTCACTAGTGAATAATATATCTGCAGCATATTAAATGCTACTCGTGTTGTTATGGTGACCACTCGTTTTTATTCTGTAAAGAATAATTTTTATGCTTGCCCAAATTTCTCGGTGCTCGTCTTTTTTTCTGTATAGCGACCAAATGTTTATGATGAAAGTTTCCTCTTTTCTCTCTGCTTTTTTTAAATTTGTTGACTTTGTCCGAGACAGATCGTAAAAACAAAGACTTCCATCGCCATAATAAAACATAATTAAAACTGAAAGAAGAAAATATAGTAAGTTGCTCTACGAGTGTGAACGTTTGTCGCTTGGTTGGAAAAAAAATTATCACGAGAGTTGCGAGTGACTGTAAAATATCATTGTATAGCAACAAGGAAGATTGTACGGCGAAGCTATAAAGATGAAACAGAGTTTCTAGTGACCAATGATTATCTGTGATGCTATCTACATCAAAACTTTGAGTGTTCAAGTACCTATTTAATGATTCATTTGAATATAATGAAACGAGGAAGCTTAGTAGACACAAAGTATGAAGCTAAAAATAAAATTTTCATGAAAAACTTTCTCTTTGTTATCTGTTAGAGTTTATTTTAATTAAATTTTATGGTCAGCCATATGGAAGTTTTATTTTCATCAGTTATGTTTCAAAGTTCAAAAATCTATGGCTTATGCTTCAATATTCATCGCTCTCTTGAATTATGCTAAAGTCATTTCTGACAACCAACGAACAAAGTTAATTGAAAAACGTAAATATTTATCAAAATTCTTCTTCTTTATTGATAGGATTAATTTTGCTCTTGTTTGTGCGGCACCATTGGAAAGTGTTTTTTATTTTCGTTGTGAATTTAATGTAATCTTCATGAGTCACCAACAGCAATGAAATTAATCTTTAATAGAAATTAAATTAAGTCTCTGATATGAAGAAAAACCTGTTTGTTGATTTTGATTCCAACACCAGATGGATAATCTTACTTATTCTCATCCATGTTGTTTTCCACACTTGATACTTGAATTAGGAATTTAAATGTAGATACCTATATGCTTTTTAATTTAAATTCTCGTTTTAAAGTTCATTGATTGTGACTTTTCTCGAACCAAACAAGCGAATACAAGTGAATGATAAAGAATATCATCGTCGTTGATATTTTAATTTTAAATCAAATTCAATCTGTGCAATTTCCCTGCTGGTTCTTCTGTCTTATGAAATTGCATCACTGTCATGTGATTTCTTAAAGTGAACTCAAGCGTTTTACAAGAGCATAGAGTAATAAGTCATATTGGATGTCATCAGTTATGAGAAGGGTATTGCTTATTAAATAATAAATATCACCTTATAAAAACTTCATTCAATTTTAAATTTATTAAAAAACTTAATCTCAATTTAGATCCATCGTGATACTCTACTCTAAGTTGAAAATTATTCTTTTATTTCATACTACATGAAATGTTCTTTCGACTTTTCTTATGATGTAAAAAATAAGACATGGAATTGGTAAATGAAAGATTGCATAATATGCTTCTGACAGATGATTCATATTTAAAAAAAAACTCACTTTTGCATGAAAAAATGAAACAGAATTTCCTTCGGAACCGCGTACAATGTTTTAGTTTAATTCACCATTTTTCTGCTATAATAAAATATTTCATCCAACAGTTATGCATTTGTCAGTTTTTCCTTTCATACAATTTCAAGTTTCGCATTTTTTTTGCAATCATTGTGAAGGTTCGCGTGACAACGTGAGAATCAAGGTTGCATTAGCTGGATTATTTTGAGAGACAATAGAATAAACAAGTCACAATGTTGTTTCATTTCACTGGAGGCTCTCCATTCCAATGATATGAAGTTATTTTTTATTTACCCTGGAGATGCGATTGATATTATGAAAAAATAAACAAACCCGCAGATGTGGCATGAATTCGTCCTTCAATATTTTCCATTGGTCTTTTTTCATCCATGATTGATTATTTGATTATGAAAATTCCATAAGCCATTGAATCAAGAAGCGAAGTAAAAAATAAAGAAGAAAATATTCGACAAACGAGCAACGGTCAATGGACCTTGAAGCAACATCGTCATCAATGTTAACTCTCAAGAGCTCGATAACTTTTCATGTTCATAAATTTTGCAAATCCCGAAAATAGCAAAAACTTTAACCAGGTCGAAAGCACCCCAAAAAATAAAAAAATAAAAAGGTGAGAAAAAAGGATTTGGAAGTGAAAGAAGATTTACATGTATTGCTGTGATGTGAAGGAGAACAACGAAGCGAGGGATATCGAAGATGTAAAAAAATCCTGTTTGATTTCCTACATAAGCTCTTTATTGAATTTGATGCTTCAACGTAAGTGTATGTATATGTATTTGAGTGTGTATGTCTCTGTCCCAAAGCTTTTCGCTAAATAAATTTTCAATAAGGTATTTGCATACATGATGAGAGTTGAAGGAAGACCCTTACTTTCCCATGTCTTTTATCCATTCACTCGCATTTTGTAGATATCAACATAAATCGCATCTACGCAACAAATTTCACATGACACTTTCCGACTTGAAATGAAATTAAATAAATTTCACTTCTTGACATTCTTTCTACCTTTACGACTTCTCGAATCGTTTTGTTTCTTTCATTGTTATATTTCACATAATTTTTTTTATTCCCTTTTTCTTACATCTTGTCAGATGCGAATCGCTTAACAACAAAATACCGGGGATTTGAGTTATGTATGGTCGTCGTCCATTGAAAGCAGCAAAAAGGTTATTTTTACCTGCACTTTAATCTACGACGGAAATTCTTTTCATAATGTGATTTCCACCCTCGCTTTTACTTGTTGTTTCACCTCGACATCGTCTAAAATTTATTGTCATGGGATGCATAAATACATTTCATTCAGTTTTCTGTTTTCGCGGATTTAAAAGAAGGAAAAGCAATTTTCTCTCCATTTTTTACAGCGCCCAATTGATAATTGAGTGCTTTTACTTCTCTGCCGTTGACTTTTGCCATCATTTTTTAAAAGATTTCCGTCTTTCTGGGTTAACAAAATTAAATCACGGTTTATATGTGTTCTTATAATGGTTTTCTCATTTTTCTTCCTTTTTCTTTAGAGGGGATAAGACGACGAAGGTTCAAGGCAGGTTGAACCTGTCTGTTGTCTGATAACAAAATGCTAGATGTTTGCGGAAGCTTCCCCTCGACGATGTTGGATGACAGGACGAAAAAAAAACAATAAAATTGCCTGACAAAAATATCTTCCAATATAATTAAAATGTCAGAGAGCTTGCCTCTAACCACTGACATGTAACGAAACGGTTTTGCCATATTATTTGACTTTGCTTGGATTTCCATCGTTTTTACAATCCAAAATCCTGTAATTTCTCCATCATTTATTATTGTTAGGCTTAAATGGATTTTTATTGTTTCACTTTATTGTTACGAAAAGCTTTTGAAGGCAGTAATTTTTTATATTGCTATTGCTTTGTATTTATGCTGGATGTTGTTATATGTAGACTGTAGAATTACAACTACTGCTGCTTTTGTCATTCTCGGTTTGCTGGCATTACATGACCAATCTTGAAGAAAAATTATATTGCACTACCAGGAAACGAAGCAAACGAAAAAATATTTCATTTCAAAGAAGCGATTCTAAGTGATTTACTGCATGAGTTTGCACGTTTTTTCAGTGACCAATGCTTTTAAATCCTTAGTGTATTGTAGCATGTTTGTAGTAAGAATATTAGGTGAAATGACATCGAATTACCTTCATAAATTACAATAAACACTTCCCGTTCTTCGTAAGAAAGTTTGAATCGAGGCGACATAGCGAAAAGTGTTTAAGTCTCACGAGTTTAATGGATTTTACGTTCAACGTCAAAATCACTAACATTGTTATTTCGTTCAACAAATAAAAACAAAAGTCCAAAAAAATCTGTCATAGGATTTAGTCGATGGGATTTTCGATGAAATGATGGACAATAGGCTTTTGTGATGATAATACTGTTGTTTATCGAGCACCATAGAATAAATGTCGGAAGCTTTTGAAGTACACAACAGCGAAATAAATTAATTTCAATCTCTAACAGTGCTTTGTGATCAAGACAAGTCAATCTCATTTGACATCATAATCATTTCAACACCAAAGGAAAAGAAGAAATTGTCAAAGACGATCATCGTGACTTTTGTTCTATGTTTCTCTTTGTGCTCATTTATTTATATATCTATCAACAAATAAGATCCTATAATGTGGGGAATAAAAGGAAAATCTAATAAATGTCTAAATAATAAATGAAATTACAAAACATTTATATGAACTTTGAAAAAGAAATAAGTAAATTGCATGAAATTGCAAGTTGCAACTGAAGTTTTGACATGGAAACCTAGCGAAACTTATAATAATCGATCAATGTGAACAAAATATCAGGACTTTGTAAATTATTTTTTCAAAGAGCTTTTAAAATTGGAATGTTTTCTTTATATCTTCCATTAACGCCTCTTTTATCTTTTGACGTTTACACATTCTTAATGCAGTAGGAAAATGTAATAGTCATCAATTAAACTAATCATCGATCTTCTGAGGGTTGAAATGTCTGATATGACAGCTTTTGTAAATATTCGTGATAGTCTGAGATAACTTTTTTATACAATTCGAATTCATTATCTAGGAGTTATCAATCGCTAATATTGGATTTCAATTCCGAAGTTCACTTTGAAAGATATTTCTAAATTCAGATTCAAAGTATCAATGTCCTTTTATAAAATTTGTTGAAGAATTATGAGCAGCAAGCTAATATGAGATTAAGGGACATTGTAATACTTTGAATCCCTTAGATAACATCTTGACAAGTATTGTTATTTATTTCAAAGTTTTATGATAATACTTACTTCAATAGGAAAAAAATCATTTTTATCGTTTACACCTTCACAACCTACACATGAAATTGATTCTATTCTAAGTCGTTCCAAGCTGCTTCGAGCACGAATGTTTATAAATTTTATTCTTCATCTTCTTTCAATAAAAAATTTACATACATTTACCTGATACGAGGAAGAAAGGGTTTCTAGGGAAATTACAGTTGCACAAAATGAAAACGAAGAAGTATTGTACAATATTAAACTTTTTTCATCTTAGATAACTTTTTGTGTTATTGAAATATTTATGTATCTTTTTAAAAATCGCTTCTCAAGTCAGTGGTGTCGTGTTGATGGAAGGTTGTTATAATTTCTTTGATGCATTTAAGCTTTACTCGTACACTGATTTAAAGTAAAGCTTGTGGGCGGAAAAGATTTCCCGTTTGTTGCTTGCAAAGATTTTTACACTAACCAAGATGACAAGGAAAATCTTATGCCGTCAGATTTATATTTTATTATGGAGTATTACGTTATTATTATTTTCTCCCCTTTTCTTATTCTCTGCTTTGCTTGGTAGCATTTTAAGGCTTCAATGTAATTCTCTAGACATTATATTAATATTGGATTGTGTGTTATATTGGGGCGTTGCCCCATGCCCTGCCTCATAAAAGAAGGAAGAAAAGCTTTTAACCTTTCTCTCGTGCTCGTCTCATTATAATTATGCGCTTAGGGAAAATGAGGCTGATACTCTGAGATGAACATAAACTGACATTGACCGCTTTTTCTATTAAGCCTGATGAGTGTTGCTATGCGATAAAACATTGTGATTTCTTATTCCTCTTCATTCGAAGGCGTTAAGCCGCAAAGAAGATTTAAGTTGAAGTATTTTATTAATTTTCATATTCCTAAGGATTGTTTACATCATTGCGTTCCTTTTCTTCCACCTAAGGCAAGGATGAGTTGCGATGAACTATGATAAGAGAGAATTTTGAAAATATTTTAATTAGCCTGTAACTTTTTGCTGACTTTCATATTCAGTGAAGAAAGATACTTATATATATTAAATTTTGAAAAGATGAGGGTGCTGAATTAATTGAATTTCAAACTGATTCAATCTCAATCTCATGACTTAATGAATCAGAAACCTCTTCAAACACAATTCCTCGAGTAAAATATAGGCATGTGAGATAGAAGCGTCTTGAAAAACCTATTACCGGTTATAGGTTTACATTGGATGATGACGAGAAAAAAAGAAAAGAAAAAAGTTTATTTATTTTGACTATTATCGAGTGTACACAATAAACAGCAGGAGTTTCGATAGCTTGAGGAAGTTTATCGGAATAGAAAAAAAAAATTACAAGTCAGCAAATATTTTTCCTCGAAGAGTGAAAGCGGAAGACGAAAAATTTAATAATAAAAAAAGTAAGTGGAAAATTGTGCCAAAAAATGTTGTTCAATCCGCTTTTGTCCGTAAATGATGTGTCTTGTGACTTTTTATTTTAAAATAGGTGTTTTAAGTCACACAAAAACAAAGTTTAAACATGCTGTGACATGATCGAATGAATGCTTTTTACATTTCGTGACTTATGCAAAAATTCTGATGATTTTTTTTAATTTCACGAAAGCACTCTATATATCAGTTCCACGTTACATACTCATAGAAAGAATGTGCAAACTCACGTTCAGCATGTAATTCAGAAAGTATTCAAGTCTATTGTTCTCTTTCTTTCTCTCGCCAAGATTCAAATTGAATTTGGATATTGTTTTTTTTCTACATCGTGGAGGAAGGAGAAGTGTATGTTTTATGTCCTTCCTCCGGATTTCATGCGAGACGAAGTAACTGAGTCTCGAACTGAGAAAAAAGTCAGGAAATTGATTTATTACATCTTAAGACAACACACGGTGAAGGAGTACGGGAGCTAAGGAAACATTTGCAAAACGTTTTCTTCTTTGCCTCGGAAACAAGAAATGATGCGAAAAATTTCTCCAGAGTGTATGAAAAAAAGAAGTGTGCGTCGTACATAGTACCATGTTACTTTCGGTGAATGTTTGACATCCCAACAGAATATTGAATAAAGCTGAAAATGTCAGAGAATAAAAGTTTTCTTTTATTTTTTTCTTCTATCGAACGCAGCAACGGTTGTCACTTGATTGTACATTTACTAAATTGATTTTCCCCTCCCCCATTGTCTCTTTTCCTTTTGTCTTTTTCGAAAAATTAATTTTTCATTGAGAGATTACAGAAAATAAATATTTGACATGATATACATCGATGAAGGTCTCCATTCTAAATATATAAATTTGGAGAAGAAAAAGAAATGAAAAAGTCCGCTTATGTCTCGACAACATCAGTTCAATGACGCATATTTGTGAATATATCATTTCAGGACATTGGAGAATAAAAAGATTTATATTCATATTTCAATCCATTTACGCTTCACTCAACGATTGTTAAGCTAAGTTTTTATCCGTTTAGACATGTTTGCCAAACATTTAATGCAAATAATTTCGTAACAGAAAATATTCAGAGCAAAAAAGTATGTGGGGGAGTATTTTAGTGCAAATCAAGTTTGACGCAAAGCTGACGATGGCGATTCGATGACCCCCAATGGCTTGAAGAGTTTACAACAGTGTACATAATATCTGTGTAGGAAAAGTTTGCATAGTATGATTAGCATTTCATGTATACATGTATATGTCAGTCATTTCATATATCCTCACAAATTACAACATTAAACATTTCATAATGAATTGACTTGCACGTTAAAAACGACTCCAATAATTGAAGCTCTTAAAACTTTAACAAATATTGAACAGTAGAGCAAAATAATTTATTGCAATATCACGAACGCATTGCATGCGCAATAAATTTTTAACCAAAAGCGAAACTCAATATTCGAGGTTGAAAATAAAAATCATTTTTCAAAAAAATCAGTCATTTGTTTAGAAGCGAAAATTGTTCGGGAATTTATTTTTTTTTTGGAATTCGGGAGAAAAAAATCAACATACATTCAGTGAATACCCTTCATTTGCTATTTTTCATACGCGCTTTCCATTGAATAGCACAAGATTATAATGACATTTCAATGTTTAAACGAATGAACGTTCATAAACATTAACGTGAAAATAAAAATTCCAAATCAGCTTACGCTGAATAAAATGGTATGGGAATTTATAGAATACTTGATCTCTTTGTGGTTTTACAGCTTCGTTTGTCCCATCTGCCATCATACTCTATACTTTATCCATATCACGATAGTGAAAAACTATGCATAGTTTCCCTTTTACTAGCTTATCGCGAATGTCATTTTTTTTCGTTCACACACGAGTGATTTATGAACAAGCACCGATAGCGAAAATTTTTCCTGGTATTTCCTCAATGACCAATGTGCCCTGTTGAAAAATTTAGCTTTAAAAAAATGCATGCCAACGATTTTTCGTTTTATTGATGACGTAACTGTATGAACGTAATGTCATCCATTCGTTTCATGTTCGCTATGTTAGAAAAATTACAGCCATAGAGAGGCTTCAATGGATGGTGCTAGAAGAGGTTAAGCAAGACCACAGTATTATATATTATTATTAATAATTCTAGTTTGACTTCACATTTAAGTGATTTATTTGTATTATGAACTACAACTTTCCACACATGCTACTTGAAAAGTAATTTCTGATGCTTTGAAACAGGAAAAAATCATTCAAACCTTCAATTGTGGTGGATTAATTTTTCACTCAATATGATGTATGATCAGAAACATTAAATCAGAAAATGCTGTTTCATTCGCCATGTAAAGAATTCAAAATGACCACAAATCGATCAAAACATAATTGATCACTTTCTGGTTTTTCGATGGATGGAAAAATAAAAAAAAGTTATGAAAGATGAATTGTAAAGCATTTGAGGTAATTGAAATTCTATTTTTATTTGCTTATGCTGAGCTCAGCATCAACATCAAGAAAATTCATCGATTGGAAATATTTCAACATAAAAAAAAGTTCACTCATTCTCGGTCTATGTTGGGATGTGATTATGTAATGGATTGTAGAGACATTGGAACGTAGATATTCTTAGCACAAATTAAATTTCAAGGGTTCTTTAAGGGAAAAGAGATATAGCGTTGAGATAATTGCCATGTGACCCGATTTGAAAGGAAAATGGGGTTTCAAGTAGCTAGCAGTAGTTGGTAGAAGAAAACTCAACTCAATCAAAGAAAAATGTCTTTGTCAGGAATTTTCGCCCTTAACTCGCTCTTCACATGAGAGATTATCTTGATAAAATTCTCCACTTTAGAGTTTTCGAATCACTAGTGATTGAATCAAGTTTCCTTCAACAGTCAAGAGCTTCATCTACAGTAATTCTTCTATGTTCCTTTTTGAAGCTAAATATCTAAGAGGGACAATTTTTGGTTCGCCTTAATCCGACTACTTTCATGCATGACTTGAGTGAATGCTTTTAATTTTCTCAAAGACTTTCCAGTGATTTCACAAAAAATATTTTTTAATCCCAACCCAAACTCAATGCTTTCTCAAACTTCTGACAAAATTTTAAATGTTTTTTCACATTTTCTTGTGCTGATGTTGACAAAAGCTGAAAATCATTCAATTCACTCTGAAGCGGAAAGATTTGGAAAATCGAGACAACTTTCCTTTGATCCTTTTCCTAAAAAAAGAATTTTCAAGAGTTTTTAAGTCTTTTTGATGATTCGTTTCTTTCATTCCTTTCTCCATGATGCTACAATTGAAATCATTTTTTTAAACCAGTTTATTTGCAAATTTTTAAATCCTTCTCTCTCCCTCTACTCAAACGATGCTATGAAATGAAAATAGAAACGAGAAAAAAAAAGATTAAACGATTAGATTTTATATTTGCTTTCTGCGCTTTTTATTCTACTGTCGAAATTTATTTTTCCATCTTACTTCATTACTTTTTTTCTGTAATTTGAAGAAGAATTTAAATGAATTTTTGGCAAGAGTTGACTTTAGATTTGACGAAACAACATTTTAAAATGAAAAGCAATTTCTTCTTTCATCTGGAATGAATATTTGTTAATCCTTTTCAGCTATGTTAATTGTTTCTATGATTGGCACACAGATAATGCTGATTTCAATAAACATAGATTTTCAATTAGATCTATCTGAATCGAGTGTCCTAACATTTAAAACATTGTTAAATCAATGTGGTTTAAACGAGTTAAATCGAAATGTTTACCTTAAGCTTGCATAAAAGCAAATAATGACTCATAAAATTGGTAATTATGCAAATCAGGGAATGGAGTTGAAATCAGAACTCATTATGCTTTTCAAATATCTCAATCTCAAAACTTCCAAATGAAATAAATTGATCAATAACAATGAATTGCTAAAACCCTTAAAATAAAATATCTCGATTTACTTAATGCGAGACGAAAGATTGAAAAGCAGTTTATTTATTTTTGCACTCGTAGATACTTCAACAGCTTTCGATAAAGCAAAAGTCCTTGTTAAGTAAATCTCTTGAAGATTGAAACTGCTTCGATGCAAATCTTTCGAAATTTGTTTTCTCAGATTGAATAATCCTACAATTTTCGCATTTAACTGTTTAGAAAGCTTTTTCTTTTTTCTTCTTCTTGTTGAGTCAATTTTGAGCGCAGCATAACATTCAATTCGCGATTCCAATTTGAATTTTATTTCATTGCTCGTCGACAGCAGTCGAAAGTAATGCGGATTTTTGGGGTGGCGGTAGAAAGAAAGAGCTGAAATGTATAATTTTATGACTTTCTTGCTTATTTTTATTACTGAACAGGATCTCAATAAAATTTAAATATAACTGTTTCGACTTCGTTTTCAAACGCTGATTAAGGCATCAATTGCGATTTTGTTTAAGCTTCTTTTCGTGGAAGGAATATTTTAAGCATTTAAATTTAATTGGTGTGATGGATTTGAATATCTCTTCTTCTTCACTGTCGTCTATTTCTTCCGTGTCATCATCAGCTCATTTAACAAAATTTTGAATATTTTTCGAGCAAGGAAAAAAGGAAAAAAATTGAAGCGACTTTCTTATCGGCTTATGGATATTTTAATTTAAAATTCCGCAATGAAATCAGAGCTTAAACAACAGCACAAAGCGAGAAGCACGTTTCACAAATTGAGTTTCCTTCGTTTCTTGTTCAGAAAAAAAAGTACACACGATCGTTTCGTTCAGCTTTTCTTATATAGATATTTTTAAAAAGCACAGCAGGAAAACAAAGAGATTTCTCGCCGAATAATAACGAAGAAAAAAATGTTATCAAAATTAACAACACGATAGGGAATAATATTGGCAAATTTTTATGACTCCACACGAGCTCGTTTCTATCTTCAACGCTGTGCTGTGTACAGCAAATGGCGAGAAATTATTTAAGGCAATAAATTTCGTTTTTTATCAAATTTAAGATTTCATGAAAATGAGAATTTTTCTGGGAAGATCTGGGATTAATCATTTATCAAATCCTCTAAACTGTAATCGAAAGATTCTAAATATTTGAGAAAGATTGCCTTTTATTTTATTTTTATTCGCTCATTCCATTTCAATCTTCTTTTTTTCTTTAAAGGTGAATCTTTTAATCTGTAAATTCTCGAAGAATTTTCACACTTCAAAATCTTACAAAGTAGCAAAACAAAGGAGAATGAAGCTAATCGGGGGAAGAATTCTTTCGCACATGGCACCAAGCGTTACCTCGATATTTTTCCATTAAAAACGGTTTTTGAGATTAAATGAACATCGAAAGGTATTTTGTAATCCTTGAAAAGCTGAATGTGTCTGGTATCAACAGTACCCTCGCCCCTTAGATAGAGCCAAGCGATAGCATTAGGGATGAGAACGAAAAGGCGATGAGATTTTTTTTCATCATCTTTATGGATGTGCTTATAAATGGCAGAAGATTTTCCTCAGAGGGAAAAAGCGGATATTTAACATTCATGTCAGTTCAGAAATGTATTACCTGTGATCTTATCGATCTTATATTATTCCATACATATTTTTCTTTTCTCTCCTTTTCCTCTTACTTACACGACAACGCGACGAAGCGACAATGCGAAATGGATATTTGGATTAAACATATGGGAGACTCAACTAGATTGCTTCAATGCTCTGACACAATTAACAACTTAAAAATCATTCTATTTATTTATTCATCTAGCAACATTGATATTAGAATTTTTAATATTAGAATGTGCAGATATCTACTCTAATCCTTCATATCTATGATAACTCATGATGTTCATATTAAAAATCCTTAGGAAAATTAAAAGCTTAAATATGGAAAGAAGCGTTAGGGCTTTCATAATATTTTTCACGATTCAACATCATAATCATCCGATTTTTAAACATCCCAAACAATCATTTACGTTATTACACTTGAAGAATTTTTCCTCAATTTTCTCAAATATCTTCGAGACATAGAAAATGTTTTCCTCCTTCTTTCGAATGAACAAGTGGTTTTTGTGGCAGGCATTGAACACTCTCGAGACGTTGGAAAATATTTATGAGGTTTTATTGAACACCTCAAAGAAGAAAAGAGAAAAAGTGAGCATAAAAAATGAATGTTTATGATGATGGAACTGCTGGAATGCTCGAGTGACATTATTGTTTCGTACTTTATCATTCCTTTCTTCGTTCACGCCTTGCATGTCATTTTTTGATGACTTGAACTTCCTTCAGATGCTTTCAATCCATAATACAATGAAGAAGAGTTTTATGAGTACGAGCTCTGGTTCGTTCATAAAATAATAATTCAATGCATAATGTATAATGTGCTTTCGAATGCCAAACTTGTAGTCTGGAATGTTTTGCGTTGAGCAAATAAATTTTAAAATATACCGTGCAGCATAAGCAAAAAGAGTGGTAAGAAAAGGAGTAGTAAGTGTCTTGAATTCTTTGCAGAAACGATACAAGAAATCATTTGATATGCACAGAATACTCTTTCTCATCATTTGGGAATATGGTTTATGTTTAACTTGAGACTCGAGTAAGAATTTTTTCTTGTGCGATAAAAATTGCTTTTTAAAATGAAATCGACATTAAAATGCAAACGAAAGAGGTTTTTGGCTTTTTCTTAGATTTTATTCACGTTTTTGTTCTCTTACAGGGATGTGCAAAAGTATTTCTTATCGTCAGGGGTTTAATGAGTTCTTTTTTTTGACAGCATTTTTCTTTTCATTACAAAGTATATGAACTTGATTATGAAATCTGATTTATTGAGCCCTGTTTTGTATGTAAAATTATTCATTTTTCATGTTCTCCCCCGAGAAATGATATCGTCATCGTATTGAAATAAATCTTGCCACTTCGCTTGCTACATTTCTCTAGTTTAACAACACAATAATGCGCTGCGAACTTTTCCATAACAATAAATCTGATTTCATGCAGATAAATTTCATAGAGAAGGATCCATTGTCGAAAGTGACGTTTCGATACTACAATTTTGTATTTTATTTGTCGTTCACTGCTTTAGAGATTTAATATGTTGTGAAAACCCTGCAAAATTGGATTTATGCACGAATTACTGCAATAAAACTTTTTTCTTTCATACTTATATGACTGCAGTTATCTCTGGTTTCCAAAGGGAAACAAAATATGAATAAAATGATATTCAAAATCATAAGCCATAACAAGGAAATATTGTGAATTTCTTTTTATTTCAACTGAAGACGATTTTCGTTTCTAAAAAAAATATTCTAAGGAAATGATAAGAGAAGGTAGTGGGAGTAAAGAAAGCATAAAGAAATCTTATTGTTGAGATTGCGTTGAACAACAATAACATTTCTCAATTGAACAAGACGACAGACATGTAGTTAGGCTTCCTCATGCGATCAACATTGCTTTTATGCGATTTCATTTCACATTGTAATGTCGACGAATTCACATCGTAGCAAATGAATCATGTGAAAGGAGAAAAATGGTTGAAAGCTTTATGGCTTTATGGCAGAGTCGCTTTCCTTTTCTCCCTTGTACAAAACATTAAACGGTTCAACAATAAATTGTATCATTAAAGGGCTGCTAAATTTGTTGATATCTGCGAAAAGCGTTATGTGATATGAGGAAGGAAAAGAAATCTATGCGTTATTTTTTCCGGCTTGCAAAAACGAAACTGAGGAAAAACAGAGCAATGAGAAAGCAGAAAAACAACAAAAAACATTATTATTTAATTTACCATAGACAAACAAAAGCCATCACAACAATCTATTCATTTTATTTTATTTTTTTAATCCATAACATCCATGCATGATTATCTTCAGCTCTCGTGTACGTAACTAAATCCCAGACCCTCAAATGTTATTAATTCTCCGAAAGATATTTGCATGAGTAAAGCTTAGAGTTAATTTTCGAACCCTTTTTTGTGTGAATGACGATCAAAGTGTTGCCGAATTTCAAATACAAATCATATTGAATTCCCCAAATTTTCACGCCTCACAAAAATTTACATTCTATCGTAAATAAAGTTCTCAAAGGATGTCCGATGGTGCGTTGGAAGTAAAAAAACGAAAGCAATTTCAAAAACAAGGGATAGAATGTAAACCTAATCGCCATAAAGAAAATTTTAATAACGGTTCCCCCTTTTCATTTTTATGTCGTCTTCGTTTTTACGAATCAAATTTCAAAGGTCATATCCGGAAAACAGAAAAATATATAAAAAAGGGTTTTCTTTTCCGCAAGACGGTATCTAAAGTTCAATCGTTTCATTATTCAAGATTATTCTTCTTCATTGTCTTTTTTGTAATTAAAATGAAATTGTTTCGGAGCAGGGATGAGAGTGATAGGATATCATTAATGTAAATTGATTTTCAAATCATTAGGAATTTCAATGAAATTCAATTTTCCATTCTCTATTGTTTGTCAGTCTTCTCCGCATCCCCCGTCGTTGCCGTTTCATTTCATTCTATCAACAGTGGCTTTGTGATGTTATTTTGCGATAAAGAAATTTGTTATGTGGTGAATGGAATCAAGCGATACGAACCTATTTCTCTTCTTTTTTTTAATTAATTTTCACGCCATAGTAACAAATTATAGGACATTAAATCCACCGAAAAACAATCCCCAAAGCCAAAACAGAATGGTGATACATTTAAAACAGAACCGTCTAGAACTAGCTTTGAGGTGGGTAGAAGACAGACGAGAAAAAAATGTAATTTGATGGTTTTTATTTCTACCGACAAGAGACTGGAGACTAACACACCTATTTATTTAGCTAATGGACTTCAGATTCCGTTCAGGAATTTGTACGATGAAAACCTGCGACAAGTTTGCAAAACTCAACAAAGAATCATAAGATTATTTTGACAAATGTTTAAACAGTTATGCGATTTATTTCAATCAAAGCATGAAATGAATTTATCAATGAAAGTATTTAATCAACTTTTCACATCAATCAGCTTTCATTACCGCTTTCGTTTGCTATGCAATGTTATGCAAATAAATAAAAGCGCATTCGTATTTATTTGCTTTCACCTTATTGCAATTTTCTTGAGCAAATAGTTTACGTCTTCTAAAGGCGAACAGTTTGACTTCAGTAGATAAAGATTGAATTCAACTGACGATGATATAAATTTTCTCATTCTCTGCCGACTTCATTAGACTTTATAGGTTCTTTAATTAGTCAACTCCTCATGAAATTGCTGCATAAATCTTGGCGCATTAATTAGATTCTGCAGAAGTGATTTCATTTGGAAGTTTTGTTCTTATTTGCAGATCATTAGAAATGCTATTAAGTTTAACGTTTCGATTAAACGAATCGAAATTAAAGCAACGCAAACAGTTTTATTGATGTTTTAATGTATGAAATGAATTTTTATTTTTTTCATAGAAGTTTTTAAATTAAAATCACCCCAAGTCACCATCAGATAAATGTTTACGAAAAATTCTTTACTCTTTTATTCTCTATAGTCAGTAAATGTGGCAAAAAAAGAATTCACAATTGTCGAAGGAATGGGCTCTGTTTCTGTGCAAATAAATCGTATCGAGAAAGGTTGAGTCTATAACTCTTTTTGTTGGGCATATAAATTAAAATAAAACTTTGAATTTTCACATGGGAAAACCTAAAACGAAATCCGGTCAAATAAATTTCTCCTCGCGTAAGATTTCTGCACATTATAAATCTTGAACTAAGAAAGGTTGCTTGTTGTGATACGAGAAAATGAAATAAAGTTATGTCATGATCCCATTTGTGTAGTTTTTAAACGACAACAGTTTTAATGCATTTTAAAATTTGGAATTTTTCTCGGTTCGCTTAACGACGTTGCAGAAGCAGAAGGTGGTATCTCATATGTTATTTTTATTACTTTTTCTATTGTTGTGGAAAAACATTTAAGATAATTTCACCAATTTCAACTCAATTTAGTTCTACATTAGAGTTTTACATTGAATAAAAATAAATTATTAAGCTGATTAAGAGTTATTAAAGTTTTAATAAAAAGCAAGTGAATCATGTGAGTAATTTAACAAAGTTTCTCAATGGAAAGAGCATAAACTAAACTTTTATGATAGAAGTAGGTAGTTTTGTACTTAGATCGATAGAAAATTTCTTCTTTTTTATTTGCGAAATATATTTCCTCAAAATTTATGAAATTATTACATCAAACAAATAAACTGAAATTTCTATAATGTGACCTGTTATTCGTTCACGTAAAGTTTTTCTTCCAATTTATTTTTACAACATAATAAGCTCCTGAGTCAGGAGTCCTGACACTTCTTGGGACAATGTCTTGAACTTTATTGAAAGTAAATTTTCTCTCCACATGTTTATCATAAAAATATCTAAATAAAAGTTTGAATTGAAAACGAAAAGAGATTTATTTGTTATTCGTTCCTTTCCCCAGACTTGTTATCGTTTCAAAATATTTTTAAAGAAATAAATTTTCAATCATGCATTAAAAACTTTCTGAATCGGCAAACTTTTTGTTCATAATAACATTTTGGGATAATTAGCTATAAACTAAATTAACTTCTTGAATTTGTTGACTGGCAATCCCAAGAGTAATCAATCTTTCATTGCCATTAAAATTCTCAAGTACCTTTGGATATGCCTAATTATTTATTAAAACCATTAACTCAACGCTTGTTCATTCATACTTATGTATGTGTTATGAATTTGTGAATATTTCAATAGAGAATTCATGTAACGGATCATTTGATGTCTAGGACATCAGAATTACCCGCGGAAGAAAGATTGATCTACTTTGAAACTGAAATGTTTAAAGACGTCATCAAGGGGAAAATATTCTTGCTGCTTCAAATTGATATCAATTTTTATGTTGATTAAAAATTAATGATGCAATCATCTTATAACGAGAAATTTCCCTGGGCTTAAATTATTTCTACATAGACTTTTCAAAACGCTTGTCTTCATCTTTATGAACAAGATATCATCATAAAGTAATAATTATTTTTCTTAAAAGGCAGGCAAAATCAGAATTCATTGATTTTATGTTTGCAGCAGGTTCAAAATACTGTTTAAGCATTATAAGAGTTTCACTCATTGAAAAACTTTTTCAATTTTGTTTCGTGAGTGATTTTAGATTCGAAGAAATATTTTCCCACTTTTTTCTCCTTTCGTCTCCTATGAGAGTAAAAAATTGTAAGCAACACCTTATAGATACGGTGAAGAGAAAGTTTTTCGTAAAGCTTGTAATCCACTGAAATAAAAGATTTCAATTTTTCATGCTGCATAAATTACTCTATACACAATGATGATTCAAGCTTTCTCCACAGTGTATGCCATGGTGGAGGTTCCCTTTGAATAATGTAAGTAAAATATTTCACGATACAGAATCAATACCGAACTTTTCTCCATTTAACACTGAAGAATGCTCTTAAAAACGAACAATATGTTTCAACATTGGATTGTCATTCCAAACAATAGTTGGGACTTTTGTATTTTGAAATTTAATTTCAATTTTCAACATTGTATAAACGTATATGTTTGTGCTCCAAATACTTTTCTTCGTTCCACTGCTCAGCTAAAAAAATTTATTCATGGATAATGTCTAACTAGATTTTCCCATTTGATATGTTCAAAAATAGATTTGGAAAGGAGTTGAGTTGAAAAGTATTGGAAGTCCCAAAGAATTTTTATTATCTATGTCTTGCGCGAATGGGATAAGACATGTCGCTTTTCAATTACTCGACAACGACATATGAAAATTTATTTGCGACTTTTCTTTTTTCAATCATGCAAATGTACTTTGCGCTTCCTCTCTTATAAAAGATCTTCTCTTGAGTGTTTGGCAGAATAAAATATAATTCTGGTTCGAATGTTTACAATACAAGAAATCAAAGACATAAATTTCAATCGACATAGAGAGACTTAAGAGATTTTCATCTCACAGCATGACATATTTGCGAAACATAAATCAAAGGAGAAAACCAAGTCAATAGGATTAGAAGGAAAGGATGTAAATTAAAGAAAAATTTTTATAAAATGCCTTTAGAGTTAGTCGAGACTTCTTTTTCTCTTTTTGAATATTCTCCAATCGGAGAAATTCTGCTTGATTTATTAATTCACTTGGCTTTCTTTCAAGATCTCGAACAGATGAACTATGTTTATTATATTCTTTTTGTGCACTCAACAACAACATCCCGGAAGCGTTTTTTTTCACAAGACAGTCAAGGGAAAAACCAATAATTTTATCTCAAAATTTATTCCTCCAAATCGTAGTTTGAATGGAACGCCCTTTTGGCTTGTGGGCTGTTTTGGCATCTTATTGGTTTTCCCGAGACCGATCTTTGCTTAGTAATGGCATTTGTATAAGTTTTTATATCCCTTTCTAGGGGATGTAACATAAAATTCAGATTGAGACTTAAATCATTCCTATTCAAACCACTGATGATGCTAAATTTTCAAGATAAATATTTAATTAAAAAATGTCTCACATTGAATTGAAAGTTTATGCTGAATAAACAATTTCAGTAATAAACTTTCCATTATTGTTGACTCGTTAAGTCAAAGCCATCGAAATAATGGTTTAATACGTTATACATTCATAAGTCGCATTAACAAATTATGAAAATACATGCCAGGTTTGCTTTTGATCACATTATTTAATTCCAGTTAGTATACATTCCAATTATACCGACGAAATAATAATTTCATGCTATAAAAGCAATTTACAATTACATGATATTGAATTTGATACAGTAGATAAATAAGCATTGATTCTTATGGCTTATCTTAATTTTAATGCAATTTTTGAAACAATAACAATAGAATCCATAAGAATGCTACACAAAAATAGTTCCAACCCAAACAAAAAAAAAATCATAAATAACTTCAGGAAAGGTTATAGATAATTGTTTAAGATAAGGAGCAGCGAAATTAGGTTTTTGTTAAGGGGAAACTCACAGATGGTTCGTGATTATATTTCTGAAATTTCCTACAAACATTATTAAATTTTTTGACAATATTTGAAGCATCTTGCTTATGTATTGCCCCCATTTTTAATTTTGGAATGTCGGGAAAACATTTTCTTTCGTTATAAACAAATTGTTTTCCTCAAATAGGACAATGGCACTGCAATCTCAATATGAATTTCAGTTTCGTTCAATTTGGTGATTACATCAGATAAACCGCTAGATTTTGTTCATATCTCAATCCATTTTCATGTTATTAACAAACTTATTTCTTGATAGAAAACGTCCCAATATTGTTAATTCTCAAAGTTATGATCAGCAACTAAAAATGTTTAAAAATTTTAATAAAGTTCATAACTTCTTTTAGGTGTTTTAAATGCCAATGGGAAAAAGTTGGTAGTAAATACATATAAATAATCTAGTTCAAGAAAGAAAATAGATTTAAATTATTTTAATTCAAGTATTGTTGACAGTTGTGAAAAATAACGCTATTCAAATACCTCAAAGAAACATTAAATATCACTAGAGGGTGTGGAAGTAATAAATAACTCTGCATTATTAAATTAAACTACACTGGGTGCATACCTAATTAGATTTGGTGTATTTTAGATACATTTGAAGACATTTTTCAGTGAAAAAGGAAAAGAAAGAAAAACATTATGCCTTACGCTCCAAGTAACTCGCGTCAAGAGCATCATTAATTTATTCAGAAAAGGAAAAGAACGAAACGAGAAAATATTTATGGAGGCTTGGGCTTGAGATGCTTAAAAATTACTTTTCTTCGTTTTCCTGCTTTAGTATTCAAGACATTCTCTCTTCTTATATTTCATCATGAAGCCACTACCTTTTGTCATCAAGTTTTTGATAATTATGACTCATAATTCATCCTCGCAGCTCATTATTCAACAACAAAATGTTTTCTATGAGATTTAATGGCGTTTTAAAATTAAAAACGAAAAGGAAGAGAATAGAAAAAATTTTTCTTTAAATTATTTGTGTCTGTGAGCAAAATTTTTATACTTCATTCATAATTGAATTCCATTTAAGCAATGTTTAAATCCACTTAGCAATAATTGATGAAGAAGAACTTCTGTCCATCTCTGCTTGTCTCAAAGTTTCAGAAATCAGTTATGGGTGATTTACGGAATGCATCGAACTTTTTTAATTAATTTACATACATATGAAAGCAGTTTTGAACTACAAAATATATGAAAACATGTTAATTGCCTGTGTTGCGGTTTTCACTGTTATTTATTTTTCATTACTATATACGTTTTGTCGCAGATATCATTAAAAAATATTATTTGTCTGTGGATGATACAACGAGATGCGTTGAAAAGTATTATCTCATATTCCCAACACAATGATGAAAAATTAATTTATCGTGATTAAAAATGTCTGTGAGTGTGATGTTAGCACTTTATATAATTCCATTTACGATATCAATCAACTTGATTTTTAATAATAAATTTCAAATGTTTTTTCAACATAAATTTTTAAAGTCGATTATTAAAAACAATTTCTACAAAAGGGAGCGGGAATTTCATTTTAAATTTAACATATCTAAAAAAATACAGAAATTTGTATTTCATTCTGAAAAAGCATTGAAAAATATAATTTTCAATTAAACAGCAATCAGAAGTTTCATTCTTTATTCTCTTGCAATCCAGCACAACCCTCGTCGGAAATTTCCCCCGATAATCCCTAAAGCCAAACTCATCAATTCAACCCTCCAATTTTGTTTATTCATGGTCAGTTGTGTGTGATAAAGACACACAATCTTTTCTGACAAATTTTCTGCACTTGATATACGAAATTTAATTTTATTGACAGTTCATAATTGCGAGTTTAGCTGTTTTGTCTTTAATGTTCATATGTATGTGTTTCTCGCACCCTTTGGCTTTTAATACTTATGTCAACAAATTCATGAATACAACCAACATTGGAAGCCTTTTTCTCGTTACAATTTTATCATCCATGAGCACACGCATCATCCATTACTTTTATGAAATTTTCCGAATCATAAAAAAGGATATTTTTTCTTGCATGAAGATTTTCGCGCATCGTCAGAGCAGAACTCGATTTCAAGTTGAATTTTCGATGCATGTTTAAGATACAAAGAAAGGACGTTACTCATTGTCATAAGCCGAACAAGAATTGCATGATCTGCCAGACAATCAGGTATAGTTTCAATCATGATTTATATTATTATCCTCATATAAATGGAACGGAAAATGAAAAAGTTCTAAAGCCACTCAAACTCATACACTTGCATGATAAGCAAAATGAAGAAGGAAATACTTCGAGGGTAAAGAAAGATGTAACAAATCAATTTAAATGCTCTGCCTGACTCACTTCTGTCGAATGGGGTTAAGAAACACATGAGAATCGCTCTGAATCTTTCGAAGAAATGAAAAACGAAGCACCATCTTCATAAACATGGAATCTGAGCATAAATCAATTTCTCAAATTCAATTTTCAATCGAATACTTTTTTTATTATTTTTTTTCGCACAAAATCTGGTTCAACATTGGAAAAGTGGAAATTTGTGGAATGGCAACTTAATTGAGAAATAAAATATTGAGTCAAATATTGAACAGAGGGGGGAGAAAAGAAGTGAACCTTTTTTTCGCCACATGTGAGAGTCAACTCGCTTCTCCTCAAACCACACCAGTCAAGAATAAAAAAAATTGCTAGAGAAGAAAAACGCAATTGATCATTTTTCTTCTCGGTGTGGAATGAAAAGGAAGAAAGAGCAGTAAAATCTAATGTTTTATTCATGAGTCTTGTCACTAGAGAAGTTCATCGAAATCGCAATTGAATGTGAGAGATATATTTCGAATTATGTTTTTGCCTTTCTTTCGGTAAGTTACGACAGAAGAAATATTTTTCGTAGGGTGATAATTTGTTCTTGGATTTGTCAATTTACTTGTTGGTTGTGTGCTGAGTTATGTTGATTGTTTTCTAACTTTTCTTATCATATGTATAAGTTTCTGATATTTGATGTAGCTTCAGGTATTAGATATGAGTATACGTTTTATCATTTTGCAAAAAGTTATCAAAATTATCACGTTATTATTATTATTATACATACATGTGAGACAGTATTCGAATTAATTCAAGAGATTTTCCTTAAACATTTCATGTATTGAGAGAAATTAAAATAAAAGCTTTGACTTGAAATTGAAATCTCTTATCATAATGCCAACATCATTCGCAGTATTTTCGCATCTTCGAGCGACAAATGAAAATGTGACAATGAGTTTCATTGTGTGCTTCAAACATTCAAACTTATGTGAAAAAAAGGAGAAAAAGAAAAGAAATTTTTTTACGTCGCAATAAAAACTCCTGATTACATTTTATCACAATTTAAGCATTTATGATGAAAAATTCATATGTAGGCGCTCGAACACATCTTTTCATACCCTCATTGTTTTCATGAAATTGAAGCTTATCTAGAAATGGCTTTTTACGTAATCGCAAATATGCGAGAGACAAGGGAAACAAGAAGCAAATATGGAATTGTATCATTTAAAGACGTTTATTTCCTTACTTAAGATTTTTCTTTTGTTTTCACTCCAACCCAGAGTATCAAAAGCAGTATCAAAATGGAAAAGAAAGAAACTTTTCGTCTTCCTTCACCGCACACACGAATTCCAAAAGAAGATCAACATATGGCGCACTGAGTTTCCTTCAACATTTATTTCTCTCTTCCTTTCGGTAAACATTTTTCATGCTTAAGACTTTTTTCCTTTTCCATTTTGCGAAATTTTATCTTACGCCATTGTTCCGCAAGAACATTTGCAAAACAGATCTACAACGAGTTGATGTGTCGCGGTACAAGGTGAATCGCTACATTCGGTTGAAATTAATATCTCTTGTGATGTCGTGTAGGTTCACGGATTACACCAAATGTGTTTTACACGTTCTGTTTTGTTCATATTTTGAGTAAATATTTAAAGCTAAGTGAAAATTTGAGCAAGGGAATTTTTTTTCCATGTTCTTCAAATATTTTCTGTTAAGTACAACAAAAAAAAAGAAGAAAAAGAAAACGGAAAAAGAAAAGTTCAACTGTAAAAATGTTACATCCTTATGTATGCTTTTCTTGTGTTCTTATGCTCACTGTGCAAATATTTTTACATCTCATTGAGCCATACAATACCCAAAGAACGACACAGAACACGTTTGATTTTTAGATGTTTTGTGGAGATGAGACAAACAATGAATAAACCTATTTGAGTTCACGGAAAATGCTTCTTTTTAGTTCTATTTTAAGATGTGAGAGTAAAAAAAAGCGTGCTGTCAGAGAGAAACGAATTTCATCAAGAGAAATCATAAAAATGACTTTCTATAACATGTGAATGTTGAATGCAATACATCGACTCCCTCTTCTTTTTTTCACTGTTGCTTGAATTGTTGGGGTGAAAAATATTAAAGCATGGATAGAAAATTTGTATGTTATTTCAACAGACATTCATATCTGATGGTTCTGCATCATGCTGGCACAAAGAGAACAAATTCTCCCTTTTTTGTTGGGTTTCAAGAGTTAAATGCTCATGTAATGGATAAGCGACGAAAAATGTTTAAGAAATGATTTTCGTTTTAAAACGTCGGAGGTGATATAAGTTCTTCTAAAATTCCAAAGCAAAAGATAAATTTATTTTCTTAAGAAGACATCTTGCACTTTGACTCTTGTGAACTTCAACTAAATAAATAAATAAAATATGAATGTCGTATTGTTTCGAACCCTTTGTGAACACTTATAACACTATGAAGTTCTCTAATACAACTTAAAAACTATCAGACATTAACAGTTAAAAAGGAGATTTATGATGTTGTAAAGAAGGGAAAAGTAACGAAATAAAAACTGTGAAGCAATGATCCTTTCAGAATAATCCGAATTTACATGCTGACTTTGAAAAATAGAGAATTCTGATAATAATCATATGAAATCCTTTTTGGATGTGGGTTGAGGATAACTCTCGACAAATGCTTTGAATAAAACTTTTTGAGCTGAAATGTTTTTGAAGATTTCATTGATTAAATCTCTGGCAAAATTTCTAATTAAAACTTCTCCCTTTGGGACAGAAAGCCTCATAAACCGACACACACACGCATATATAAACGCCTTATTTTATATATGATAACTGATAGTAGAAGCTGTGGAAAAGGTTGCAAATCAAGTGTAAGGTGTGAAGATACCAAATTAATTATGCAAGCTCATTACTTATTCAAAATAACCAACCCACCCACTTTCTGATGTTCAACGGATGATTATTCTATCGACAGTAAAGTATCGAAGTTAAATTGTGTTTTCAAACCCATTTGTCATGAAAATAAAATGTTAAGAGTTTAATTCATAATTATATAAAGAAAAAAATCTTCAAAGAGTCATGAAAAAAAACTAATTAATGAAAATTAATTCATATAATTAAATCGAAATCATTGGAAAATTTCGACAGCTTTCTGTTTACAAAAACGTTGTTGTAATGAAAATGAAGAAATCATAGCTCTGTTAAAAAAAAGTCATTAATTAAACAGAGTTTTCCAATGAAAAAAATCTCATGCATAATCAAAAGCCATTATAAAATAATAAAGTGAAGTGCTTTGTAAGGAGTGGTTCAATCGTTCAATATTGATAAATTTATCCAATTTCCTAGTCTTGTTTGTAACATTTTTAAATTGATTATAACTTTTTTTCTTTGTTTTAATGAATGGTTTTTATTGGAAACGAAAAAGAGGATTTAGGTAGGGTGGATTAATGAACAAAACAATGCAATTCATTAATCCCGAATTGTATTTCACGAATTTTTTTTTTGGCGACAAAAGGGTTTACTGACCATTTCAATTATTAAAATGAATTTACAAGTCACTCACGCTAAATTGCTTTTCGAATACTGTCCATTTCGTGACAACTACATATTGATTGACTTCAGGATAGTTGATACTTTTATTTCAGGTTTCGAGATCTGCTGCTTTTTTATGCTGTAATTCGCATTGAGAAAGGGAGATGACAATGCACTTTGAATGATTAGAGGGGAGGAAACAAAATGAATTGATTTGTAGTCATTTGCCGAATTTCTGCTTGAAATAATGAAGATATGATGAAACGAGGGTTTGACGTTGATCATTAGTTCTTAATTGTAATAAGGGATTTGTGGAGTCGTTAAAACTATTAAAGTTAATGAAGACAAAAGAATCAATAAAAGCAAAAAAGAAAGATTATTTTTCTTGTTTAAAAGCTTAGAAAATTATACACATAAAATGAAAGACATTTATGAGTACAAATATTCTATTCGGCTTGATGATAAGGGTTCTTTGTAAAGTCTTCTGTAGCTTCATGTATGCATATGATGAATAAAAACAAAAATAAACCTTGGAAAGTTTTTATAATGTCAGGCATGAAGCGGAAAGTTTAGGATACTTAAAAGGTATATATTTGTTAATTTACGACCTCGAATCTCAGCACTCATGAAAAGATTACAATTTATCATCTTACGAAGGCGTTGGGATAATTTATCGTTTTAAAGCTCTATTAAGTTTTAAGAAATGAATCATGAGACATATAAGATATTCAATTTATAATTCATCAGCATGTGTATGTGAACAGTAAAGAACGATTATTTTCACAAGTGCATTGAAAATTTACAATTTCATTAAAACGTTATATTTTGTGAATCAAACAAAACTCAAGTGATGGAAAATTTCAAAAACATAACTTTCTATGCGCATGACAATCAAACTTCCAGTTTGGAAATGTTTTACATTTGTTGTATGGTTGCGCAACATGTTGTATAGTCATATCCTTATACATTTTTGTGAATTTCATTCACTTTCCCATTCTGATTCCAATTTATAATCAGCAGTCCTCATTGTTGCGCGAGTAGTCTGTGAAAAGCGTTCAACGTGGAAACAATGAAAACGAATTTGTCGCGGTTCGCGAAAACAATCTTAGAGAATAAATAAAAGATACATTGTCAATAGTGATTTAATCTATTCTGACGAAAGCAGAAAGCAAGTCTGTTGTGTAAAAATTAACAAAATTGAAAACTGATAAAATCATTTCCACTTTATTTGCCTCAACTTTTCTTTGCTTGTCAAGTACTTGTCTTTCAACACAGATAAATTCACTGATTTTTTTCTTCTCAAACTTTTTCCGCTTGCGAAAAAGGATGAAAAATATTTTAATGGAATTTTTCGGATGATGGAAAGTTCTCTTGTCGTTGTGGAAAATTTTCGGTGCAAAATTTGAGTGAAACAAGACAAACACCACCAAAAGCAAGACAAGCAGCATAGGGAGAGAAAAAGAGAGAAAAATCAATTTTGTTAATTAAATTCCGTAGCGAAAAATAGATAAAGGAAAAAAAAAACGAAAATCTTGAAGATAAAGGATAAAATAAAATGTTTATGGTGTACGAAGAAAATTGATAAAAGTAATTAAACGTTCATCGAGAGGTCAGAAAAAAAAAGAAAAAATAAAACCGGGTAGTAACAAAGGGAAAAGTGTTTTTCGCTGTTAATGAGGCGAAAATAATCTCATGAAAGTTTAATTATCGAAAGTGTTGCAGCATAAGATAAAGCACATAGAAAAAAAGAAGAAAACGAAAATAATTCGATGCATTTCTCTTAATTATGGCTCGGGTCGGGAGAAAGAAAAAGACTGTAAAACATCTTTAGAACGATGATCATAACATTGCAAATGCGATTGAAAGTATTTTTCTTATAATCAGTGTGAATGTTTATCCTTCATTCGGTGATTCTCATCGATTTTTTACACTTTAACATTGCAAAATAACTGGCAGTGATGAAATTAGCATCTCACCGCAATGGACACGACTCGTAAAAGTGCACACCAAAACATGTTGAGGTAAAACCAAGAATTGTAGCATAATCAATTATCTTGAGATGTAGAAAATGTAATATTTTGTGTCGGGGGAAATTTATTCAAACATCTGATCAAGTGAAGTGAAATGGATAGAAAGAACGAGAGAGAAAGTGAGAAAAATTATTCCCATCGCATGTTGGGGATAGTGCAAAATTGCTTGCGAAATTCTCATAACTCCTTCATGCCCTGCTAACTCAAGTGATGGCAAAAGAAACGTAAATTTTATTGCCGGAAACAGCTGGTGCATTAGTTTCAGTAAAATGGTTTTCTCGATTTCATTTTATTTCATTTTTTTCGTTCACTTCGTTTCGAGTGGTTGAAAAATTAATTTCGGAACGAACAATCGAATAACTTTTAATTTATAATAAAGTTTTTTTGTTCCTTTCGTGCAAGACGACGGAAAATGTTTGTAAGAAATTATTTTAAGATGAGTAAAGAAAAGTTTCTCGTCGAACCAGAACAAAATATAGAAGCATATCGAAAGAAAGTTTATTTAATCGATTTTTTTTTCTTTTATCAAACTCACACACATGTCCCGGAAAAATATTATTTTTATTCTTCTAGAAAATGTGCGCTTCATTCTTGATACTTTTCCCTCGAGCAGCCTCGAACATAAAACTTTTTTGTGTTGTTTTCTGTTTTTGCTGTTGTGAAATTTATTGCCATTAAATTGGAGAAAATTAAAGCAAGTTAGAAGCATAAAAAGTTTTCCGATTCTTTCCAAAGAGGTTTAATTGAAAAGCTCTGAAATTACAGCAGCACGGAGATTGTGTAGTGAAATGAATGAGGAGAAATTGAAACCTAATTTAATTTGCCTTCACATAAAAACATGAGAAGCATGAGGTTCAACTAACAAAGCGTATGAAAAACTGCACGTTCCTCTGTCATTTTTCATTTTCAACGCTCTTACTTACTTCTCACACTTCAAGCTTTTCGATACTTGTACAAACGAGTAAAGTTTATGGGAATTTCTCTTGTCTTAGGATGTGAACAGCAAAAGTATTTTTCAAGTCATTTTTCATCAATGTTCAGTGTTTTATGAACAGCGAGAAGTGAGTGAGGGAAAATCGCTTTTATCAGTGAGTGCGTTCAGTGAGTTAAAAGATAAACAGAAAAGCTAGCAGGAAAGAATAAAACAAATCTTTCTCAAGCTCTTAAAGTCTAAGTGACGTAGGCGACAATCTTTAAGAGCTTTTAAAGGGCTTCGTAGAAATTGTTTTTAAATTTTCATTCGAATATTTTTCTTTACAAACGTTTGGTTCAAAAGGTTTACGTCTACCCGTTATTCTACGTGTTTAACATAGACACACTTTTACAACATCTTACTCAACAACAACATGTTTCTTATTCTACAAACATTATGTTTTCGTATTCGTAACATCAGTAAGACTTCAATAATTGTAAAACAATTCAATAATAATTACAATAAATGATGCTTAACATAATATTTATAATAAATAAATATCTATAATGTGCTTGTATGATAAGTCAATAAAATATAAGTAAAGTGGTAAGCTTTAAATTTCAAAGTTCATGAAACAATATAAAATAAAGTAACAAGTTTATGTTGTTAGAATGTGAACGATGTAACGTTAAAAACTTACACAATCGCACTTCGAATGCCCTCATTATAATGGCATTAAAAGTCCATTAAAAATAATAAATTACCATGATGTAATCTGCATACGAACGATAGTGAACATTTGCTATATGCACAGCCAAAAATTGGGTTTAAGGCTTATACGACCGTTGTCGTAGCAAACACTCAAATAAAGCTTTTCGAATTTGGCGAACGTTGTGTAGATTCACGTTGTTGTTTTGCCGCAATAAACTTTGCACTCTTTATTTATCACAAATTCACTGTGGGACTCGTGCGCAAACCAAAATAATAATAAATTATGAAATAGCAGCAGCACAGTTCAACTAAGATGAAGAAATTTTCTTAATGCAACATGTTTTTTCAATTATGTTTAACAACATTTCCCTCCTTTTCTTTCTCGTCTTTTCTTGTTCCTTTGCTGTCTCATGATTTTTTTTGACGATGTAAATTTTACTTTGCCTCCCGCTGTGGATTTTCAGATGACGACGAAGTGAAAAAATAAGAAAAAGTTTTCTCAAAACAAAATTGCTCATTGCTAAGATTTTTGTTACCCATGAACTTTTCAGTCGGTTAACAAAATACGAACAAACGCAAGTAGATGCGTGAAGAGAACAATGAAAACTTCACCCCGGATATCAAGATGGAAAACGCGCTTTGACACTTGGTATTTTTCATGGAGTGAATGTTTATTGTTTCTTTTACGTAGGGGTTGAAAACTTCATGTTGGGATTAATGAATAACAATAAGACGTGCTGTTTTCCAACACTTTATTATTCTTTTTTTTATTGAATCTTAAATCGACGGAAATCTCATGCACGAAATTACTGTGCAAGTGACATTAATTGAAAACGTCTGTAGTCTCCAGCTAAATTTTACGAGCTCCAATAAAGTTTATGAATGAAAATTTCCTCTCACCCCATCTACGCATCAAATATCCAACAACAAAGCCCTTTTCTTTTACTTGCTTGCTTGCTTGTTTGGGAGTTTTGACTTCCACATCCATAGCACAACAACAGTAAAGCACCAATGATTATCAACAATCATAAATAACATGTAACATGAATATTCGACCTCGTTTATTTAGCGCTTACTCGCACCTTGATTATCAATTTAATTAATAAATGTGTTTAATTATTGTAATGTGTTTCATTGCGGAAATGGAAGTTCAAGTTTTAATTCCATAGATATGTATGCAAGATTTTGAATCAACAACAAATATTCTACGAACCAATCTTTCAATTTAAAGTTATACAAATATTCTTTAGTGTTTAGCATTCTTCCGTTGTAGATTTAGTTTAATAAATTTATAGACATAGACTTCGTCTTAATTGAAATTTGTATGATTTAATTCTATGAATAATATCGTCAACTTACATAAGAAAATAATTTATTCAATGAAAGTTTCTATCGTTTCTTGTTAAAGAAAAAGGATTTTTTAATATAATTCTGTAACTATTGGATCAACATTTATTTGCATTTGAAATACTTTGAGAAAATAGAAAGCGAGAATTTCTTCTTTTTTGCTGATGCGAGTTGAATTCAAAATGGATAAATTTTCTGATGAAAAGTGTAATCAAAACCATTGATTTATGTATAGAGAAACTGAAACCATTTAGATATCTACTGGCAAAACTTGTACATATTTGTTTGCTTTTCTTTCTTACAGAATGGATTACGTTAATCTAGGATGTTGTGCACTTGCATTCATTCTCTATTTGAATACATTGAATGCAGGCTTCGTCTACGATGATAGGTAAGCATTCATGCTCTCATTATTTCCATTTAAATGTTATTCAACTCGATTTTGCTTATGCAAAGCTTGACTTGATTGATCGAATCAAAAATTGATGAGTTTTTAATTTCGATAATTGAGTTCGGAAAGCTGCTAACATGAAGAGTAAAGAGATTAACTTATCGATGCATGAAGTAAATAAATTAGTTAAATGAAAGTCGTCTCATCCCATGCTTGTCTCAAACCATCAACTTTCCTACATGTGAAAAATAAACGCTCTATAATTAACTTTCTGTTTTAGTTAGATGACCTTTTTTTCATATTTCCCAACAAGTTTCACCACATTTTCCCTACTTCTTCATTCTTGAACATTCCTCATAAAAAATTCAATAACTTTTATTTTTTCTCTGCAACGATCCATCTTCAATATGTGTGGCTCTTAGAGAAAAAGAGACATTAATAATTAAAGGTGTCTGGTTGACTTTTGCGAGGGTTGAGTCAAGCAGAAGGCTACCAGAATGACTACAAAAGTCAACTGAACAAACAAAGATATGATTCAGTCGCTTGTCGTATTTTTCTCCTTCATGCTGCATGTTAATCATTTATAACGAAATTATTTAATAACCTTTTTCCCATTTTTCTTCATTTTCATGCCTCGTCTTGTCAGAATGAACCCTCTTCATATTTTAAAAAAGCCGTAAAAAAAAGTGTGAAGCGATTACTCCTCAAACATGAATTTCATTGCGCTCCGACGGATTTAAATGTTGGGAAAAGAGAGACGAGCGACATACTTACGACGTTTAATTACCCTCATTGATATAAAGTCACGTGTCGTTTGTAATTTGTTAATTCATTTCATTTGTTCTCTGATGTTGATGATGCCACAAACACTGATTAGAGAGAAAGAGATGGAAATAGAAGATTTTTTTATAAGTTTCATTCGACATTGTCACAAAAAGTTTCCTTTCGAATGAAATATAATAAGCTTTAAATGCCATTGAAACTTTTCACAATGTTTTTCCATTAAAGACATTAAAGTGGCTCATGATTTCAAAATATTTTTAACAATAAAATGAAAATGAAAACTTTTTCATGTTCAACCACGAGGCACCCGATAAAGCTCAGCATAAATTATTCCCACCATTTTACATTGAAAAATAAATTTTTATCACTCGCAATGGCACAAAACATCAATAATAAATTTGATATTCCCTTTTGTGAAATTCAAAAATTCCCTTATCGATTGGCATGTGAAAACTAAATAAACATTAATGCATCATTGTTAAACATTTTGTGAGGTCGTTAATGGAAATATGAACCTTTAAGCACAAAATATGGTAAAGGGAAATGAACGAGCTTTTTCAGCGATATTTTCACCACATATGTAAATGATATCAAATTTCCTGAGTTGAAAATATCTTTCTTATGTTTTTTTTTCTGGTTGAATTGAGGCACCAAAATATTTTTCTCGGGTGTGCTAAGTGCTTCGGGGAAAACATTCAGTCTATGAATAAAATCATCAAACATTTAAGCACCCTCGAAGTTTTGTTTCTCATTAGTAATATAAATACCTAACTGTATTTATATATCAATATTTTAACTCCACTCACTCACTATAAAGAGTCTTCAGTATTATATGCTTCTACTATTTAATTCGAATGAAATTTCAGAACATCGAAAAGCTCGAAAACGCGATTTGTTAATTTTTAAAATTAAGTCAAAATAATTTAGGATTGATGATCAATTCAAATTTTATTTCAAACGTAGCTGTTTTAAACGTTGCTTAATGCACGATCATTCAACTTTATAATAAAATAGAAACACCAAACTCTAATTTTTTCCTCTATTAGTGACATTAAAGAGTGACCTTTAAAAGTGCAATATTGATTTTCTTATCATATTGTTTACTATTTTTTGCTGTTTTAAAACAGTCTGGTCAGGAGGCGATGACATTTGTGCATTCGTTGATCTAACTAATTACTGCACGTAAAGCTTCATTAATAATTTATCAAAGTCTCTTTGACACTGTATTTTATGGCTTAAACAACAATAATGTCAACTTGAAATATTTGATCATGCACAAATCGTGTAGTTTTTTAAAACAGTTTCTGCTTCAGAAAAATCGGAAAGACAATTTAAATTAGGAATGACATTATTATTCGAAAAGAAATTGAACTGCAATATAATTTATAATAGATTGCTTCGTGAAATGATTAAATCTTTGGGTCCTGTTCGAAATGTTAATCATTGCATTGCTAGCGCAAAAGATAACAAATTATAAGATTAACTTTTTGAATTCTTATTGTCGTATATTGAGTCAGCTGTTTCAATATTTAGTCAAGCTTTGAATAAACGAATTGATGAACGCTTTCCAATCTTAAACGTTGCAATTGATACAATTATTAAGAAATTGTAGACAGCAAAGTCCTTTAGTTTTTTATTTACTCATACATCTCTCAAGGGTTTAATTTTTTTTCCGGAAGAGTGACTTAAATTTCTTGTTGGAACTAAAATCAATTTTATTAACCATTCGATTGAAAAAAGGCAATTAAACCTAACTACGAGTATTGTTTAAAAGTTTTCGAAACACGACGTGAAAAAATTCAAGAAATTAAATGAAAATAGAAGAATAAAGCAATTTCAATTCAAACCATTCACATTTAGGTTCCCATAATAATTGTTAATATTAAAGTTTTATATGAGTTCAAGCATTTAATCCAAATGAAAGGAAAGAATTTAATTAAAACAAAACAAAAAGGAAAAAGTTTCTTGAAAGTCACCGATGAACAAAATGTAATGGCGATTAAAGCTAATGACATTCAATAATGAAACGAACCTAAGGTAGGAAGAAACATAGGAATATTTATTCGGTCACGCTATCATGTCATAGAAATTCGGTGTCATGACGGGAGGGGTGAATAAACTAACGTTTTGATAGATTCAATTGTCAAAGCGTGTCAAGACTTTTAACGACAAACAATACGGGAAATAAAAAGTTAGTTTTTGTTTTATCCTCATTTAGACAGTTCGCCTTTAATATTTCCGATTAGATAGATATGAAAAATAGAAAAAAAAGTTAATCGATGTCACTCGCTCTAGTTCTCTTTTGATCTTCAGTAGTTGTCTCTTGACAAGCAAGCGACAGACCCATTGAATCTGATAACATGACAGGTAGGCGCACCTTGGCAGGTACAAAATCAATGTGATGAAAAATGAGTTGAAAGCTGAAAATTCTGGAGAAGGAGCTAACAGCGTGCAAATGATGTGATGAAATTCCCTCAGTAGCAACTTTTCATCATAACTTTCTCTTCCTTACTTTCTTTCGTCCCTAAATGATTTCGCGCGGAAAATTTTATTTCGGTGAAATAATAAAAATTTCATCACGCTTAAATAGAGCGCATAAACAATAAAAAAAAAAGTTAAAAATGTTTTCAAGTCTTTTTTGTTACTTTACCGTTTCAAAGCAGTGGAAAGTTGCCTAAAACTTTTCTTCATCGTCGTCATTTGTCGCAGATCTTCACAGTCACAATCCCAGAGACATTTATTCTCTTGCTTAACATGATGAAAGTTTCTACGTTAAGAGTATCTTAAAACGTAAAGATGTGTCACCTTACACTCTTCCAGCTTTCTTTCTTTTTTTTATTTATCAAAGAAACTTTCTCTTCCTGTAATTGGATTTTATTGAGGAAAGGGAGAAAAATATTAGAAGATTCACTTTAAGTCTTTAACAAATGAAAGCAGGCAGCGAAGAAGAAATCTGCAACACCCCATGAGCGACGACGAGACGTTTATAAGATTTTTTTACACGCTGCATAAGAAAAAAAAGAAAGCAGAATCAAGACAAAAAAAAATTGAAAATTTATGGGATTGCTTGGGGCAATTTTCATAGAGTTGAAGCGATGGAAGAAAGATATTGTTGCCTTCGCTGTTTAACAAAGACGAATTGTTTTTAAAGAAATTTGGTTGGAAAGAAAATGAAGTGAAATGGCGAAGGGAAATTGTGCCGGGCTTAAGCAAATTTAAGAATTTGCTAAATTAAAATAATTAGATAACTGGAGTGGGACGAGAAAGAAGGATGAAGATTGTTGTTTTTCACTCTTCATTTCAACCGTCATTGTCTGTAACTGTAATGTAATCTTTAATAAACAAGAATGAAGAATGTATGGGTGAATTACGTATAAATCGATTTTCTCGCCGGTTTTGAAAGAATATTCAGAAATAAGTTTGAAAGTATTTTAAGTATCTCATGAGAATGGAACGAAGAAATGTTTCTATTTCTGAAAATATAAAACGAGAATGAACTGAACCTGCATGTAGTGGAGTTGGAGTAACGAGTAAGAAAGTTTTTGTAACATTATTTTAAGTTGATAAGAATCATTATCATCCCCGTGGTAATTCGTGAATGATCGATTCCGAAATTACTTTTGATGATCTGAATAAAAAGTTTTACGCTTGGATTCTTTCCTTGGTTTAAGTACATGGGTTGAAAAGCATTCCATGGTTTATTATCTGCCTTTTACCTTCAATTCCACTCCCCCTCAGAGAGTAAAACTCAAATGGTAATTTGTAAGAAAGTTTTCATCATTTTAATTTTATTCATTTCTAGATTTCCCAGGGGTCCCGATTGAAGGCTATGCAAGCATAACGAATTCGATTTCTTTTTTTCATCTTAGGATTATGTTTGCGTCTAGTCTTTCCATTTCTTCATGTTTATTAATTTAAAAGTATTTTTCAACTGAAATTCGTTCTTCTTCATCTTATACATATTGCATTTATTTATCGACCGTTGCCTATTCAAATACATTTTAAGAGTAATCTCAGATTCTGAAATTCTTAAAACTTTTGAATAAAATATTTAAGCATTAACAATTCTGGTTCCTTCTCTTTCACCCCATCCATACCTATCATGATGAAATATTTCAATGCAAGAGCTTATGAAAAATAAACAAATCGCTGTTATGAATCGAGCAAGACTGAAAATGATGGAATATTTGGAAAAGGATTAAACGAGACATTCGAATCAATTCATGAATAAATTTTATGGCTTATTTCTGCTGTTGTTGTTGCCTATATTGGGTTTTTAATGCAAATTAATTCTTTTAGTACACATTCAGTTTTGTGATCTGAACACGACGTATTGTCAGAGCTTTTTCCATCCATTGAATATCAATGAACAATTCATAAACATCAGTAAACACCCTCAATACGATAATAGTTATTATCAATAACTTTTTCTTCGTACCTTTTTTCTTCCTTTTGTGTCGCCATCTATCCATGTTGATCAAGGAGGAAAATAGAAAGTTTTAATGGAATTATAAATGACATTTGGTAACGTATAAGGTTGATGGGAAGGCATTGACTAAAATACCACACCAGCTTTTAAAGACGCACTTTAGGGAAAAATTATCATAAAAATTTATCGATTTTCATTCAATAATGGCTTACGATATAACACGGAAAGAGTTGAAGGTAGTTTTTATGATTATTATTACTTGATAAAATTCAGTTTATGGAAAGTTTTATGGTGACCATTTCATGAATAACGCCTTCTTGTGGTGAATTTTAGATTGAAAGTGTTTAGGTTCCCTCTTAAGTCCTTATTGAAAAGTTGTTATGTGCTGGTAATAAATATCCAACATGAAATGTGATCTTAGCTTCAACTCTACTTTGCTTTTATGAACGTAAGTTTTAAGAAAAATCACATAAAACGGATTTTAATCGTTCCGGATGCAAGGATTAATAAACTTCTCGAAACTATTTTCATTACTATTAAACTATGGTTTCTAATGTCGACATCTGATATTCACTCACTTTATTACTATTTGAGTTGACATGCCATGAATCAAAGAATATGATAATCATCTTGTAAGTAAAAAAATTTTGAACATCTCAAGCAAAGTTTTATTAATTTCATTGACACCTATCCAATATTTCATGTCACACGAAACCTTGTAAACATTTTATCACAAAACTGTCACGTTCTGATCCATTTCTTTTCGACTTTCCTAAATATTTTACACTCTTAAATACTCTTTAAATGCCTTTGTTCCATTTTCGATGTCAACAAACAATCATGAACAAAAATAACGTTCAGTTTGTTGTCTCAACTTCCATCCGTGACGATGTTTTTTTGTTTTGTGTTCTGTCTCACTCAACAATTATTTATGATAATTTAATCGTTGTATTATAACACGAAAGAACATTTATTCGGTCTTTTTGTTCTGTCCTCCTGAAGTTGAATTGCACGTCACAAAAGTTCAAAAAAGCTTTTTATTTATTCGACTCTGTCGAAGTGAAATAAAACTTTCCATTATTCTTTTCTTTGTTTTGTAAGTCGACCGTTGTTGCAGTGGCGTTAGATTGACAAGATAACATCTACAGCACTTTGCACACCACTGAGCTTTAAGAAATCCAATTGAGATCATTGTCACGACTCAATTCCGCAACGGAAAAGCAATTCCTATTTTTTTTTCTTCATTTTATGTTGAAGAACATTTTCCACAAATTCAAATTGGGTTGACGTCAAGCTGCGTTTTAATTATTTGTCATGCTGATGAGATTCGATAGAGTTGCGTTGCAAAAATTAACTGAAATACATCCGGACATGAAAGCATTATAACAGAAGGGTGAAAAAACGGCCAAAGGAAGAATTGTCAGGAATAGGAAACAGAAAAGTGGAAATATCTACAATAAACTATTAATTTTATGATCCTACCAGACATAAATGTACATACGTACGCTAAAATAAACCCACCGAGCTGAAGCACATTATGAATTATCATATTTGAATGAATAATGAAGTTGGCAGTTATGCTTTTTGTCTTTCTTTGCGTGTATTATTTAGCATTGCAGAAGAAAAGCTGGAAATTTGTGACAATAAATTTATTATCTGAACGTGATGCAAGAACCTAAAAAAGTTATTTTTCTTTTGTTTTCCAAGTTGAATACTGACCGTTCCATTCTCACAATTTGCAAATGAACTAGTATTGAGAAAGTCTTTTTCATCCAATTAGTAGTCACCAAAAAGAAACGGAAGGTTGTAGGATTCATAATCATGAGCAAGCCAGTAAATTTAGTTATACGTTTCGCTTTACGAATTTTCGACTCTTCAGACCGTAAATTTTTACATGAAATTTAAATTTTACTCAGATTTAAATTGTGTATGCATCAGAGGAGATTTCGCTAAAAAACCATTAATTCCTTTTTTAACTGTCGTTGAGAATTTTATGTTTATCCTGTCAAATTTTTGAATGTTTTTATGATTTTGTGAATTAAACATCGAAACAACAAGCAGAAATTTTCAGGATTTATTGAACGAAATAACTGCTTAACCGAAACTCAATGAAAAAAGTATAGTAGGAATTGAGCCAAATACATGATGTTTGTATTTGCCATAACTATCTAAATATTCAAATTACTTTTTGATAATCCTTAAAACACTGCAACAATTTAAATAAAAAATAAAATAAATTAATTTTGAGGTAGCAACGGAATGCTTGAAGAAAAATTACATTAAACATCCATATCTCAAATGTTCTAATAAATTCACCGACTCACTTACGTGATAAGGCAAATCGTTTTTATATCCACAACAATACATTATGACGCTTCACAAATTTATATTCATTCTGTTTAATGCGTTGAATGTGATATCACAGCACACAAATCTTTTCCGCATGCAAAGCAACAAAGCACGCACAGTCAATCGACCGGTTTAAACATACGCCATCAAAACGAAAGACAAGAGCATGATTATAATGATGAAAGGGAGTTTAGAAATCATTTGATTTAATTATTTTCAATTTATTATTTTCTCCACCCACATAAAACTTTTTCCTTCTTTCGCTTTTTTTTGTTCTGTCTTCTTCAGTTTGAGTTAATTTCGCAAACGTAATGCTTGGTTAATATGCCTTAATGTGCTAGAGATTAGAAACATTACTGAAATCTTTTCTGTGATTTTCTCGAATGCTTAATGATTCTGTGAATTGTCTTGAGTGTACGAAAACGAGATTCGATTCATATCAGTGTCAATTCAGTGATCAACACCTAATCCAACGACTTCAATTAATTTTCTAAATTTCAGCGAAAGGTTGAGGCAAATTCTAATTTATTGCTTATCGATTCTGTGTGTTTCTTTTTTTCGCTTCTTTCTTTTCAACATAAAGGACAATTACGTTACACAAATACACAAAACCTCAAACATGATGCTTCCATAAGAAGAAAAAATATAGAAAAAAGCAAAGTCAGCAGCTCGATTAGCTTCTATATAAGCGAACAATAGCAAATCCAATTTTTTTCCTCTATTTCTTATTTTTTTTTTCTTCTTTATTCACAGACGAGCGATTTTGGGCAATCCCGATGTGATGGACGCCAGTCAGCCATGGTATCAGCTGTTGTACAATGATTTTTGGGGCACGCCACTTGTTGACTCTGGCTCGCATGGCTCTTATCGACCATTGTGCGTGTTAAGTTACAAACTGAATCACATCATTGGCGGCTTTAAGCCATTTGGCTACCATCTTGTCAATATACTACTGCATTGCCTTGCAACTGGGTTAGTTGTTAAGTTAGCTAGACACATATTACCTTATGGCTTCGGAACGCTGATATCGGGAGTGCTTTTTGCATCTCATCCCATACACACCGAGGCTGTCGCTGGCATCGTTGGACGTGCTGACTTGATAGCGTGCAATTTTTATATATTAACGATATTATCATATATAAGACACGTTCAATGGCGTGAGAAATGTGATTCGAGACATTGGTTGGCGCTGTGTGGAGCTGTTCTATGTGCTTCTATTGCCATATTATGCAAAGAGACTGCCATTAGTTCGCTGGTTGTTTGTGTCATTTATGATATCTTGAAAGGATTTAACACGTTCTCAAAGGATAAGGTAAGTTGTCGTTTATAACTTTTAAAGTGAACATGGAACATGATAAAAAAGAATGGATTGTCATTTGAGCTTTGAACTGTCTTGGTTTTTATGCTTTCCAATCAGGTTAAGTAAACGTCCGGAAAATATTTCAGAGATAGAAAATGATTCGTAATTGTTTCAAACATTTTCAACGAAAATTCTCCGAAAATTTCCTTTCATCATTTCAATGTCGTGTCGTGTGTTATTTGATTCTCAAACGCAATTGAACAAGAATAGAACTAATAATGCAATGGCATTGTTTGAAAAGCAATGTTAGCTTCTCACTTTTATTGGAGAATAAAATTGAATTAAAATTTGTTTGAAATGTATCATTTGAAGAGATTAGCCTTTCGTTCGTTTAATTTGAAAGCTTAAAGCGAGAGGAAAATTTAAGCTTAAGTAGAATTATGGATCCAATAACATTAAAGGTTCTCTGCTTAGGGAGTAATTTTAACCATGAAGTTTTATATCTACTTGTGCTCTTAGATGCATAAGCATTGTTAGGATTTCAGTTGGTATTATTGTTCATTTTTCCCACAAACATTAAACACCGTTGAGGGTCTTTAAATACTCGAATTATCTTCTCGTTCTTACTATTTACTTGCTCTCTCGTGACTCCAAGAACATGAATTTTATGAAACAAGCATTTTTTTCTTGTCATCTTTTTCATTTTTAAAGAGTTTAGATATAAAATTTAATTCAACTTAAAAGAGCAAAAGAAATAAAATGTTTTATGTTTTCTTGATTGAGCGCTAGATATGTGAATAAGAAAAGAAGGATGAAGCAAACTTGAATGAAAAGCTTTTAGCGGACAGTTCAAGATTCTTGAAAATTTAAAATCTTTTTGGAGTAGGTTGATAAGCTTGTTGTAAAGATAAAGATTAAGTTAAAGTCGTCATGACATCAACTTCAACTCAACCCGGAGTGAAAAATATATTTTATCAAAAAATAAATATCCGAAAAAGAGAAAGGAAACAAAATTTGATACAATCATTGTCGTTGTTGTATATTTTTTTAAGCTTCACAAAGAAATCCTCTTTTTTTTCGTTGTCAGACGACACACATAGAAAGAAAAAGAAATGAGACGAGAAAGGAATAAACACAAGCATTTCCACTTTTCATATCCTTATCTCTAGATATTTATCTATTAAATCTATTTATGTTTTATTTATGCGATTTGTGTAAAGCTTCGTAGGACTATGCGGATCAAATATCCTTTGTTTATTAAAGTTGCTTATCAGATGAAGCATTTCTCATATTTTTCCCCTTTTTCTAACATTGCTTTGCTTGAATAGACAACATTAAGATTGACTGTTTGCCTCTCTCTCTCTCTCTTTCTCTGTCTCTTTTTGCTTTCAATCCCAAAGCTCAACGTTAAATGAAGAATGATTTTCTTAAACAAAGATAAGATTCATTTTCATCTTTCATCTTTTCGAAGCGAAGAAAGCTTCAAATATATATTTATCTCTCTGTTTATTAGTGTTGTTATCAGCACAGGCGAGTTTGAGCAGAAAATATTTATCCATTTACTTAGACATAAAAATATCATCATTTTGTGTTTTCTCTTCGTATGAGATTTTAGTCATTCTGATAGACTTATCATGATGATATCTCAGTAAAGAGACTTTAACAATTTCAAATATATATATACTTATGTATGTATACAACGAACGCTGTACAACTATAATTTCACAATCTTATTTAGAGTAAAGTAGATGATTTCATTAAAACTTCCATAAAGAGTCTTGCACTAAATTATCTGAAACTTCAATGAACATTTGAACAAAGCCATTAACTCTTGCTGTAGAAACGAAATGGAAGTTTACAATTACAAAAAAAAGAAGGAAAAGCACTGCTTAAACATTCCGGCAATAACATACAGATATAATATGAGTATGGCAATATAGCGTTGTCGTCGTATTCTCCGGATGATGAAAAAAAAAAGAAAGTGGAAGGAGAGGATTCCCCCTCGATATCGAAAGGGTGCAAAGTAAAAAAATCTCAGCTCTCAAAGAAATAATTTTTNACTGCTTAAACATTCCGGCAATAACATACAGATATAATATGAGTATGGCAATATAGCGTTGTCGTCGTATTCTCCGGATGATGAAAAAAAAAGAAAGTGGAAGGACGAACGACAAACTGTGTAGGACACACACAGAGAATAAAAACGTTGTGTTCGAGGATTCCAAATGCTGTTTATGCCTCTGAGCAACAGATAACGTGTTTATGGCTTTTTGAAAAGCATCGCAGTATTAACTTCCTTTCCTCCATCGTTTCTTTTTCCCATTCTTCTTCTTTTTTGATAATGTGCTACATCATTGAGCCTTGAGAGTATGCTTCTACTTCTATGCTTCCCTCCCCCGTGTGTTCAGTTCTGGGAGAGAGAGTGTTGAAGAGATTTCATACGATGAATAGAAAATATCTAAATATTATTCAACGAAAAGCAAAGAAAAAGAAATATCGATGGTGAAAAAAATCTTTTTCTTACACAAGCAAAATCGAGTAGAGTAGGGAAAACCTATTTACCCATGGCTAGGAACATGAAGAAGAAAAAAATTATTTGGGAATAGAAAAATGGGAAAATAAAAGATGGAAAGTAGCGTAGAGAGATCCATAAATACGTTACATATGCTCTGACAAAACCATACATACACAAACACACTCACAAATGAGAACCGCTCGAAACGAAAGCGAAGGATGGAAGCAGACCCTAATCAAAGATTCGAAAGCATTAAGATGATGTTATGTAATCGCAGACACATGTGTACTGTTATTATGTTTGGAAGCTTCACATCAAAGCTGTGCTGTAGAGTTGTAAATGGACTGTGTCACTACCCTCGAATATCGTCTTCTTCTCGATTTATCTATCTATCATGTCCCCCAAAATGCTTTATTATCGTATTTAAAATATACTCAAAAAGGGGAGAGATTTTTATTCATTCAATCTTTGATCGATTGACTTTCTTTCTTTTTTTTCTTTTTTCGATACTTTGAATTCGTTGATCAACAGCTCATTAGAATTAATTTGCTTATTTAATGTCAACAAAGATTTGTCATTCAATTTAAAGGCAATGATTTATGTTTGGATTTATGTAAATATAATTAAATCCAATTAGATTCACTGGAAGTCAAAACGATTAAAATTTCTAGGAGAATAATCTGAACATTCATACATAGAAATATGTTTGAACAGTGATGGGATGAAAAAGATATCTACCAAGATGGATTTAAAGATAAAAGCTTTAATATTGATTTTTTCCAGCCCAAATTTCTCATGCTTCTAACTTTCTTTTTTTCTTTTTTCTTACAGTATCAATTACGAAGCATCGGAATCTTGGGAATAGCCATCGTAACAATCTTACATCTACGTCTGTCGATTCCTGGACCGGTTACACAGTTTTCGACAGCTGATAATCCCACAGCAAAAGTTAATACGCTTCTAACGAGATTTTATACATTCTCCTACTTGCCCGTGTTCAACTTTAAAATGCTCGTTTATCCACACACGCTGAGCTTTGACTGGGGAATGGATGCAATTCCTCGCATTACCTCATTTTACGACATTCGTAATCTTATTTCGTTGATGTTTTATGCTGGCTTATGTCGTCTTATCATCAAAAGCATAGTTACACTCCGCAATACAACAACTCCAAAATTAATAATTAGCAAGAGAATCGGTAGAAGCATTCACAAACGAAAGCATCAAACAAACAACTCAAAATCTTTTGATTGCGTGCCAACCGTTCAATCAAATCAATTATGGGACAGTGAAAATAGTTGTTTAGTGTGTAAACATGGCTTAAAATATCGACATGCGAGTGTTTGTCGTTCAAGTGTAGGTTTCATGACCGCTTCGCTTTGTGGATTGACGCAAAGCGGTAATAAGAAACAAGTTATATCACTATCGCCTTTAAAGAAATATATCAGAAACAATAACAATATCTATTTGAATAATAATAATAATAGTAATAACATTAACAATAATAACAATAACAGTAGTGAATTAGTAAAGGACAACAACAATAATAATGTTTGTGTAATTGATAATAATTACATAATGCCGACAATGAATGTTGCAACGGTATACCAAACAGCGAGCAAACATTTAACTCAAAATAATCGGAAATCAAGTGTCAAAAGTTTATCAAGTGCTGTCGTCAGTCTCGTTAATCACATCAAAAGTAATGAAACTTCTTTGAAGCATACGAAATTGAATAGTGCATCAGCGATACTCATATCGATCAGTTTTCTTACGCTACCGTTTATACCTGCATCGAATTTGTTTTTCTATGTCGGTTTTGTAGTAGCTGAGAGAATTCTTTATCTACCAAGTGTTGGATATTGTCTGCTAATTGGCTTAGGTTTAGGAAAGTTAATCAATTTCAAAGTTCAGGGTAGAAGCAATGGTATGAAATCAAAGCAAAAAGTGCAAAAATCTTCACTTCACAGCGTGAGATCAATAACAACAATGCTGTTTGTAATTATTCTGATAAGTGCATGTAGTTTGAAAACAATGAGAAGAAATCAAGACTGGAAGGATGAAGAAAGTTTGTATCGAAGTGCCATCAAAGTCAATCCACCAAAAGGTAAATTTTCTTTCTTTATTTTTATAAATATTTGAGTTATTTCCTTCGCTATGGTTTTGTTTTGAGAGACAACGAGTCAAAAACACTTTAAAGCAATTTATCTTCCATAGGAAATCTTGTTTATTGTTTGGTTGAACTTCTCATATCAGAGATTTGTCTTTGTGGTTGTGTTCTTCTCGGTCCAGGCTCCCTTAACACAGCATTTTTCATTCCCACATCGTCGTAGTTGGTATGAAAAGCATTCACCATGAAATACATAAATTATAAAGCTTGTGGCTGAAGCGAAGCACTGAATTGAGTTCGAAGAATATGAGAATTTTTTTTCTAAAAATACTGAGAATGAAGAATTTCTGTGAGTTTTAGTATCGTTGCATTAGAACTTAGCATGAGAGCTGTGATGACAAACAAGATTCTGCACAACAACTAAATCCAAACAATTTCAAATCAGAGATTGGAAGCATTGAATTTTAAGTTTTATTCATTGATAAATTAAGTGAAAGTTTTGGCTTTTAGTTTCAATCCCTGCTTGAGACAATTGTCCTAAAATATCTTCAATGCTTGTACATTTTTGAGCGAGTGTGTGAAATGTTTACTCCTACAAAATGTTTTATTTAAATTTTGGTTTCATGAAAAATCTTTTCCAATTTAATTCAATTTTTCGAAGTAAAGTTTCATCGACACGACAATTTCTCATTCTGAAGCCTTTTTCCTTGTCGACAATTCTCTCGTTATTTCTGCTATTGATGGTTGTGAAACCATCGATGCTTGGATAGTAAATAATCATATTAATGTCTTTAAAAACAAGATAGGAACGGAATGATACAATTTCTGAACGAGAGCAAGCTTATCTGATTTTCTGTGGGCACGAATGAAGATTGAATAATGCAGAATGTTAATCTCTCATCAATTTATGTCCTTTGCTATAAACCTTTTTATGAGCTTCTCCAATGTTCGTGATCCTTTCCGTACCTATGCTTCCGGGGGCAGATATCGAAATAAACTCTTACAACTTTCCTCTCTTCATATCTTGCATCAACATTTCAAATTATATCGAATGAAAGGAGAGAAGGCATAAAATCGATACTACGACATTCCTTTAAAAAAATCAGCTTAGATAGTCCTTATATGTCACGAGAATCTCCGGAACAAAATGAGAATCATGTTCTTCGAAATATGATAAATATTTCAACATATCCCTAATATGTAGTATGAAAGCTTAGCAATGTTACTTGTGATGAGACGAGGAAAGATAATTTGATCGTTTTGATTTCGTGTAAGGCTTAGAAGGGAATGATTGTAAATGACGTAAGATTTAATATTTAATTCTAATAACACTTTAAGATTACATTTTATTCTTTCACATTAAACTTCCTACTTAGAAAGTTTTTCTCTTAAAAAATAAATTTCAACAAAAATAATAATTTCATTTTCTAACTTTATACAATGAAATCAAAAGAAAAAGGAGAAAGCTTCGTATTACTCATTAATATTGATTTCCACTTGAAATATTTTGGGAATTGATTCTCACTACCCCATCGAGTAATGAATGAAAAAAAAGGAGAAGAGAGAAAAAAAGACTTTCAAGTATTTCTCATTATGATGAAAAACATTTTTTTTCTGCTGCCGACATTCTAACATGAGAAATGAAAGAAACGAAAGAACTTTGACCTAGAACGTATAATAGAAAAAAAATACGATTTAATAGAGAGTAAAAAAAGTGGGCATATAATTTAATTTTCATGTTTTATGAGGCTGCTCTTTCGAATAAGTAGCATGTATAATCAACTATATTAAAGCTTTTATTAATGTCATTCAATTTTTTTCTCTCTCTTACTTTCAATTCATTCAAAGTTTTTCTTTGCTCTGTTTCTCGAGAATTTTTTCTGGAAAAAGAAAATTTGAAATCAGCAGCGAAAAGTTTTTATGCATTGTTCATGTTGGATTCATGCTCGACTAAATTTAAAGAGAGCTAGGTTTTTATAGTGAATTGAATTAAATTGAAATGTATTTAGGAAGGAGAAATGTTATAAAAAAGTGCCTATGAATCAAACTTCTTGTAAAATCGATAAAAATGTAGGTTAGGCTGCTGTTCACTTTCTTTGTTATTTAAGTTTTCATTCTCTTAAAGTCATTTTCATTTCATTAAATAATAAGACGCTTCGTGCTCGTTGCCACTCGAATTTTCGCTTTCATTTATTAATTTCTGTTTATTTCTGAAAGGTCGTAAATAATCTCAAAAGCTCTCCCATTCCAATTTTTCGACATTTCGTTTCTCTCTTATTTTTAATTTATTATTATTTTTATTACGCTCTTCGTTCTTTCGTTTTGCCCTCATCGTGCTTAATAAACCATTTTGCCATTTACTGAGTGGCGGGCGAAAAACGCAGGAAATTTCCTATAGTATTTAATTATGAATTTTACGATGTTTTTTTGAGCTCCCTCTCACTCTCTCACTCTGTCGTTACTGATGATGTCGATATTTATAGCAAATGGAATAACTTTACATCGCCTTCGTGCTTCAAATCACACTCTAATTCTATCTTTTTTTCTACAGCACTGGGCAACTTAGGAAGTGTGCTTAGTTCTCAAGGTCGCTTTGAAGAAGCTGAGGAAGCATTGCTTGGAGCTTTAAAGCATCGCTCGAATATGGCTGACGTTCATTATAACTTGTAAGTATGAAAACATTTTCTGAGACTTTTGTTTGGAATTTCATCATTTACATTAATTGACTTTTGATATAATCATCTTAATTTAACTTATAATTCATTCTTGACTACGAAGTTATGTACTTATGTTAGATGCCATCTCTTAGTTTTCGAAAACTCATTAATTAGAAACTCTTCAACAAATTTATGTGTCTTGAAATCTCATAATTTGTTGCTTTTTTTTCTTCAATCGGAAAATCACGCAACAATTCCACTCGAAAGTTCACGTACACGTTCAAATGGATTAAATAACAGCAATCACTTCGTGCTATCGACTTTATGTTATTCAAAGAAAATCTGTTTTTCCTTTAGCTACTTGATTACAACTAGAACACAAAAAGCACTAGACATTGATGGGAATACTTAATAAGAGCTCTTCGATTTCATGTCGAAACAATAGATCAGTTCAACTCTTTTCTCTTTCAAACGATGCTGAGGGTTAATTAATTGGCGAACAAATAAAAGCAAAATCATCGACAAAAGCGAAGAAGAGAAGAAAAATCTTTTTTCTTCAAAATTTTCCAACTTTGTTAACTCATTAGAGATGAAATCATTAGAAGCTTAATAAGAATAAGAGCATTTGGCAGGTGGGCCGGCAAGCTTCCCGAATAACAATAGTTAACTCAACTCTGTAGATTACGAGAGTTCGTGTTGTTAGATCCATGCAGAAAGAAGCGAATGGCCATAAGTTAAGTGTATTATTTTGTAAGCGAAACTCTAGAAAGTAGGATATAAAGGATAAACGTGATGTTTTGCTTTTCCATTAGGTTTTACCCTCTTCCGACACGCTCGTTCGTCGCACTTTCGACAATAAATGTCAAGTCTTGTTATGGAAATAAAGTTTCTCTTTTCTATCCTGCAAAATATTTATTTTTATTTTTCTTTCTTCTTTTGATGTTGAAAGCAAAAATATAAAAATAAAAACAGAAAAAAAACATTTCTGATGATTCAAGAAAAAAAAATTAAAAATTGTGCTTGTTTGTGTCTTCCAACATTTCCGAAACAATGTTGTTGACTTATTTTTTAACTTTTTAGGGAAAATTTCAAAGTTTACTAACTCACAAATTGGATAGTTTTAAGTTTTATGACACTAAAACCTCTTAAAAGCTTCATGACCTTTCCTAGAACGAGTAATTATAAATTTAAAGGAAACTAATTTATAGTTTCTACTCAAAATTTCTGAAGCTAACGAATGTTTTCTTATTTAATCCTCTTAGTATTTGAGAAAGAAAAAGTTTAAGATCTTTGAAGTGTCTCCAAGGTGACATGACTTGAAAACATTGTTCTTATCTTTTCTAGAAAAGAAGATACATAAGGGAAATTTAAATTTTTACCTTCTGGCAATCTTCCCTGATGCAAAAACGTCTTCACTATACATAGTTTCCATATACATACATGCATAAGATCCAACAATATCGAAAAGATTGCTATGTACACGTCCACATGTGAAATCAAGCGAGATTCTAATAAATTGAATTTGTGTGGAACATATGTAACTTATTGGTTTATTTCTTCTCCCCCTTCTATCTTATGACTTTACTGTTATCAGCGGAATAAATAAGAAACTTTCATGTCATCGCAGTTTCAAGATGTAAGATATTTTGGGACTGAATTGGACATAAAATAGACAATATAATTCTCATGGTAAAGTTTTCAAATTTATATCCTCTTCTGTCGAATGTCGATTGCTTTACTGTCAAGCTTGTTATTTTACTTCTTCTTCCTCTTATTTATTTTTTTGGAAATTCGTACAGGTAGACGAAAAGTCCAAACTAGCAGAAAAGTTTGCTTATTTCTTCTTGGACGTTTTAAGAGGAAAAATAATAAAGTATCTAACATCATAATCAAAATATATTTCGGCAATCCGGAAGAACGAGAAGTCGAGTAAAAACAAAAGTTTCTTTTCCTCATCGTTTCTTTTTTTGTTGTTTTTCATCTCGAATTCCAAGTCGATTATTAGGTGGAAAAGTCATTGAATCCAGTTGATTAAGTGTTATTCATTATATTCATTCTCATGGGATAAACGTTTGAGAAGTAATGTTAAAGAATGAAAAAGGAAGAAGGAGAGTTATAAAAATAAACTATCGCCATTCGTCGAGAAAAAGCTTTTTTATGTCAAAACTTAGCACTAACAATTTTTTATGTGATATTCATCTTTATATTCTCTCAAGCATAAGAATTCGTTCTAACAAAGGAAATATGAAAACTTTGTCAAGTGGTTGCTTTTTTTTTATTGTAACAGAATTTATTTGATGCGAGAAAAATATTAAATTCTAGAACCTACTAAAACGAAGTTCATTTTTTTTCTATGTACTCAATTAGAGAGATTAATTCTTATGTCTTTGACATGTAATGAGAACTTTTCCATCATTCGTGAATATTTATTTTAATGGAAACTTCCATAAAGAGCTTTTAAATCATTAACAAAAACCGAAAAAGCCTTTGAAAATAATTTAAATACTTAATAAGTTTATGATTTTGATTGAGTTATGCTACATACATAGTTTTATGTTATCTTTTGATTTCCATTTATGATGATTAATATTTTCAATGGTTTCAAATAATTGTGTACTTAATTAAATGTCCCCTTTGAACAAAATTTTTTTAATTATTAATTTATGAGAAATAATATTTTTTAAAACATAAAAAAATTGTCATAATAACATCGCAATAACAGCGTTTTTATAATGGGATACAGAACTGTAATAATAACGTCAAACCTTAATATTTTACATGAAAGTCAGAACACCATAGTAACAGTCACTATAAAGTTTTGTTATGGAAACTTTTAATTAAATGTTGAAACTTTTTTTCAGAAATAATCGTGAAACGAACTTCAATTGAACTAGAAAAAAGAAGTTATTACAGAGTAGAACTTATTTACTTTTTGTTTAATTGGTGATTACAGCCGAACATAAAAAGTTGGAAAGTAAAAATTACTTAGTTTTCCTATTCGTGCACTTCTTTCAGTTCTAATTTTGAAGAACTTAAATTGAAGCATTTGAAAATCGATCACGACACAGCTTAAATTATAAATTCTCTCTTTTCTTTTCTTTTGTTCCTACCTACACTCAATGGCATTTGTCTTTTCATGTATTGAGTTTTATCATTTTCAAAATGAATGCTTTGAAAATCTCCTAAATTATTATTATACGCTTATATATTTATTTCAATGGTTATTGGATTTTTTACTGCTTCCCATTTTAAGCGTAAGGCATGTGGGGCAAAAAGACTTTTCCCTTCATAGTCGAAGAAGCTAACACAGTTGAAAATAAGAAAAGAAAATATTCGAATAGGTAATCTAACGATCATAAAATATATAATAATATTCCTTGTTCGTTTTTACGGATATAAAATGTTGAGGGAAGCGTCGAGCGAAATGAGCGAGAAATGTGATGAGCCGTAAAAGAATATTCTCAACGGTTTTTCACTACGCGCAATAAATATCGACAGCGCTCTTAAATTTTTCATATCGTTGCTGAAAAATGATACCGATAATTAAATTCCACACTGCTTGAACCTGCTTAAAAACGAAAATTATTGTATCCTTTTTCACTAGCGCTATTTAAAAAAAATGTTGAGCTTCATCGAGATGTGAAGAGAACATTTTTTTTTTCGTTCAAGCAATGTTTTAAGATTTACTTTGTAATGGCAACAAAAATTATATCTGCTGAATTAATAGTGTTGGTTCATGTTTTCGCTTATGAAACAGTTTCAATGTTTCGAGATAATACTTTAGATGAAGGGGAGGAGAAAATGAATTTAATTTCTTCAAAGATCTTTCTTATAATCCAACAAACAGCTTGGAAAAAGTAGAGAATTTTTAAACCAGTCTAGAAGCTTATCGCTCGTTTCTCCGTTGAAGATGACAAACAAAAAAAAGTGCTATTCAGCAGGAAAATGCTTTTCCGTTTCTTTCCACGTTAATTTCAATATTTAATGCTTCACATTATACAACACATTAAGCGTTGTTGCTTTGCCAAACTGAGAAAGCAAGAGAAAGTAGTTTAAATTATACAATTTTCAATTTGCTACTCGACTAAATTGTCTACAGATAATTCTGAAAATGATTTCCTTTTATTCAACTCGTTCTCTTCCCTGTTTAGCCCTTTTATATATTAAATAATGATATTTATGATAGTTTTATGCTTTTTTTGTGGCATGAAATATATGAAAGAAGACAAAATTTAACGTAAAATGAAGGTAATTTGGAAGATATCCAGAAACATCCAAAGATGCACTTGCAGATAAAATTTCAAGATTTTAAAAAATATGCTTCACCATGACTTCAATCGTTAAGTTTATTAAAAATATTTTTAAAGAAGAGAAGGAAACTGTTGACATTTATTTTAAAGTAGAAAAGTAAAGAAGTCACTTTGTTTCTACTTTGGAAGGATCAACGATGATTTAACTTCTCTTCTTTATGATGGAACTTTGCCGCTTTCGTGAATCTTCTTAAGTACTGAGCTTTTCTTTTCTTTCCTTTCTTTCAGAGGGATTCTGTATCAAAATCAACAAAAATACGAAGATGCCGTGAGCAGCTTTCAAAAAGCGATTCATTTTCGGCCGATGCTTGCATGTAAGTAACATTTGCTACTTTAACTTATTATTAGATAGATGTGAATAAATATTACGACAAGAGTGATTTCGAAAATTTAATTAAATTTAAAATATGGTTATGGCATAAAAGAGTGAAATATGTTGAACCATATGTTGTCATGTGTCGGAATAATTCATTTTCTTTTAACTCATAATGATTAATCTCGAAACTGATTGCCAAACAACTGATAAAAATTTTTCTTTACAATATCTCTACATGCTTTATTGAAATTAAAAAAATGAATTCATTGACTTTGTGTATAAATTAGGTTAAAGTTATAAATCGTTTGACTTACAACTGATGAACAAAAATCAATGAACAATTAAACGATTCTTAAATAAATCAATGAAACTAAAACTTTTACTTCTATTCAGCCTTATTCAACAAGTTTAGTGTAAAAGTATTGAGAAATAATAATTCCTTTGCTTCCCATGCTACTGCAAGTATTTAACGTTTCTTTAGTAATTATGTTCCCAAAATAAAGATTATAATCTGATAGAACATTTTCCTTACTTTCGATTAATTTATGTCAATGGAATTTAAAACATCTTCTTAAAATCAATAAACACAAAACCGATATTTTGAGGTTTCAATATCATGAAGCCTGAAAAAAATTTGTTGTAATATTTCTTTCGAATTCTTTGAATAAAATGCGTGGGTGTTTTATTTATGTGCACAAAGAAACAAGAATTTGTTGAATGCTTATTAAATTAATTTTTTTAAATTAATATTTACTAATTGAGCTATTCTCTCATGTGACTTCCAAAAATCTTCATAAAGAGAAAAAAAATCTTTAAATAATACCAGTAAAATTTAGCACAATTATGAAGTGCTTTTTTTATTTTGTCATCTTCTGCTGCTTCAAATCAGCTTCTTCAGGAGGTGGAAACGTTAAATACCGTGAAGTTTATTTTAAAACGAAGCAAAATAAAAATTCACATTCAAACTGAATCTTCCAATTATTTTAATTCTCACTACAGAAAGAGAAGGAAGCAACTTTTCCGGTCCAAGCTTCATAAGTATCAATCACTGACGGATATCTATCTTAAAAAGAATTTTGTTTTGCTTTCTATTCTGATCTCTCTCGGGGAATCAATTGGAAATATCCGGTCTTAATAAAAAACAAATTCTCACAACTCAAGCTCGAAAAAAAAACTTTCTGTTTTCTTTTCTGGTTTGAAATATTGTTGCCGTACCTAAATAAATACGAAGAAGAGCAAAAAAGAGGAAGAATATTTGTGAAAGGATACCGAATGAGGAAATTAACTTTACTCTTTTTTAAACAAAATTTATGGTTTTGGTATAATTAAATATTGATTATTCTGACGTTCATGGACGAAAGCGAGAGCGGAAACTTGACGGAAAGTCTCGAGTAAACTAAACATTTGCCTTTCGAAGAGAAGGAGAAGTAAAAAAAGAAAAGAATCTACGGAAAACCCTTTTGTGCTTTGTTAAGCTTGCACAATCAACGACTGATTCTTCTATAACTCTTTTAAAAATTAGAATACAAAGCAACGCCAGGGCATAATAAAATCAATACTTTTATATCACCCTCTTTCACGTTTTGAAATTACGATTTTCAATCACATTTGATATAATCGTGAACTCGAGATTATGTTTCATGTTGTGGGGGGTGGAAGTGGAAAGAAACCTTGAAATTCATCGTACATAACTTTAAGGCGAAATAATATTTGCATAAATTTCAGGCGCATCAATATTTCTTCAACATTCAAATGTTCACATAAAAATCCCTCAGAAATGAAGTGAACATGTTGAAAATATGACACACGAAAGATTTTCTTTTCAATATGTGAATGTAATAAAAATGACGTTAATATTTCGCATGCTGATCTCGACTTCGATGGAAAGCGTGGATAAAACGGAGAAAATCCAGTGAAAATAAAGTAGAAAGAATTTTAAGCTGAAAAAAAAACTGATACAAATTTGTCTACTTATTGCTAACTCATGATCACGTTGATGACACAGCATTTTCCATGTCGATATTCATACATACACGTCTCTAAGGAAATCTTTTTTCTATAGAAATTTTAACTGTAACTTTATTTCCAAAATTCAATCGTGTACATACAAATACTTTTCGTACGTTTATCTCGTGCTCATGATTCATTCGTAAAACTTTTTCTTCATTTCTTTTCTTGTTCAATTTTATACTTTTCTGGTTTACTGATTTTACACACGGTGCCGTGATGTTAAAAGTGAAGAAAAAGAAAATCTATTGCGGGTAAAATCTGCGTGAAAAATCGTCTCTTCACCACGTAAAACGATTTTCTTCGTTCATCCACAGCACTCAGCAACAACGAAGGGAGGCGAAGAAGGAAATTGCCAACACTGATACAGTTTAGTTGGTTTAAATATAATTTACAGTACAAACATTGATTCTTCATGGATTGAAAGGCATAAAAAGACTTTCTATAGCGATTTCCTCTTCTCTTTCGTTCCGTTACGAAAGAAACAGCGGAAAAGAAATTCAATAAATTTTTCAAGTACGCGTTGAGGGTGAAAGAAAAAAGAAAAGAAAAGAAAAAGAAATCATCGGCCTTTACTTTCGGCCTCATAAATTCTTGATATTCAATTTTCTTCTCGAAATTTATTGGAGGGTATTCGTCGCTAAATGCTTATTTTTCTCCAAACAATGAGCTCATTAAACTATTGAAAGTTGTTAGGGTGGATGATCTTTGAGTTGAAAGTAAATCGATACTTAATGTCTAAAAAAAACTTAAAAATGTAATTTCATTCTATTTTTCTTTCTTTCTTTGCAGTGGCATATTTAAACCTTGGAACGTCACTCATTGCCCTTGGGCGTTGTCATGAAGCTGCATCAGTTCTCCGTGATGGCACAAAGCTTGATGGTACTGGTTTAAGAGATCGAACAGCGCATGAATATGCACGAATAAGTTCACTACTTCAACTTGGGGGTCTTTATGCAGATCAAGGAAAATTGCAACGAGCGCTAGCTGTTTATCGTGAAGCTCTTCATACCCTCCCACAAAATTATCCACCACAGGTGAGCTAAAGCAATGTTTCTTGTTTTAATTTGAATGTCTAACAATCTGTACCTTGTGGTAAACGATTACCCTGATGTACGTTGGCATTTTTAAGGGAGGAATGAATTGCGGGGGTGGAGGTGAAATGTGTAATAGCAAATTAATTTCAAATTTGTTTCTCCGCTCGTTTGCGAAGTCGCGAGAAGCTCTAAACTTTTCTGTTTTAACCACTCGCGACGCCAAATGAAAATGTTGTTTTGTCGAAGAAAAATGGCCAAAGTTTTATATTCGCTGCCTTCTTTACTTCTTTCATTCTTTCTTTCTTTTTTGTATGTGCGGCTGCTGTCTTAAAGGCGAAAGAGAAAAAGATTGCCAAACAAGTAAAAGGAACAAAAAAAAAAGAGAAAAATGTTTCACATTCATAAATTATACGCAGTCGAGCTGATTTTTTCTCAGCATAGGACACAAGAAGGGAAACTTTCATTCTTTTTGTTTCTTTGTCAATGCTTTTGGTCGTTCTTTTTTTTCCTTTCCTTTAATTCGTGAGCAACTCGCCCAAAAGAGAAGTAAGCTGCATAATGTATTAGATTGTATGCCGTGGCCTAACAGTAAGATATCAACGTTTCAAACGGAAAACGGTTGAAAGAGATCGTTATCTAATTGAATGGTATGGGCAGCAAGTGAATGCTAAAAGAATAAAAAATCATCTTCTTTGTCTCTTCCACCCACACACTGGAAACAGGAAGAAAAACACAAAAAAAAAGAAGCTTTGAAATGTTTACGTTCAACGATATCCTCCCTGACTTTGAGGCATTTGACAGCCTCGATGAGATGAAGGCAAATTGTGCCACTTAACTTTACTCGGGAGTCAACTTCAAACAACTTGCTTTCATCAATTATTCAGTCATTGTGGATGGAAGAGTTTCAATGCTTTCTTTTCATGCTACTACATACTGGTGAAATTGCAACAATATATGTACTTACTTACAATAACTAACTAATAATAATTTCTTTGATATCAAGCAATGCTTTCAGAGTTTACCATTCTGATTATTTTTTATATGAAACAGAATACTATTCAATGAACTTTCCAAGTAGAAAATTGATGCTAAATTCCTATGAATCGAAAACCATTGAATGCTTCTCAAAGCGAAAGTTTTTAAGCTCTTTTTCTTTTCATTAGACATTTCGTAATGAAAATAGATAGACGGATATTTTTGGTTGAATTCAACTTTATTCTTCTTCCACCTACACAGCCTCAAAATAAATTTAATTTTTAATGCGAATGCCCTGGGGAGCTGTCTGGTCTTTTTCTTCTTTGTACTCATACTTGCTCTCATTTACGTATATTTCCTCATGTTTTCTTTTATTTCCGAAGCTTTCGTATCAACATTAACATTAATAGGATTTTTTTCTTCTTCATCTGCCTCTTTTACATTCGCGAACGCAAAAAGCAAAACCACTAAAATGTTGTAATAATAAAAAGTCATAAAGAGAAAAACCATTAAAAACCTTTTATGGGAGAATATTTTTTTCTTTTATTTATATTTTACTCGGAATATGTGCTGCTCGTTGCTTGTGCTTTTTTTCATGCTATGAAATGGTGTCGAAAAAACAAACGATGTTAATGAGCAGCATTGTGCTTACAAAACAAGACGAAATGGTAGGAACCACGATGTCTAGTCTTTCACTTCTGTTGTCTTTTCAACAAGGAAAAAAGTTGAAGTGGCTGTTTATGGTCATCTTAAACTTCTCTCTTGTTTTATTTCACGGGTCGTAAATTTTTCATGGAATCACTCTAGAAAGCGAGATGGAGACAGAGTGAGAGAGAAAGGGAAAGAGAAATCGCAAAGAAAAAAATTCAATTAATCCATTATCATCCATTTCTGTTAATGTTTGCTGAAGATAATTTCCATCTACAAATGCTAAAATCATGAAATCTAATTATCGAAGCCAGCCCTAAAACAATAAAATTTCATAATGACTGCTGTGCTCTTCAGCTTTGCCCATTTCTCGGAGAATTTTTCAAAAGGCAACTTTAATTGCTGGAAATTATTCTTCATAACATTTGAATGTTTTGTCATTGACATCCTTTTGTGTGGAAAATTTTACAGCATCCTGACGAAGCAAAGGAATTTCCAAGAATTTTCCAAGTACAACTATACTGAATATCTTTCCATTTATTTCAATAAAAACAGCGCAGTCGCCACAAGGAAAAACTGTTGCGTTCAATTTTCATTTATTGTGACGCGATGGGAAAATGCACGCTTGGAAAAATGCGTCCGTCATATGTATATCCATAAACTTTATTTCAATTAAATGCTGGGTTGATGAATATTTAAAACATCTATTTTCAATAACGGTAACATCATGCATCGACAGTGTCAATAACTGATACCTGCAGGTCATGCGCAAGTTATTGTTGATACTTCCGCCACTGATTTTTGTTTTATATGTATATTTATATATATTTAAACGATGCGTAAATGATATGATGGAAAAAGTTGATGGCAAAAACTTTAAAAAGACTTCAATTTGCAATTTGATTTAAAAAAAAAATCATTTCCATTCATTGAAAATTTTGAATCGCTTTTGAATATCACTTGAACTGAAATTTACAAACTGAAGTATACTTTTAAATGCTGATGTTTTTTCAAGTATTTTCATAAACTTCATGTATTTAATGTGCTTCAGAATTTTATTTAATTAAAGTAGATAAAAGTGGAAACTTATAGTTGAATGTTTCTTAATGAAGCTTTTAAGAGGTTTCTAATGAAAAGTCTTGCTTGTTATTGATAAGTTTTCACAATGGAAAATGCTATAACTTTGAACGTTGTTTATGACATCATCTCATCTATTTCAAAAGATTTTATGCTCAACATTAAAACTAAAGCATTAAAATATTTTTTGAACATGATAAACTATATAGATAAGTTGAAATTTGTGATTCAAAGTTAATCAAAGAGTTTAAATACATATCAAGATTCATTTTGTTTGATGGTGACGTTTGATGATAAAGACGGTGTAAATGTAAATACGTTTAGTACGCTGTCTCGTTTCTTTCGACTTCGTCCTACGATTTTTAAACAATGTGCAAGTGCTATAATGTCAATAAACCTTCAAGCTAAAGCTCAAAACGTTTAAAATTTACCATCTCACGATCAAAACTCTAGAGTACTAAACTTGGACATAAAAGTTAATTCACTGTAATGAAATCGAATTAAAATTCAACGATGAATTATGTTGATTACTTTCAACTTTACTTCTCGCTTCTTGCTGATGCCATGCTACGAAATCACTAAAACAGAATCAAATTATGAGATGATGTGTTGTCAAGGCCTGCATTCATTTATCTTTTCTGTCTTTTATGTCATTAGTGATGAATCATGTCAACTGTCAAGTGACAGAAATATCTGGAAAATTGAAGCCACATCAGTTTTCTCTTGATATTTACACAGAATATTTGCATAGTAACAATATTCTTGATTTTTTTGCATGACGAAATCTGCAGTCTAGCATGACATGATAATTACGCATAATAACAGTCTCCTTTTTGCGAACAAACACCAGAGACATTCGAGCTTAAAATCATCAAAAGAGGGAGAAACTTTCAGATTAAAAATTTACATGTCTCGAATGCTAACATTTAGATGAAGAGGGAAATCTTAATTATGGGAATTTTACTCGACATATCTATGTGTGCTTCTCTGTGGTTTTGCAATGAAATCCTTCACATCAGCAATGTTGAAAGCAAAAATTTGATTTTCCTCTCGAATACATTCACACACGCAATTCTATCTATGCTTGAACATTTCACGCTTCTTCGCTTCAACTAAAACATGAATTTGTACAAATGTATGGTAAATGAAAAATTAGATTTTGAGATAGTGCAGCGTAATTTTCGAGATTCGAGATGATGATGTTGATGTTGATGAGGGATGATGTGCGAGTGGTTATGTTTGTTGCTATGTTTTTGTGGATATTTTGGAGATGTGAATATTTTTTTTCATTTCTTAACAAATGTATGTATGTATTCAACTAAGTGTTGCTTCACCCGATTCAAAGATAAAAGCATCATCGCTAAAAGCTTTCTCATGTGAATGTAATTAAGAATGTTCCAACATAAAAAAGAAGCTTTTTCATTCATTTAACTTTTGGTTCCGCCATTATCGCTCTTCAAAATGGTTATACGAAGAAGAGAATGAACAAGTGAATAAAGAAAGAAGGGAAGGAAGAAAAAAACTGTTGTTTATAACATGATAACATCATTTTCATATACACATTTCATTGCGGGGGTGGATAACGAAGAGAACATGCTTAAGTGTGTGTTTGTCTTCTACAACACTCTATACAATTCTAATTATTTTCAATGTGCAACTGTTGAAGCAAATGAAAGTCATAAAATATGCAATATAAACAGGCAGAACATTGCATGTTCTGTGGTGAGTGGTGTGGGAGTAGAGGTTTAGAAATGAAAGACAGAAGAACTTTTTTAATGTATGGAAATGGTATGAACATGCATTAAACTAGTCAGAATTACAAATTGCATTTATTTACACATTATTATCAGTGTTATTACACTTTCGTTTGCCTTTTGATATTTAATGTTAAAGTTGAAGCTTACAAAGAAGGCTTTGCAAAGATAAAATAATGAGTGTAAAAATTGATAAGTCATTTCCTTCACACACAGCCCACACATAAAAATGAATATAAATTTAAATTTTCCTTTCGTGATGCTTAATTGAATTTTTCTTTTTTTTTTCTTTGTGCGCTTTTCCGTAGGGAATCTATCATCGTCTTGGTGATGTTTTTATGAGACTGAAGAAGTGGTCGGAGGCAGAACGCTTTCATCGAGCGGCACTCGAAGCCGAACCTAATCACATTGGTGCTCACATCTCATATGGAACAATGCTCGCTCGTAATGTAAGTGTTGTAAGTTGATGATTTTTATTTTCATTTTCCTTCTTGATATTTTCATAATTTTAGAAAAAAATTTATAGTATTTATAAATTGGAAACAGAAAGTTTCAAAGTTCAAGCTGAATGGAGAAATGATATCGTGATTTCTCATTTTTTCCTTCTTATTTATATTTCTTCCATCATCGATTATTCAAAAAATACAGAGCAGTCGATCATCAGAAGCGGAACAATATTTTAAACGAGCTATTCGCTTAGCTCCACTTGATTCTAGCGTACATCATCATTATGGTAATTTCTCTTCTTTGCATCCTTACAAACACTTAAATATAATGAGAAAAAAGTGAAATTTTCTGATTTGATGGATCATTAACTTTTTTTTCTTATTTCAACGCAGCTGAGTTTCTCGCATCAATCTCAAGACATGAGGAAGCATGTGAAAGTCGAGTGCGGGCTGCTGAATTGTCTCCTAACGACTATCAATTAGTCACTGCTGCAGCGACTGCCCTAAGAATGCTAGATCGAAAAAACGAAGCTGAGAAATGGTATCGTCAGGTGAGTTATTGTTATTTATAATATTCAAGTTTCTTCTCTTTTTATTTTACTATTATTATTTTTTGAACGAAGCTCAAGAATAAATTTCATTACAGGCGGTGAATTTACGACCAAATGACGCCAGAGCTCACACAAATTTGGGTGCGATCTTACATCTTATGGGTCGTACCCAGCAGGCAACTGTAAGCTATAAAACTGCACTTAATCTTCAGCCAGGCGATCCAACAACTTTGGGAAATCTTAAGAAACTTGGTGTCACTGAACACTCATGAAAGCGACATGACACGACTTAACATGAGCTAGAAGATTTACGATTATGGTGTAATCATAATTCATCATTTGATACTTTTTTAACGTCTCGCCCTCTTCCAAATCTCATCATTGGGGAGAGAAATATGAGTCGTGGCAGTTAAAGTGGATCATTTGTAAATATACATGATGATATTAGATCCTGAGCTGTTATGTAATTATGTAAATTGAATCTAAACAGAAAAAAGGACTAGAAGAAGTATTTTTGCATTTAAATTTATTCGATGAGCAAAGAATGAAATGGAGGCATACTCAAAGCTTTCGTCGCTTTTAAAAATGAATTGCAATTTGATGTAAATGTTTGGTCTGTGAACTGCGACAAGATAAAAAGACAACAACTTTTTGCATAATTCGCGAGGAATTTAATGCAAATAAGTTTGTTGAAAACAGAATCACATGCCAAGCTAACAGTGGCTCTGAGATAAAAGCAAATAATGGAAATAAAATGTATCATAACATTTTCAGAAATTAAATTTGTAAATTGCATTAAAAAGAAATTTCCCTTAATGAGAAACTTTGCAAGGATATTGCATAAAAACAAAAATAATTGCATTATATTTGGAATAAAAATATGAGAGAAAGTTATATTTATGAGTGTATTTTTACTTATTTTATTTTACAGCATATTTTCCTTCCAAAGTGTTCAAACGCTTCTTATTACTCGAAATATTTTAAAGGGTTGTAAATCTCCTGATAAGTATTGCGCATAGTCTGGAGTCCAAGGTTCGTCATTAAATTTTTTGAACTTTTAATATCACGATATTAATTTCAAAACAAGCGGCACAACAGGGCAATGTGTCTCACAAATCTGGCAAAGGTCTGCGGTCTGCCATAAGTCTAAAAAAAATTGCCGCTCGGGGTATCGACTTCCATTTTTATATGTATCAGTAAGATATTAAAATACAAAGAAGAAATCTATTTGTTGCTTAGTAAATTCCAGGAAAGTCACATCCAATCTTATTTAAAAAGTAGAATGTATGAGAGAACAATGAATAATAACTGCACATCTGCATATTTATTGCACATATTTACTTCAATTGCATTTTGTGTTCATATCTTGTCACTGTTGACAGCAGACGGAAATTATGACTGAACACATTCTATGTGGCAAAATTGCGTGATTATAAATTTTGAACTTCACGATGAGCCTTCAACCAATAATTCTAACAACAAATTCATGTATGTTGAATGGAAAAGCGCAACAAAAGCACAATTATAATAAATGAATGCAATAAATCTTTGCATAGCCAACAAAGAGGTCCAGCAACGATAGGTAAACTAAAGTAGACAGATGAGTTTCTGTTGTCTCCTCTAACATACATTTAATTCATTGTCGTTCTATTGAAATTCAGGGATTTCTCTCTTTACTCACTTGTGACATCCACTTGAGATATTTTCAATGCATCTCGGGAGATGATTTATATGGGCAATTTGTTTTGGCATCAGCATATAATATTTAAATGTGAAATTCAAATAATTAAAGCAAATATTACGAGAATATTCTTGTCTTTTATTATGCAAGTATCATCATCATCAGAGTAGGGAGTGCACTAACCAGTGCACTAAAGCGATTAAGAATATAGGATTATACACCCCTTCTTGTTTCGCTCCCTATATCTCGTCGTTTGATGATTGATGTTAGATAAGGGAAATTTTTAGAAGCTGCCCTAAATTTTGCGTAATAAGTGAAATGTACTTGTGAAATTTGCTCAAAAGGACCAGTTTGACCGCTAATACAGGAAGATGGGGGTGATTTAGGATTTATTCTACAAACCTTCAGAGATGAAATTCTCTGAGATTATGCAAGTAAATTTAATATGTTTTCTGAATGCCATTGTAGATGATTGTACAATTAATATTGCAAATATGTATGGCATTGTATACGGTAGAATCTAAATCATCAGCACCTACCAACAGGAATATTCAAGTGCTTTTGTTTTCCTACTCATGCAAACAATTGAGTAAGTATTTATGATGAAAGACTTCACAATGCATTAGAAGATTAAAAATCATGATTTAAGCGCACTGAAGTAGAAGTACATTAGAGTGAACCTGCATGCTTTGCACAACTTTACGTTTATTTGTGCCATTTCGCCCATTAAAAAATAGAACCGACGAACGACAACTAAAGTACCTTCTTTTTCTACTTTTCAAACACATTAAAATATTAAAGTTTAAAGTGAAAAAATTTTATGCAATAGTCAATAAAACCGACAAAAAGTCTTTCTTTTCGAAATCGCTTCTACCAAGAAATTTTTGTTTCTTTAGAAGGAGCTGCTTTCATTTTCTACATATTTCGATTTGTAACTTCCTATAATAGATGGTAAACAAATTTTCGTTTCAGAAATTTACCAAGAAAGTTTCAGGTTTGAAATTATTGTTATTGACTTGAAGACTGTGAAGATTATGTTGTGAAATCGTACTTAAGGCATGTGTTACATAAAGCCGATACCTCAAACTACACGAACATAAACCATTTGACGATGTGTTAAAAGTTGTCGGTGTAAAGGGAAACTGAGCAATACGAGAATTGTAAGACAAGCTTCTTTGATAATCTAATAAATTTTATGGAAAAGCCCCGGGAGTTGCTATTTAGCGCCATGCTCGTTTCAAATCCTCAAGAATGAGGCAAATAAAACACACGGCGCAATAAAATTGTGTTTATTTTTATTATTGTCGGTGACACGTTAGAAAAGTTAATGTGAAGTTGAGAAAAACGGAGAAGATGACTTGAAATCTGTTGACACTATAAAAACTTCTAACTCGGCACATAAAACTACAAGTGTAAGATCTAAAATCAACATAAAGGTATAATTCATCACGTTTAACACTAAATAAGATTAAATCAGCAAAACTGTGGGGAAGGTTGGCTGTTCTAAATTGGTACGTTGCTTGAATTATAGCTAAGATTACTCTTCAAATTAATGAAAGCGATAAACGACACCTCAGAACAAATCCTAAATAGTAGGAAGTCTGAATATTTACCTTCCTATAGCAAGTATTAACATACATTTTCAATGTTTTCATTTGAACATAAATAATTTAAGCTTCGTATATAATCAAGAAGACAGCAATCAAGAATGCATGCAATCATTTTATGCATTCTGATTAATTTCATGTATGTTTCTTGATTGCTTTGATGAATAACTCTTCCAAATAAATGTAGAAAACTTTCGATTACACTTTGTTCCTCTAGGTATATCATATATGTATGTACAAAAAATAAGCTTGAAAATTTATGCTCTAATTTATATGCATGGGATTCAAGTTTCATCACCTATTTATCCCTCGTTGATGAGAAACAAGTTGATTTATGAAACATGAAGATGAGAAGCTGGGAGAAAGAACGGCCGGAAGTGATGATGAGATTCTTTGATATCAACACTAATTAAATTTCTCATAAATAAATTTTTGCTCATACTCTGTTAGTATTAACAATATAAATTGCAATCTCAAACTCATTTCTAATTAAAATCTTCATTTATTAATCTGAATTCTAAGATATAAAATTATTTAATGGAAATATGAAGAAAAAATTTCTCTTATCACTCTTGAATGAGCTGTTGGGTGATGATTTAAGTGGATGTTGATATAATATTCTCATTAGCATAAAATTTCTATGAAGACACAATGAACATTATTATTATTCACTTTCTAATGGAAAGTTTTTAATGGAAAAGGAAAAGAAGATGCAGAGGATGTTCATGAGAAAGTCAAGAAAGGAGAAATTCTACATGATTGAATGTAGCAGTGAACAACAAATGTGGCTTAAGCATGCAATTTCATAATCAAAACTTCTTCCATTCACTTAATGTTTCTTCTGTTATGATATAATTAGTCGTATTTCGTGTCTGCTCTCTGGTTCTTGACTTCTTTCAAAGTTAAAAACTTTTCTTCACGCAATAAATTATGATTTTTGGAAATATTTTATTATGGAATTGGAGTTGTTCGTATTACAACTGCATGATTCAAGTCGCATTGAGTGTTAATTTTACATTCTCTAACACGTCATATTTCTATAATTAAATTACTTTGCTAAAAGCGTAGGAGAAATGATAAGAAGAGTTATCTTGGAAAAGGTTTTAAATGTTTTAAATTGATTTTGCTAATTTTATTACAAGATAAAAAAATTATGATTATATTTTTGATACAAGTTAAGTGTTCATAATTTACCTTACAATCAAAGATTTATTGATAAATAATGATGATCTTTTTCCCTTCTTTAAATTATTTACATTAAAAATATTGAAAATCATTCAGAAAATCTCATATTGTGATTATTGAAAATTATCTTGTAAAACATATCAATCGATGCATGAAATAAATTAAATTATAAATCAGATAAATTTATAATTTAATTCATAATTAAATAAATAGGTATTGACAAGTGAACTCAAAATTATTTTGATTCAAATTGCAGTTTTATCTATGCAATAAATTCAAGATTGAAATAAAATAATTACAAAGAAAAGACCGCTCAAAGTTGAAAAAATCCTATCAGTTAACACACTTAAGATTGGAAAATCCCAAACATTATTTTTAACTAAATCTCACAAATCCTTTCCAAGATAAGACTATTTGTATAAAAGAAGCACGACAGTAACAGAAGTTACCAGTTGGCGATTTTAAAATGTTCCGTCAACTATTCGTGCTTGTTGCTATATTCGCAGTTTCATTTGCAACTCCAGTTGCCAATGTTTACGAACGTAAGGAACTTATTGAAGGCAGAATTGTTGGTGGTACAAATGCACCTTTAGGACGATTCCCATATCAAGTTTCTCTACGAACAACCGCAAACTTCCATTTCTGCGGAGGATCCATCATTAACAACCGTTGGGTTCTTTCAGCCGCTCATTGTACTGTTGGACGTGGAGCTACTTCAATCCGTGTTCTTGTAGGCACAGTTACATTGAACTCTGGTGGTGTATCTCACACCAGCTCAAGAATTGTCAATCATCCTAACTATAATGCTAATACCATTGCTAATGATGTGTCAGTAGTTCAAACCGGAACAACAATTGGATTCAATGCTAATGTAGGAGCAGCCGCTCTTGGATCAGCTCATGTTGGTGGTGGTGTAAGTGCAATCGTCACTGGATGGGGTGGAACTACTGTTAGTGGGGGACCATCACCAAACAACCTTCAACAACTTACTACAACAACATTAACAAACGCTGATTGTCGTGCCCGTCACACCGCAAATAACCGAGACTTCGTTTTCGATCACAAGATTTGTACATTCACAAGATCAGGTCAAGGAATTTGTCAAGGAGACTCAGGCGGCCCATTGGCTACAGGCAACACTGTCATTGGTATTGTCTCATGGAACATTCCCTGCGCCCGAGGATTCCCTGATGCTTTCGATCGTGTTTCAAGCCATCGTTCATGGATCCTCGGTGCTATCTCCTAATCAAATTGCATTTCTTAAAATTTTGATTCAAATTTAAACTTTTGTAAATGTTTCGAATAAAATTTCTTGTCTCTTGCCTTTATCAGTTGACGTAAAAGCTAAAATTTGTTTTTTTAATGCCACGTTAGCTTCAATCTTTAGATAAGATTGTTATCTTCATCTCTAAATCTTACTGAGGAAATTTTATCAAGAGATTTTTATATCACAGCTGTGCACAGTAAGAGATAAAATGTCATGACGACAATGTTTATGTCGTTTATCGATAATTTTGCGTAGTTTAAATTTAGAAATTGAATGAATTGATTTTTGACTCTTTCACAAATCGCTTAAAATGGAACAACTTCGAAAATCGAAACGTTTTCTATAATTTAACTTGACATAAAAATTAACTTGCTTAAAACCGTTTTCAAATTACAAAAGGAAATTGGTTTACTTTAATCAAATCTTACGATAAATTAAAATTCTTAAAAGCCTTTCATAAGAATTTAATTCCATATAAAGAAGAATGATTTCCGATTTGAAAGGAATGTTAGAAAATGATGAAAGCTTAAAATTATTATAAAGTTTGTTCTCATTGAAAGAAAAGTTCACATTTAGGTACTCAGTGTTGGCTCAAAAACTTCTCAGGATGTTAATGCTTGTATATTTCATTCTCTTGAAATAAAATGAAGAATAGAACAGAAAGGAAACATTGTAGACAATCTTATGCATTTTCAAAAGTGAGTTGTTTGTTTTATGTAAATCTAATTCATCATTGTTCTTCGACTCTCATATTTCGTTTTATGTAGATACAACTTTGCAAATGTTTTTCCTTAAGCCTCATAATCATGCATGTTATGCACGAGCGTGGTGCAAGAGAAAGAATGAACTCAATGAATGGAAATGGTGAAAAAATTGTAGAGCAATGTTAAAAAGTAATAATTTTTCATTATTCATGAACATATTTTATGAATTTTAATTCACTTCAAATATCAAAAGTTCTTTCTATCAAAAATGTTTTTCATTATTCTCTCAACGATGTCTTTTTTTAATGTGAAGTGGAAAAATAGTTTATCTTTAACCATTATTGTTGATGTTTCTATAACAATAAGAAAAGTTCATCTACTAAAGACGACAAATTATTTGACTACATATTTGATAACAGTTTCTATGTAGCTAATTGGAAATGTCATAAGCATAAAACAATCATTTTTGATTGTGTTTCGAGAAATAAAACAAGATATTTTGTTAATTAAACCGATCAAAGCTTGATGAGCTTTATTTTTGATATTATTTAGTTTGAATTTAGTTACAGTTCCTCTTAATTACTATTGACACTTTAAAATCGGCATCGATACATGTTCTGTCGAAAAGAAGAGGTAAATAATTAAAATTCTGATAAATTGTAAAACAAACAATAACTCACGTTTACTCGTTGTGCATCACCAATACTCATACCTTTACGTTGCCCCATAATGTTTCTAAAACGACGATTTCTCGGCACAATCGTCTCTTTTCCATTCTTTGAAAATGCTTTCATATCGTAATGCATGACACTAAAAAGATCGTAACCTGTATTGAAGTTACTGAACCTCTTGGAATCGACTTTATAGAAATTATCTGCACGGCCATTTTTAATGTTATCCCAGCGGATTTCTACAAACCTGTCACGATCAGAATGGCAATGCATATGATCGTAACCAAGTGCATGAATAAGCTCGTGAATGATTGTACCACGACTAAAACAGCCATTCTTTTTCAAAGACAGTTCTTGTGCACCGCCGATTTTACCCAAATTTGAATAACATCCACCATCATCGTATATAACGATGTAATCTTTATAGGACTTCGATGACTCGATAAAACGAATACACGTGTATCTTTCAATGTCATTCATTGAGTATCGAATGAGCTGTTTTTGATAGTTTGCTTTAAGAAGAAAACAAAAATTAGAATCGGGAAATTATTGAAATGTGGATCTTACTGTATTGTGACTTTGGAGATATAACGTAAGGTACAACAACGAATCCATTTCTATCTTTTGGCCATCGGAAGTATTCATTTGTTAAACCAGTTCGAGTCGGTAATGAACCATCACTTTCATTAGCGAGTAAAAACTCTTTTTGTTCTGGTAACAACTTTATATCACCTTGGAAATGTTCTCCTTCTTCTGATTCCTTCTGAACAATTTCACCTTCGGTATTTAATGCTCTAAGATCGTCGACCGATTGCAGAAGCTGATTTGAGCTTTCTAAATTTAATAAACTCAAATCGTCGTCATCATCACGAAAAACAATTTTGTCATCAAAAGGCTTCGCTTTGACTTGTAATGTCAGACTTAAAATTAAATTTAAAACAAAGAAAAATGATTTCAACTTTGAAAACATTGCACGTTTTTTCAAAATCGTCCAACTCTTAAAGAAGCACAAAAACTATTGAGCTTGAAAACATCAGCTTTGTCTTGGTTTGTTAGACTCGTCTTTATTTTTATATTTTTCTAGATGAATGAAGAAAACTGGTTTGAATGGAATTTACCTCAGGCAAATGTCTACTGCAATAAATTATTCCATCGCCATTATAAAATGTATCAAGAAAATAGATTTATTTAGAAGATTCTACGGAATTAAAGCGCGTGTTTACAAAAAACAATCATCTAAATTCAAGTTTCTGTTCTCGCAGATAGTTTATTTATCTGATCGAAATGTTTCACTTTGAACATTGATACATATTATTGATTCTTGTAACATCACCTTTACTTAAACCTGTACGTTGTCCAATGAAGTCCCTAAAGCGTGAATCTTTAGGAACGATTGTTGCCTTTCCATTCTTTGAGAATGCTTTTTTGTCGTAATGCATAACGCTGTACAAATCATAACTGGTATTAAAGTTACTGAAGAGTTCGGGATCAACTTTATCAAAGTTAGAAATATCATTCTTTTTAATGTTGTCATATATAATCTCAACGTAATCGTCACGATCAACATGACTGTGCATATGATCGTATCCCAAAGTGTGAATTAATTCATGAATGATTGTTCCTCGATGAATGCATCCATTTTTCTGAAGTCCCACTTCTTGTTGTTTACCAATTCGTCCCATATGAGACCAACAACCATCATATCCATCGTAGATCATAATGAAGTCTTCATCACTATTCCACTCACGGAAACGAACACAAGTATACTTTTCAAGATCGTTCATAGCATAACGAATAATTTTCTTATCATTCTCAGCTTAAATTAAAAGTTTCACTAAATTCTTTTATAAAACAAATGAAATTTTTAAATCTTACAATAACTTGATCCACCATCTATGTAATAAGGGACGATAACGTGACCTTTTTTATCTTTGGGCCAGCGATAGTACTCATTTAACAAACCAGTTCTTGATATAAAATTACCAGGGCTTGGTGAAAGAAATTCTTTTTGTTCATTCAAAAGCTTAATGTCACCTTGGAAAAGTCCTCCATTTTCTAATTCTTTCTTCACATTTTTTGATGTTATTTCTAAAGAATTGACACCGTCAGCTGGGGGTAGAATTTGCTCACGTATTTCTGCATCTAAACTATTGTCATCTCTTTTCGCTTTTCTTGCTGGCTTAGCGATGATTTGTGCAAAAATTGCAAGTAAAATCACTAGAGAAATTATTTTAAAATTTGATTTCATTTCTTGAAAATCAAAGCTTCAAATATTTAAACAACCACCTCTTTAAAGATGCGCAAAACTATTAAGAGTTTTATAAAAACTTCGTATTTATGAAGATGATTTTATTTCGTTTTCTTACGTTAAAAACTGGTTTTATTAGACTTATTTGTTTTGATTTTTGTTCTTATTATTTCATTGCAAAACTGTTCTAAGATATTGATTCGTTTATTTATCAATTTATTTTTAACGACCAACTCTGACAATCTTTTATCATTGAAAAGTTTTCTCATTAAGTTATAAAGTGATGAATTGTTTATATTCCCAGACTGCTTGATTGAGCATTTAAATTAAACCAATAAATCTTTATCATTCATTCATCTCGCCGCTTAAATATTTTAGCTCAACATTCTTCCAAAGACAGCTTTTGTATTTGGCTTTTCCTTTTGTTTGACATTTTCTTGTGATATATTTGAGTTTGATTTAAGACTTTATTTCTTTATACTTCAAGTTTTCTCATCTTCCAATGAACGTTGAAAGAATCTAGAACAGATTCTGTCATATTAATGAAAGAATTCGATAGAAAACAAAGAAAAAATAATAAAAATAAAAGAAATGAAATCTTTGATGACAACAATATTATTTGACCATAAATTATTTATTCGATACAAATATCTCGTCCTTAAACTTTTGCACGCCTTTCCATCAAATCCGGGGCCAGTCGGATGACTATGAAAAAGAACTAAAACAAAATAAAAACACATCGTGATTCACTCGTTCTGGTTTCCTTTTCTTTTTTGTTGTTTATTTTATTATTTCCTTTTGTCAGATGACTCCATAAATTTTCAAATGGAAACATCTTAATATTATCGGGTTATTCAGTTATGTCAATAAATTACTACTTCTCCTTCTCCCCATCCCTCATCTTACTTTTGTTCTACAAACGCTTTTATTTATGTTTCGCTTTCAGAGAATTGTTTCATAGTTTTATTGATGGAGAATAAGGAAGGAAGATGTGAAACATTGGAAAATGAATAATTAATAGAGTGTGTAGAGAAAATTGTGGAAAGATATTTATATCGTATTTCGTGTGATTATTTTTCTTTCATTGAGAGTAGGAAGAGAAGGGAAAAATAAAAAATTCCGATTTCATTTTGTCTACAAATTAAAGTCTTTAGTAAAGACCAACCGACTAACAATTCATTATTCAAGTTTTAATTAAAATTTCTTTTACTTTCTTCCAGAAACTTCTTGAAAAAAAAACTATTTGAAGCATTGTACAAAATATGCTCTCAGTTGATAAACGTAATGAATGTTTTTGAGTCCAAAGTTCCTTTAAAAAAATCTTTTCAACAAACAAAGGAGATAATATTTTCCCTTTTTTGCATTTCACCCAAAAGGCTTGAAAATTTTAATTAGGAAAATGCTTGATTACTGAGTTAAACAGACGAACTTTTTCTTCTTCTCGTGATATCTTTTGAACCATCTTCAAAAGACTTTTTTTCTCTTAAACTAACGTGATCATCACTCAAATGAAAAATAAAAATAAAAGCAAACCCTTGGTTTGGAAAGGCACGTAAAGATTTAATTTTCCCGACGAAATGGAATTGTATGTTTGTATGGTTCATCATGATGAAACGTGGGTAATCATGAAATATTTATCCTGATTTCTATTCTTTCTTATTTCTAACAAATATTTGACTTGATAAAACGAGTAAATATCATTAGAAGAAGACTTCTCAAACATTTCTCAAAATAATAAAACTTTGATTCGTGTTAACTTTTATTTCATACCTTTTATACATACATATATCTATCTTAATAACAAAATAAGCTCAAAGTATTTAAACACAGTTTTTTTTATATATTTTGCAAAGTATAAAATGTCGGAAACGTTAAACATGAAACTTTTCTACCATAAAAACAAATTTCCCTCTCTAGATGTGCATGCAAAAAGTTTTTTGCTGCCGGCTGTCGATGCTTTATTAGAAAAGTTTTCATTTTCAAATATTTATTTTACGTCACTTAAATCTCTATAAGTATTTATCTACTTCTTCTTTCTTCATATGTCACTTTAAAAAGCGTAATAAATGTTTAAGCAACGCAGCTCATGTTCATTTGCTCGCATGATATTTTTTCTTGGAATCAAAGAAAGAAAAAACTTTGATTACTTTAACTTAATATTATTATGTTGTTTGAGCCTTTTAGTTCGAAAGAATGAAAAGGAAAACCCTTAGCTCATTCTCCGTATTCCTCCCTGTTCATTTGGCAAATGACTTATGAAATGTTATGAGTTAACGTTTTCAGCTTAATCGCTGCCATTAATCATGACCGTTAAATTCACGTACATTGTTTTACTTTTAGCGTGTAGGTTGAGTTGAATGACAGAACAAGGAGAAAATCAACTCGACAAGCGATGTCTACATTGGAACAAGCGGTCGAGGGTTCTGAACGTAAATACAACAGAAAGGGCTTACTTAATGAAGTGCCATTAAACTTCATGTGCAACATTATTTTATGTTTTGTGGCTTCGCCGAAATACGATACTTCAACGAATATATTATAGACCGCACCTGGAAGTTATGGCTTCAACAAGTCTACGTTGTTAAAAAAACATTCGAGTTACCGGGAAATTTATTTCGAACCATTTTGAAACAGTTTTTTTATGTTGCTTTACTTCAACTTTATTAACATTCAATTTTTTTCATTTATTTAATGCTATTTAAATATTTGTCACTTTTTTTTTCTTTATTAAGCTATATTAGATAAGAATCATTGTAAGTCAATTCTTCTTTGTTTTCTTTTGAAAAATCATCTTCATAAGTCTAATGGTAATGTGTTCACCTTACCAAATTATTTACATTAAAAATAAAGCTTTTAAGACATTAATAGAAGAGTATAAACAAATAGAAATGTGAGCGGGTCGAGATAAGAAGCAAAAGTAAATTGAAAGAATTGAATATTTCAAATTCAGAAGAGTCTTGAAACCTTCCAACGTTGCTTGACAGCTTTGGATGGTAAATGGTAATGTGTATCTCATCAAAAATTCAGAACTGCGATGTATTTGAATGATGTTTACATCTTAATTTTATTCTTTCGCTGTTGCTTCTTCTTTTCTTTTTATTAAACTTGATACCCTCTCAATGAAAATAGGAAGATGAAAATGAAGGAGAAATGAAAACAAAATACAAATAGAATTAAATGTGGTGCTGTTGTTAAGAGTGTTCTCGTCTTTCGGATGAGATAAGAGTCATAGAAAGAATCATTCATGAAATTTATACATTTTTAAAAGGATTACAACATACAGAATAAATAATTTTTTACTCTCGAATAAATTGAATTGAATTTCATAATTGAATAACAATAAATGTCGAATGCAAATTTTTATCACCCACGCTCTTGTTAAATCGATAAGGTTCTATGAAAGATTTGAATTTAATATCTCCATTTAAAGGCGAAGCTTATAGCTATGAATTCACTCAGCCAGCCAACAGCTTTTATTATAATGAAAAGGAAGACAGAGTGAGTGAGAAAGTGAGAGAGGGAAAAACTTGTAAACGCAAGTTCTGCATAGACATAATCAACAGTTGTGCGATTTTCCATTTATGTGTTTTTGAATGAGTTCTCAGACCGTTTGTCAGGATTACTTAATCCCCAATTATGATACAAATTCACGAACATGGAAAATCAGAGAGTAAATGAGAAATTGAAAGCAGCTTAATGTCACTGAATCATCATCTAACACGATTTCCTTTCAACGAATGGTCAATGTAATTCTGATTATGTTAATATCCATTTCTCATTTTTGTTTTTGTCGTCGCTTTTATGTCGCATTCAAATCGGGAAATTATTCAATGATTTCTGTTCGACTGGCGAATGCTTTCATCGTGTCCGGAAAATGAATAGCTTCAACATGCTAAAAAGCTTTCTTCACAATGAATTCTTCTTTTGTTTATTTACAAGAAGATATGAAACATTTTCAAGATGTTTTCTTATGTTTTGAAATTCAAGCTTGTCTTTCAACAAGAATGAGCCTCCATCGTTTCCCAAATATTTTCCTAGCCAAAGCCCAAAACATGGAAAATGATGTATCATTTCCTCAACAAGCTTTTCACATTAATAATATCTTCTCTTCTCATTTTTTTCCACTCTGAATAAGACGGATTGAATTTCCAATTTGCAAATTTTCGATTGAAAAGAACGTAATCTCTCCTTCTCAACTGCTTGATGCTAATGTTGCTTCATTTTTTCTTTCACCAAATTCATCATCATATCCCTCACCATTAATATTTCCTTTTTTTCTTCATAATGTCGTTTTTCAATAAACTTTCTCAAACTCTCGCTTAGCAACGAAGTTTAGATCTTGAGTCTTATTTCCTTTTTTTTCTTTTTATTATTTGTGGCGATAACATGAAGGGAGAAATGACTTATTATCATATACACAAAACATCGATTCAACGAGAAAACTTGCATGAATATAAAATTGAATTCTTCTTGAATAAATAAGATGTGGAAAATATTTATTCATAAATAATTTTTCGAATTTTCCATTCATTTCTTCAGCTCATCACCTCCATTCATATTCAGCCCCTTGACTCGCATATTTTCCGCTGTATTCATTTCGATATTAACAATATAATGGATACGTGTGTGCATGAATTTTTATCAGCACGACATACGTTTATATATTCGTTCGTTCAAGAAGGCTTTCATTATGGCGCCTTCATGCTGGCTTTACCTTCAAAAACTTCTTACATGTTTACGTAAATGGAAAAAGAAAAAATGAGAGAAAGAGAGAAAGTAGAAAATTATACTACAATTCTTTAAGGTAAAATCTTATTTTCCTCAACTTTTCCCTTACCCGACGCCTAAAAATAAACAAACAATAGCATGAAATCTAACATGTAAATGAGTTGACGGAAAGGAAAGAATTTAAGGCGAAGAATTGCAAATGTATGTACGCCTCTATTGATGGCATGTTCATGTCAGTATAATAAAAAATTTAAAAGGTGCCGTTCAAACGATATTCGTAAAGGCATACCTAGGTAGCATATATTTATTACTTTATAACTAAATACGCGCTAAGTTGCTAAGAGAAGGAAGACAATATGATATCATACTCAATATAACTGACGGCATATTTATAGTCAATATTGATTTAACAGACACTTTCAACTCTGACTGTTGCTAGACATTCAATTTATTTTTTTTTCTCTCTATTTTTCTCTGTTTACCGTCGGAATGTCTTTTCTTTATATTCTTCAATTGGATTACATTTCCAGGAGACGATTTGGAAAATTACTGCTACATAAAACGGAAGCAACCTTCTCCGGATGAAACTGAAGCGACAAATTAAATTAATATTCTCTCTTTTTCACTCTCTCCATGTCATTTATGATTCCTGCTGATCAAATTTGTCTTTTTTGTTCTTTTACTTGCTACGACACCGGCAAACAACATGAATTGATCTCAGGTTTCGTTGAGCATGTTTTTTATTTTTATTTATCCGATGTTTTTATATTTAATAGATGAATATCAACGATGAAAAGAATAAAAACAACGCTTCGGATCAAAGAGAACAGGGTATCGAATGAATTATGCAATCAATATTAAACATAGGAAAAGACGAAGATCAAAGGAAATCTGTTGAATAATTACTCTTAACATTGATGATGAATATAGAAACAGAAGATGAAATAATTTCTATTGTTTCAATCAGAAGAACATCAAATTGAAAAAAAAACTTGCGAACTAATGATGACGATAATTTTATTGTTAAAGTTTAAAAGAATCAAAAGCTTCATTGATAAAGTTTTGTTATAAACAAAATTGAAAATTTAATTTGATTCAGTCATGAAATGTTTCATCGTCTCAAACCCCTTTTTTAAATCCGAATTAACTTCTCTAACTTGACTTGTTGTCTCATTCCAATCTTAGACTTGAATAAAATAAAAAGTTTAAAAGGAAAATTTACATATTTGTGCATACTTTCCAGAGTGAAAAATTATGGATAGACTTTGGTCGTTCGTTATGCAATGCACGTTTTATATGAAAAATAAGAGAATTTGTTTACCTTGATAATCTTAGAGAGACATCGCAAGGCGAACATAACAATCTTGACATTTATAATTCAAACTTTCTTTCTACGTGAATTTTCTCTATTTTCTTAATGCACATGCTTGGGTGGTGGGAAAAGTTATTGCTTTTGAACATACGTGAAATATAACAATAAAAGTTTTTTTTTTCTTTCCTCCCTGCATGTGCAATGTATGACTTAAAATATAATTCAGTTCAGTCGTTCGCTTAATTACATTGCACGATGTTCACAAATTTCTGTTTCGTATTACTCTACAATTAGTTGAAAGGCTTCGAGTCATTTCCATTTCGACTTTTATTTTCACTTTACTGCTTTATTTATGATTTAATATATTTAAATATATGGAAAGCATATATTCCGAAGAAAGGCTCGAAAAGCGTTTATGTTACCATTAATTATCTACAGAGTCGACAGTTTGGTCAACGACACTGTTGTCGCCTAAAGCCACTATTATCACACTGCACGTGTATGACTGTTCAATTCCATCCTGACTTCCATGATTTCTACACATTTTGACCTAATGTTGTCGAAATGAAAAATAAACAGTGTACTTAATTGTGAGTATAGAATATTCTCACGCAACTGCATAAATTAATAAATTAACTGCCATCACAAATTTTCTTAAACACACAAATTAGTTTTAATATGCTCTTCTACCTGTTGAACTAAACATGCTGAACTTACCTCAATATTTATTTATTCGTTTGAGCTTAAAGGCAAAAAGAAAGAATGAAGGAAATAAGGAAGGAAAGTCTTTCATCCATGGGCTTAATCTTGAAGAAATGCTTTAGATCTTCACTTTTTTTATATCAGTTTAATGAAAAAGAAGCCGCTGCTGTGAGGCAGACATAAAATAAATTCCATAAAAGCCAAATGAACAACAACATCAGAGAATGCCTTCACCATCGTAACAAACAAATATGAACACAATGGCCAAAGGTTATACGTTGCGCCAATTTTATTCTTTCTTTTTCCTATTCTGAGTCTCTCTTGAGCATTCGCACGGCAGCCTCGCTTTACCTTTAATGTAATGAAAACTCATAAAAAGTGATTTCGTTACCTGAAACATAAAAATTCAGGACAAAAACCACAAAGCAGCACCCGAAAAAAAAGAGAAACAGAGAAGTAAAGCCAAAGATGGGCCAATGCTCATAAATGACGTTTACGTTTTGTTATGTTGAATTTGAAGTCACATCAGAATGCCAAACGATGAGAAAGGTTCCTTTCAACAACAACGTTTCTCTGCCAGACCAGAAAATGATGATTGTGATAACATGCCTGGTTTTTACAGCAATGCAATTGTGGAAAAAAGTAATTTCTGCAAATTACCCTCGAAAAACATTCGTGAGTTGATGACTGTTGGGAACGACATGTGATTATTGCATAGGACATCAGAGCTCAAAAGGGCGTTGTACAACTACATGCAATCCACAATTAGATTAATTTCTTTTTACGACACCGTCACCGTAAAAAAGTGCTCAATTTGATGAGGAAGCAAAAGTGCATCCATTAAGTGTTGACCTCAATAAAATGGTTAATTGTTGAGAACAACAAGAAAGCGATAAAAATTACAAGTTTAAAGTTGAATCTAAATTAGTGAAATTAACAAATACAAACATGTACTCGAGTAATGGATCTCTGAAAAGGTTTTCAGAGCCAAAAGGTTTTCTTAATCTACTTAAGTTCGTATACGAAAAACAAAGCTTCTTTCCAGACCGAAGTTATGTTGGTAAAAGCATCTTAAAAAGTGGACTTCGGTGAAATATTTTCATTTCGGCTTTAATGTTTAGTGAAAAACTTTTTTTCCCTTCATCTGAACACACTAACAAGTACTCTCTTGGAACTCATGCTGTCAATTACTTATTTTCTATGACAGCTGCTTTTTATTTCGCAATAAAGTTTGAAAACCACGTACGATAATCATATTTTCTCGCAATATTCCTTCTTCTCTGTTTTTCCCGTTTCACTTCAATTCCATTGAAGACATATTGTGTGTATTATTTTTCTGCCATTTATTTGGACGATGACGGAGGATAGCAGGGAGTAAGAAAGAGAGAGAAAGAGGGAGAAAGTTTTGAATTTCATAGTAATGTGAAAGATAGAACGAAATAAAAATAAATGCGATAAAAAAACTTTGTTACGATTGGGAAAATTAAATAAAGCATCTGAAAGTTGAAAACGATGGACCCGGGAAGTTTTTCTATAATATTTTCTATTCTCAAAAGATTTCAACCTTTCAAAGTTGTGCAAATTGAAACGTCTAATTCCCTAAATTCAATATTTTTTATTCACTTTCTCTGCGTGTGTTTGTTAAAGTCTTCTTCTTTGTTATTTTTATTTTATATGAGAAGAAAATTCTGACATAACGAAAATCAGTTTAATAAAAAATAATGAAATGTTCAAAAGTCAAGTCCATGAATTTCACTTCATGTATTAGTCTATAAAATGAAACGCAGCAAGACTCAAAAGTCAACTTTTTTTATGAAAATTAATGACATTTAGAAGCAAGAAAATGTAGGCGCAACCGAAAAGCCTTAGCCATTCATTTTTATTATTATTGCGTTGGCTCGTTCCTTCCATCTATTCACTTTCATGATGTCCCAGCGAATATTTATCAGCACACACCATCACATGCCGCTAAAAAAAGGTTTCTATTTTTTCAATTTTGTCGTCATTTTGTGACAAATAAAATTTATGTGAAATATTACGAATAGCTCTACGTACATATGCTCGAGTTTTTCATTTTCTCCTTTCTCTACATCTCATACATGTTCTCGTGGGATGCTACATATTTCATGATGTTTCATTGAGTCATCCTGTAATGCCACATATATACAAACTTCTAAGCCCTACCGAAAGAAAAATTGTGGCATATTTTGCAACAAAATTGAGCCAAATGGAACACAGAAAAAATGTAGAATGATGTAAACCGAAATACAATGCCGTTTCAGGCATGTCAGTTCACAGAAAACATAAAGCGAGAGACTTTTCTTTTGACTTTCTCTCATACATAATATATACATATATACAAACATATACTTAAGATGAAAAATTGATCACAATTTCTTCCTGTAGAAGATCATAGAAACTTTCTGGCTCATTGATATAAATGTAGCTTTTCTTGGGGTACGTTTTGGATGCTTCCTTCTACATGATGAGTAATAGAAATGTCATATTTTAGGAACATTCACAAATGATTCTCATTTCCTTGGAAGAAATGTTTAAAATTGAGAAATTTTTGCTACAAATTTGAATGTTAATCATTCGTGTAACAATTTTTTTGATTATTTACAAAAAAATTAATATTCGTCTCAGTATTTTTAATCATTGCTTTGCAGAACTTCCACTGTATTCTTAATTTGAGATTATGAAAAAAGGTCTTGACGATAATTCGCCTTCTGTGAAAAAATTTCCCATGAATTATTCATGATGCTTAAGCTTTTGCAATCCTTTGACAATTTTTCCTACGGAGATTGTTTATCAAGGACGCAAATCATGAAAGAAGATTAATTGAGAATATTTTAATCTTTTAACAAGATAGTACGGAAGTCTTTATAATTCTGCAGATTTCATCCTCGTGGAGATTTTGATACGGAATCCTTGTTGTTTTAGGATGAGGTATGATGCTGATGAAAACTCTATCAAATATTATTTTATGATCTTAAAAGCTTTAACAACAATACCGTTGTAGATTAACTTTCGGTACAATGCATTTAAAAATATAGAAAACTCAACTGGTAAATAGACGCATCTAAATATTTATTTATGTGACCAAATCAAACTTTTTCCTTTTTGTAAAAATCACATACAAGAAAAAAAAGTTTGGCATAGAAAATCTGTTCACATCACAACCTGCCCGCAGCATCGATGAAAACAGAATCACAAGTAAGAAAAGAAATTCAATTAAACTACAATTTTCATCACTCAAGAAAAGGAAGAAAATTGAGAAGATCAGAAAACTTTCGAAAAAAATTGATTTCCCAAAGTTGTTTACTTTTTCTTTTTCCTATGAAGAAGATGCTAAGTACTAAAAACGTGAGAAAAATGGCAAAACAATGAATTATAAACTTTCAATCCATCGACTTGTTCTTCAACTTCGACTGGATTTCTTTTTCCCTGCAGCATAAACCAATAAGAATATATTTTTCTCAACTTTTTCATATGAGTTTTTCCTAACAGATTTGTTAGATGGATAAAAAGACGAAGAAAAGGAAGAAAAAATGAACTTTTGAATAATCTAATTTGAAACAAGATAAATATTTTCCTTTTTTTGCACATATATTCAAAATAATTTCATTTTCATCAGAAATTCTATCGAAAAATAAACAAATTTTAACATATTTACAAATGATATTCGATTGCTGATATCCTACAACGTTGTTAATCTTTAGTAAACAAACTTACAAACCAATAGAAAAGAGCATTGTTTGGTCTTTTTATATTTTCTGCACAATACAGCATAAAATAATTAAAAAGAGAAATAAAATAATAAACTTCTCATCACGAAATACAAGCTCGAGTAATCACTTTAATGGCTAAGAAAATAGAAAAGAATGAAAAAGGGCAAATGAGAAAGAATAAAAAAAGAACTTTTCATTCTCTTTTAGCAACACTAAATATGTGCGCTCAGTGATGTCTTTCGATCTCAAAATGAAGAAGAAAATTCGACGGAGGAAGCTTATGGCACTCGTAGGGGAAACTATCTATGTAAGACGGTAAAGCGGGCTATGTTACTTGATGCGTTATTCTGATCACGTACATGGCAAAACAAATTTCTAGTATTAATAGATGAGAGATGAAACCAGCAGTAGTTTTCTTTATTTTATTTTTTCGTTTTCTTAATACTTTTCCCCTCTTCTTTTTTTGTTCTTAAGGATCTTTCTTTCTTCTTCTTTTTATTTGGAATCGTGGTGGACGTGAGCTTACCTGATGTGATGCTTGAAAAGCAAGTTGCCATATGGATAAACATCTTTCTGTCTTTTATGCAATAAATATGTTGACAACTATCGAAATTAAATAAACATTTTACTTATTTATTTATGTCCCAAATGTCAGATAAGTGCAGAGTGTACACACTTAATTTAAATAATGAATGAGTCATCAAATGACAAACAATCTATATTGAAAGCTTATTCCATGCCTTGACATTACTTAAGACACAAAATAATTCCTTTTTTTTCCTTTTCATTCCATTCCACGTCTTGCCACACATGACCGACATCCTTACAAATTTCTGCAGATCTTCAGTCAACATTTTTGAGCTTATTGAATTATTTTCCTTTTTTTCGTTCTGTATTTTCTTGTTCATTGGATTACATGATGAATGTGAATGTCTGTAAATGATAGAGAAACGTAGAACTTTTGTTTAACTTTGCAAACTCATTAAGATGGATTATGGAGAGAGAGAAAGGAATGGATCGATCGAGTTGTAAGATATAAAGACAGAGAAGGATTAAGTTGACTGCTTTTGCTTCCCTGCTGACAAAAGAAAGATTACATTTAATGGATGTGCATTAGCCGTTAATGTTAACGTAATCTTGGTATAGAGAAAGTGAAAGTTCAAATGTTGTTATGACAAACATTCACATTGTCAAACTTAAACACTTATAATCGATGAGAAATAAAACTTTAATATATTTTCGATTCATGAAGGGTTTTGCACATTCATTTCGAACTAATCAAATGATTTTAATTAAACGTCTATTTCTGCCATTTATCTACACAAGTTGAAGCCATTTTTCCTGCTTGTTTAGAAAGCATTTTCGTGTTTCTGACAGAACCAATTATGAAGCAGTAGTCGGCTCATATTATTTTTCGGCAGAGTCATAGTTTTGTTTGTTAATATTCATCACCAGAATGGTTAAGCCTACGATTGCAACTAATGACTCTAAGCGATTTAACTAATCACGAATGAGGTAATATTTATAAATAATTGACTTACATAATCATTTTGCTTTTACGAATATATTATAATGATGAGAAGTTCAAACTCGTTAAAGTTTATTTAATTTTTTTCTGATATTCGTGCATGATGTCTGGATCAAGTTTGACCTTTTCAGAAGTAAAAATTATGTAATTTCGTATAATTTGCGTGCAACAAATGATTTTTCACTTCGATGGCTTTTGGAATTATTTTGTAAGATTAACATTTTAACAATAAATTGTCGTTTATAAACTAAGCAAGTGTGTAAATTAATAATGTTAAGTGTATTGTTAAATGGATTAATTAAAAATGCGCTGTTTGCCATACGCTTGAGTCGATTTCGTAGAAATAGCGTGACACCTTTTGCTGTCGTTTTTGTTTCAACCTCAAATCTCACCCTCTCTTTGTTCTGTTCTGTTAAATTGAGTGTAAATTTAATTTCAACGAAGCAAACAATCTATCCGACATGACACCTAAATTGCGCTTTTCTCTTATCACAATCAATGTTTGGATTGCAGTTTATCCAATTATTCAGCTAAATATGAACAATTATCGTGTTATTTCATCATATTAAATATTAAATATATTTGCAATTCCCTTTAACATATAATTTTCGCCTTTTTTTCTACACAAACTTCAATTAGAAAACTTTCAAATGAATTTTTTCTTGCTCATAGATTTTTAAGCAAATATCAAAAATAAATTTGAGTTCTACTGTAAAACTGATGCAATTTGCATTGTTAAAAGCTTCTTTCTTGGTGCATAGTTTCAAAGAATTAATAGAGCTTAAACTTTTCTGATGAAAAGTTATTAAAATTTCACTTTGAACTTTGAAAAAGCTTTCACAGCATTTTGCGGGATGATACTTTCGTCAGTAAAGTCAAATTTCGAATGAAAATCTTTTTTGAATTCAAAAATCTAAAGTTTTAGTTTATAATTTATGGTTTAATGAAAATATGCATGATACAATGCTTGCAAGTTGGTACTTAGTAAGTAGTAGATAGAAAATGAATCTTAAAACAAGATGAAAAACTTTTTAATCAAACTTCTCAAAGATGTGCTAAACGTCTCAAAGTTTCCAAGTTTTGAGAATAGGAAAAGAAATATCAAGATAGAAGAAATAAGAGCACAACTACATACTTAGGTAGAACGTCAACGATAAGAATTTCTACTCCTGAAATTGAATTACACAATGGAACGCTAGAGAAAAGCTGCTAGAGACGAAAAAATGAATTTCCTCATAGTAAAGCTCAACAATCAGTTAAAGATTTCAAAGAATTTCTCACGACAGTTTCCGCCAGCTATGAAATTGGAAAAATATTTTGCATTGAAGTAAGAAAGTAAAGGCGTTTATTTACAAATCATGAAACTATCGCTATCATTCGAATGATTTTACGGAATTGAAGTTGAACTGAAATCGCCATGTAAATCCAGCAATAAAAATAAAATTGAAAAGTTTATTTTGCCGATTTTGGTTGAGAAAACTTTTTTGCCTCTCATAAAACTTCGACATTTATAAATTTTATATCTTTTTGAAATTTTATTTTCCTTCTTCATATGCTTTCTGCTCGCTTTGGTGTAGAATTGTAAAGTTCATCCCCACAACTCGACACACAATATTTATTTTCCTGACATTTTCCTTCACATCTCAAATAAAAGTTGATGTTGATCTTTTTCTCATCATCCAATTTCATCTCGAAGGCATTTCCAAAAATGTTGGCATGTGACTTGTGGCACATACCAAAATCTCAGGGAGTAAGAAGAAAATTGACATAAGCAAGAAAAAACGATAACTTTCGATTTCTTTTAGGACTCTATTTCGATTTCATCTTAAATACGTTGTTAAGTGGTTTTGTCGTAAAGAAATTAGAAAAGGAGTTTACGAAAATAAACATAAAAGATCCATATTATTTTCGTGTTTTGGGTTCATAAAATAACATCGAATGAAACTTTTTCAACCCTTTTTTCGCTTCTATTTTTCCTTCCCTTCACATTTCTAGCTTTAGATTTGAAATCTAAGATTCAATTATGCTATTAGAAAGCCTTAAAATATTTACTTTGGAACAAAAAGATTTGAAGTTCTCAGTCTCTTTATTTTTCTTTCTTGTTTAAAAGACCATAAAATTGAATTTAGTTCTTCTCCATAGATATCTATCTAGATAGTTAAGAGTGGAAAAGTTTTGCTTACTCTTTCAAAACGTAGAAATACCACAAAGATTGAACAAATTATTCTCTCAAAAATGAATTTGGTTTGTGGTTACTTTAAATAGATGAGAAGATGAAAAAGTTATTCACTGTTGCATTTTTCATCATAAAAAGATAAATTTACTATGTACCTAAATAAACAGTGCTCATTAACTCTAGTCACAATATTTCAGTTCAAATGATTTTCCAAGCAGGAAAATGTCCACAAAAGGAAAATCACCACACGAACTTGGAACGAATAATTTAAGCTTGCGCGTTGAAAGATTTTCCAGTCGATGACACTTTCGGTTTAGCTTTCGCTATCAATTTGTTATTTTGAAAGTCGTTTCATATCTCCGTTGTATTATCATGTTCATTTTCATTTCCGACCGAAAACATTTTGCTTCTTTTCATTTTTCATCTTTTTTTTCACTTTTTCTTCGGGTTTTCCCTTCTTATTCCAAATAAAAAAGATGTTTAACCATTTATTTAATTGAGAGAAGAGAAGCGGAAGTATCATGTGGCTAGTTTAGGACAATTCGCATCTAGTTGCATGATATGAATTTAATTCGTTATAAGTAAAGAAATTTCTAAAATTAAGCAACAGATGCCTGTACAGTTCCCATTTTAAATCAGACACTTCTGGTGCGGAAAAAGAAAAAAGTTCTCTGATGATTTATTTTCACAACTTCACTTCCCTTTCCCCTTTACCATCTTTCCTTCTGTCAGAGCTCAGGTGCTGAGATTTATTTTGGGGAGAAGTTATTATGTGTGTAAATGATAAAGCAATAAAAAAAGAACTGGGCAATATGAACAGCTTTAGATTATGTCTCCATTGATATTATGAAATCACTCATCGCATCACATAAAAAGAAATTCTCGACCCTTTCGCTTATGTTGCTCGCATATTTAACTTCTATCACGTTGAAGAAAATGATAACAGCATATATTTTGTTTGCATCTCATTACAAACAATTCGTTTGAGAATTGTTTTGTAATGTGAAAATAACTGAATTCACATTTAGATGTAAGCCGTGATATTAACCATGTCGTGATTCATTCATGTCTTTAACTCATATGCAAATACATGAAAATTTAGCCTAAATATTTCTTCGGCAATAGGGACGCAATATTGATTTCAAATTAATGTCAAGAAGCAAGCAATCAACCAGTTGGTCTCAACGACACCATGCATACAATGTAAATGGATTTTTGCTATTCGCAGTTCTCGTAAAGTGGATGTTTTAATGACTTTAGTAGAGAACAGTTCAAAGCTTCCATGACATTCACACAGGTGAGAATACATTTAACTGCTGTTGTTTTGTCCAAGCGTTATTGAAGCAAATGTCGACACGAGACATGCATGTATGATATCTTAAAACACTGTTTTTAATCATGTGATAGGAATTAAATTGACTGGTAATAGATATGGAAATGTTTATTACGCTTATAAGCATGCAATGGCGTGGAAGTTTTCTAAAATGAACATAAAAATGTAGCAGTTTATGGAGCGGAACGTTGCATGATGATAGCTGATGAGGTGTCATCGTATTCATTCTATAGAAGCAACATATTGAGTTCTGTTAATAGCGTAAGGAACGTGTAAAAAAAGGAAATTTTCAGTGATGAACGGAAATTATATTTGAAGCTTCCCACTTTCTTTCACCCACTGAGTGATTGTAAAACCGCTTGTTCTACTGAAAGCGAGAAAAATAATAACATATTAAGCTTTATCTCTACCTTCATCAACTTCCGTCATTATTAGCGCTACACTACACCACATTGTATGAATGGTAAAGCTACTCTTCAAAATATTACACCACCACCACCCTAAACTCTCTCAAGTTTCGCTTTATTTTATTTTTTTTATTTGATATCACACAAAGTGCTGATCAAAATCTTCTTTCGAAAACCAAAGCTGCCACAAGTGCGCTCGTGGATATTCTTTTCGCGTTATGAACATAAAATCGTTTTTTATTCTTTCATTTTGTTTAAATAATAAATATTGAGTGTGCGTGAGAATGAGGAATCTTAAACATGTACGTATGTTTGTGGCAATATTCGGCTGTTGCGTCTTTGTGTTCTTCTTCTATTTTTTATTAAAACTTTTACCTTACTTTGGAAGTGGCCAATGAACGTCTGAAAGCAAAATAGCATATATAATATTGACATAAGAAATATGTATTTGAAAGAAATGAAGTGAATCAGCAAAACGTTTCTCGCACAAGCAAAGAAAATTGTGTGTATGAAAATATTATCATATTTCTTACCGCTTACTCAATCTCACCCCCTTAATCCCCCCAATTCATACATAATCATGTGAAAGCTTTATTTATGATTCATTTGAGTTTTCATGCTTCACTTGAAAATGCTGGAAAAACAGAAAAAAAGAAAAGCGTAAGCAATAAAAAAAAACATTTTCATGAAAATTTGACGTCTCTACCTGATATTTAGTAGGTATTCATTTGATATTTTATTTAATTCGATTATTTTCTAAATGTTTCTCTTGTTTATCATCGTTTAACTTTTTTGTTTTCATAAAAAAGAAAGTAAAAAAAAGATATTTTCTTTCTCTGTCCTAAATGATTTCCGAAAGGTCAAAAACGTAACAAATCTATTTTTAATTATCTTTTATTGAAGGAAATTAATTCGCCAACACGTAACAAGATACTCGAGCATTCTTCGTAAAAGAAAAGTAAACTGTGGTGATATTGCATAACATTGAATACTTATATAAAGTAAAGAGAAAAAATCAGTAGAATGAATCTCTCGCCTTCAATCAGCAAGCTCCTTCGACCTGAGTAAACAAAAACGTAATCCAACATAAATTAATGATTTCCGAGTTTTTGTTTTCTATTATTTTCTTTTTTTCTCCCCTATTGTGTTTCGTGAATCGTTCGTGAGAGAAAGAAAATAAGAAAGAAAAAATGTATACTTAAGATATTGATCACATGTGAAAGAAAAATAAATAATGAATAAGTTATGCAAGTGCTATTTGATAATGATTATTTAGAATAATTTGTAACGCAAGAACATTGTCAGGATAATTATTGGAATTACTTTCATCTCTTAATTTTTTTGCTTATTTATTTTCATTTTCATCCAAAGTTTCCCCACAAGCATTCATCAAATTGTCAATGTTGCGAAAAGAAAATGGTAAATGTATGTTTTTTAAGAAAACTTTTTTAAACCTCAAAACAGCGGTTTAATAAATGAAATTCGGAATATTTTACCAAACATTGATTTATTACTTGAGACATGATGATTTGAAAATTTATGAAGTTTTAACGAATTAACTTACTCAGACTTATAAAAAAAGTATTTGCACAAACATGAAGTTTCTCAGAAAGAATTCTCCTTTTTTTGTATGTTCGATTGAATGCAATGAAGTGTTATTAATCTTTCACTGTCTCATAAAATTTTATTACATGAAAACTTTTGATTTGAGTTCCTATTTTTATATCTTAAGAAATCAGAAAATTTCCTAACAATATATGTTGAAAAAGTTTTTCATTTCATCTGCTGAAGGAAAATTTGCGAATTTTTCTTTCAGTATTGTAGCTGACGTTGCTGTTGAAGAAGTTAAAAATTTTACTTTTAATTCTTCAATTCGTTTCCCTCGATCCACTCGTCTCGTCTTCTGAGCCATGAAAACTTTTTCATTGTGAATTTAAACGAAAAATCTTTGACTTATCTTTCTCTTTAAGATTGCACACTGAAGGCATTCATTCTGTTCCCGAAAGCTCCTGGAAATGACGTGGTGTGAAGGAAAGATTTTTTTATAACTTTCAGATACATTGAAGCACAATATATTAGGGTGTAGAAATAAATGTTGAATGCATATTCCCTCCAAGCTTTCGTATTTATTTTATTTTCTGAATACAATAAATGACAACAACGTCACCACACACAACATAAACTACGAATAAAAAATATGCAAGGAGAGAAGAGCGGATATTTGTATGTTAAAACTCATATCAATAAATATAAATTGAAACTTTTCATTCTCTGTACTTCTACTAGAAATCATTGTATTCATTTTGTTCCTATACTAAATAAACCTGTAACACTCCTTTCAACGCAGCATTTCTTAGTGAAAAGCTAAGCTAAGCATTGTAAAGAATATTTCTTTCTATACAACACTTGCTTTACATAGATTCATATGAGGCGGAAATAAAAAACACATTCAATTATCAATAATGGAAGTTATTTTCATTTAAAAATAGATGAAAAGTAAATTTTTTATTCAAATAACTCTTTGAATTCGTTTTGCCCCAAAGGCATTTCTCTTGGATTGCACCATAAATTCATACGAATACAGGTTACAAGTGAACTCATTGCTATTCCAACAATGGAAGATCTCGTTCTGCTTCCTCTAATAAATAACTTTGTATATAGATTTCGCTCAAAGCAGTAACAATGCACCACATTCCGTGCCAACGATGAGATCACAGATGGAAGAATAAGGAAAAGAACATATCGCTGTAATAAAAGAGTGATATTCTAGTGAATCGTACAAACGAAGGAAACTCATTCAGTTGTGATATTTTAAATAATGAAGAAAATACTTTTTTATTCTTCTCAAGCATTCCATGAGGACACGTTCATATACAAGTCAAGGAATGTAAGCAAATCGGGATATGAAAGGCTTGCAATTTTTCTTTTTTTGTATTTGACATCAGAACAATTTTCATTGGATGGATATATCATAAAACTCATACTTCATTCCTTATGATAGATATTTGCTTGTCATCTTTCGAAAGTCATCTGAAGTCTGATGAAAAATGTAATGGAAAATACAAAGAACTCAAAGATATTATTAAGCTCATGCGACATCGCATTCTTTATGATGTACTTTGCTATCTTTTTTGTTATCTATGCATGTCTATTGAAGAGATATCATCACGAAGTAAAATATATGATTAAATTTTCACAATGACTTGTCCGTTGAATGCAGCTCTGTAGTGACAGATTTTGCCTCGATATATTTGCCATCCTTAGTCACAATATCATTGTTATGTATCACAATAGCTTAAAGGAAAATCGGGGTCATGTGGTATTTGATATAAAAATAAAAACCTCATCGCACATTTCATATTTCTTCTTCATCTCGTCTCATTGTAGAGACGAAGGAATATCTATCGTAAATAAATGTTTATATATATTACAAATGGAGTGAGAAAGTTATACAACAGAATAAAAAAGAAAGAAAGAAAACATTACGAGATCTAATTCAATATGTATTATTGCTTTTGTCAATAACTGATGATGGAAAAAATGTTGAAATAATAAACCAGGAATCTAATAAAATGAATTACGGTTACTTTCTTGCTTGCGGATCTCGTTATAAAGATATCAGATCAAACTCAGATTCAAGAAGTGTTGAAGTACAAAATTATTGAACATTTTTACCTCAGAAATGAAACAGATTTCTCTTTTTTGTTTGAATAATTTAAAAAACAAGTCGTAAGCTGAATTTTATTCAATACAAGGGAGATTGTCGATGTTGTTAACAGAAAAAGTGAGTCAAGCATTTATTTGGAAATTGCAACGAAGCATCGCTGAATGTTGTTTGTATTCACAATTTCTCAATTCTTTGAAACTCAAACTTTACAGTCTTATTTGATTCGTTGTTATGAAATCAATAAGGAATATGTATTTGAATGAATGTATACAATTTGATATTATTCAATTGGATATTGACGTAATAATTTCCTTATCTATAAGTCTCGACAGAAGCAAATAAAAAATGAACTATGATACATTTTTATGTCTGAATACTAACATGACTTCATAAATATTTTATTAAATACCAAACATTTCTATTCTTTTTCATATGACTGTATAAATGTACTTGAAAATGACGATGATAAAGTACGAACATGTTGATATTTATCAAGTGCACTTCTCTTTTTTTATATCCAAACTTTAATAATGCATCGGTTTCTGTTTTGTCATGGAGAAATGAATTTACATTATTTATCGAATGGCACTCGTTGCACATGTTTAATGTTTTCCTTATCCACATAACTGACAAAAATTCAATAAAATCATCGAGTAAGTTGACAACAAAATTAAATTTACAAATTGGAAATTTGTCAGATTTCCCTTTATTGACATGATTCCTGACAATTTAATAAATTGATTAAATCAATCATTCAACATAGCTGTTTGCTCTTCAGTGTAGGGTTTTGACATTCTTGCAATTTACAAAATGATAACATAAAAATATCTCGAAATATACAAATCAAAGTCATTCAAAATCTTTTAATAACAACCCTCTAATAATAACAATAGCAACCCTCTCAGCCCTGAAATCATTGGCTACGAATCGAATTTTACTTTAACGTCCTAACCGTTAATAAAGCAAACCAAATTAATCTTGATATCAGATATTCCATTTTGTGTTGTTCATTAAAATTGATGAGAAAATGCGAGAATGCCAGAAAATTGCGAAAAATAAAATTGCGCCAGATAAGTTCTACTTTAATTATTTCTTTGTAAGAGCGACGGAACTGCAGTGAAGGCTTTTGCATTTAAAGGTGTCGATGGTACACGTAAGTACAAAGGGTTCCAATGCAGTTTCATCGCTCTTACAAAGAAATATTTGAAGTAGAATTTAGCTGACGCAATTTTATTTTTCGCAATTTTCTGGCATTATCGAAAATGCAAATGAGAAATAAAAACATCAATGAATGAACGAGTTTCATGATGTATGTGATTTGATTGCAATTGCTAGTGGGGGCAAATTTGCTTCATTGGCCTAAGTGTCTGTGCCATCGGATTTGTATCAGAATTCGTATCGATTCACTAATCGGTACGATCCTGGTTCCATTCTCGGTGGTGGTCACTTGGGCTGAGGTTTTCAGAAGTTTAGATACTTCGCCCCTGTTTCATTTAAAGTGGAATTTTTCACTAGGATATAATAAACTGAAATGTCTCTTTGTATCAAATTTGATAAAAATATAAATTTGTCAAATATGAACAATGAAGAGTATTCAGGAATATACAATCCTGTGGAACGCTACTGAAAGTGGAACCTTCATCATTCAGGTGATGAGACAAAGGGAGCGAAACAAGTTGGAATTTATATTCCTGTATTCTTAATCGCTTTAGTGTACAGTCGTGCACTCCCTACTCTGATGATGATGATGATGATTGCAATTGCTATGACAGCTTAAACTTTTATTCCATTTTAATGAATGCTAAGCTTACATCGCTATTTATTTAATTAGATAGATATTCTTACAATTTCAAAAGCTTTTGTCAAACCTTTCCTGACAACTAATAATTAGAGTTGTCTTTTGAAATTCTTTTTTTCTAAAAAGGGAAACATGGAAACATTTCAAGAGAGATTTTATATTATTAACATTTTCCCATTTTTTTCATATCTTTTACTTTGATTTATTTATTCATTTTCTTTCAGGAAAAAAAGAGCAAAGCAACATTTTATCTTGTTTGAAATTTCAACAGACGGCATCTTATTAACTTTGAAATTTTCAACATTGCTGTGCAATTTTGTTCAGTTTTTAAGATTCAATTAGCTTCAGCGATATTTTGTCGTTTTTATTTCTTTTATTCATTGAAAATGCTTTTTGTGACTTTTGTGTTCTTAAATATATTCAAAGTTCATTTTGAAAAGAATTTGAAGCGACATTTGATATTTATGTACGAGTAGGAATTGCTTAAGCAATCTGTTTCTCTCTTTTGCCGAATGATTTTCCATGAACGTCAATTGAAGAACGTGAGTGAAATTTTCCAGAAGACTTGTCATCGTTTTCTTATGTCTTTTTAAGATGAAAAAAGTGAAATCAATGTATGATATCGAATAAAAGAAATTTGGAACTTGTTGTGTCATTTTGACTTCCATTAAAATATTTAATTTAATTATCCTTACAACTTAAGGACCATTTTTATTAAAAGTTCTTTCTGAGAATCAAGTGGAAACCTTCATGATGCATTAAACGTTCTTTAATTGGGATAATTTATGAGATGTACAAAGAGCAAGTTTCTAGAATTTAAATATTTAAATATATTTTATTTGGTAGAAAACGAACAGAAAAACATCCCAATTTATGCTGAATAATCATTTTGAATGACGACAATTTTTTTTCTACGTGAAATTTGTCAAATCAAATTGAAGAATCAAATGTAATGGAAAAAGATGAAAAATATTTTAAATATGTTCCTAATGAGCTTAGTTAACAACTTTCTTCAATGCTCTGAAAATGTTTTAGGAGGAAAAATGATGTTGGTTTGGAATGTTGGACACATTAAAATTTTTGTTCATAAATTATTTCAATATAAGAATTAAAAAGCATTGAAAACTGTTGAAAGGCTCAAACCCATCTAGCATCAGGGGAAAAAGCTTCCTTTCATCATTAAAAGAATTTTTCGTATTTCTTATTCAATGAAACAAATATTTATGTTGTTTCCTTCCTCAAAGCTTTCACCATTAAATAAATGGACACTTTCTGATACATTTTTATGCTCATTAAAATTATTTTCGTTTATTTATTCAACATTGAAATATTTTGCAACCACAGCCATGTCACCAAAAAAAATTATAATAAAATTGAATTACAAACCAATTTACTGTCAAGCAAGAAGGGAAAGAAATATTGAATTCGAAAGTAGCAAATGAAGCGAATGTAAATGCGATTCCAAAGCGTTTACGAAGCACGCTCTAATGCACAGACATCGTGAATTTCAATTTGATATAATTTGTCGCTTAATTAACGTCCAATTGAAAAAGTATTGAATTTTTTACCTCTTACTCTGATGATGAAGGTTTCAATTATGTTTGGATATTTCATGGTCAGCAATACTACATTGGTAAGTGGGTTGGAATGTAGAACAATTCTCGAATTCAATGAACTGATAAACAAATTAATTGCATTATTTTAAAACAGTAGGAGATTAAATAATAATTAAATTAATTAGCTTCATTCTTAACATCAATCTGAGTTACAAAATCTTTCAAAATTTTTGACTCTGCCACACCAAATTTGAGCTTTTCTATAATTCAAACTTATTATGTTTCTACTTCATATGTATTTAGCATCAACCATCTAACATAAAACTTGGTTGGTATTATTAAATTACACACGACAGTGGTTAGACATTTTTCTTGTACCTTGTGTGAATTAGTTTTGTCATTTAGTTTCCCTCAAACATTATTTATTAGTTTTTAATGGAACACTGTTCAGCCTGTAATCTAACCAAGGACAATCATTAGTGTTCATTCATGCATGTTCATTAAGTTATTCCTTTGCCTAATGAATTATGTTTGTGTCGCTGTAAGTTATAGTTTGGATGTCAATATTTGCAATGCATAGAAATATTTAATGAAATAATACATCCTTTTGAATGTTTTTCAAATGCCTTGTAATTAAGGAAACTTACATCAATCAATTTTCTTTCTACACTGTGACAGTGAACTAATACGATTCATTAATTGGTTAAATCAATTCATTGATATTGAAATGATATGTTCGAAAATTTGTTTTACTCATCAATTTCAAATCAAGATTCTTGATGGAGGTCATTAAAAAACTGTACTGAAATAATTCATACTAAAATCAAAAGTTTCTGAAAAGTCCCACATGTTATTTAATGTTTTAGTAAAATTACCTAGCAACCTACAACCTTAATTAGAGAAATATTTAAGTAAATCTTTGCACTTTGTGTATTAAAATTTCTACACAAACAAAAACTCTTTCATCCTTTTTGTTTATTATTCCAATTATAGCTGAGTAAAATTACATTTCATTGTTCATTTCTATCTTATTTTCTATATATCTATTTGTCTACAACAAAGAGAAAAAAGTTCACAACATGAAAGGGAATAACTAAAGAGAGCAAGTAGAAAATCTAAAATTAAATCTTGAATAAAAAGAAAATGAAATTTATGATGAAGCGAAATGGCGAAGTGGGAGAATCAAATTGAAGATTGCAATGCTGTTGTTGATTGTTTCATCCTGATTTTTGTTAATTGCGCTTTTTGTTCGTTGCACATTCCCGACTTTCCTTTGGTTTTCCGCTTTTACTTCTACACCAAAAACTTAGAATTGTTTTAATTACAAGCAAAATTGTCACAGCGATGGCACAAAGCAAAACCAGAATCACATCTAATGAGTGATAATTGAGAGAATTCAATCTTACAGCAGCATGGGATTGAAGTAAATTTCCACCATTCTCAACCACATAATCCACCCAAAAGACGGCTGTTTCAAGCGGATCTGATAAGCGTTTACGATAGGAACGGGAAATCTCAATTGCTCGTTGCTTGTAGCTGTTGTCGACAGAAGAAAATCAAAATGAGGTGAAACGAGAAATGAGAGAAGAAATTAACAAAACAATAATGGTAAGAAAGAAAATAAATAACAACAGAATTGTCGATGACATGGAGTAATTATGGATAGATGGATAGAAATAAGAACAAATTTCTGTGTCGCAGACGATTACTCAATGCCATCGACAACAAGGAATGAAAGAATGAAGGGAAAATTCTTTTCGTTTTTCCACTTCATTACATTTTCCTTTCGACATTTTCTTTAACAAACCTTGGCTTCAAAATACGTTGAACGGCATCGACAATTTTATCTCTTGTCAATTGATTATAGTGTAAAACGATTCCCATTCCTCGATGCTCTAACGCAGCTGCATTTAAGTATTGATCGCCATAAATGGGAGTCACAATTGTTGGCTTCTGACAATAAACTCCTTCGCTTGCACCCATCAAACCACCATGTGACATAAATATTTTGACATTTGGGTGACAAAGAATATCGATTTGTGGCAACCATGAACGGATGTGAATGTTCTTCGCGGTGGCAGTAAGTGAGTCATTTTCCCATTTCCACAGAATCGTTTGTGGGAGACTCTTGAAAACTTCAACAATTTCCTGTTTCTTACTTAATGACATACCATGGGAGTTGATGATTGAACCCCAAGACACATAAATTACGCCATGTTTAGCATTATCAAGCAACTGTTGCAGATCATCGGACAGTGATTTTCGTGACTCTCTGATATGAATGCCACCGATTTCTACAACATTCATTGATAAAGGCCTCGGACCATTGAATGAGAAATGCTGATTCACGAAAACAAGACTCGTATTATCCGCCAAGTCACGTAAATTGGGAACAGTTGAATTAAAACGTTGTTGTAACAATTTCGTATCTTTCATTTGACTCATCCTGCATAATCATCACCCAGAAATATAAATAGAAGAAATGGAATGTTACTTCCGTTAAAATAACTAAAATTATGCTTCATGAATTATTCATAATATTGATATTCATAAACATGTACACATCTTTAGATATTGATAGATAAATGAAGTGAAAATATTTTATTGAGTCACCTGTAACCTATTTTCGTCAACTTTACAACAATCCAATTAGTAAAACGTTCGAAGAAATTCATGTTTGGCGTATAACCAACAAACTCACTGGGAATATAAGATGGAATATCCGGTAATCCTACTCTGTCATAATGCCAAGGCATCAGGGCACAGCTTGACTAAACATTTTCGAAATGAAATCGTCTTCGGATCATTGAAAATTTCAATACAAACCATTCCAATGTACGATGTTATGTTTAATTGGTATGCTATTCCCAAACTACAGTCGGTATTGAAGTATTCCGTAATTAAAACATCAAATTTCTGATCACGACTCAGATCAAACAAAACATCAATATGCTTCGAAGCGAGAAGCTGTTCGCATGCATCGTTTCCCCATTCCATTAACGAAACGAATTCTTCGTAATAAACTTTGTAGCTTCGTGGGGCATAAACCTGTTCGTGGTTGGCGGTGATTCGTGCGAAAAATGTAAAAACAAAAGCAAAACAAAAGAAAAAGTAATTAAAAGTGCAGTGCTAGGAAATAGAAAAGAAAATTGTCCACAAATGAAAAGCATGCATGGAATTGAAAATCATTTCGACCCCAAACCTAATGACATCAATAAGTTATTTGCAGATTGCAATAAATGCCAACTGTTACCTTTGACTGTAATCTTACGAAATCAAAAGAAATTATCCAAATCCACCCCCAGAAGTAAATGAAAATTGTCCTCGAGGGAAATCGAGTGCGTCCAATTACAAGCATAAAAAAAATGCTGAATATAACGTGAAAGCAATTTAGTGCCGTAAGGCGCATAAAATTTTATGCCATTTTTTTATTGTCCACGATTTAATGGCTAAAGGCTGAGGACAGTATTGAGAGCGTGAAGAAAGCATAGTAGAAGTTAGATTGATTCATCAAATATTTATGCAACAAATTGAAGCATAAACTTTACATCATAAATGTTAATTGTCGTTCACTTGCAGTGATGTTGGAAAATTGGTTTAGGTTACCCCCCAGCCACAAAGGGAAATGTTTAATGTTTCAAGCTTACCTCATTAACTGAGAATGCTGCTGTCATTATTTGACTTTGATCAAGTACAAAGTCACGATAATTTTCTGGTGCATTTTCATCAGGAAAGTGACTGACAACAACAACATTGTGACCTTTAGCCGCAAGTCCTTTCAAAAGAGGTTGAAATGCACGAAAGTGTGAAATTGCTGGATGTGGAAATATCCCAAGAACACGATAACTTTTACTTGTTTGGCTTCTCAATACAACAACCAAGACAAAAATATAAATAAACTTCATTTCAATAGGAAAAAAATAAATTTTTCCATGCGTCGTGTCGTCGGTGATGATTATTTCTGACTGTTTTGTAGTGGTGGCAGTGACACTAGAAAAAATATACAATTGAATAATCATCTGACATTTATCAGAAGTATTGTGACTACTATCAGTTTCAAGTTTATCAATATTTAGTTGTATTATTTAGGTTTTCTTCTTCTTTTATCACTTAACATACAAACAGAGTTATGTGAAGTGTCGAATAAATACTTTGATTCATACTGTTATTATATTGATTGAGTTGATTAAAGTATACAATAATGAATATCATATTTCCAGCCTTGATTTAATCAAACAATTAAACAAATTATCTTCTATAAATTTATTATCAAATGTCATTTTTATATTAAATTTTATCGTCAACATAGATACCTAAAGAAATAAGAAGAAAGAATTTTCATTTGATGGGAATGGATAAACTGTTTATATTTAGATTGAATATGTCAATAATTTCCATCTCTCTCCTTCTCTTCAACTTTCTTAACTCAATTAATAATTTTTTGGAATTCAAATCTCTGAACATATACAAATAAAGCGTCATTGAATGAGATTGAAAGAAGCGTGGGTGGAGATTTGGTAAAAATTAATTTGACTTTTCCCTCTTGACAGGTTGTTGTATTAAGAGAAAAGGATTTTATTTACGTATCTAATTGAACAAAACATCATCAAGAAAGAAAAATAACAAATCGAATTAATTTGTTTCTAAAAATGGATCGATTTCGATTATCATTTAATTAAAATCCTGTTGATTCTGTTTTTATGATACTTAAACTGTATCGATTTAGATAATTGTTGATTCAGTGGTAGAATAATAAGTTAAAATTCTTCTCATTATTTTTATTTAAAGTTTCCAATCAAGTGTTTCAGTAATAAATATAATAATGTTCTGTATTAAAGTTAGATAATCATGGGACGATTGTATTCATCAAATTCCTGTTTCATTCCATCTTGTTTTCGATGAAGCACTTGCTTGCTCTTCGTTTAAGTGTCATTCACACTAAAGAACATTGATTCACTGCCAAATGTCGCTCAGGAAATATCATTTGGTGCAGTAATCTTTTCTTTGCTGTCTAATGATTGCATCAAGCTTCAAGCTTCGTTCACGAAGTGCAGAGTTTTCTTTTTGAAGTGCTTCTAGTGTTGCATCCTTTTTCTGTATCGCTTGTTGGACTCGAGAATAAATTCGTTGAATTTCCATTTCATGCTCCTTGTTAATAGTTTGGAGTTCATTTTTGATTTCGCTTCGAACTTCGTCTTTCAGATTGTCCTTTTCAGCGGTGAATTTTTCACAAAGCTGAAAGAAATATAAAAACGTAGAGTGAAGACCAATTTTTAGTCTTCTTAGGAAAATGTTGGAAAATAATAAACAACTCAAACTTAATCTTCTTCTTAGAGAAGCCAGAGAAGGCCAGACACGTGAGTGATTAAACATTCACAACTTTTTCTCACAAAATATAATCGCAAGGTCTTGACAGGTTCATCATTTTAATCAACAGTATAAATTTGTTTCCTTGTTTTGTGAACATAAAACATCGGAAAAAATGTTAAACTCTGCTGCCAGAGTTGTTAAATGACATAATTTTTGTTGATTTTCTATTCTATTCTATTCTTTAAATTTTTTATGGATGCCAATGAAATAGATTCAACAATCAACAACCCTGACTTTTTTCATACGAAATGTATGAAAGAAAACGAGTAAATTGTAACAGATGTGAATAAAAAAATAATTATAGACACGAAGCGTCATTACCACAGCACCTAACAAAGCTTACAAACCTTTGTTGAATGACTTAATTGCAGTTCCATCTGCGTCACAACCGCTTTGAGATTTTGGTTGTTGGCGTCGCTTTCCGCAAGCCTTGTTCGTGCCTCAATGTATTTGTCCCTTAATCCTTTTTCAGAATTTTCCAGCTCTCTAATTTCATGCTCGTATTTTTCTTTCATTCGACTGTCAAATGGAAAACAAATATTGAATTTTTAAATGAACTTTTTTTGTTTCGTCGCTTTTTCGTTTGTGGAAATTCGAGCGTTGAATTATATTAAAAAATTCTTCGTATTTTCTGCTATTTTGCGAGACTTAAAGTATGAGAGAACTTTCAGAGAGTGGGAAGTGCTTTTGATGGAGATCAAAGTTGGAAACTTTCACAGTTGAGTTACAACTTTTCCAAGTGGTACACTCAAAGATGAAGCAACAATGTTTCGATAAAACAGAATTCTTTAACACCCACACTCTGGAAAATTTTCTTTTACAAAGTCCCGTCTTTGTGTCATCAAATCCGCTTACTTGAATTTTATTTCGAAATCTTGTTGACTTTTAATCGATTCAGCATCAACTTTCACAACGATAGCATCAATCTGTCGATCACGTTCTTGTCTGTACTGTTCACGAATAACGTTTTCGCGTTCACTTTCACGTAGCTTCATTTTCGTCTCAAATTCTCGTTTCCATATTTTAAAGTCAGCTTCGTATTGCTCTTGAATCTTTTGAATTTCCATCTGATGCTTTGACTCACGTTGCTTAAGCTTTTCTTTGAACGTTTCTTTTGTATCTTCAAGCATCTCCATTTTCTCGTTCATCAACTCTTCTCGCTTCATCTCAAATTGATGTTCCTTTTCTCGCATTTCACCATATAAACGATCTTTCTCTGTTTCGAAATCATGCACCATTCTGAGTCTTTGCTGTTCAGCAGACTTTCTTTCGTCATCCATTTGCTTTTCAAAACGCTCCTTGATGGCTTTGCGTTCTCTTTCAATCGCCTGTTCACGCTCATCAGCATAACTTTCCCGAATAGATTTTTCTGCCTTTTCAAACTTTTCTTTTGTTTCTTCAATGGTTTTCAATACATCAAGATGATGCTGACGTTTCAATGCTTCGGTTTCCTGTTTATAATTTGTTGACATTTTGTTAATCTCCAATTCCAACCCTTTTACTGTCAACTCTTTTATTTTCTTTGTGTTATCACGAACCCACTTTTCACGACGAATCTTTTCACCTGCCATTGCTTGTTCCTTTGCTTTCTCGACTTCTGTTTTCAGACGATGTTCCCAAGCTTGATTTTGACTATCCAATCGTCTTGTGATTTGTGAAACCTTCTCACAAAGCGTTGCTTTGTCTTTAATCAACTGTTCAATGAATGTTTGATGTCGTGCAACAATTTCTTCATAATGTTTCTTTTGATCTTTCAAGCGATTCTGCCCATTGAGCTTTTCCAACCTTAGTGACTTCGTTTTATCATTCCTTACATTTGAGACGTGTTCTTTACTCAACTGAATTGCATTTGAAAGCTCATTGGCACGCAACGAAAGCTTCACAATACAACGTGCTAATTGATGATTTGGAAGCATCAGAAGATCTGAAATTCTGCAATGATGAGATTCAAAATCAAATGTCACAATTGCAATGGAGAGAAGCAAAAATACGCTTTTGAATTAAAATTCAAATCAAATTGTTAGGAAAATTATTTGTTACATCGTCGTTCGTGATAGGAAATCGCTGAATTTGATGTGAAGCATTTTTTAAAACATTTTTCTCTCATTCGTTCCATTCAAAGTCGAATAACAGACAAAGGGAATAAAATTTTCTCGCACATCAACAATTTCATCGACATTCCAATCCGAAATAAAAAGACGAAATATTGCAACAAAGAAAAAAATAATCGCAATCAAAAAAAAAGAAAACAATTCGTAATAAGAGTTGTCAGCAACTAACTTGGGAACGTCTTCGATGACATCGGGCTCCAATGCGAATTCTAATTCGAGATTGTCTCGTTCGATGAGGTTGTTACCCTTGGCATCTATTAGTGCTTTGTCGCACGTTGAGTCAACTTTATCCAAGTATGAGAAAATTTCTCTGAAAAGATTAATGCGGGGGTGGATGATGAAAGAAAAAAAGAAAGATTTTAATTGCCATGAACGAGAAAAGAAAGTTTGAGGTTCTTTAACTCACTTAAGTTTATTGTTCGTTCTATCGCCTTCACTGCATTCATTGGACGGACTGACATCGTCGTCAGGCGATTCAATTGAATTTAAAATCGTATTAAGTTTAAACTCTACATCCGTCTTAAGACTCTTAAAGTCTTCACAATCTTTTCGATCGTGTTCGATTTCTTTAATAATGTCAACAATTTCCTGATATGTTGAATCGTGTTCATTGCCTTTTGTTTCTTTTGTCATAGGTGATTTGTTGTCACTACCATTGTCAGCCATGTTTAACTCGTATTCGGAAAAACTTTCTTCATTCACTGACATCCAACTGACCACTTTTTCAATTTGAAATTCATCCAAATTTGAATCTTGTCGCGTGTATGATGACGATGATGATGATTTCGCTTTTTTTATTTTATCTTTGACATTTTGTGGTGAAACATCATGTTGAACATGTTTCGTTGGCAATGTTTTAACAGTTGAACATCCCAATGAATTCGACATTTTCGGCTTTGTTAAATCTTTGAGATTTTTTGATTTTTTTGACAAATCATTGAGCTTCTTGTTGGACGTGTTGATAGATATGCGGTTGTTGTGGTTGTTATTGCAACTTGAACTCAACATTCCCACATCCTCTTTTGCCTTTAGATAGTTTTTGATGACGGGATTTGTAGATTGATTTAATTTACTTCCCATCATTGATGCGGATGTTTTGCCTTTCGAATTATTTAACTGATTTGTTTCCACCATTGCTTGTTGATGTCGGTGATGATTAATGGAGCCAACTTCATTCTTATAATCCTCAATAATTTGATTAATCTTCAATGGTTTATCGTTTGCTTTCGAGTGATAACGGTAATCGATTTCGTCCAACTCGTTATCTGAATTGCTCATGTAATGCTCCTTGATATATTGCTTCCCGTTCATGTTGTTTACCATCTCGCTTAACGGCTCCATTTTCTCTTGAATGCTTCCTGATGATTTATTTAATTTCTCCAAATTACCACTCGCCTGACTCGATTCCGTTTCCTGATCATCATAATCGCTGTAGTCAATCTCATACACGTCGTTGGTGCTGTTTGTTTGTATATTTGTTGAAGATTGCAATCGAAGCGAGGGTGTGAAGCCAAAAGAATGAGAAAATTGGATTTTCCGGAAAATAAGAAAAATGAAACAGGAAATGTTGATTAATTCTTGTTCGTCTCAATTCTCATCTTCTTCTTTTCATTTCAAAAGATTTCAAAGACTTCTTCGATGTCGAATATGAAAATAATTGATATCAATAACGAAAGAAAACTTTTCCGGATAGATGAATAAAATCTTTTGGGAGAATACTTTTCAATGGATTCTCCATTTTCCTAACAAAAATTTCAATTGAATCTAATAGTTGACAAGTAAATGAAATTTATAACATATAGAACTTGTTGTCACCTGTAGGCGATGACACTAATTGGAAAAGCTTAACAAGAATCATAACAGAAGTTAAAGTTCGAAAATGTGATTAATTTGGAATTGTCTTGACAGTGAACTTTCCAAAAATATTTTTCATATATCTACCAACTAATCCATTTTTCTTACCTAAACGACACACGTCCCGGTAAATCTAACTTCCTATTCTCACCACCCACAACGCTTTCATTTCTCTCTTTTGTTCCGACATTTTCATTTACCCACAAGTCGTAAGATGTCGACTTTTTACTATCGTGATTGTTGGCAGCAACTGCCATGATTTTACTTTGATTGACGCTGAAGGTGCTTGTGGCAGATTTTCCTAACTTCGAAGAGTTGCTGCCATAATCAAACGATAATTTAAGTGAATCAGGTCTTTGCTTGATGACGGAATTTGTGAAATTTGTTAACGTTTCATGTGTGTTCACGTCGTTATTCTTGTTCTCCACATCATTCGCTTTAATCGTGACGATCTCTTCTTCGATGCTTTCACTACCACAACTCGTAGTTGCGTCAACTTCGATCAAAGCTTCCTTCTTCGGTTCATGTGACATGACTTTGTTGTTAGTCGTCTTGTGACCATTCGTCCAATATTTCGAAGTCATTGGCTGTTCATCAATTAGAAGTTTGAAAATATTCGACGAAGACATAGCTGAACGCTGTCGAACCGGAAATTAAATGAGAAGAAGAATTTTTCATCAAGAACAATGAGGGGAAAGAGAAATAAATTCATTGTCGACAGCAAAGAAAAGCAAACTTACATTTCCCAAATTAAATTTCACACTCGAGCTTCCTTTCACATTAATAAATCGACTATCAGCCGACAATGGACGTCGATTGTGACACAAATTACTGCTGTTACGTGATGTCAACCGATTCCGATGGTAGCTCAATGATGCGGAAGCGGGTCGATGTATGTGAACGGGAGGGTAGTAAATTGGTGGTGTTTGTACTTTATCACGCGTTGCTAGGCTAATCTATAGTGACCACAACAAAAGAAACGACGTGAAGTTTTAATGGAGGAAAAGTATTCATGTGACAAGGGGCGAGCGAATGTTGCTGAAACTTTTAGCTTTAACTTAATCAAAATGTTATCACCAGTAAATTCATTTCAACACTAACATTTCTCATTTTAATTAATGATATGATGTTTCGCACTTCGTCACCCTTCACAAAATATCTTTTATGTCGAGGAACATTTCACCAAATATTTGTTTTTCACAAACAAAAAAAAGAAATGTTTTTGTGTCGAATCACTGAACTGAACGATGATCTGAAGGATATTTACCTGTGACCCATGAAGACTTAGTTCCATAGTTCTTACAAACACATTTACCTACTAGTTTTATTTGTTTTTTGTTGTGGCAAAATAAAATATCTTTATTATAGAGTGAAGTTTTGAAAGAAAATCTTAAAACCCATTAATCTTCCATCACTTCGTCTTCTATTTAAAGAAGCAAATTCATGACTTAATTTATTTATCTAACATTTACACAAATTTTATGCTCTTTGAATGTTTGAATTTTTCATCTTTGAATTTCAAGCTGCTCAGACGCGTGAAACTTTTTTCTGTGTTGTTTCTTCTTTTCACTTCCCTTTTCAAATTCAACACAAAGTTTGAAAAAAGGATCAAATATTAAACTTTAACTGACCCAAACAACATTTCACAAAAGACTGAACTAACTGCATGTCGGGTGGAATTATTTAATTTATAAAACATAAACAGAGGGGATAAATTCTTCATAGTAACCAGAAAGATTTTAAGGCGTCATCAATAAGTCATAACCGAAAGGTTTCAGGTCTGAAAGGTATCATAATAATTTTAATAAAATAAATTTGACCGAAATCCATTACGATATGGCATCTGTGGCGACATAACTGTCTCATGAATCCCTATAATAGTTTTACCTCGCCAGGTGTGGGTTGAAACACTTTATTCATTCATAAAAAAAATACTTTCGTTCGAGGGTGTTCTTTGAATAATGTTTTAACTGCTTTAGAACCCTTTCATTTTCTTATTTTTCGTTATCGATATGAAACAAGAAACTCATAAATATTTAAAGCAATCTATCAGTAACAATTTTATATTTGTCATCAAGGACTTTATGGCAATCATTTTGATAGATAAAAATTTTTACTTCAACTTTCTAAAACTTCATCAACTGGTCTTTCATTACGATAAGAATAAAGATTTAATTATGGTAACAAATTGGCAAAGAAATATAAATATTTGATAATTTTAAAGACTTTTTCCGGGAGTTGTCAGTGACAATTTATTTGAGAATTTAAATTTGAGTTTGATTGGGTTAACGAACATAACAATTGAAAGTTATCAACATTTACAACACAGCTAAACATTAAAATAAATAAATATTCTTTTATCAGTTGATTTTATGACTCGAATATTCACTCAAACAGCAGCGACACTCATGAAACTCATAATCAGTACTCAATCACCCTTCAAATAATCAACATTGCTTAAAAATGAAAAAGATTGTCATTTTAGGTGGTGGTGTCAACGGATTATCTTCAGCTGTAAAAATCGCTGAACATTTTCATCGACAAGATGTGCAAGTGACATTGATATCTGAAGATGTCAGTCCAAATACAACTGGTGACGTTTCAGCTGGATATTGGACGCCTTTTCTTGTTGAAGGCACATCTGATGAGAAAATTACGTAAAACTTAAATTACCTAATTAAATTATTTTTGGATTTGAAACGATGAAAATCAATTATTTTAGGAAATGGTCGAAAAGTTCGTATGATTTCTTCCATCAACTTTGGTTGAATGGCCTAGCAGAAGAATGTGGAATTTCAATGATTCCAACTTATCGCTTAACATCAGATCCGGAAGGTGAAGAAGCTCCTTTATGGAAAGATGTCGTGTTTGGCTTCACAAAATTAAATTCTGATGAAACTGCAAGACTTTCACGTGAACATAATCAAACTTACACTGAAGGCTTTCACTACATAACATTTTGCTGTGAACCTACAAAGTTTCTTCCTTACCTTATGAAAAGATTTCTCGCAGCTGGCGGACGATTTATAAAGCAAAAGATCAATAACATTGATGAAGTTTCTGAATTTGATTTGATTGTTAACTGCACTGGATTGGGAAGTAAAGAAGTAACGAATGATATGAAATGCTTTGCAATTCGAGGTCAAGTAGCACGAATAAAAGCTCCATGGATTTATTGTATTTTCAATCACACTGATGATGATGGAAACTACATTATTCCCAACACAAACGACGTCATTTTAGGTGGAACACATCAAGTCAACGATTACAGCTTAGAAATTTCTAAAGCTGACTCAGCTTTTATTTTTAACGGCTGTAAAAAAATTATTCCAAGCATTGAGAATGCAGAAGTCATAAAAGAAATGGTTGGTTTACGACCAGGACGAAAAGAGATTCGTTTAGAGACAGAACTTCGCCGTCGAAACGCTCCCATTATTCATAATGTCGGACATGGTGGAAGTGGAGGTAAAGGAAGAAATTTTTTGAAATATTTTCACTTCAATTTTTATCTTTTCTTAGTGACACTTTGTTGGGGATGTTCTGACGATGTTCTTCAACTGACGATTGAACTCTTTAAAAAAGCGAAACTTTAAAACGAGCGAATTTTTCTTATCATTTTTCCATAGAAATTTCTTCAATGATCTTCAGGCTGAACTTGAAAAATATTGTAAACAATTTCATGGTGATTTGTTGCTTCCAATTTCTATATAAATCGATTGAATTTCTAATTCCGCTTTAGTTTGATTGTGAAATTAATTCAGTGATAATTAAAAAAGACTAGAAATGAAGTTAATATTGCGGTTTTTAGTTGTTTTTCTCGTGTTCGAATTGTCTTGGGGAAAGTTTAAGACTAACATAAACTACATGATGCAACGACCAGAACCACCAACAATGTTTCCACCTGTTAGACAACTTTCTAGTTACTATAGTGGACCAGCAATAGCTGAAGCTGTTCTTCGCTCTTGGAATTTACTCCCAATAAGGCTTGGATTACATTCAGATGCTGGATACCAACAGTTTCTTGCTGGTGATGAATACATGAAAACTGATGCCAACAGAAGAACATTTCCAGACGATTGGGTTCGAGTTGTCAACCATATTGTGATGAGTTTGGATTTAAATGCAAAAAGGAAATATTCAAGAATAAAATTGGCACAATCTGAGAACTCGATTAATGACGAATTTTATCAGATTGTGTTGAGAAGTTTAAGTCATAATGTTCCCGTTGCAATTGCTTTCGTTGGTCAAACACAAGAGTCATATGATATGATGGGAGCACGTTACAATTACCTTTTAGTTACGTCTTTGACTGGTATGGGTGAAGCAACAAGTTATACTTATCTTGATCCCAGTGATGGAAGTTTTCGTCAATTTGATACCAGTCAATTAACGTATCTTCTTGCTGGTGGAGTTAATCAAAATGGTGAAGAAGTTCCAAGTTATGTCATTGCTTATCTCGATAGTGCTGACAAAATCTTTCTCAATTCATTGGGTGCAACGACACAGCAGCAATCAAGTGATGAATGTAATTTTCTAACAAAGTTAACGAGTGTTTGCACGACTTTGTCTCGAACGAAGCGTTCAGCATACAGATCATCAACATGTATGGCTGTTGATTCAACAAATCCTATGTTCAATTATGAAGATTACATTCATGTGGTTTACAAACTTATTGGGCGAAATGGTATTCAAATAAAGCTGACTCGACCGACTGCAATGACTCTTGAAAGAGTTTTTATGGAAAACGATAGACAATCTTTCTTGCAGTATCTCGAAACATTACTCACAAGAATCGTTCAAAAAGGAACAGTCAATGATTCGGATCGAAGTCATGCAGCTCAAGTTATTTATGATGGAATGCCATATTTCCACGAGAAAACATTAACGCTCCTTCGTCAAGATGATAATCGATCTATTTTTATTCAGACATATCGCGCTTACAGTTTCCATGACACTGCAAAGAGTATTGGAACTGATAATACAATTTACATCGAAGATCAACCAAAAGCTTGATTTGTTTTTCAATCAATTATTATCTGTTTTATTTTAATAAAAATAGCAATTGTCAAGGTTAAATAGAATAAAAAGCTCAGTACAGTTAAAAACGCTTTTCTTAACTGATTTTATAATTTGAAATAAGTCTTTATCTCAGACACATTTGATAATAAAAAAATCAAACTAGATGGCGCTTTTTCTGTTTGAAATTTAAAAAACGGTTAATTTTCGAATTTAATTTCATGTGATCAAAACAAAAGAAAATTAATCATGGAATGCAAAAATTTAATATCATTTGCTTAAAGGCCAATCAACATTCCTGATCGTGACCTTTGCTTTCAAGAAGAGCATTTTAATTAAATAAATTTTACTTATCAATTTTGATCCAGTTTTGGCATCTGATGATGTAGAGGGCAAATTAATCTTTCTGTAATATTATACATTTATTTTTACAATTGATATTTTATTGATTGGTGTTGGAGATATTTCGTGAGAAATATTCACATTAGCAAGGTAATTAAGTTCATTCATGTGTATAGTATTTAAAAAATCATTATAACTAAGCATCGCTAATAATTCATGACGCAAAAAAAAATTCGTGTCATATTTTATTTTTCTATAGATAAATGTTTATAGAATGAATTCTTAAATTAGAAAACAGCAGCCATGGTTCATTTGCCTTCTGACATCAAAAATTACTATTACTAAGTGATCACAAATGATAGAGAAAAGTCCCTTTGTCGGTGAAAACGTGCAACGTTCGACAGTCAAGAAAAAAGAAACCCGTCCGGGAGATACAAAAAAAACATTTGTACAGTTAACAATTATATTAGAAAAAAAGTAAACACATTTTGACAGAATGAGAAGATAATAATTCCGATTTGTGTTTGAGAGGCCTGAAAATTCGAGAATTCTCAAAGTTTTCGTAAGAAGGAAATATTTGTAAATCATGTCAATAAATCAAAGCTTAATCTAATTCATTTCATAGCATTACAACATTAATTTATAAGGTCAATGAACCATTTAACTAAATACGTAATTTCCAGAACACTTTTAACGTACAACGCCCACCCAAAAAACAAAATTAAATTAAATTCAACACAAAAACACTTTATCGATCTTCTCATGTGATTTTCACATGTCCAAGCAAATATTTCAAAAAATATTTTGCTCATCGCGTGTATAGTTGTGTGCGGAAAACTTTTTTTCAAGTTGGAATTTTGTTTACAATTTTATCATTCAAGCGGAGAGACATGAAAATGCGGTGAAGCAGCGTGGAGCCAAAACAACAAGTCAACAATAAGGCTTGGCTTTGATACAAAACTCATATATTGATTATCCTTTTTTATAATGTGGTCTCAGCATTAAAAGTGAAAATTTGCTACAAGGATATGGCGCTGTGTGCGACTGTATCGTTCATTCAATGCTTAGCATTCATTGTTCTGTTTTGAATTCTCTCATCGCAGTCGCGTTCGCAAGTATGTGTCGGTAGAAGTGAATCAATCGAGACCCTCAGTGTGAAAGAAAAAAAACTCCGAGAGCTTCATTCTTTCGCTGTTTGTCGAGTCGTGAAGATTTCTAGTTCCGAATTTCATCGAAATCAGTTTTTTTTTGCTTTTGAACTCGGTGGCTTAACAAAGTAATGAATTTTTTTCTCTATTTGCTTGATTGACACAAATGATTTATTGACTGAAATGGAAGTGAAAATAAAAGAGTTGTACATCATTTAAGCTTTTGTCGGTAGACTCCAAATCTAGCTCTTATTATGTCATCGTTGCGTGTGTGTTGGTTTTAACTTTCAACTGCAAAGCAGTAAAGAATCGTGCTTTGTTAACATTATTTTGCATATATTTGATGATTCTTCGCTTCTTAAAGAATTTTAATTATCGCTTCATTCCTTTTTTTTCTTCTTCTTCTCGTGTTTAATGATGAATAAATGAAGACGAATCACCGACAAAAATGTGATAAGTGACTGGTTTTTGATTTTTTTTTATTTAATGTCGCGTTATCTCTTATGAGAATCTTATGAGAATCTAGAATCTTATGACAAATAATTTTTCTTTATACTTTTTTATTCAATTTTGATCAAGAAACATTTAAATTTAAATGTGTTGAATGTGAAACTATTTGTTGTTATTTTACTTTGTCTTTTCTTTAACTTAAGCAGAGTATTGAATGAATTGATGAGTAAAGTATTTTATTTTAGGAAGAAAACATTCATTGGATAATTACCGTTTGAAAAAATAAGACGAAGCAGAAGACTTGCAAAAAATAAAAATGTTCAGTGGATTTACAGGTGAGGCCGTGAAAAACTTTTTATTACTCATAATATTGATTTTCCCATCTTGTGTCTCGTGCTTTTTGTGTTGGAAACAGAAAAAAAATTCTTTCCGTATGATTTTGTATTCTTTTTTATGAACAACTGTTTACAATCAGATAACTATGACTTTAATTTCTTCATTTAGGAAAGAAATATTCAATGTTTTTCGATTCTTTTCTTTTCATTTTATTTCAAAAATGTTTTCTTGTGATTTTCTTTAAATAGAAAATTTTTCATAATCATCGACTAAAGATTTAAGATTTGTAAGAGTTGCACAAAACAAAAATTTCAAGGATCAATTTTAGTCGATGATGAAAGAAACATATTTTATTTGATAGATTGATATAAGTCGTCAATAAAATTTTCTTTCCATTTTCACTGCTTTCCCGAAAAAAATTTTTTTTCTTTCACTCGGTCAAGCAGACAAATCATCATGTGAGTAAGATTTCAAACAATTTTTACGAAATCGTACTTTTCGCATCAGTACAGAAGTATTTAGCTCATTTTTTTTAATAAATGACTTCTTCATCAAATCACTTTAGTTTCACTTCTCATTTAGCCGCCAAAATTTAGTTAAAATACGAAAAAAATCATAAAATCTTGCTCGTGAAAATCTTTTGAGAAGGAGAATTTGTTTTCTTAAAGTTTATTTTTGGCATAAATTGCGTAGTTTATTTTTATATCGAACACATGTGAACAAGAGGTGCTTCATGCATACTGGAATTGAAAATGAGTTTCTTACATTTAAAGCGTAATAGTTTCCTGTCTTACAATTTCTTTTCTTTCTTTCGATTGCAATTGCGCATTTTAATGAAAGATTTTCTGTGTTAAATATCAAGTATCTAATTAAATGGCGACAGAAAAATGTTCTTATCGATTCCATTTGAAATATAAAACTTTCTTTCAAGAAAAAAAGAAAATTGGAAACACAATCGCAATTTATTTCTTTATCAACCTTCCCCGTCTTGTCTCACGCAATACTTCTCTGTCTCCGCAGCTGTTTTTATTATTTTTTCAGCTTTTTTAACGTTCTTTCATCATTATTATTATTGTTGCTTCCAATACTTGATAGTGACCTTGAAAGTTGAGCATGACATCACGAATGTTTATACACAAAGAATCAAACACATAGTTGCGGTCAAAACTTGTTTCATTTCAATTTTTTAAAGCTTATTTAATTAAAAGTTCCTTCGTTTGATCCCACACAATTGGGATTTATTAAGAATGTCTTTTTATGTTACGTATATGTATAAATATGTATGACTCAACTAAATATGACATAATATTTAAGTAGATATTCATACAATATAGAAGAAGGCAAATAAATGTTGAAACTTTTGCGTCTCGCACGTGGAAGGAAATAAATGTAACATCAACATACCTACCTTAATTCTTTATTTGCCACAATTTTATTGATATTAAATATTCAAGACACTTTGAAAGAATTGTCTATCGTCAATCACAAAACCACATAAAACTACTGTGACTTCTCAGATTTATTCTTATAACTTGCTATGTAGTTATTGAAGAATCTCGTTGGGTTGCTTTTAATCTCTCACACATAACCATACACACACATGCCAATACTTTTATAAATATATTTTCATTCTAAATATATTTTCCGCAGCATCTCTGAAAAGTCTCGGTGATAAAGCCGCTGGCTTATTTGATAGAAAGAAGAAGGAAGCCGGTGATATGGCAGGGGAAAAGGCGACAACTGCGAAGAAGCTTGCAGAAGATCAAGTAAAGAAAACAACTGATGCAATTTCCGGTGCAACTTCGGGTGCCCAAGGTTTAATTGGTGGATTGACAGATGATGCAAAATCTGGAGCAAAGGACGTTCAAAAGAAAGCCGGTATGATGAATTTAAATAAGAATTAGATTTGAAAATCAAATTAAATTGAAATTTACAGAAGAGAAAGCTGACAGCATAGAAGCTTCGATTGAAGATCAAATTGTCACTGCGAATCAATCAATGAATAAGGCAGCTTCTGATGTGAATAAAGCAACGAATGAAGCAGTAGAAAAGGCAGCTGTGAAGGTTGACAATGCGAAACAAGAATCTCAAGCACAAGCAGATTTACTTAAAACTGGCGCCACTACAGCAATGGATCAAGGTTTGAAAGCAGCTGAAAATGCAGTTGATGACTCATTGAGAACTGTTGAGAGAGCTATTGATGATAAAATGAAGGCTGCTAGCAAAGCTGCTGATGAAAAAATCGCTGAAGCTAACAAATATGCCGATGAAAAACGTCAACAATTAACTCATGTTTGTTACAAATACAAACTCAACACTTTATTAATTTTTTTATCTTTTTCTTCTATTCGTTTCAGACTATCACTGAAAGCATTGACAAAGTTCAACAAACTGCAATGGGCGAAGCTGGAAATTTGCTTGGAAAATTGAATTTGGGAGGCGGCAAATAAAATAAAAGTCGCATTTATATCTTACCTATTTTCCATTTTAAATAATTTCTTTCTTTGCTATAAATATTGAAATTATTTTAATTTTTTTATCATTATTATTATTATTACAAGCACAATGTTTTAAACGCATTTTTTGCGTTCATGCATAAAGTAAATAAAATATAAATTTGAGTCTCAACACAATGCCGCAACCTTCGAAATAAACTTTAAATGCAAGACCACAAAGTCAATCCAACAAAAAGCTTAAGTAAGTGTCTTAATTGGAGCTTGAGGACTTCAAAATGTTATTCAATAGTTTCATGATATAATCTCATTGTTGAGAATATAAATTTATTATTGTATCGTTCCAGAATCTCAAATTTAATAAATCGATGTTAATAACCGACTTTGTGTTTCATTTAACCTTATCTTAAGTCGTTTCAGAGTGTATAAATAGTGAATCATTTCCTAATAGCTTTTCAAGAACAAAGTAGATAAATCTAATAATATGTAAAAGTTTTCAGATGAAATGAATACAATTTAAAGCGTCAGAATGTGATTTTCATTTTGTTCCGTAGCTAATTTTACCATCTACGCTTTGGTATGCAAAACTTGTTTTTGCGTTGCTTGCTTGTTTACATGGTGTACGTGAATATTGACATGAAGATTAGAAAATGCCGAAAAATGTAATTTGTAATTGTCCTTATCGAAATATGTTACAATGAAGAACTTTGAAGATAATATATGAAAATGCTGAAGTTGATTATAATATTATATTGCAATGACATTCAAGAGAATAGCAAGAAAAGTCACAGAAACAATTTATCAAGATAAAATATTTACAAACAAAATAAACTCTACAAAAGATGCAACCTGAAGTTGATTGCAAAAGAAATTTCTTAGAAATTTTTAATGAATTGTCAAAAATTTGCTTTAATCCTTCTAAACTGAGTCAATTAATAACAAACAAACTTTATCATTTGTGTTTATGTTGTAAAAGTTGATAACGAACATTTATTTGCAATTGTGTAAATAATTTTTTTTATTTGCACACATCACTAAAGATTTTCACATCAGAAAATTAGTTTAAGTGGCTGATAAGCTTTTTCAAAGCCACTCATTCAGTTTCAAAAGTCTGAGAAATAATGTCGTCGCTTAATCTTGGTTCTCATACTCATTCGATTCCTGTAAGTTTATTCAAAACCAACAGAGCTAAAGTGGTTAAAGGATTGAGAGAGACAAAAAAAATTAAAAATGAAGACTCGACCTACATAATTTTGAAAGGAGGCTCTGAAGATGAGTTTGGATTTTATGACACTGACACAACTCAAACGAATTTTCGACAGGTAAGAGGCAAAATTTAAAGAAGGTTTACATTAAATTTTATGACGCTCATTACAGGAATCTTACTTTCAATATCTCTTTGGTGTTTCTGAACCCAATTTCTTTGGAGCTGTTCGTGTGTCTGATGGTCATGCCATACTCTTTGCTCCGCTTTTACCTCCTGGTAAGTTATCTAATTGTAGTTTAATCAAAATTCAATAATTTGGTTTTGTAGATTACGCAGTTTGGATGGGTCCGATTAAAACACTTGAAGAAATAAAGGAAAAATATGAAGTTGAAGAAGTTTTCTACACAAATCAAATGGATCGTTTGTTGACTGATAAAAATTCTTCACTACTCTTGACTTTAGCGGGTGTTAATTCAGATAGTGGAAAGCAATATTTACCAGCATATTTCGAAGGAATGGAAAAGTTCGCTCAAGATGCTGATATTCTCTTTTCAGTCATTGCTGAATGTCGAGTTATTAAATCAGCAGCAGAAATTGAAGTTCTTCGTTATGTAGCAAAAATATCTTCAGATGCACATAAGAAAGTTATGAAGATGCCATTCACTAAACAGAAAACTTTTGAATATCAAGCTGAAGCTGTTTTCCTTGCTCATACATACTATGTCGGTGGTTGTCGTCATGCTTCTTATACTTGCATCTGTGGTGTTGGTACCAATAGCGCCATTCTTCACTATGGACATGCAGGAGCTCCAAATGATCGTGAAATAAAAAATGGAGATATTTGCCTATTCGATATGGGAGCAAACTATTTCGGTTACTGTGCTGATATAACTTGTTCATTCCCAGCTAATGGAAAATTTACTGACGATCAGAAACTTATTTATAATGCTGTACTTGCAGCTAACATGGCTGTTCAAAACACTGCTAAAGAAGGCGTCAACTGGGTTGATATGCATCTTTTGGCAAATCGTGTGATGTTAGAAAAACTTAAGGAAGGAAATTTGCTTAAAGGAGACGTTGAAGAAATGATTAATGCTGGTTTAAATTATGTTTTCCAACCACACGGTTTGGGTCATTTGATCGGTTTAGATGTTCATGATGTTGGTGGATATCTGCCTCATTGTCCTGATCGTCCTGCAAAAGTCGGACCTAATAGATTGCGTTTCGCTCGTGTTCTTAAAGAGAACATGTACGTGACAATTGAGCCTGGTTGTTACTTTATTAAACCATTGCTTGAGAAAGCTTACAACGATGCGACACAATCAAAATTCTTAGTTAAAGAAAATCTTGATCGATTTTGGACATTTGGGGGTGTAAGAATTGAAGATGATGTTCTGATTACGAAGACTGGTGTTGAGAATTTTGCAATTGTTCCAAGGACAGTTGAAGAGATCGAAGCTTGGATGGCTGAGAAGGATAATGTACATTTTGAGTCTTATTAGGATAATTTAGAAAATTTATGTTCAATTTATTGTGCTATATTGGAAATGGGGAAAAATATTGCGAAAGACAAGCAACAAATAATATCTACTTCTATATTTTTATAGCTCATGATATTTATAAACAAATAAACTCTACAAATGATATAACTTGAAGTTTGCTTTGAAAAGCTTAATAAATTTTTTATATAGGCAGATGACATATGTCAAAAAGTCTCCACATTCAGTATGTGTATGTAAAGTCACTGCTTGATTTTAAGAATTTTAAATTTTAATTTATCCAGGGTTCAAAGGAAATTGTTTATGCGCAAACATAGTGGAAAACTGAAAGGAAAGGCTATTGTGCATGAAGATAATAAATCAAATCCAGTTTGATCGTAACTAAGATCGCAAATTAAAAATAATATTGTGAAAATTTCCTCGCACAAATGTTCTCGAACACAATGGCGGAGAGTCAAGAAAATATAACGAAAAGTTGTGAAAATAGTAAAAAGAATGGAACAAAACTTAATGACGACTTGAAAGTGAGCTCTCCTTCTCATGTTAAAAGAAGTGGTGAAGCTATAGTGAATAGCAAATCAGACGAAAATTTAAAATCAAAATTATTACAAAAAATGTCACCAACACAGTCACAAATAACTCTCCAATCATCACAAACACATTCAACGAATGGCACTGGGAATTCGACCGAAACTCATAAGAATGACGGAAAATCAAAGAATGTTGTGAAAAATACACACGAAAGTACATCGAAAGACAAGAAGAAACATGAAGGGCACGGTAAGTAATTGTTTGAGTTCAATTAAAATTAAAACTATACCATTTAAACATTTTCATTTGAAATTTTTATGAGTCATTTAATACTTGAACTTGTTTGCATGAAAACACATTTGTTGTGTTATTCAACGTTATAGAATTGTATTTATTGTATTATAAGTTCAATCTTACAGAAAGTAATATTTATTTCTCTTTTTAGAATCTTCTTCACGAAGCCACAAGAAAAAGAAAAGTAAAGACAAAGATCGTGAGAGAGAAAAGGTAAATCGAATAAAAAAACTACAACCATCGGCGTTTTTATTGTAAATATAAATTTATTTCTAGGAACGGAGAAAAGATTCGTCATCACAACACCAGAAAGAAATGAAGGAAGGGGAAAAGATTCAAAATAATTCATCTGGCGGTCACCAAATCAAAGAAAATGGAAAAATCTCTGAAATTAAAGATAAAAATTTTTCTCAAGATATCACAAAAGAAAAATCGCCTCAATCTCTCAGTACAAAGAAAGAAGCCTTACCAACGTCAAAGGAAAAGGCTTCATTTTCAATCCCAGTAATTTTATCACCACACAGAAGTAAAACTTCTGACTCTTCAAAGAAACAAGACAGCACTTTTATCAAAGTTGATTATTTGAAATCAACGAAAAGTGAAAAAACTTCTTCTCCTTCCATTACCAAGGAAAATGTTTCTCGAGTTCTCGATTTTGCTTCAACTACAAAATTAAGCAACGGAGTGAAGAGTGAACCAAAAGATGAACAATTACAATCATCATCATCATTTTCGTCATCAACAACGTCAATAAAAGTTGAAAAAGATGTAATCACACCAAATTCAACTCCATGTAAAGTTGAAATTAAAAAAGAGTCTGGAAATACAAAATCTAACACCAAATCGTCACATCACAGCAGTAGTCATCATAAAAATCATTCTTCCTCTTCATCTTCCCATCACAAATCATCATCATCTCATAAAAGTAGTCATGGAAGTAGCAACAGTAGCAGCAAGGATTGCTCAAAATGTTATCGACGCTCAAAGATAAAGAAAACAAATATTGGAATTCAAGTTCGTCCCGACGAAAATATTCCAAAACCACCGACAAGGCCTTTAGAATTTGAAGCATCACATCGTGTTGGCGTTAATCGTCATCCAGTTACAATCAACACAAACTTATCATATTTAAAATATGGAAGATTCTATCATATTGAAGTTCATCCTAATGGTGGAGCTTCAATTGTTCATATGTATCAAGATGAGCTCAACACTTTGAAAGCTGAAGAAATGAATGAACTTGTTGATGAATTCTTTGATTTAGTATTCAGCGAGGATGAAAATGGTTTTGCTTATCATGTTATGGGCGTTGTACATAATGCTGCAGCATATTTGCCAGATCTTTTGGAACATATGGCTGAAAACTATTCAAATTTAACTGTTAAAGCTGGAGTTCTTGGACGAAATAACGACATTGAAACATGCACAATGTTGCAATATTACGAGCAAGTTGCAAAGACATTTGAAGAGGGAACTGTTCGATATGGTCCATTACATCAAATCAGTTTGGTGGGAAAAGTTCATGAAGAAGTTGGCGGATATTTTCCTGATCTTCTTGGCAAACTTGAGAGTTGTCCATTTTTAAAGAAGTCAATGCCTTGGGGAAAACTTTCTTGTATTCAGATGGATCCTCGTCTCTCGAATGACGGTCCGATCTTATGGATTCGTCCAGGTGAGCAGTTAATTCCCACTGCTGAAATGGCAAAAACTCCATTAAAGAGGCAAAGAGCAAGAATTAATGAATTGAGAAATCTTCAATATTTGCCGCGTTCATCGGAAGCTCGTGAAATTATGTTTGAAGATCGAACAAAAGCGCATGCTGATCATGTCGGAATGGGACATGAAAGACATACAACAGCAGCTGTTGGTAAGTAAAATTTAGATTTTCTTTTCAAAAGTTCATAAAGTTAATGTTTTAATTTTTACAGGTGTTCTTAAAGCTGTTCATTGTGGTAAGGAAAGCAAACAAAATCGTGTAACGAAGGATGTTGTCGCATTTGCTGCACAATCCTTTCCACTTCTTACTGAAAAGCTTCAACTTGACTTACATGAACCGCCAATATCTCAATGCATTCAATGGATTGAAGATGCAAAACTGAATCAGCTGAAACGTGAAGGTGTACGATATGCCAGAATACCATTGTATGATAATGACATTTATTTCCTCCCACGAAATATTATTCATCAATTTCGTACGGTGACGGCTGTGACAAGCGTCGCATGGCATTTAAGATTACGACAATATTATGCTGATCAGGATGAGGCCGATGAAATTGCAAGTAATTATGACATTGAAACACCACAGTATAAAGAAAAACAAACAATTTTACCTCATCCATTGTCAGAAAATGAGAAGACACCGGCAAAGCGAACGCATGATGGAAAGCTTAAGATAAAGTCTGTGAGTGAGAAAAAGTTTCATGATGGCTCAAAAATTGATATGAGAAAGTTGGAGAGATGTCCAAGTGATGTTGGCTTGTTGAGCAATGGAAGTCTTCACGAACAGAATAATAAGACGCCTCATAAAAGTAAAAAGAAAGATAAAAATCATGAGAAGGGTAGCGAGAAGAAAAGGAAAAGTACAAAGAAGAGTAAACCACCAACACCACCGACGCCAATTCGGATCGATTCTTATAATTTGAATAGAGACGAAGAATTGCATTATAAACGAATGAATCAACAACAGAAGACGACTTTAAGACCAAGTGATAAAGAAAACAATGAAAGCTCACTAGACTCGATGATTGTTGTTAAGGAAAGTGACATGATGGAAGTTGATGACATTCCAGTGGTAGCTGAAGAGATTGTCGTTGAAGAAACTGTCGTTGAAACAACAACAAGTACAAATAGTATTGAAAGTATTGAACCATCACCCGATCAATCACCAGATTTTCATATTTCAATACAATCGACGCCGCACTACTCAGAAGAGGTTGTCACAGAAACAATTGTAGCTTTTCCTCATTGCAGTCAAACTGCTGCACCTTAAATGTAAGTTTCTTAAGATTGTTAAAGGAATTTTATTAAAATCCATTTAATTCTTTCAGATTTTACAAATATAAATTTGATTTCCAAATCAATCATACAAATGAACAGGAGGCAAAAAACAATACAAAATATGATCTCGGATTAAGTTTATTGATGTTGACATCTTTCAGTTCATTTAATGTTTTCATGGAAATTATGTAAAGAATTAAAGTATCGTGAAATAATCGATTTTTTTTTTCGCTTAAGAGAATATCACCAAAGTTAGTCGTAGACAAAGTTTGATGATGATCTTTACATTTGCGAAATATTAAAAAAAACACAAACACGAAATGTTTTTGGTAGACTAAAGATTTTGCAGAAAGAAAAATATTCCCAGTTGAGCTGATTAATCAGAATATTTATACATAGTGTTGAACATTTTGTTCTGTAGAAATAATTTAGATGTCAGTCATACCTTTCTTTTACTTAATACCGGCTAAGTTTTCCTTAAAACGACACATTCAATAACTGTGAAAAAACCACTAATTTGATTGTTTGTTTTAATGCCTTAGACAGTCCAAATTTTCACTTCACATTTTCTTAGATTAAACATAGTTGATAAAGAGTATTTTCAACTGATTGTTAAGAACGGAATGGTGCTTAGAAATGACGAAGGATGAAATGATTAGACTACGATAATAGCGAAGCGACGAAGAAGGGAAAAATTCTCTTTTTTTAAGAAATAGTTTTCTCATTCTAACAACATAATTTGGTATCAAACTCATGATGTTCATTTGAACAATTATGTAGGTATTTTTTATTAAGTATCATAAAATGTGAATAAAATTTCAATTAAAACTAAATCAGCACTTTCTTTATTTTAAACAAATTTCAGAATTAAAATTGCTTTTGACCGAGAATGAAAAATTTAAAATTATCTACATATCTGTCAAAAAATGTTAAACCATCAAGATCGATGTGAATATGAGAACCGCAGCCCACAACTGAATCTTAATCCATGATGGATTGTATGGGTGGATTAAATCTGGTCTGGGTACCATTTTGGGGGGGGGGGTGGATGTAGTTGAGTAAATGTGATAGATAAGTAAGCGAATTGTCATCACCGGTGGTTAATTTTGTATTCCTCTAAAAGAGATATTCAAACATGACAGGGGAAAAAAGCAAACCCTGGTTTCATTGTAGTCCGATCAAAACAAAATGTTGCGAGCAAGCAAATTATTTAGTTTTACTAAAAATATTAAGAATTATCGCTTATGTTTTGGATCAAAATCGAATGAAAAGGTTCTTGGTTATAATGAAAAACCGAATAATAATGAAATAATGGCAGATTATATAGGTGAGTCCATAAAAACTTAAATATCATCAGAGTTACATAAATAATTTTTTAGGACCACCTGATAAAAATTCTAACATAAGGCCAATACTCCGCTATATCCCAGTAAATGAAACAAAATTACAAAAAGATCTTAGACTTCGACGGAATGAAGTTCAAGATTGGGTTAGTAAATTCTGGAGGAATCATAATGAAAGATTTTTTCAAGAAAAAGAACTTTTTATAAAAAAACAACGGCTGAAAAGTGACGAAGAAAATGTGACAGCTGATAAAATGAGTGAATTTTACAAAGCATTTTTGGACAAGAATTGGAAACTGCACGTTTATTTTAATGTATCATGGTATATGAAGAATTTTGAACTTTTATTCTTAGCATTTACAGTCAATTTAGAATCTGCTGCCAGATTAATTAAAAATAAAGTTAAACGGTCAAATTAATAAAGCTAACTTGTATGCGTTTGTAGAGTTTTGAATCGATATGTTGAGTATTTGAATGTAGTAGTAAATAGTAAACAAAGAAATGTTTCATTCTAGAATAATTTTGAAATATTTTATATTAGGTTTGTTTTTTAACTGCACCTATTCGTATAAACCAGTGGTGCTTATTCATGGCATTCTCTCTGATGGACCTAGTATGATTCCAATCTCGGAACAGATTAAATCAGTGAGTTTTTAAAAAATTTCTTCTCTATGTGTTGAAAAATTGCATAATTAAATATCTTGAAGAGTCATCCTGGAACTGAAGTTTATATCATAGATAAATTCAACAATTGGCAAAGCTTAGAACATGCTCTTGGTCAAATAGAAACATTTTATGATGAGTTTGATGCTATTTTTAAGGCACATCCTGAAGGTGTACATGTTTTAGGATATTCTCAAGGTGGCCTTCTAGCTCGAACTCTTATTCAGTTTTATGAACATCATAATGTTAAACGACTGATATCCCTAAGTAGTCCACAAGCAGGACAGTTTGGCGATGCTTTTTTACATCTCATATTCCCATCGCTTTTCGCACGAAACGCTTACGAATTATTTTATTCTCGAATTGGACAAAAAACTTCAGTTGGAAATTACTGGAACGATCCAAACCAAAGGCAGCTTTATTTACGGTATAGTGAATTTCTACCCTATGTTAACAATGAAGTATTAACGAAAAACTCCAGTCAATTTCGAAATAATTTATTAAAACTTGAACAAATGATTTTAATCGGTGGTCCCGACGACGACGTCATAACGCCTTGGATATCAGCGCACTTTGGATTTTATGATTCAAACTTGACAATGATACCAATGCGTGAACGTCAAATCTACACTGAAGATGCTATTGGACTGAAATCACTTGATGAAAGTGGAAGACTGAAAATTGTTACTGTTCCTGGTGTCAAGCATTTTGCTTGGCATCTCGATAAGAAATTAATTGAAAAAGTGGTTGTTCCCCATCTAGACTGATTCATTTGCTGGTTTACCAAATTTATTCTATTCTGTTTTAAGCTAAAGAAAATTTTAATCTCGTGTTGGTAACTATCCAAATTTTATAAGAAATAAAAATGTCTGTGAATTAGAGAAATAAAAGAAGGAAAGAAAAATTTAATTAGATGTTTTATTCTCAAGTTAGATATATCGTTTTCGTTCATAAAATTTCATCACACACTTTTTTAATATTTCAAAGAAAAAACATTGACATAAATAGAATAGATGAAAAATGCAAATGACCACTAATTGCATAAAATTATGTTTCATCCTGGAAAAGGAAAAGAATGAAAACCCTTTTTGAAACACTGAAGAATGACGTCCAATTTGTCAACCGTCACGAGATCATCAACGCAATTAGCCTTTTAGTCAAATGATTAATGTGATAGCAGTTGCATGACATCGCATACGAAAGGCAAGGAGTTGACTTTCTCCTGTTGTAAATATCTTGATGGTTTAGAAAAAAAAAACGTCAAGAGGTGCTTGTCGTAACAAAACAACGAGAAAATTCAATAAACACATTTTTAAGGAGCGAACGTGATTGTAATGACAATATTGGTAAAAATGAACGGTGTGGAAAGTTAAAAATTCGGTTTGAATATGATTTCAAAGGAAATGAAGAGTTTTTTAAGGAAGTTCCCGTGAATTTTTTTTTCCTTTATACCTGGAAAAACTTTTAATATTCTCTCAACAAATTTTCATTCTTACTCGTTTTGAGATGAAGAAAAAAAGGAATTTTTATTACGAATCAAAAATTCCTAATCTATGATTTATGATTTTTCATTAGTTTACTATTGTCATCGAACAAATATAGACATGAAGCATTGAAGTCCTCTCACAAAGGGCTTTATCATGACTTGACGTAATTCAGATGCTAAGAGACTTAATTACATTACAATCAGGACGATAAAGCTGAGTGGGAATAAAAGATTCAAACATGTGATGATGGACTTTTATTGTTCTTTTAAGCGGCGAGTCCGAAATTGCTTTCATGAATTTTTAATATTTATGAAGATGAATGTGCATCAGATTTTTATTTTTCTTTCTCTTTTAATTGCATGAAATGCTCAAGATTTGCCAATTTTCTTTTTGCTTTGATACTATAATAAATATCTGCAATAAATCAGCTTTACTTCTCATGTTTTTCATCACATTCATTGCCTTAGTCAATGCAAGAAAGCAATTAAAGAAAATCCAGATGAAAACGAAAGAATTTGCTTTCAATTTAATATAATTTAATGTTGATTGAATCATCATTACTAATTCACGATGTTGTTGAAGCTATTGAAGAAACATCTTGTGCAATTGTACCCTAAGGAGATTTCTTTCTGATTACCTCGCTTTTCTATTCTCTCGCAGTAGACACAAATGATTACAGCATGATAAGTATAAATTCAATCAACTATCTAAGATAATGAAATTAAACAATTCAAGTCGAAGAGAATTCAATCGAAAAGAAATTGATAAAATATTCATCACTATGTCGTTTAGCACTTCGTCTCTTTTTATCCTAATTGCAACAACTTGTTGTTATCAATTCTCACGACACGAGAATCAATTAAGTGTAAGCGGATGCGAAGAAAGCAATTTTTCTACATCGTTGAAGTTGTCGTGGTGGGGTTTAAGAATACTTTCACATGATATTGCTATCGAATTGACTATTTATTGGTGAAGATATTTGTGTTGACATCATAGATAAAGTGAAGGTAGATCTCTTTGGTATTGCTACATGTACCTATCACTTCACTATTTATTCAACGAAGATGTTTTTATTTAATTTGATACACAATTTCCTATTGACATTTCGTTCCAAATCGACATATTTCAACACAACAGGGAGTCACAGCTATCGTGACTTCTTTTTCTCTTATTTCGGGGGGTTTAAAAGGCGGTGACAATATCGAGAACGATATCAACTCGAAGGAAACTGCGCTCTTGGGAATGAATAATTCCTCGTTTCATTCCGAGAATACATAAACATGCTGGCGAATAATGTCGATGCGAATAAACGAATTGAAATTGGTTTTTATTAAAATTCAATAAAAATAAAAAGAGTTTAAGTTGCTCGCAATTTTCTTGTAAACTTTCTTACTTCCTTAGAAGGGTTTTCCTTAGAAAGGTTTAACTTGTGTCACAAAAGTAGCTCCACCTTCAACTTCTTATAAATAAAATATTCATACGATGTTTATTTGCTGAATGATCATTTCAAATATTATTGAGCGAAGCATAAATTTTTTTTCCTTAAACATTTTATCGGTCTCCGTTGGACGGTTTTTGTCGTTTAACCAAATGGCATTTTAATGGTATGTTCAGGAAGAGACTTATGTCTCTGTTTGTATCATCTTGAATAATTTAAGGTTTCATTTTACCTTCACTTCGATGTCAATATGAATCACCGACAATGTCTAAACTTCATTCAACTCACAACTATAAATCAAAAAGCTATTTTCTATCGGTCACAAAATCAATTAGAATGAATTAAGTCTGGAGATAAATATTTACTGAAACATCAATTTCCGAAATTATAACAAAGTTGAGGTTTACGGAAGAGAATGTTTACTGAAGTGTATCGAAATGATGAACATATGTCTGTGACCTTACGTCATCGTAATCAACCCTTTTAATTAAATGATGTCACTTGAATGCACTGAAATTATTTAGTTCGCCTGCATTGGTGAACGACAATTGAATTGTTTTGACAGTTTAACAATTCTATTGATGAAACTGACGATTTTTGATGCTTGTATAAATAGAAAATAGATAAAGAATAGAGTAAGTGAAGTCAACATAATTTACTGTTGATTAATCTTCTTGTTGATTGTCTTCATTTCATTGAAATATCTAGTGAACAGTGATAACACCACTGTGGCGTGACTTGTGTTATTTACAACCATACTTTATGATGATTGCTTGTGCGTTTACGCAATAGTTTCAGTCGACATACTCCATCCAGTTTATGCTAAAGGAAGAAGATATTTTGAATCTATAATGAAGCTTATTAGCATGCAAAATTAGTCACCATCAGGACATGAAACAGAAGAGTCTTCTGCTACCATAACAGGCATTTGTAAATATTTATTGAAATAGAAATCAAAGGGAGTGGTTTTGATGTTCAACTGATTAAAATCTCATTTTTCCATGGTACGGTGAACACACGATATCAAACTATTCACAAGAGCACAAAATATATTCATAAATTGTTGTGTAATTACAAAGCGACGGTGTCAGTAGTTTAACCCTTTTTACTTAATTCAATTTCCAAGTGTGTATGATACATATTTTGTATCGGTAAACAACGGGATTGTGCTCGTGCAACATGTCAATATTTTTTCTGGTCTTTCTGAGGTGCAAATTATCTCCATGGTTGGTTAATCGAGTAGACGAGAGAATAGAAAAGCGATAAGTTAACAAAACTCTTATGATATGAGGGCGAGCCGCTATTGTTTGTTGGGACTTTTTTTGTAAATATTTTTTACTGCTTAAGCACTCGAAATTATGATGGATTCGTGTCCACTATAAAATCGCCACGTGCTGTGTATATTCCTTTTCCAATAAGATGATTTATGCATCAAATTTAAATGTCTTTTAGATTTCCCATGAATCCTAAAAGAATTCACAAATATATTTTTGTGTATGATGTTGTACCACAACCCGCAAGACAAATTTTGCTGCATAATTAATTATTCATTACATATGTTGTTTCAAAAAAAAGATATCTACTTTTTTTAATTCGACATTTAACGAATCTCCCACATGATTCTCATTGTGATGTTGCTGTTAGAAAAATGTTTATGATTATGTCGCAAAAGAACGGCATGTTTCATAAAACATATATATCCTTAAACGCATTTTCTTGATCTTCGTCATGACAATAAAACATCAAATAAAAGAAAAGTTTAATTGGTGTTTTGAAGCTAAGGGGAAATTGAATTTTAAACGAGAAAAAGTAAAGGAAAAGTTGTTATAACTAAGTATAGTAAAATGAAAGAAAATTAAAGGGTAAAATCGTTCAACTCGTAACATGTAATAACCACAAATTTTTATGCGAATTGATTTTCGATTTAATGAAAAGGATTATGAAAATAAAAAAAGAAAAAAGAATGAAATTGCTTCTTGTGGGCGTGATCTGATGGTGTAATCTCTTTTTCAACCCTAACGTTCATGAGATTTCTACTCGTGGATATTCCAGGCATGAATTCAATTATCAATATAATCGGTGTTTGTTAAGTTACCAATTGTTCAACAATATTGTTTTTAATGTTTCTGTAGGCAGCGATAATCTTCAAGCATCTCTTGAGAATTCGCAGAAAAACGAAATGATTGATTTAAATCTAATTCAATTGGTATGTTGTGCAAAAAAATTGCAAAAATTACAAAGTTTTGTTCAATATCGCGGCGATGTGAGACGATTGATCGTCTTAAATTATTTAAAGTGCTTCAGGTGCTTGAAAGTAAAATAAATTAAGTTAATGTTCATTGATCCACATGTTGAAATGTTCTCAATTAGAAATGAATTCTTAATTTAAAGATTTTTTTTCGAGATCTTCATAAAACAAACAAAGTTAATTAATCTAAAGTTTGTGATTCATCACTCATCTCATCTATTGACCAATTTTTATTTGAATTCAAACCTAGATGCGCAATTTCAATTAAAGTGAAACACTTTGACAGGCACTCTTGAGTCGCAAAGCTAATCTGCATTTCAATTAGTTTCAAATAAATTTCAATTAATTTTTCTTTCCCACTAACATCGAACGACTAATTGTCTCATGCGGATAATAAACAGTAGTTACTTTTTTACAAATTGATTGTAACACAAACAGTTTGGCTTGGGATGGCAGCTTTGGAAATATATATTTCTAGTCGCAATGCTGATGGTGTGAATTGTGATATCATCAGGCTTGATTTCACAATTCAATCATGTGAAGTTCTCACGCCTACACAAATTAAAATTACTTGCTTGCTTTTCTTTAAAATGAAACTAATATTAATGAAATATATTAGAATTGATGTGGGAAAGAGAAATATATTCGCTGATGCGTTACATAAACGATTTAAAATGGGTCAGTTGATGAGGTTTGCACTCAATTTTAAACTATTTTATGATGTTGATTTATTTTGTTTTCTTTTCCTTGATCTTTTACAGAAATTCTTCTTACAAAAACTTTCTATTACCAATATTTTCCTTAATGTTTGATATGCAAATTTAGATTGCTGGCAGCTAAAAGATTCATTCGAAACCCTTTTGAGTTCACATCCATAGCGATTTTCTCCTTCGTTACAATATCAAAGAATTTTCTGAAAATCAATGACCGCAAGACTATCACACAATCATTTTCCCATCAGCTTTTTCTTGAACATCTGACAAGCGATTTAGAGATTAAAATTCGGTAAAAGGGTGAAATTTATTTTTCTGATCTATCGAATCGCTCAAATTCATTTTCATCGAGGTTTGATTTACTTTACAGATTTTTTTTTAATATCTAAACGAAATGCTTAAAACAATCAGTCAATAACAAAAATAAAGAGAAATTCCGTTTGAGTTTTCCCGACTACATTGCATGAAATTATTCGACTTTGATATGTTAATTAAGATATCATGAAATCGATTTACAATCGTGAAACTTTCAATTTGATGATTTGGTTTGATGTTTACAAACTAATCATAAGTCGTACGATTGCAGAGTGAACATACTATTATAAGGTCATTGGTAATCAATTAAATTGTTTACACAACTACGAGGCTTGTTACGAGGTTTTTCGTTTTGCTTTTGACATCACAAATACACCAACAAGAAACAATCTAATAACTGAGTTTGTAGAACGGAGCATAGTTATGTTTAACTGAGAAAAACAAATTATGAATTATGCATTAAACATTGCGATGGTTTTAAGGAACTAAAAATAATTTTTGATACATTCGAAATCATTAAAAATCTTAAACATTCTAATTAGATAAGAACGTCGCAAAGTTTTTCAAGAAACGAAATTATGATTTCAAAAGAATCGACTAAAATTTACATTTAAATCATTTTAATTAAGTGTCATGACACTCATAAAGTTTTAAGTAAGCAGCAAAAATCATATGAAATTATTACCCGCATTCAGACAGATGATTGAAGTTTTATTTTTATGTTTTAACAATTTTTTACTTTGAAAAATAACTTACGAGGGTGGAGAAGCATAAATATTCATTCGAACCATTCGTCTCCAGGGTTCATTCTTTGTAAGTTAGAAAGAGATCTCGTAACAAATTGTTTCATATAAAATGATACACACGATCCATAAAAATGAGCATTTAATTAAATGAAATCTCCAACGAAAAAACAAGAAAAAAATGTAAGGAAGAGAAAATTTAATTAAATTCTCCACATCACATGAAAATGGCTCTATCACGGCTTAATATCATCAGAGAAACTTGTTTTCGGAAGATTTCATGATGATTAAGAACAATTATTCAATTAAGACTTGAAATGCTTGATTGTCAAGTGACGCTTAAATTTTCAATTCCCGAATTTTGTCAGTCACTTTTAAGATTCACTCAGCTTTCAACTGATGAAACTTCTAATTGATGGTCTGACAAAGTGTGATTAAAAATTAAAAGATTTTTGCGAGCTGTTGGTTTTGGCTGAAAAGCATCTCATTTACCCAAAGACACAAACAAGATAATTGACAATTAAGCACTGGTCACAGCTGCCATCGCAGTCATTGTCATTTTAGTAAAGACTCGAGCTTCCGAAATCTCTTTCTGTGGTCATACTCCAGAAGTCATAATACTAAATATCCATAAATTTTCACCCGTTTTTTGAGCAGAATGAATGTTGGGAAATGTGGTTGTAAGTAAAGATTAAAACTAGAGTTTGGCAAAGCAATTTCATGAATTTTTAATACGATAAAAGGGGTTACGTAAAGATTTTTGCATAATTGTGACATTCATTATGCTTTGCTACATTTTTCTTCTTCAGGATTTTTTATCCTAAAATATTTATAAAATTTTAAATGGAAAAAAAACATCTGAAAATTTTGTTCTTATAAAATTATTTAAAAATTGTAAAAATATATAATTACATATCAAGTAAGTTTCTCTATTCTCATCATTTTCTTTTTCTGTAAATCATTTTAAGTTAATCAAGACTTAAACAAATCAATTTAAAAAGTTTCACATTATAAAATGAGAGAAAGAAAACAGCCACTTGTTGACTTATAATTTATAAACAAAGAAGAAAAATAAAATTCTCAGTGAAAATCTGGAAAAATCTCGTGGAAAGTGTAACGGGTGAAGATGATGAGAGGGCGTGGTGAATAGAATGAAGCAGTTTGAGTGAATGTTTGTGAGTTACAAACACATCTAAAGAAATATTTCGAACAAGATTTTTCTTTTTTGTGTTTACTCGGAAAATGCCATTTTTTTCTCTTCTTTTTACATTTATTTACATTAGTTAGTACAAGGAAGAAAAAGCTTGTGAAGCGTTTTTAGAACAGATTATTTTGACTCTTCTTAGATGATGCTGAGAGCACAGTTAGTAACTCGCTGTATGAAGTAACAACAGTGAAGTCATTCTGTTTTCACACTGAAAACAGTTCGAAAAAATTCAAGTGGAAAATTGTAGCTGTTCTGAATTAAGTTCAGTGATAACTGTTTAACTTCATCTCTCACTTGTCACATTTTTATTATTAAAAATTCAATGTCGTCGAGACGACAAAGACCGTCAAAGAGTTTTTCGTACAACAAAACAACAAAAAAGCTTTATTTCACTGTGTAATTCCCGTTGCGCAGCTATTTTCCATCTCGATTTTAATTAACTTCAAGCACGGGAGAGTCTCATCGAGGGATTACACAGTGATGGATTTATGGCTGATTCGTTTTCGTGGATTTCTGACTGCGACCGTTAAACATAAATTTTGTTGCCATCAGTCAGTGAAGGCGACTTGTAGAAGTAATCAGGGCATCATTGCTTTCACGCAGTTTATGTAACGGGAATCAAAATAAAAACATATTAGGAAAATGGAAAGCATTCCGCTAAAATCTCATACATTTACCTATTTAAATATGAAAGCAAGATACCAACATAACATTTATTAAGTTACTCTCATTCAAACATGTTCTTTCTCTACTCGAAATGAAAATCTCATTTGCATGCTTAATCTCGTTTCAAACCTGTATCACTCGCTCGAATACGAAATGAGAAAAAGAGAAAAGAAAATGTACGAAAAATAGAAAATAACGCCAAATGAAAATGAATCGTTGCATAATCAAAACAATCAGGTGTAGAAACTGATTGCGCGTGATAATGAGATTCAAACGTTTTCAGAATTTTCTCTCTACATCTCTTACATCGTTCCTTTATTGACCTTGTTTTGAATACGGAAGATGACAAAAGCTGTTTCCTTCTCATATGAACAAGCTTAATAGCTTGAGAAGAAAGAAAACTTTTGACATCTGATACAAAAATCCCTTGACGAAGTTTGTTTTTATGATCTAAAAAAGATTCACCCATAAATCCCAAGAAAAAGTTACATGAGAAAAAAACAACAGCAAAAGCAAATCCTATTGAATTTTTCATCACACATCTTTGCCGCTTATCTTTTGGCCGCTTTGCTTGCTTCTTTGCCTTTTTTTCCTTCCTTATATCTTCTTATGTATAAAGTTTACGTTTACGTTTTCTTTCTTCGCATCAGACTGAGATTGTCTGTAACATCATCAAAAGGTAAAGCTATAACTACATAATCATCATCATGGAGAACATAAATTTTATGATGGAAGTGGAGCGAAAGAGCGCAGAAAAGTATTTTTGATATGGCACAAGTTTCATGATTTGTTAAACTTTGACGACATGATAAAGATTTTTCAACGAGAGTTGCCAGATCTAATCAAGATCGACTTTGACCAGTAAAAAGATAAAAATCAATAAACTTCATCAACTTTTTTTCTTCTTTACACAAAAAGAGATGAAAATTACAATAAAAATAATATTCAACAATAAAATCTAATCTCAGGGACGGAAGGAAAATTTTATTCATTGAATGTGAGTTTATTTTTCCCGTGAGTATAGTTTTTCAATCGTATGTGGATGATTTCTTCTTTTTTATTTGAACAAGTTTTATTGAAATATTATTTATTTGATTTTAAACTCCCGCAATGTGAGTATCTATGACTTTTCATGCTTCTCTTTCATCCCTCGTGGTTGAAGTTGAAAATGTTGAAGGGTGTCGAGAAGCATTTAGACATTTTTGAAAGAAGATGAGTTAATAAATCTTAATGTCTTAATATTATTTTTCGAAATTTGAAGCTTTCATGTTGGAAATGTTCAGACATTAGCGATCAGATGAAAGCGTTAATGAGATTTTAATAATTTAATTAACGTTGATTTACTCTTTCTCACCCATTATTCTGTAATGATATGCTTTCATGTAATTAATTATTTAAACCCTATGACACGCTCAGTGCTTCTTTCAATTAACGCCAAACGTGTAATCATCAAAAATATCTTTTTTTAATGACTGACGACGCGGAGAGAAGAGAAATTAACAAGCCTATCACTAAATAAAAAGAAATTAATGAAAAATGTAATTAATTAACCTAAATGGATAAGTCTGACAAGTTTGTCTCATCATAAAATCGTGTGTCGTTGATCATATCAAAAGGTGGCATCAACGTTATTCGTTCATATTATAATCATAAAGGGTTGATTTGAATTTCTAATTAATTGAAAGTAACAATCAGTTTACACTTTGAAATTGTTAGTAATGCTTATAAAATCGTAAGATTCAACTTTCGAATTTTAATGTTGAAGGGTGTTGATTGCTAAGAATATTCAAAGTTTAAACTCATACGTTGTTATCACAGCACATGAGACACGAGGCGTGGTTTTAGATTTAAAATCTTGTTAAAGGAAACTAACACATGCGACTTAAGTAACTTTAAGTGCAATTTTCTATGACACAAATAATTACTTTTTCATCTTTTTTGAATTTTATATTTAGTAAGTAAGCTTAACTTTTGTGATATATGTAGTAACATCTGACCTATCACCATTACTTTACACACAGATTTTCTTTTAATAAGTATTAAATTTTCCTTCCAATAGCGTAGCAGTGATTTTTGCACCACCCACATCCTGCTTCTGCTTCAGTTTCTATAGAAACAATTCACTAACACAACTACAAACATTTTTCACTTCTGCTAGCTGATTAAATTGAATAATTTGAAATGAAATTGGAATTTATTTTTAATCTACATCTGATTTTCATATATTTTCCACTTTTCCATTGAATAATTTTTAAACAAAGAAATCTTCAACAATCCAGAAAGAACAAAAAAATCATTTCTTACCTTAAATGTACTTTACTTCTTCTCAAAACAACAATAGCATCAAGTTGAGAAAGCCCTTAAAGGATGGAAGACGAAAATCATTTTCCGTTGAAAATAAATAATAAAAGAAAAAAAGAAGAAAGAAAACGAAAAGAAAACCTCAAATCGGGATACATTAGAGTGTAGCTCAGCGTAGCTCGACTTTCCTTCTCTACCCATTTAAATGTTTTTCTTATAATCTCTTTACACAGGCACAAAAGCAGCAAAAGCTTTCACATAACTTCAACCTTTCCTTCCCCACTTAAATGTGAACCAAAGGAAGCACATAAACAAGGAAGCAAAAGAGCTGAAAGCAAAGCTTCGCACAAAAAAGATTTGCTGCTGTTGATGTTTTCTGTGGGTGGCAAAGCACAGAGAAAATCGATTTTCCGACAAAAACGTCAAATGTGTTTTTCCACACATAAATAGAATGTGGAAAACAGAGCGCAAAAAAATGAAAAAGGAAAAGCAAAGCAAAGAAAATGGCAAAGTCTAGTTGTGGGGTCGTCTTTATGTGTATGGAAGAAATTTAAGCACTCAGAAGCTCAGATCTACACCAAAATGAAAGAAGGAAAGGAAAAGAAAAGCATAGAAAAAAGGATAATAAAATAAAAACAACTCGAATAGAATAAATTTCTCGTGTTCATAGCTACAAAAGTTGTTCAAGACTTGATACGAAAAGAAATGGCGAAAGAATGGCAATAAAGAAGGCGAAAAAATCTCGGGCTGATTTTAATTAATGCTGAGTGCGAAAAGAGAACCCAGAAAGATTTTGCTTTGCTTTAATTGTGATTCTGGTATGGTAGAAATGTCGTTCTTTTTGGCTCATGCCGGGGTGTTTGCCCTTTCCTTTCTCTCTTGCTCGTTTGTCTGCTCGTTTCATTATATGGATTTTTCATTTACTGTAATGAGGTTCGTCGGAAATCACTGAAACATGGGCAAGCGAAAAGGAAAGAGGATGAGAAAGGATTTTTATATCGTCCATGAAAACGAGACGAGTGGATGAAAATCTACCAAAGCCAGCATATGTACAAGCTTACGTATATAACCAAGCGTAGGAGGATGAGAGAAACATTCCAATGTGAAAATATATTCGCCCAAAATGTTATAAATACGTTTTGCATATTTGTGCTGAGCTTTTATTTCTCTCGGATTTATTCAGCTCATGCGATGTATTTGAAGTGGAAAAAGGAGGAAAACCCTAAGAAGAAGAAAAATCAGAACGATAAAATTCTGTGAATAAAAAAATTTATTGACGGTGATGCAAGATCTTGTTGATGACTTCGGCACGACAACTTGTCGTTAACATTCAACATATGAAATGAAGGTTCGAATCACAGAAAAAAAACAAGCTAAATGAAAGATTCTTAGGAAGCAACCCTACCCTGACAATATAACATTAAAGTAAAGCTTCTTTTACTTCCATAAGAAAATCAATATCAGTTAAATTCCATCTCGAAAGCACGCAGATGTTAACAGCCTTTTTCGCAAAAATGGTTTCATATAGAATCATAAAAAGCAAAAACGAGAAATCTGGTTTTTATTCAACACCCTCGTTCCCAAAGTGTAGCAAATTGAGCGGGGGTGGAAAATTTATTTTCGAAATTTCATTTTCGGCTCCATAGCAAATTGTACCATTTGAGATTCATTCTCGAGTAAACGATGATGGTTGTGAAGCATAAAGATCATATTTACAATCCGAATCCGAAATCCTAAGAATGAAGAAAGGGAAACACTCTTAACTCACAAGAAAATGAAATTTTCTCGAAAGATTTCTTCTTAAAGGATAAAAGAAAAGGAAAAGAAAAATCTCTGTTTAGTGATCGAGATTTGCTTTCTTGAGCGAAGCGAATTTTTATTTTCCATTGAATGCCAGCTTACAGCACGAAGAGTGAAAAATATTTACGATGACTAACAAACACAGAACGTCTGACTCTTGCAACACACCAAATTAGGATTTATGGGTCATGATTGCTGATATTTAATATTTTATGGGCATGGAAAAGCGGATAAAAACGTTTGCTTTTCTGTTTAATGCTGTAGTAAATATTTTCCAGCTTCTGATTCACTTTTGAATTATTGAAAACCCGGAAATCTTTTAAAACTGCCTACAAGTTGTAGGCTACAACTCTGGTTGTTGCTTTTATTCACGTTTCAAATACAATCAAGATGTAATTTCACTTGAAATTGAAATTCTTCTGTGAATAAGTTTCAAGCAGAAATGGCGTAGACAACATTAAAAGCTTCTAAGTCTAGCTTCTTATGAATGAGAAAGGAAAGCAAAATAAAATGGATAAAAAAAATCGATAAAACGAGAATTTTAAATCAAGCATCTTGAGTCGTTGTTTTGAAGTCTTTCTTTGCTTTTTTTCTTATTTTATTTGATTCTGAGCGGTATTCGTTCTCGAATCTCATGAAATGCGAATGAGGAAATCTTTTTACATAAATTTCGTGTCTGATTTCATGTGTTCCACTAAGGGCGCTTTACATTTTCATTTCTTTTTTTTGATCCAAAGAAAAACCAGAACAACGCATTTCCATCGTTTCTTTCTCGTATCTCTTAGTAAATATCACACGTATGTATAATTCAGACGGATAATGTGATAGGAGAATCCCTGAGCGAAGTTTGTTTTTATGATTTTCGAGACTCAGTCCCGACAAAGAAAGAAAAAGATTCACCCATAAATCCCAGGAAAAAGTTACATGAGAAAAACACAACAGTAAAAGCAAATCCTATTGAATTTTTCATCACACATCTTTGCCGCTTATCTTTTGGCCGCTTTGCTTGCTTCTTTGCCTTTTTTTCCTTCCTTATATCTTCTTATGTATAAAGTTTACGTTTACGTTTTCTTTCTTCGCATCAGACTGAGATTGTCTGTAACATCATCAAAAGGTAAAGCTATAACTACATAATCATCATCATGGAGAACATAAATTTTATGATGGAAGTGGAGCGAAAGAGCGCAGAAAAGTATTTTTGATATGGCAAAAGTTTTATCATTTATAACATTGCGACGAGTTGAAGCTTGAGAGAGATACGAGGAAATCTTTCTCCTCGGAGTTGTTGATGAAATAAAGATTTCTTCATCTTTCGTATTGCCAGATTCAATGAATGATTTCTTATACATATAACTACTCAAAATAATCTTAATCCGCAAATCTTCATCCAACATGAGCAACGATGATAGGGGAATGAGAACGGGAAGAGTAAAAAGTTTAACATTCAAGCAACGTAGCTTTATCATATATCAAAGTTGATGAAATAATATTCGAGAATTACACAACTCAAGCTGGCGATGAGATATGCGATGAGACACCATCTTTCGCCGCGCTGTAAAAATCTCTTGAACTTTTCTTTCATTCGTCTTGGGAGCTCAACGAATGAACGAGAAAAAAAGAGAAAAATTATCGTAAAATACACTTTGGTGAATTGGGGGTGAGAATAGATATGAGTTTTGATTTGATAACATCATCAGTGATTCACTCACAACCGATTGGAGACGATGAGAATTGGAATTGATGCCTTCTTATGTTATCAACTCTTTTGAAAGATGAGATGTCATCAATCTTATGTTAGATTCGTAGGCGATTTGAAGTGAAAATTCTTTGCTGTCCACTCCAGTTTTAAACTCAATTAGTCATTGAAGGATCTTTCTGTAATAACAAAATATGTTTATGTTGTTTGAATGATGAAGAGATATTTTGAGGAAAGCAAAATTTTCTTGTATTCTTTTTTTTTTTTGCTTTCTCATTCATCATTTTTAAGACTAAAATGAATCTTCTTAGATATGTTTGCCTTGCGTTGATTTTCAAAGTCATTATCACTTAAATATTTCAATCTATTTTTCACTTGAGAAGATTTTTCATTATTCTTCAACATTTTTTGGATTGATAACTCAATTAGAAGTCTCAGGAGCTTTCTTTCATGAGTTGAGGCCTTAATTATTATGAACAACGTTCGACAAATCACGAAAAAAAAGAGAAAATATTTTGAGATTGAAAAGAAAATTTTATCGGAAAAATCAAGCTAAATTATTTATTATCATATTAAATTAGCCGCATAAACCGTTTGCCAGATCATTCATGTCTAGAGAGCAATTGCACGTGCTTCAACCAGAACACGCAACTTTAATGGCAATTGACATCAAAAAAAGCAGATGAACGAAGTTGAAATCTTGGCAATTGTAAATCACTCCACTTTTTTTGTTCTTTCTAAGGTCACGTGTCGTAAATTTGGCAAATCAAAAAGGGAAATTTGATTGAAACCATTTGCTGAGTCTTTCATCTTCATGGCAGGTTTGTTCATGGATGATTACACAACAAAATCGTGTAAAATGTTATGAAAGCTTTTAAGGATGCAAAATGATTTTTAAGGCATTCACATTGAAATAAAAAAAAAAGAAACAAATAAAACAGAATGTCGCGTGCAATAATCCCTTAGAGAATTTACTTTGCTTTACAGTTTCAAATTGCATGAAAAATAAGAATAAAAAAAAGAAAAGATTTTTAATATTTCAAAAGTCACTCGACCTTTGTTACAATTCCTTCCTAAATCTTTCCTCTCTTTTTTCTCATTCATTCGCTTAATGTTAAAACGAATGAATCAATATAAAAATAATCTTTTTGCTTCATTCATCAAATTACTTTGTGTAACTTTCTCATCGAGAAATCATATTCGACCTTCCCTAGTGCAATTAAAACTTTCTAAGGGTGAAACATGATATCTGCATGAAAGCAGATCACTAAATTAAATTAATATCATTTTGATAGTTAACTGAACTACTTTCGATTCGGAGATGAACTACCAAGAGCAGCTGCAATGTCTTGATTTTACTTGCAAATTCTTCTTTTTTCTTCTAGAATTTCTTATCAATGATTGAAATATAAAAAATAATTTGTTAAGCGGTAAGAAACGGTTATTGCCCTCAGAGCTACATAATAACAACACATTGCTGCCACGATTAACCACCCACTGAGATTAAAATCCAAAACAGAACAATATTTATTTATTGGCCTTTATGACAAACAGCAAGCAACACATAAGTCATCTGAAGTTCATTGGAAGGGCGATATCCAGATGAAAATATTTTTAGAAGCCTATTTTGAAATTATCTCATTTCAATTTAAGCATTCGCACCCTTCGTTTAATGTAAAAATGAGCAAAGTGTTCATCATCAGCACTCCTGCTGTTCTAGTCGAGTGGTTGCATCACTCGTTGGGTTTATGAATAATTATTGCGGATTTTAATTTCATTATCTCATTTAAAAGGGACGAAAATGTACTGATCAAGTGTTTTGAAGAATATTTTAAGTACTCGAAATTTCTCTCATAATACGAAATCAAGATTACCGTTTTCTGATTTTTATTACAATCAATGAATCTATAGAACCGTCAAAGACCAATCGGAGCACTGAGTTAGTGTCAGCATCAGTGGAGATTTTTAAATCTCTCTCAATTCTTCACTCCAAATTTTATTTAGTTTAAAAAATTCGTTCGAAGAACTGACATCTAATTTTGACGCCAAAGTGAGAATAGGAAAATAAATCTTGAAAGTTTCTTAGTCACAAATTGTTTAGGTGAATCAATGAATCATTAAAAAAGAAAAATTTTATTATGAATATTTTGTCTATGCTTAGAAACTTTAAAAAAACGCGATGAATGAAGATTGGAAAAAGAAATATTATTTTGATGAGAAGACACGTGTGACTCAATCACCGACGCCATCAACAATGCCTTCTAATGTTTCTCCCTTCATCCCTCGTGAAGACTATAAACAAGACAATTCATCTAAAGAATCGACCTCAAGTGGTTCAAATAGAAAGAAAGACTCATGTTGTATAGCATAATCTTAAGATTTGAAACAGAAAAAGTTTGTACATATAAATTGTAACTGACATGTTAATTAATGATTGTGTTTTGTAATAAAATTCGAAATAAAACTTTAGTGTTTTTGATGAAATTAAAAATTAAATATTTATTTATTAAAATTGTTGCGTAACAAATGGAATGATAAAGTAGTTTGCTTGCCTTCAGTTTCATTTACCCTTTCAACAACAACACAACAATCAGAATCAAGTCTTTAATATTAAACACTTTTCAAGGGACAACTTTCAAAGAATTGAATGATGATGTGTGAATTGTAACAACCCCTATCGTTTCACGGTTGTTCACTCTCCTTTTATTCCTCTCTTCATCAACTTGATTCTTTTATATTATTATTGTCATTTTTGCTGTTCGTAACGAATCGAAGTGAATTGAATTTAACAAATCTCTGATGACGACATAAAAAGGGCAGTGTTTGGAATGATTTTCGAATCGTATCTTAATTATTTATTTATTATCCATGGCTAAAGACAACAGATGAGATGTTATATTTTTAGAAGAAAATCAATTAATCACAATGATTGCTATTCATTGCGAAGTTAATGTTTTATTTCATTGAACATAAACAGGTGCAGTATGAAGAAGGAGAGGTTTCGGTCATTTAGTTAAATAATTTTCTCATCATGCGAAATCGACCAGATGAGCTACAAAAACAATTCGATTCGCACTTTTTTTTTCCCTTTAGTTAAAGTTAAGGTTTAATGACAGATTTTATTGTTATGATTGTACTTGTACCCTGCAAACGCACGCACTCAATTTTTGTCAAGCTTTGAAATAACAAAGTTTGAGCTGTTGTTGCACAAGTGTAATGTGATTGGAAAATGAAAATATTTGTTTTTCCTTTCCTTTGCTTTTAGTTGTTTTTCCAACATAACAATACTTCGCTCGACTATTATAATTATTTAATCTCAGAGGGTTAAAAATGTTTCGGAAACTTATTTATTGTAATTGAGGGTTTACACATGATATACTAACAGGGTGGAATCCTAAGAAAATCAAATTGAAATTCAATGAGCGTTGCTGTTTGAAGTGAAAATGTTTTCACGCATCTGGAAGATTATTCTCCGTTAATTTGAAGTCGCATTTTAACGAACCCCAATGTCAAACAGACGATCTTCACTCTCATAGAATTAATCTCAATTGATATCTGATTCAACCGCTTAGTAAGGAATGGAAGTTAATTAAATAATGATTTCGTTTTCATATTGAACGTCGATTATGAAACAAAAAAGGAATATAAAAAAACATCAAATCGGACGCAATAAAGACAACATACATCAAATGACGATGACGGCAATAAATACAAATTTACTGTTGATTTATTTTGGACAATTTATGGAAAAAAAAGAGAGAAACTGATGGTATGCGTGCTTGTTTTCATTTATAAAACAACAAAATACAATTGACGACTCCTCCCGATTTCACAACACATGAATTAAAAAGATATTTCTTTACGCTGTTCGTCACTTAACTCTCGTCGTCTGAGTAAATTAACAACTAATTTAGAAGCATTAATTTTCCTCCCGCACTCTCATCACTAACAATGCCGGCATTTAGTTTTATTGTGAAAATTTTCACTTATGAAAAAGTAAACAGGAAAATTTGTCAAGTGAGATATATTCATTCCGAGTTGAGTTGACGTTTAGATTACATCAGCAGCAGCAACAACAGAAACATAAAGCGTCAGCTTAATATCTAGTTTTAATATGCCACAATTCTAATTCTACGTGTGTGTATGTGTGTAATAACTTTAGCTTTCAATGTTTATTTAATCCAAATGAACTTTTGTAATGACTCACTAATAAATAGTTGCTCTTTTGCCATCCCTTGATTCACAATCCCGCTCGACTTCTCCAAAGGAGTGGCACTGCTTGAAGTGTTTTTAATTGTTTGCTACTTTGAATAAGTTTCCCATTAAATTAAAAGTACTCTATTTGATTATGATGCGAGGGTTGAGCAATGTCAAAATTTGCTTGTTTAAGCATTACATTTCATTCATTGAACTCTCCATGATGATAACGTGGCAATCCACTGACCTCTACTGAAATAAATTTTCGTCTCCCTCGATAATTTTCTCCGCCAATTAAAATTCTCATATTATCCTCTACTGTTTGATATCATATCATACTTAATTTTGTTAAGTTTAATTAATACTAATGCTATTACGGTGGAATGAAGTGGCAAACTCATCGTAGACTTTAAAGCAGAGAGTCGTTTCCACAAATCCCCACAATAAATATCATATCACTGTATCACAGGTAATTATACCGAATAATTTAATTTTGCCATGGTGTTGTACCACTTGCCATACCGTTAACATTAATATTTAGAGAGAAGAAAATATTTTAAATGAATATTTTGTAATTAATTTAACAATCCACTGAGAATTTGATCTGCAGAATTTATATCATCACTGCACATACCGGTGTACGAATGTAATGAAAATGGAAGTTTATTCATTTAAATGTTTTCCATTGCACAAAGTCCCAGTCACGTTTGAATAATTTCACAATATGTAGATATCTATTTAGAATCATTGACTTTTCACTTTAACAAATAAAAAATTAATAAAATTTAATTTAAGTTTTGTTTTTCTTTTATTTCTTGACATTAATTTATGTTTCATTTAATTTTTACAGATTAGAATTTTATAATGTGGTAAAATTGATGCACAAGAAAACATTCCTAACATCAATCATTGTGCAATGAAATAAATATTCAAATTTCACATCTAGATTTTTAGCTTTTCGTGATGAAAATTAACATGAAATAACTAAAAAAAAAATGTGAAATGTTAAAAATTTCTTTATATGTAAAACAGAAATTATCAAAAAAATATATATAAATTGAGGTTGTTTGGAAATGATGATTAAGTCAACATCATTTTTGAACATCCCAAAGGAAGCAAAAAGTGAACATATAAATTTCATACTACAAATTTAGTTTTTGGCATAAGTTCTAATTGCACATTCATTTAGCAAATTCAGTTAATTTTTGTCTTAAGAATTTTCTATCTAAAGCGAGCTTTGTTGAGAATGTAATTGTCTGCTTTAAAATTGTACATTAATTTTATACATTCACATAACAATTAAATTGTATTCATTGAGTATTTATTTATCAAATATTTCATTATTAATTATAATACGAAAGAGTAGAAAATTACTTTTTGTTTTTCTTTTCTTTTTTTAGTAATGGAATTGAAAGTTTTCTTTTTGGTTTATTTATAAAGGAATGAAGTTTGTTGAACAAATTTAAAATTAATTAACCATCGGCCGAAGATCTGTATGTTGCGTTTCTTTATGTCGCCGTAAATCGACCTTTCGTTGAAAAGCTTTATGGCACAATTCACAAGCGAATGGTTTAAAACCTATGGGTAGATCTAGGAATTAATTATCATGATCATTTTGCATCGACAGGCAATGTTAATTGTTGACTCTACCTGTGTGCTTGCGACTATGTGTGATTAAGTTTGATGACTGGGAAAAGGATTTTCCACAGACGGTACATTTGTGAGGTTTTTCTCCTGTAGAAAGAAAAAAAGAAAAACAAAATTTATATTTCGCATTGTATGCTTTCTACAAAAAGAGAAAATTTAATCGTTTTATATCTAAATAATCCTTCACAATCCTTTTTTTTCATCGCCCATCATAATCCCTAAATTACCCGTCTAAAGTCAGTCCAACATGCAATTCCCTAAAGAGATTTCTCGAATTATATTCAAAGCAGAACTCTTCGCATACGCCCAGATTGAAAAAAAGATAAACATTTGTCAAAGTTCAATTATAATAAATTAAATTTCTCTCACACTCATTGCTTCAATTCGTTTGTGTAAAAATTTAGCATATTTTTCTTTTCATTTTTGCATAAATAAGTGTTGGTTTCACGAGTGAGAAAATACGCAAAATAATAATTATGAATAATAAAAAGGGACAACAATGATCAAGAATTTCATAATTGCCGTAGAATAAATGTTGATAACTAAAACATTCAGTGAAAAAATGCGTGATTACTGTGACAAAATCATGTCGTTTATCGCTAGATATTGCATGCTGAAAACATTTAAAAATAGTTGAACTTCCAAACATATGGTTTGATTTTTTTTATATTTCTTTTTCTCTCTCCCATTCGATGTCGTTATGTGAAGGAGAAAAAAAGCTACCAGTAGCGCATTTATTTCTTAATATTCTCAACGAATATTGAAATGAAAAAGCAAGTACTAAATCAAATAAACACATATGTTTGCAGCTACACCAAATTTAATGCTTCATTCAACTTGGTTATTTAGGCCTGCTTTTCATCATCAGACTTTTGCTACAAACAAGCAATTCATCATGTCACGACAATGTCTCAAAAATGAAATGAAAACTTCTTTTATTGGTGATGAAATCAAAGCATTTTAAAGCATGAAACAGTTTTGTTGCAAAGTCAAGAGTTCATGTCGGAGAATTTTGTTATTTTTATTTCATATTAATTCAGACCGCCAAAGTTACGCATCACTTTTTTATTCTTTTTCACATAACAGAAAAGAATCTCAAAGTCAAAACATTGAAATCGCAAAGTGGCTTCACAATATTTTTGCGACTTCAAAGAGTCAAGAAAGAAAAAATCCACTTGTGACTCTGTTTCCATATCATCTAAATGTCTATTATGCTTTCGTGAATGTTTCAAGCAATTTTTTTTTATTATTATAAACATCCGGCCTTTAGCAAACAACGATTCACAAGTGTTAAAGTTTCTCTTTTTAAATTAATAAATAAATATGACGATGCTCAATGATTAAAGATCGAAATATCATGTAATTTTCCAACGTTACCCTTCATCTAAATACATCCCAAAAAGAATATTAGAAAAAAAAACTTAGAAGATTCAACATTAACAGAAACAGCGAAATATTTTCTCAATTAATAACCATAAATCAAGTGAATCAGTTTTAATTGTTGACTTTTCTCTCGCTTTTCTTTCCAGCACAGATAAGTGAGACAGAAATTCATTACATCACATTTAATTTTACAGGAAAATTGTTACTAAAATAGAAGGAATTAAAAAAAACTAAAAGCTACCTAGGAAAAGTGTTGTTCAAAGGAACATAAGATGAAGAGGGAGGAGAAGGATATCAAATTAGTGTTGAAAATTTTAAATCAAGTAATTTATTTTCTACATAAATTAAGGAATTTTCCATGCGCTGTGCTTTTCGAAAAACAAAACCCCTTTTGTTCTGTCTGCTATGAAATCGTTGAGTTTATGTTTAACTTTTTAAAACAGTTACAAGAGAAATATCTGTTGGATATATAGAGCGTAATAAATATTTACACGTCGACAAGATTGATTTTAATTGGTTTCCTTGGATTAAAACGAGGTGGATTGTAGAAGATATCATTTACAAAACGCTTTACGGAATTTAACTTTGTGAGATTATACAAGAAGATGAAAACAATTTATTACAAGTATTTATGTTGCAAATAGTTGTTGCACTTACCAGTATGTATATACGTATGCTGTTGGTGAGAACAATACAAAATTTGATGTCAGAAATTCTATAACAAACATTTCAAATTATTTTACCTTTTTCATGTCACTCTTTTGATGAAAACGTTTTCCTATTGAAATAATTTATTGCCGATTACGAAACAGTTTGAAAATTTCTCTTAAATTCATTTGATTTACTCACCACAAAACTGACAAGGATATGGTCGAGTATCACTGTGAATTAAAAGGTGTGTTGAGAGCGTGCTTGACCTTTTGAAAGCCTTTCCACATTGCTTGCATTCGAAAACTTTCTCAACGTTATGCACAGCTCTGAGTCATGAATTTGAATCGTCATTAGAGTTCACATCAATGATTTAGAGCGTTAACTTACCTATGTTGACTTAAGCTGATTTCATGACCAAAGGTTTTATTACAAAGCTCACAGGCAAACGGTCGCTTCCCATTATGTGATCGTCTTGCATGTACTTCTAGTCCGTGTGGTGTACTGAACATCTTCTCACATTTGATACACGAATATACATCGCCAATTGGTCCCATGATGCTTGGACGCATGAATAGATGATGATGTGGATAATGGGGATGGTTGAACCCCAAATGTCCGTTTGTCGGTTGATTTGAATTGTTATTTTGTTGCATTAAATGACGAAATCTTAAAATGTCCTCGGGCGATGGCGGATGATAACTAGTTGAAGAATTGTTCAAATGATTTATTTAGTTAAATTATTCACTCTTTGATGAAAGTCACATTTACTTACCTAGAGAGTGTCGTATTTTGTTGTTGTTGACCTTGTTGCAACATTGCAAACAGTGGAAATGGATGAAATAAAGGCCTCGACAAAACGTTCTGATCATAAATTTGTGGATACGATGGTCTAAATATATTTTTTAAATATAATCAATCAATATTCCCATGAAAGGATTAAATAAATAGTCAGAAAAACGAACCTTATGTTCTCAAATGAATTATTACTCGATGCTGGTGATTTTGAAGTTTTTGGTTGATCATCTCGTAAAAGTGCTGACACTGAGAATGATTCTGACTTTTTCGTCTGTGCAAGATTGACAAAAAAAAAATTAAATTAAGTTTTAAAATTTAATGAAATTTCCATTACATGTTGAATATCTGTAATTGGTGATATTGTTATCCGAGGCGGGGGGGGGGAGTCAACTTCTAACTCCGATGATGAAGAATTTGACCTTGATCGACTATGACTTCTTGACCTCGATCGTGACTTTGTTCTAGTCACACTTAAATTTGATGGTGAATCACATGTAATCAATGACTTTGCTTGATATATTCCGCTTTCTTCATCCTCCGATTCTGGCTTTTCAACTAAACGGTTCACGCCAAATTTTATTTCATCTGTAAAATAAAAAATTATCAAAAAGTAAATTAAGGGTGAACCATAACAAGAAAGTTTTAAAACCCAACAGTAAACATGAAAAGTTTTACACTTGTCAGCCTCTAGGATTAAGTCGTTTCACACACACAATCCATAATAATGCGAAGAGATTTGTACTCCGTTTCACCCCTCGCTTATTTTGTTACAATTATTATTTTTTTATGATTATTGTCGAGCACTTATGCTGCTCACTTTTTGTCTCTCTTCTCTACTTTCCTTGCCTTTCATGATGATGAAGAATAATCATAGGATGGTGAATGGAAAATAAATATTGAATGTTGTTTTTGATTGTATTCCAGATAATCCTCGAAAAGAATCAGGCAAGATTGAGGTTCATGTTGATTATTTACGGTGTCTTATGGTTCATTAAATTTCTCCTGCATTTATCATCGTAAATGTTTTTATTTATTTTCTTTCGTGTGGTAAATAAGCACATATAAGTGATATCAACATAAAGGGAAGTGAATAAATTTCATATTTATGTAAAGAAAATTTATGTAGACAAATAAAAAATGCAAAATGTTGTAAATCATTTGGGGACTATCAGAATTGATGAAATATTTCTCATACATATGCTCAATCACTAAACTTTACGTTAAATATCAGTGGCTTATTATCTTAAAATAAATGTTCGATAAGATATAAGTTTTATGGCTTCCATGTGCTCTGATTTTAGTCCCGCTAGCATAAGAAGCATTACTAACATACATTTGTACTAAAAAATGAGAATTTACAACTTTATTCGTAATATTTATTTATGAAATCGGAAACTTTTAATATAAATTCTATCATTTCCAATTGATGATTTCCTTAGAACGTAGATAACTGATTTCCGAATTACTTAGTAATTAGAATGAATTCTTATTGAATGACAATCTCTGCGATATTAAATCTAACTCAGCTTATAATTTCAGAAATATATTGTAAGCAATGAAACATGTGGCATTTGATCTAAATTTCCAGTAACATAAATCAAAGCACTTCATAAACGAATCTTAAGAATTGACTTTTCGATTTTTCACACTCGATCTTAACTTTTGACGCTTGTTGAGTATGTCGAAATAAATTGAATGTTTGTTCGCGTAATTAAAAATAATTGCAATCAGATGTTGATGACTTCTTGAGATTGTCATCTAAGAAAAACGAATAACGATGAGTGACAGCTAATAAAACCACATAAAACTGAATCTATATGTACGTGTCGTTAAAGCTGCTGTTTGTCAAGGGCTTTAGGGAAAAATTTGTATTTGTTTTTCATATTTTTTTTTATTGATAAGCAATGATTTTTATGGTTCTGCGTGATTTTATATGGGTCAACAAGTTCACATTATTCAATGCTTTTAAAGCGTAGTGCGACAATTTATTTGAAACTTTAAATCTCACCTTTACAACTTGATTTATTATTTTCCTGAATACTGCCATTTGATACGAACATTCGCGGATCAACGGGATTGAGATAACGACGATAATGACTAACTAGACCTGCATTAAAGAGAAGCGGCGGAATCCCATTTGATGAACCTGCGAGAAAAAGATGAGATTAAATTACTGCCATTTATAAGACAAGAGCGTGCAAAGAAAATTTCTCCCCAATCGCAATTTAGCGTAAATAAGCAGTGGCAATTTTATCTGATTGTCTCGTTTCATTCCACTCCGCACTGACTTTGATTAGAAAACAAGAATAAAATAATAAAAAAATCTCTGAAGTGAGTCATGAGTGATCGCTCGGAAATAAATCACACTCATAAGCGCGTTTGTTCAATAAATAATTCAACATCACTTTCTATCAATTGCTCGTAGTTCATAAGTTCAATCTCAATTAATAATTCAATTTGATTCACGACATCTTACTTATGACACATCCGGTCTCTTGCGAAATACGTAATCAATAATCTATGTATATGTTAGGTCGCAACATCGGAATGATATTTTTGAAACAACTATTTAACGAGAATCGGAAATGAAAAAGTAAAGAAAAAAAGTTCGCAATCGTCATTAGGAGACGACAACATAATTATGCGACATCTCGGATGGTGGAAGATAAATAAAAATGGCACCATGAATCTTTAGCGCACTCAAAAGCAATTTTGATTGTGATGTAAAACAAGTTATGGTTTGTTTCACATATTGTGCGATCGTGAAATTTGTGCGAACAAAAATTATTCAATGAAAAATTCTTCGAGACAGATTAAAATAACAACATGCATCATAATTAAAGCAGACATCTGTGGAAATGTTGGATAAAGAGAAGTTTTTTTTACTGTCGTTGATGTACAAGCTGTTTATTAAACTAAATTAAGAGAATTCTGTCGGAGTTATCAGTTGTTTTATTAGCCAATTTGGTGATGACTCCAACAAAATGACATCATCAGCGGAGCTCATAAAAAAATGAAGAGTTTTAACGGATTTAAATCAATTGAGAAATATGCCACATATGCGCGACAACGCTTCTTCATTGCGATAAAAAGCGACTTGCTAACGCTGATTTCTTAACCATCTAAACTGCTCGATTTTCAATCTCATCTTGACTTTATGGTTTAAGTTTATGAAAACGATTTGCTCGTTTAAGATTCTTGGAATCTCAACTCAGACAAAAGGAGGAAAGTTTTTTTTCTTTTAAATTTATCAAGCGAGTAATGCAGAGAGTTCTTTGATTAGCTTTAATTTATTTGTTAGGATTTCGCTCGATGATAATTCTCAAATATCTAGATAGTTAATTGAAAGAAGAACGTGCATCGATTTTCGTAGAATTGATTTGGGAATATTCTATTAATTAATTGAGTTAATTTATGTTTCCAATGTTGGCTTAAACGTTTTTCAATTTCTTAGAAAAAATTATGTTTAATTAATGTCACTTTATCACAATTTATTTTTTGATAATTCTTAATCCAATTAGTAATTTTCTTCTATTATCTTAATTGTCAATATTATTTAAGTTGAAGATTTTATTAGATTTTTTTATTCATAAAAACGTTTTTCTTAAAACTTCAGTCACTGAGATTTGACAAAAAATTTATAAAATTATGACTCACCGTCGGATTTTCCGCGTGGCGTAACTACTTTAAAAGCACTTGAAGATTGTTGATTATTTTGTGAAAGAAACATACTCGTGTTGTTATTCATTTCATTTTTTATTTTTATATTCATCATTGTCACGCTAAAATCTAAAGGAAGCTGGGTTAATGTTTCCGATGCTTCCATCTCTTTATTAATTTATTTATAATCACAAAAGTAACTCAAATTTTTTTTCTTTTCACTTTGATTTTATATTTTAATCCTCAAAACCTTTTTGTTTTAAATACTTCCAAATAGGAAATCACTTTACAATCTTTACTTTTAATTATTAATTTGATCCATAGTTGCAGCTCAAAAATATGCGTCTCTACAAGTTGAGATTCCGATTGATTCTGATATATTCAATCACAAACTCGCTAATATAATGTCACACAATGAAGAGTAGCGAGAAAATATTTTAATCCCATGTTTTGTGTATTTCTGTTGGAAGCCAATTATTTTGTGCAAAAACGGCAGCACAAGAATTTTGCTTAAGTTAACAGTGAAGAATCGCGACAGAGAAAGAGAGTGAACTCGATAACTTTACTAAGTGAAAGCACATTGTGTTCTAAAATCGAAACACATTGCCGTCAAATAAAAACACGAAAAAGAAATCTAACGAGAAATCATTCTCTAACAGATTGTGCGGCTCATTTGTGTCTGTGATCTGTGTACATATATGTGAGTAAATGGGTAAGTGAGGGAAGAAGAGTGAACAACGTTGGATTTCCACAAGCTGAAAACGTTTTCATGGCACAAGGGGCATAGATTGCACACGTTGATTTTTTGAGATTGTGTTGGTTCGCACACTCTCGACATACATTCAACAGATTTCAGCTTATGCCACGCCCTCCACGTCATTTTCCTACACAGCTTTCATTTCCAGATTTCCGCAGACTTCTTTTCTTGTAAAGGAGAAGAGAAAGAGATTTTCCACAGCGATTTTCCAAGCTTGTCATTCTTCTTTGTGAATGTACAAGCGCAAAAACAGAAAAAAAAGAGTTTTCATGAAAAGGTTGAAGCGGTATGGCAGGAAAATCCCTTTGAAAATTCTCTCACTCGAACGAGATTCTCTCATTTTACATTTTTTAATCTTTAATCGTGGAAGAATCTTTTTTTTTCATAATTTTAAGAGTTTCCTTCTGACCGTTTATGATTTAAGGTAATTTGGATAAGGACTTTTTTCAAGAGTAATAAAAAAGTATTATCGACTTAGATATAGCATTTTATTACAATCGTAATCTAATTAAATCTTTATACAGCCCATTAAGCCGTTATTTCTTTGTAAATTCATCGTGATTGCGCCATGCAATAAGCTGAGATAAGTGAATAGAGCAATTACGATTTTTTCAATTATAACTTCTTTAATTTGTAAAGATAAATTTAAGCTTGTTTATCTTATCAATATTTAAGTGCTATGCTATAAGCAAGAAGTTTTTTTTCTGTGATCGAAAATCATAGTACTTAATTACTTTGATATGGGTTTGATTTTGATAAGAGAAATCCAATATCTTTTTCAACAAAAACTATTTATAGAATATTTTTTTAGTAAAACACTTCAAGTGAAAATTTTCCTTCAAGATCATTTCGATTTCGTAATTAAATTATCTGAAAATCTAAATTGACAAATTTATGGCATCTCGTTTATTTCAATCAACTTTTTCGGTAACATAATAAAAAGTTTTATTTTTTGTTTTATTAACATCGTGTTCACTTTTTATGACCCCTCAACCCTCCATGAAAACTTCTTTATTTTTTGTTAAATAAAATGTGTAAACATAAATGTTGATCTCAAGCCATCTTCTACCAGCTCAAAAAAGTCACATGCTGTTGAGTATTTACAAAGTATTTTTTATCAAAATATTCTCATTGCCCTTATAAAACCGCATTTGCCTTATGCATCAGAATAAACAACAATAAAGAAAGATCCTTTTGATTTTTTCGAAAAAAGAGAAAGAAAGAAAAATTTATTTGTCAATTCATCATTGCATTTGGTTTTTTTTTCTAATCTAAATCGAATTGTCATAAAAAGTTAATTGAGTCTGTCGCGTAATATTAGAAGCAGAAAACAAAATGTCAAAAGCAAATTTAGGTGGTTTGAAGCAAACAACCTATAGATAAGATATAATATTTTATTGCATCAAAGCAATTAATAGTCCAACTGGTGTAGCAGATAAAAAAAGAAGGCTGTTAGTTTGATTTGTGGGGATGTTCATTAGATTTGTCTCAGCAGAAATCGCTCATGATTTGTTATTTGTTATTGTTTTTATGAATGTGCATGAGAGAGTTCCAAAACATATCTATCTATTCCTTTTAAATATTACACTAGCATTTATCTTCTGCAATATAATCTGAATTTGTACATCGAAGCTTCAAGCTTGCATATCATCGAAGCAATGATATAGCAGAAAATAAAAAAGCAAACAAACAACACCCCAATGAATTCTTCTTCTCATTCCATGAAATCCACATTTGTTTTAATTGATCAATTGCTCTTAATTGATATGAAACGAGAAGGAAAAATCTCTCACTGTTTAATGAAAAGAAAACAACAACGATCAAGCTGAGACAACAGAAAAATCGCTTTTATTTAATTTCAAGTTGCCTTGCAATCAGCAACGATCACTCGTAACATATCTTGATGCTTCCACTGTGTGATTTCAATTAATTAAATAATTTTATCTTCTTCAATTAAGAGAGATGATGTGCTTTGTTTCAAAGATTGTTTCTGAAACTCATGATAAAAGTTTCGAAAAAAAAAGCAAGTCAGTTGGACATATGCGGGTCAGCGATTAATGATAAATTTTTTTCATTAGAAAAAAACATAAATTATTTTAAATATTTACTTGAAAACATTTTCTTTTTCTTATCTTAAACGCTCAATCAAATAAATCTTTAAATAATTTTTTAGCTTAAAACATCGATAAAAGGAAAAATCATTTTGATTTTATTGCTTCTTCATGATTGATAAGACTACAAAAAAAGGCAAACTTTTATGGCACATTGAATGGCTGATTAAACAATGTTGTAAATATATCAATGACTTAAATCACGGTAATGGATGTGATCCATTTTTTTCGAGAAACTTTACAGAAAAATAATTCTTGTTTTCTTTCAACTGAGTAATAATGTTGTCGTCCTATCTTGAAGAAATAAAATTTTAAAAGCAAAAAAAAATTTTTTTCGATAAAATAAAAATAAAAACTTTATAATTTGACAACAGGAGATTTAGCTCTGGTTGAAGTGTCGACTAATTTATAACCTACTAAAATTTCGATAGATAAGCCTTCCAATCCAAAGTATAATCGTAAATGAAATTAAAAGCGAATACATGCACATTTTGCGTTATTTTTTCAGTAACAACTAGTTATGTATCTTATCACAACTTGATATGGCATTGGAGTGAAAAATCATTTCGATTCTAAAATTTAATTGGTTCTGATAACGTGTTCTGGTGAGATTTTAACACTTTATGGTTGATTTACGGTTCTTTAATCTTATTTTTTTAATAAATTTCAAGTACTTGCATTGTGAGGGCTTGTTGAATGATAGTTACGCAATTCGAATGGAAATCTAAGCCATTATAGTAAATTAGGCGTCTGATTACAAATCACCATAAATCTAATTTGACTTCACTTGTCACCGCATAATAAAACAAGTGGTAGCAAATTCGGTGTTGAATTTCAACGCCGTCATTTCTTCACTTTGCCAACATCGAGCAAATTACATCTGGTCCGAAATAAAGGAAAATCAACAAACGAGATTAAAGCTCAATTTTAAGACTGAACAAGAATTTAACAAAAGGGAATGTCAATCATGCTAATGCTGAGTCTCTTTATGTAGGTCTCATGTTCTTCATACAGTAAGAGCTGCTTGTTCATCCAAATGTATTGAAGGATCTCGCTAATTTTAATGATGTTTCAAAAGATTTCTTAAATATAATTAATAATTTTCATAGATAATGTGACAAGATAGAAAAGAACGCAAAATGTATGCAAATATTGATGACATCTAAACTTTTTTTGTGGCTTTGATTTTTCCAAGCACACACAACACAAACGTTATTTTGACTCTTTTTATGAAAGAGAAAAATATTTGATTGTGTGAGTTAGTTCTCAGATTTGTTGACTGCACCACGCCTACGGAGCAATAATTTGAAGAATGTCATTAGTGTGGGTGATTTAAGTTTTGTGTTGCGCTCATATTTGTTTTTGTTCAGATGTTTCGTTCGTGATTATGAAACAAGATGAACACTCAACGACTGGGTATGAAGATTTTCTTTGGAAACAACTTTGACCAGTAGATACTTCTGGATAAACTTACGTACGATTAAATTTTCTAAGTTCCAATAATAATCTAACTTATAAACAATTTTCCAATCTAATTTCATTTACATTAAAATCAATGCCGACGCAATTTATGCTATTCGTAAATTCATAATTAATGTGTTGCATGACGGTTTGTTGACACATAAAAATCAAAACATATTTTGTCCAAAAACCGGTTGTTGTTTCGCGAAGAGAAATAAACATAATATTAAAATAATGTTCAACATGCATGCGACCGTAAAAAAATGAATTATCAGTCAAAATCTTAAGCAAACATTTAAACATTGTGAAATCAGGAATTTTGTTGAAGGAAGTTTTCTTCCACCTTTTAAATATTTCGTATCTATGTACGTTAAAACTTTGTTGACATACTCCTAAGTTTTTTTATAGCTTTTGATGATTCACTTAAAAATCAAAACTTGAACAACAAAACAAAATTGAGTCAAATCTTTCGACAACAATCACACAAGAAATATCGTAAAATTTAAATTAAATTAATCAAGCTCACTTACATCAATGTTGAACACGCTGAATGTTGTGCATATGGACGACAGAAAATTAAGCAAGTCGAATTCAATTAAGATTTTCATCCCACTCATTCCTACATAAAATGGAAATTTAACTTTTTTTTCGGTAGCTTCTTTTTAATTGAAATTTGTAGACCGTTCTTAATGGACCTAGTTCATTAGATTCACTTAAAATCGTGGTCGTGAATTGATAATTGAATTTTGTTTTTAGTGAAAATTTCTACTTATTTACTGAAGTTACTCATGATGATGAAAGATTCAGAAAAGCCAAAAATTCTCATCCATCATAGCAAAGAATAAAAATCTGAATCAGTTTTTACTGAAAGGTTTGCTCAATCGTCTGTTTGAGGAAAATGAGAAAACTCAATAAAAGAAATAGAAAACAAATGCTTTCGCATATTTCAGTAAAATTTTCTGAATGCAAAGAATAAAATTTTCACCCATAAAAACTCAGATTTTTTATTCATTCCGTGAGCGGGCAAAATAATGGAAGAATATTTTTACGGCTTTGAAAGCATCTGCGTGTGCTTTCAGAATGAATTTATGTATTGATTTTCGGTTTTCTTTTTTGGATGTTATAAAAATAGCAGCATTCAAGCATTTTTATGGCATGATGGTAATTTTTCACGAGATTTTTACGGTTCTGATTTCTCTCGCTCGCTTCTCCTCGCCCTCCACTTTATATGTGTGCTAAAGCAAATTCTCACCAGGCAGGCGAAAGAAAGCTCGTCATAAATATGCTTCGGTTGGGGCGTTTTAACACGATGGAATTTCAATAGCGATTTCATGATTTTTCCCCCGCACTGCTGACGACATGAAACCTTCATTTTCATTAGTATTCATTTCTGTTAATGAGAAAAATCACCCCCGAACGTAAACGAGTACTACGTTCGCCGACCCTTCGGCAATAACGACATCGCTACCATTCCAGAATCATAATAAAGCAAAGTAGAAAAATCTTTCCACTGCTTTTCCTCTTTCCCATTGCTTTCGCATTCAGCATTAATTAAAATCAGCCCGAGATTTTTTCGCCTTTTTATCGCTTGATGTCAGTTTTGTTGGCTCAAAGCAGCTAAAAGTGAAGTGAAATTTATTCTGCTTGAGTTTTTTATACTACTTCTCGTTTTCCTTCTTTCCTTCCTTCCTTCCTTTTTTCATCGTTGTTAACTAGTGAAGTGTTTTGAACAGACACAGCCATACAAAGAGCCATTAACCAACTTCACCTTACTCAGAAAAGCATCCCAGACTCATTTTATTTTATCGTATGAAAGCACTTGACATTCAACGAAAATCGATTTTTTTTCTCGTCGACTGCGGAGAAATCAGCAGCTGAAATCTCTTTCTGTGAAAAGCTTTGCTTTTTTTCCGAGCTTATTTCCTTTTTCTATTTCGTTTAGTTTTTGCTTTTCTTGGGTGGAATTGGAAGGGTGGCGAAGATTTTTGGAGTAAAGTGACGGTAAAGTACACATTTGTTGTTATTCCGATTTTCTTTGTGTTGTTTGATTTTCTTGGTTTGTTTATTTTTGATTGTGGAAAACCTTTCTTGCTGTTTCATGATTCAATGCTTCTTCAACATAAGATTCATTGAAATTTCTTGAGTTTGTACGATTTATTTACGTAAATGACAGAAGTATTTTGGAAGCAATGAAAATCTGCTAAATGTGTAAATGAAAATTTCTTTGCATTTGACAGTTCTGGAAAACTTGACTTTTCTTTTTTACTTTTTCTTCTATAAAATGGAAGATTTTATTTTCAAAATACAATATGTGGGTGGAACAAAAATCACAGATTTTCATTGGAAAATTATTTTTATGAAAAATCTTATGCTTGTGTGTGTGTGTATGTGATTACGAAATATCTCATAATAATTTTATTATAATTTTCATCATGAAGTATTTTCTAAAACTTCTCGACACTCTCAAAGATAATAAATCAAATCAAGGAAATAATTTTCGTTTTTCTTTTCAAATTTCATCCTCACCAGAGAAATCTAAAATGATTTAAATTTATGGCCTTCGTGTTGAATTTTAATGAAATTCTTAAGTCTCCGAAAGGGCAAAGATAATTTGTCATCGATCAAATGTGAGCGCTATTAGTAGCGTTTATTTCTGTGACCCCTTTTTAAGCTGCTAATCCCTTGATAGTTGTAATGTTCAAGCCTCTAAACTTCCATTCGACTCAATTTTCAAAAGAATTTTTCCTTCTCTCTTGTTAACTAAATCATCCCTTGTTTTGTAATATGCGATGAATTGCTTTTTATTTGCTCACCAGTTAGACATCATTAATGCTCTCCCATTGATCCCTTCATCCTTTGTTTAATAAGGTGTGGGTGTTGAGCATACAAAATATTTATACGATATCAAATAATCACCAACAATATTTCCTGATAATCTTACAGCAAATAATAATATGTTCGTTCTATTGGAACGTCCGCAACTGATATAAATAATAAAATATTAATTATCATTTTCCATAATTGTCATTTTTGAATCCAAGATGAAATAAAAATCTCATGTTTAAAATGTCATTAAATGGATTTTTGATTTGTTTTTAATCTCCGCTCATTAAATCCTGTTTTATTAAAATTGTGATTTATGTGCACGGAGATTTAATAAATATGATTACGATGCGAATTGTTGTGATGCAGCATAAATTTATTTTATTCCATTTGAAAAACGGAAAAATTAAACTTTTAATGATTTGCTGTGTCGAGTTAAAAGTTAAATTCATCATTAAAAGAAATATTATTCTGATGCCAAGATTCATTAATGTTCATTGTAGACATGAATGAAACGCATGTCACAATAAATTTAAGACTTTCTCATGAGTTATCGATTTTTAACAATTTTCTTATAAAATTATCGGGAAACATGGAGACAGAAGGAGAAATAAATAATGGAGAAAACATTTTCTCTGCCTTCAATGACAGCAACCTAGTTAATTCATCATAAATAATTTGAGTTGATATCGATATCAATTTTGTAATAATAAAAAAGCATATTGACAAGCGATATACAAAATTAAATTTGATCGTGTTGTTTTCATTCGATACTCATTTAATTGAGTTTCCATTTATATTTTGTTGACGACATAAATGTCAATTGATCTCGTTGGATGAGAAAGGAGCGTATAAATTAAACTGATTATTGTTGGTTGTTTGGGCTTCTAACATTTTTTTTGTTGTGGGCGAGCTTCAAAAAATTATATTTGAGCAATTAGAGTTGATTATGTCATAATAATTTTGATATTGGATTTCTTCTGTGATGATGACATGGGGAAGAAATAATAAATCACAAACGAAAATTTGACAGTTTTTAGACCTCGAACGCTCTTTCAGTGTTGTCAATGCTTTCGGACTGTCGAGACATCTTTTGAAGAGAAAAATTTAAAGTTTCATAGAAAAATTTCTAGTTTTAAAATATAAGCAAACTTGAAATTTATGAAATATTCAAGAATCAGACATCATTTTTCAAATATTCATTGAATGTTCCTGTTTCACTAAACAAATATTCAAAAGTAGCAAATATGATAATGCTGATCGAAAAATGTACAAGAAAATTTTCATTTTCAATATTTGATAGGAAGAAAAAAATGACAAAAGTCGAGAACAACACAAGAAACTCGTTTTGCATTCAAAATGGTTAAAATTTTATTAAAGTAAAACGTTTTATCGATTTTGAATATAAGAAGCGTTTGTTTATTCCGTGTTAGAATTTCTTTTATATACAAACGATCCAAACCTTTGCAGATCTTTGCAAACGTCTCCGTTGACATTTGTTTTTATTGATTATCCGGAACTGTTATTGATAACTTCAATTAATGACAAGCAACTGTCTTGTTTTTGAACGGTTGGCAGATATTCAAATATAAAGAATAATTCTAAACACATGACAGCTTGGAGTTTCAAATCATAATAAAAACCAATTTCAACTTAGACATTGGTTCAATTTTTTTTGGCATCAATTTCGAGTCGAATTGGGAATCATAAAATGCTACAACTTTTTAATCCGTTGAAATATTCTGGGAATATGAGTGACTATATTCAAGATGTAAGAAAAGGTAAAGCATATTTGTGGAAGAGCAAATAAAAAAAATAATTTTTCAAATGGCATCTTGTATATGACTTATTTTTTATTCACACATCAACTCGGGCATCGTTTTGGAGTTGAATATGTTTTTATTGATCGAATGTTAAATGCATTTAAAGGGGTTGACTTCGAAGCAAAAGTGTCAAGAGTCTTTACAAAACAATCAATTGAAAATATGAGACGAGTGTATGGAAATTTGAGATATAAATAAGAAATAAGTTACGATGGAAAATTCAATGTTGCGATGGGAAAAGATGGACTGAAAAATATTAAATTTCTCAAATGTTTGTACGTCTGGTTTACGACGAAAGCTTTTAGCAATATTAGAATATTTATGTCCATGTCCCAGAACGATCTCCGATAGGTTGAATTTTTGATTAAAAACCACTCAAGTGTCATTTGAAACATCTTCGGAAGATTTATACTTGTTCAATTTGAAATCTAAAATATTCTCAACCTGTTGGTATTTTATGCGACATACATTTACTCAAATGAATCTTCGTCCAATTGAATATTAATGAAAGTGGAACGATGACTTTGCAAGTATTTAACTTCGATTAGAGAAAACAAAAGTAAAACTTACATAGATAGATGTTTAGAAGAAGCAAAGCGATGGGAAAAATGTCATCATTACAATTTTAAATGCTTTCTATTGTTGTTGAAGTGTGACCATAAATCCCACTTTTATTCATGCAGATATTTTCCTGCTCTTGGATGGCTGAAAACAACACACAAACCAAAAATTAATTACAGCACAACGAGAAAGCAAAAAGGAAAATGATGGGAAAATTTTTGTGAAAATCCTCGAGGGCTTAGAAACTTTCTCAGAAGCAAATAATTCATCTATTATTTTCCCATTTCTTTGTGATAATCGTAGAAGAACCTTCGTCATTGTCACAGTATTCTGTTCTCACACCCCCACAATGAAACCATTAATGTGCATTTTTGCGAAAATTATTTATTTCATTTAATAAAATCCAACATAAAATTTTATTGAGTGTGATGATAAATAATGATTTTGCCTCTTTTTGTGTTTACTGTTGTTGGTTGGTTGGCTTGAAGTGGTTTAAAATAAGATTTATTGTCTTCTCTTTACTCTAAAAGACACAACAAACCAACAGGAAGAATTCCAACTTGAAAACCATGATGAAGAACATGCGCCGAAATTGTTTTATTATTAATTTCTTGTCGCTTTACCTACGCATATAAATTTTCAGTGGTAAGAGTATCTTAAGTGAATAGAACGATAATCTAAGGATTCGTAACTCAATGGATAATGAAAAAGAGGCTTTTCATATAATTTACTGATTTACGTCGACGAAATTCCAAAACTTTACCTCAGCCTCTGACTGATTCCATTTTGTGTTGAAATTTAAAGCCTGAAGGCATTTTTAAAAAGAAAAAGGGATTTTCCTATTCTCTCAAAGAAAAGAGATGAATGAGAATGAATCCTTAAAATTTAGTTATAAAACTTATAATTTATAGAACTCATTAAAAACAATTTTCCTTCCTTACTCATTCGAATGGAAAATTTATCTGTGAAAATTACAAAGATGAAGGGAAATCAGCTTTTGTATTCTTTTGAAAAGAAAAACTATTTTTTTTATTCATATACAGATGAAAGATGTAAAAAAGTTTTCTTTCAGTCGCTCGACGAAGAAAAGTTTCCCTTTATTATATTATGAAGAAGTCAGTAAAAGAAAACTTCCACCATCGTTGAATAAAATTTTCCGACTTTTTCATCTCTCGCGAAGGGGTTGAAGACGAGCAAATAAAATTAATAAAACAGCAGAACCGTTAAATTATCCTGTAATTCATTTTTTATTTTCACCTCCATTATGCTTTTTATTTCTCAATTCTGAGGCATTTGGAATGAAGGAAGAGACGGAAAATTCTAACAACTTCATCTTTTAAAACGAATTTCCAACTTGCTAACTTGCTCCCCCATCATTTTTCTTCGCAGATAATCGCGAGGAAGAATCTTCATCTTTTATGCTCGTTTAAAGTTAAACGAAAGTTGTTTCGTTTTAAAAATTATGAGATCTCTGGTTTCTGTTGTTTCTGAATGGAAAAACTTTTATTCAAATTATGACAGTGCACAGAGCGGGCAAAGATGGTAAAGACAAGAGTAGGAGAAGAAGCATCATGTTGTTGAGTTTATGGAGAAAGTTTTTCACTCATCGGCGGATGATGCGCTGCGTTGTTGTTTTGTGTTATGCGATATAATTGTTGTTATGGGATGTCTTGTAATTGGATTAAAATTCTTTTTCTTGTTCTTGTAACGTTTTATTAATAATTTGAAATGTTTCTTTCCTACAAACGACTCACGCTCAAGAAATATAAGACAAAATGAAAAACTTAAAGTTTTATAATTCAACACTTTAAAGAAATTTCTTTCGTTCATACTTAAATGGAGCAAAGAACGACCATCAGAGAGAAAAATCATTTCCAAAACATAATTCCGTAACGAATGAGCTGTATCAATGACAAAGCATGTAATGATAGGGGCTTACCATCAATACCAAATATCACCCTTGACTTTTTTTTTATTTTCAATGCAGTGCACTGCCTCAGAGATATCTTTTTCCACTGAACAAGTGTTTCTATCCTTTCTACTCTTATGTTTGAAACTACACAACAATTCATACACTTGATTAAATTTATTAACACAGAATAAATATTTAATTTGAATCACAAGACAAAAACAAACTTTTTTCCCGTTTCCTTTGCGAGACGAAAATGAACAGAATTGAATTTATGATATTCAGTTAAAAATGTTTTTTGTCGAAATGACTTTTAAATATGCAGATCTCGTATTGGTTTCGTTGACAAATTGAATTTTCAGAAGCTGAAAAGAAATTAAATTTTCGTAGTGAAATGTGACTCGATATCTCTGCCCTGTAGAAACTTTTCTCCGTGTCAAAAATCGCTTTTCAAATTCTGTTTCTTTCATTTTCGCATTTAAAGGATTCATAGCTTATAGTACACAAATTCATTTGGGGGAAGAGAGGAAGAGAAACATTTTTCGAATGCTGAATGGCTTGGGCGTCATTGATTCATAATGTTAAATCGCAGCATTGTTAGAGGCTGTTTAGCATGATTCCGAAAAGATTTTCCACTTTCAATCGTTTCACTACCGTAGTGGAAACTACTAAAAGCAAACAAAAATGAATCCCAGATTCAACTCAAATGGATACGAGAACAAGGAAAATGTTCTGATATGCTTTCGGTAATCTGTGGCCTGAAACCGGATGATGGATAATGAAAAAAGATGAAACCCAAATCGTACCAGATGTCAAGTTTCACAAGCACATACTTTTCCTATGTGCTTTTTATTATTTTTTTCTGGTTTGCTATCAACCTTTGAGGGGATTTAGATTTGCTTGAATCATGAAGCAAAATGAGAAGAGTCGTCTTTTATGGTTGTTGGGGATTTATCAAGCACAAACAGAATGCGAGGAAAAAATCTTTGAGCTGTCAAATATGGGCCACGTGATTTATTATCATCATTCATGACTCTACATTTTACCCAAGGGAAAATATTTCGGCCACTCACTGCTGCTGAAACATGTCTTCTTTAGTATGCTACAAATTTAAAAGAAAATATTTATTTTTTATCTGGAGGAAGACTCAGTTTTATGTTCAAAGGAATTATAATTACCAATTTTTTAATTTCATTTTCATATATGTACCTACTTAAAAACAATTGCACAATTTCGTCTAAAAATTTTAAAGTTTCGTTAAGTTTTTATTGTTTCGTTGTTTAGAATGATAAAAATTAACGGTCACATAATTTATGAAATTTTTCTACCCTTTATATTTTTGAACAACCGTTGATTCCCCTTGAAAACATTTGTGATTTGTAAACAAAGTGAATAATTTCAAATATTACTTAAATAAAAAAGATTATAAACATAATTTTTTACAATTCATATGTAATTCTTAAAATTTAGTCATTGAAAATCAAATTGAACACATATTGCAACAGACTAAAGGTAAATGAAAGTAAAATTTAAAATGTGTTAGTCGAGCACATGTTGCATAAAAAAATTTCTTTCTAGGATCATCATGTCGACATCATTAGCAGAACAACTACGTCGTCTCCAAACTCCACAAACATCACAGTTTGTTGATGCACGAAAGCGTCATTCGATTTTATTCACTTCAGAAGAAGCAGCAACAAAATCACGCGAGACAATTTATGAGATTGGAATTAGTGGACTTCATGAATTAATCGAATTGAATCCAGCTTTTGCAGATTTTGAAGATACTCTGTTTGAGCTAACTGCAAAAGACATACAACGAGCAATTGAATCGAAGGAAGTTAATGCGTTACTGGATAAAAATATCAAACGATTCATGTTTCACTTGTCGCCTTATTTCATGATTCCAGCATCTCATAAATGTCTTGAATGGCTCATTCGTCGATTCAGTATCAATTTATATAATAAAGATGAATTTCTTATGTTGATATTACCATATCATCAAACAAATATGTTCGTTCGATGCATTCAAACAATGAAGTTAAACATTGCTGGAGATAAATGGGAATTTCTGTCAGAAGTTAAGAAATCAGGTTCACCATTATCGAAACATGCATTGTGGAATCATGGAGCATCTCAACCAAGTTTCTTAGGATTTATAGGGAAATTCACTCACGATGCAGTTAAAGAACTTAAAGATAAAGCTGGAACTTTACAAACAATGTTCGCTTTCTACTTTTCCACTGTTGTGGGAGCGATGGAAAAAGCGTCAAGTATCAATGAAAATCATATTCTCTTCATCACTATGCATTTGCCTAAAATCTTTAAATCGTCTGTCATCGATTTCCTTGCTACTGGTTACATGATTACAGCTCAACTTTTTTCAAAAACAAAACTGGATGTTTCATTATTAAATCAATTCATGAACAAAATTACAAATTCAGTTCAAACATCGCTTTATCATAGTGTCGCTCTTTTACTGTCATTAATGTTTCAAACACAAACAGAAGAATTGAAAATCACTGACAATGCTTTAGAGAACATTATTAATTTCAAATGGTTTCCATCAGCTTTAGAGCAAATGAGAAATGAAGGAAAACCATTCATTGCTTTATATCTAGCATTAATTTCTAAACTTTTACAAAATATTGGAGAGAAAACTGAAGACTTTGCGAAATATACGAAATATTTTGAAAGTTTAATGGCTGAAGTTGTTCTGGATGATGATGAAGCTCAAATTATTATTAGGTGAGATTTATTAATTCGGGAAAGTGTTTGAAGGAAACTTTAAAGAAATATCTTTTCAGATGCATCATCGACAGCTACACTCATGTGCCAGCAATTGGAGAATCAGCTAATCAAACAAAGAAATTGGATGAAAAAGTAGAAAACAGCGAATTTATCATTACGTTAGATTCTGATGATGAAGACAACATTCCTCTGAAACCTGAAGATGNGTTACAGGAAATTTCGTTACAATCAAACGCCGACATCTAGCTCTGGTTAAAATGACAAGAATTAGGAAAGAGACCGGCAATTAGTCGATTTTCACATTTGAATAGATTTTTCTCACGAAGTATGTTGTGCCAACGTATCCTACAGTTCCACAAATGATGCCTAATGCACCACTGAATAATGCCATGTATCCAAAATAAAAGACTGTCTGGAACAATCCATACATTCTGTAATAACATCAAATTAGTATCATTTAAAGACAAGAAAATAAAGAAATTGACTCACTTAGTCTTGAAAAAGAAATAATAAAAGGCGTAAATGTAGACGTAAATCGCTGTCGATGCACCTGATAGGAACGAAGTCCATTGCCATCGATAATCTTCTGCATTGAGAAGGAAATATGTGCAGACAATTGTCACACATATTGTGACAACGATGAGAATCAAAAATACCAGCAGCATGAAGCCATACACGTAATAAATTTTGTAAGCCCAAAATGATGTGAAAATGAAATACCTGAAAAGACGAAATAAATAAAATTATTAAATTGACTTTTTGTATTCTCATCATTCTACTTACATCTCAATGAAGATAGAACCAAATGGAAGAATTCCACCAAGTAAAGTGATGACGAGAGGCTCCATGAACCATTTCTTCTCTGGTATTGGTCGAGGCACGGCATTCACTCGACATGGATGATCAGGTTGGCCATTCAAATTCCGTCCTACAATTGTTCCCACAAGAGTCAATGGAAGGATGACAAAGAGACAAATACAAGTCACAGCCAACATTGTACCGAAAGGAATTGCTCGTGATGCATGATAATAGATTGCAATGAAATTAATGAGGAACGCAGTGCCACATACGAAACTTGGAATGAGAAAAGCTGACAAAAGCATTTGACGAATCCAAATTCTGCCTCCCATTCGAGAGTAAAGAGAACCACCAAAATATCCATTGATAGGCGATGTTGCGGCATAAACGAAGATGGCAGTTGACAGAAGAGATCCACGTTCCGTATAAAGATCTCCAATAATTGCAAAGCTTGTCACACATAACACGACACTGGTAAGTTGATATCCACAGCCAATCACAGATGTGAATAAAATAGGATTCGAAGATGAACGAAAGACGTCACCGTGAATATTCTTCCAACCATATTCATCACCCAAATCATGTTCGTCGTCCATCTCTTCATCTTTACTGTATCTCGCATAATCTTTTCTTAAAGTTCTCACGAGAATCATTGACACGAGACCAACCAGGAAGATGACCATCATGAAGCTGTTGAAGATGCTGAACCAATGGATGCGATGTTGAAAGAAATTTGGGTCAAGATACTTGTCGAAGCGATCTTTGAACTCAACAGTTGTTGGTCGCCAATTGACTTCGTAAGTAAATGAAAGGTGAGCTCCAACATGCAACAGCTGTTCATTCTCGTTTGTTAGATTCACTTCGATGATGCGTTTTCCATTATATCCAATGTCGAATTTCTTGTGAGTGTTAATATAGAATTTCTTATCGTGCTCCTTTCCAACAGCTCCCCAGATCGGCAACCCATCGATGTACATTTGGAACCAATAATGATTCTTCACAGCATACACAAATGCTTTATACTTCTCTTCTGATAATTCCACCATACATGTCTCTGTTTTCGGTGGAACGTCTTCTTTAAAATCTATCGCATATCCACTAAACTCCAACTCGATTCCTTCGAGTGCTTCTGATAATGTCTCATGGTAATGAGAAATACTTTGTTTGCTGCCAATACAGAATGGCAATGAGAAATATGCATAAGTCTCTTGTCGATTGTGATAAGGACCAACAGTATTCATCCACAGAACCACTTCTTCTTGGTCTTCATACTATTAATAATGCGTAAAAGGTAATAAAGATAAAAACAGCAGCAAAAATATTTTACTTTCATGAAATAAAATAAATCAGAATGAAAAAAACACTTACGATGTGATTATGCTCATCTGCGGATGATAACTTCAAGGTGACCAAAAGCAGAAACAACACCAATGACCAAACATACATTCTAACTATGATCTTAGTGATTAGAAAAGATTTAATTTGTGCAAGAAACTCGGTCGTGGTTTATTGACATGTCACTTTTGTGTTGCTCAGAGAAATTTGCATTGCGAATCGCAAAATGTCAAACACTAGCTTTGCGATTTTAAAATTCAAATTCTAAAGCGCGCAAAATTTCAAAATATTTAACGACATTTCAATAAAACTTTAAAAATACTAATTCTATTAATTATCTAGATACCTATTCTATTTTCATTAATTTTTTAATTATAAATACCTGTTAAAAGCAACAAAATATTACAAAAGAATGGATTTTTTATTTTGCGAGTAATATTCGTTTATTTCATGAGAATTACCTAATATCGACAAAATTTCATCATCATGTATTTTTTAAAATTTATTTATGATATCATGTTATATTGGCAATAGAATGTTTGCTCGAAATAATAGATTAAATGATATAATATCTCATGGATGGAATGTATTCTTTTCTTTTTCTATTGATATTTAAATGTTAGACATAAACCTCGCTGTTCTTTTTTCCACCAGCTCCACTTTGACGCTTCGAAAGTGTTGAAGTTGTTGATGCTGAAACATTACTGGAATTATCAGCAATGCCAGAATGAATAGAATCTGCTGACTGTCTTCGTTTCTGTCTAAATATTGGAGCTTCATCTTGTGATTCAATAAAGAATGATCCTAAATGTGGGGTTGCTGGAGAACTTGGTAAATCCAAAGGTAGTTCAGTTATTACAGGTCCAATTGGTGGTGATGTTGTAAGATTTGTGCTTGACGCAGATATCGTAAAAGGCGCTGTTGTGATTGAGACAGGAATTATTCCAGTACTATTTGTCACAACATATGAATTTGTTGCTTTTGCGTCTGGATCTTGATTAGTGCTTGTCGGAATAACAAGCGATCCAAACTGTGCATTTGCTGATGTGAGATTAAGTGGAACAAAAGAATTTTTACTTTGAGCTAGAGCACTTGACGGTAATGTATTATTCACAGAATCAGACTCAATGATCGGCGATAGCAAAAGCGTCGTCACAACATTTGAAGGAAGTATCGTCGGCGATGTCGCTAAATTTTGTGTTGTCAATGTGACACCAGAGGCAAGTGATTGTATACTTCCAAACGGATTGCCGTTATTGTTATTAGCATTATTGTTAGTATTGTTACTTTTACTGTTATTATTGTTGGTGGCGTTGAAATTAAAATGATTATCGCTTTCGGGTGTCGGAATTCTTTCACGATGCCTTTGTACCATCTGACCATTCAATAAATTTCCTTTGGAATCTAAAGAAGTTATTAAAGTAAATAAGAATAAAATAACGAGAAAAAAATGTTTATTGAAGAAGTGAAGACAGATGACATTAGCAAAAATAATGAAAGCTAGAAAGTTAAATAAAGAACAAATAAAAAGTGATCATTAGTGCTCTTCTTACTTTGTTTCATGAAAGGTCGTTGGCGTCCCGATTTTCGGAATTTACTCAGAAGATTGTTCGATGGCGGTTGATTGGATGTGGCTAAGCCTGATTCAGGTTGTGAGTAAACTGCTGAGAAGAAATCATCAACATTAATAATTTGCTAGATAAGTAAAAGAATTTCGATTTCCAAATGACAAGGATAAAAATTCTTAATCCATACCCGAATTCACTCGATTTCTATTGAAAAGTCTGCCCGATGAATATGCCGTTGATAAACTTCGTATCGATCCCATTCGATTCATTTGACGGCTTAACCAGTTCTTACGACGTTCGACCATTGGTGTATCAACACTTTCATAATCGGCATAGACATCATCATTCAATCTTCTTTTTCCAGAACTGATATTAGCATAAAGTCCATCAGCTTCTTTAATTTTGTACATTTCTGCAGAACCCTTAGGCTCTGCACGTCGATAAATCTCAGATGCCGCTGTATATGGTAAATCTTTCGGAACAACCTCTTCCCAATATTGATCTTTACAAAGTTCTGGATGTTCTTCATGCATTTCATCAACAATCATGTATGCCGCCTAATTAATTTAACATTGCAAAAATACATTAAAAAGTTTTTTTAATTGCCGCCGTTATTTTTTAATATTCTCACATGCATAGCATAGAGAAAGATGCACAATTGCAAACAAATATCATTTCACCATGAAACGACCTTGCACCGGCATAGGAAAATTTCAAGAAATGATTGCCAAATCAATAAAAGCAAGTTAAATTACATTATAGATACATATCTAAATGGTAATAAGTAACAATATATCTTTAACCATTAATGTCCTGATTTAATTCTATGAAAGTTCGCACATAGTTTACACCTGTCTAGGCGTCTAGGTTAGCGATAAAGTGCAACATTTTAAACCTTCTTTTTAATTCATCTTTTTAAAAATCCTTGTCTTTGCTTCTATTACAAAATTATTGCAAAACAAAAAAAAATTAAAGTTCATCTCTCACCTTAATGTGGCGATCGATCAGCCAATTCAGTTCAATGTCATCGTCATCTTCTCCCCATGGATTAATGAGAACTTCGGCAACCTTCAACCAACCAACATAGAAAAAGAACTAACGAATAATCATTAAAAATAACGACGTCAATGTCAATATAATTTACTTGATCAAATGAAAAAAAAGAAATACTCACTTGAAGTGCTGTGAATAAGGGAAAATATAAATCGGGATCTTCATATTTAGATCCTCCTGTGACTGGAGCTTGCGAAACCATTTGGCGTCCCATTAGCGCAGAGATAAAATATATGTAAATTGCGAGGGTGGCCACCTAATGAAAAGTGAGGCTATTAGATGACTCAAAAAAGCTTTTAAATGTGTTAATTGTACTTGAGTGTAAACAAGTGGAACACAAAAAGTGTCAAAACCCTGTAAGGCCCCTAGTCGAAACCTAATGTCTGAAAGCTCCGTAAGGACTGTTTGCACAATGTGATCTGATGCAATGAGACCTTCCTTCCTTGCACGATTGATGATGTTTGTAGCCCATACCAATGGGATAAAATATCTTTAAAAAATATGTACATTATCAAGTAATAATTTAAAAAATTGCCAACTAAAAATTACTTTGCCATTTGACCTTTAGTATCCATCACCTCGAAGATTTTCTTCTCACTTTCAAGCATAAGACCGGAGTCGACAAGATGTTGAAGAGATGGAAAGCGTCGTCTAACACTCAATGAAATTCGTTGCAAAGTTACCACATAAGCCAACATCTCATAACGCACAATGTTTCGTCTCATAAGTCTACTGATCTCTTCCTTTTTTAAATTTGTTATTAATTTTATAATTTAAAATGTCCGATTACAGAAAACTTACATTTCCCGAAATTGCTGCGCTGATCAACATTGCTAAACTGTCAGGCCATGGTAAAAGTCTGAATTGGTCCCACCAACGTTTTACTACCAAACTTACATAAAAACCTAACACAAAACTCATTGGAATTGTTTCAGTTTGGGTTCCAAAATATTTGTGAACTTTCTCAAAGACGCTAACAAAGAATAAAAGAAAATAGATTGTGGGTGACAAAAAACTGTGTAAATATGTATTGTCAAATTGTTGTGATTTGCAAGCTTTAAAAACTTTCCATTCAACTTTATATTTCAGCGTAATGATCCGATATTCTTTTGACATAAAATGATGTGTTAAATACAAGAAATAAACAAGAGAGTTTCACTTAAATTTCATACACATGATTAACAAAAGTTTGAAATGCTCCTGACGTCATAACATAATCATTTCCACAATGAGTTAAATTGCGGAATTCAATAAGTGACTAATTTTAAGAAGTTGATTTTCATCTGATGCTTGATCGCTTGTATAGAAGCGTTAATTCTATGACTTATTGGAAAATCTGCTAAAATAAAATTCGCTTAAGTGACATCTGAATTAGCTAAGAAAAGCTTTCATTTGTGAAGCTCATGAATGTCCTTTGAGTGATTTTCACACATGAATACACTTGTTGTTGAGTACACTTTTAAAATGACTTTGCAATTTATTTTGTTTATTATCATCTGAAGCTTGATCGCTTGTATAGAAGCGTTAATTCTATGACTTGAAAATCTGTTAAAATAAAATTCGCTTAAGTGACATCTGACTTAACCGAGAAAAGCTTTCATTTGTGAAGCTCAAGAATGTCCTTCAAGTGCTTTTCACACATGAATACACCTACTGTTGCGTACACTTTAAAATGACTTTGCAATTTATTTTATATGAAGTTAGAGCATCCGAAAATATGCTGAGTTAATTTAATTTTTCTCTCTCTTTCATTCATGTGCTTTAGGTTGATGACTGTAATTATTGACATGTGGAGAGCTAACAGATGATCGAAGAGGTCAAAGAAACAACAACAAATATTTTTTGAGTTTACTTTTTTCTAACTCGTTCCTATTCAAAGTATGTAATAAAAAAATCATGAATGAAGAAGAGTACAGAGAGAAATAAATAGCTATCAGTGCTTTGAAGTTGAATGAGAAACGACAACAAAAGCAATAAAATATTTAACAAACTTATGAACCGTGAAGAAAGCTTTCGCGGAAAGTTTTGCTAATAAGCACAAGCATGACATATTTAATCATTCAAGTAGAAGACAGTAGATTATACAACATTAATTTTAAACTTTTATGATCAATAACTATTTGTGCACTTGAACATTTCATTTGAAATTTATGCAAATTTATTTCTGTAGATGTACAGAAAACCATGCAACACCCGCAAGTGCAAAATGAACCAAAACATAATAAGTTATCGCTGGCTTTACCCAAAGTTATCATGGATATTAGCTGTAAGTTTTCGGTAATAACTTTAATTAAACAACAACTTTCAAATCATTCGAACTCCTTATTACTTCTTGTATTTAGAAACAAATTTTGAATGGATCGAATTCATCACTGAATATTTGCATTTGTTGTGTTCGTTGTTTGAATAAAACATTTTTTTAATTAAATGAACTTTGTAATTTTATTGAAGTTTACACAGCAAAAGCAAAACAAGAAAAAATCCCAACAATTGGAGGATGTGCAATCTGCAACGTAATCTCGAATTCGTATCGAACTTACCGTTTCTGATCTTCATTGAGAGCATATCGATACACCAAATTGATTGTGTAATAAAGACTCAAATATGCTAGCAACTCTCGCCATACCAACTTGTATACGCTACCTCGCCATCTGAAAAGAAAAGCAATTTTCAATTTACTTAAACTTCAATTCATGAATAAAACAAAACCATAAATAAAGTCATTAAGTGATCAACGAAAAACAGAAAAAAAGAAGTTAAAACGTAACTTTCTGTTTATTTGCTATTTCGCATCATAAAAAGTGTCAAAAAATTAACAAGCGTGAGCTATAAACTTCACTGAGAAATTGAATTTAATGTTGTGTTGTTTGTTATTGCAATTGTGCATTTGATTGCACAGCGTGTCGCCTGTCGTACAACTAACATTATCATTCAAGTATTGATAACCGACGAAACTCTTTCCATTTTTTATCTCAACAGTTAACACATGCATAACGACGAGCATTCAAGTTCATATCAGCTGTTGAATAAAAATGGGAGAAAAGTAAATTCAAGAGAATTTATGTCAATGAAGAGTTTCATGAGTTAATTTATTCCACATCTGTTATGATCGGTGGCGCCGGCGAAACTAAGTCATCGATCAAACCTGAAGAACCGATTTGCTATTTGTGAATTCTTCGGATTTTATTTTATTGCCAAAAGATTCAGGTCATATCAATTTGTTGTTGATTAACATACACGTCACCCGAACTTGATTATAAAACTTTAATATTTTAATGTTTTGAAGGCTTGAGGATGCATCGTTTTCATTGAACCTTCCCTTTTTGTTTTAATCATTCAAAAGATATTCATGATGAACTTATTGTGAAAGATGCTTAAGGTCAGAATGACATTTTCAATATTTAGAATTAAAAGACAATGTGGAAAATGCGAACTTCAAACAGATTTTAAATTAAAATTTACGTTTGTCGCTTCGCTTTTCTTTATCTCACTTCAAATGTTAGCATGCAAAATTCTTTCATTATCAAAACACCGGTTTCACTCTTCTTATTTAATAAATCCGACACATTAAATCCGATGGAATTTCTTCAGGTCACGTTACGACCTTGCTTAAAAGTATTTCACGGTTGGTTTAAAACACTTCAAATTTCTGTTTGGGATATTTTTAGCTGAGTTTTTTACATTTATTAAAAATGACAAATTCCTTACACGGTGTAATTCGTCCCTGTTTCAACGGGTTTTTATATCATGGGAATAAGAACTGAATTAAAAAATTGAGCTATTACAACTGAAAAAAATTTACAGTTGGGGATAATTAGCCGAATCCAAGATGTAATTGTGAGAATGTATGATTAAACGACACAAGCTTATTGTCAACAGAGTTGAATTTGAGAAACTCGCTTTACTGTTCAATCAACAAAAAATTTTTACTTATTTAAACTGATACTGATCATGATACCTTTTCGGAACAAGTAAGATTAACTTCTAAGAGAATTTCAATGACATGACTGACAAAAATATGTAATTCAACTGTTAGCTGTCATAAACTTTATTTAACGCAATCACCAATTAGCTGCAAAGATCGCTTGAAAAAATTGATGCAGAAAGCAAAAGTTATAAGTTATGAATATTTAATTCAAGACTGAAAGCGACGACAAACATCAGCAAAGCTCAAACATTTTTCACAATTGAAAATTTGTTACTTTCCGAGAAATGTATCTTCTTCACTTGAATCAATAATTGTCAGAAATTCTGACGTCATCTTATCTGTCAACTTTTACACAATGCTCGGGTGCTGTAAGAAATTTTATTTAGAATTGAGTTGAATTCTTATTTAATTTATCAAAAAATAATTCGAACACGTGTCGATAGTTCGTAGCTTACTAATTGTCAACGATTCTTATGATTTGATTGAATTATTTAAGATGATCAGGATGAGAACAAATTTGCAAAAAAGATTTATAATTGAAGTGAATTGCAATCTTCTCTTTCAATGTAATTACTTTTCTTGTCATTCAAAGACTTTTTATAAATGTAAGATTTTAATAATTTTAGCAGAGAAATTTACTAACACTTCATCTTGAAAAATTACATCTTAACAATACTTATAAATATTTTTTAAAATTTTTCGAAGGTCTCTCTCAACATGTCATTCGTGAAACAATTTCATTCGTTCTCTCACACATTGCATTATTTATGTTTTATTTTTACATCTAAAACTTTCGTTACAATTGAAAATGTTTAGTGATCATCTACTTTTTTTTGTGACATATCGATGTAATTGTTGCGGTCACTGACAAACATTTACTTTAACATTTACGTTCAATCGATTTCTTCTGTATACATAACAAATAATCATTATTTTGTTATGTATACAGAAGTAATCGATGTCATGTCTATTCAAATTTTTTTGCTGGTTTATCGTACGAAGTGGAGCAAGAATTGGCAAATTGATTTAAGTAATATAAAAAATCTGCCAGAAAAACTTTTCGATATCGATTTAAATTGAACAGCAGCAAAGAATAAGATTACTGGAGAGCAGAAAAACAAATCTAAATGCATTCAATGAATTGAACGACAGCACACGCGAGTTGCCTCACATACAAGTGAACAACGGCATGGAAAATCGATCTACGAAATAATTTTGTTAATTAGTATTCAATTCTCGGACAATTATTTGCAAATTTTTTTTCAATCCTCACATACAATAATTTTAGTTTTATTTATTTTTTTTTTCGTTATGGAATTTTCTCTCGGAAATCAAGACACGTGGTGAAGTGAAGTGTTGAATTATTTCACTTGACGACATCATAAATACCACAATACAGCATAAAGTAGCGCATAATGTGACTTACTTGCATAATAGTTTCCAAAAACAGCCAAAATTGCTTCCATTTGGAACTTCAGAATTGTAGGAGACCGTCATTGTTTGACACCAATGTCGCAGAATTTTTCTCAGTCCTTTCAGTTGTGTCACATTCAAATGAATGGAATTTCTGTTTTGTTGACTTAAATTCTTTGACTTTAACTCTTATCAAATATTTTACAAGCACATCACACCGATAAAAGATCAAAAATCATTTAAAATATATGAGAAAAAAAATTCTGTCAACAACATAACATCACAGTTTTTGACAATATCAGAAATTTCAAAGGAATTTTCTCGTCACTGTCGTTTCGTTAATATTTAATTTGGCACGCATTAAATATCTAAATGTAGTAAAAAATATGTTGCTTTTTTCGAACATGCACAACAACCTAACTTTCCTTTTCTTTGTATTTATTTCTTCTTTAATTTAAAACTTAAAACCAAAATAATGAACATAACAGCGACGCAAAGTAAAGTCAAAAATGATTGTCAAATGAATTTTTCTTATTTATTTATATTTGCGGGTGATGATTGCGACTTGATACTTGCTGCCACGAAAGCTAAACTAATAATGACGATTGGAAGTAAGTTTGAGCATACAGTCAGTTAAAGCATCGACAACTGTTCGCTCACTCTCGTGAGATTCTTTAGGGGAAGTAAGTATCTTGGTGTGGCCCGACATGTCGAGAGAAAGAGAATCGGAAAACACCTGATCAAGTGCGACAAGTTTTTAAATTGCAACTCGTATTCATTAATGAATGTCGCATTTTACGCATGAGCACATGAATGAAGAAAAACAATAACATGAATTTGAACGAACGCTATCAGTTTCATTCTTAACTTGTCTACATATTAATTCATCATTTCAATGTTTAGAGTTTTCACTGTTTTTTTCTTATCACGTATGAATGTGTAAATCATTCACACAAATGACAAATTTTCCATTATTCGTATGTGTCGTTAATATTATAAATAAGAATAAGAAGCAAACCAACCGGCTTCGGTACCACATGGTGACGAAGAAAATCGAATAGAACGAAAAACGAAGTACCTAAATGAAAAATTTATCATTGGAATAAGAGAAAGAAATTTATAAAAACGATCTAAGTACCTAACTAAATTATTCATTGCCAACAAATATTATGTTATTAATCGTACATGATGTTGAAAATTTATCATGAGGTTTTAGATTCATTATTGTCTTCGACTCGTCTGACATAAAACTTGAATGCATTTGATCAAAAGCTGATACCTTTTTGAATCTCATCGTTAAAGTTTGTCGACATGTGAAGTTGTTTGAGTTCTTTATCGTTTAATTTAATGTTAACAACTTTTGTAACTCCTGATGAATTCAATACGCACGGCAATGACAAAAAAACTTCTTTAGTGATTCCATGCAATCCTTTAATCATTGTAGATACGACACGGATCTCGTTTGTATCATTTACAATTGTTTTAGCAAGATCGGCGCAAGTCAAAGCTGAAATTTTGCTTAGATTCATGATTGAAAATTATTTTCTAATTGCGAATGCTTACCGATGCTCCATGAAATTGAATTCTTTAATTTGATAATATCATCAGAAGCTTGAACAGTTTGTTCATGAATATCAGACAACTTTACTGAATCACTTTCACTACTCCCAAATGAAGCATCAAGATCGAGAAGTTTGAAACTTCCAATGCTGACACTTGACAGAAGTGGAATACATTCACTTCCTTGTTCACCAATTACCCAACCATCAATTGATTCCACACCCACATCAAGTACTTTTGCAATTAAATGACGGAAACGATATGAATCAATTTGAGTTCCTGAAGCGATGATTCGATTTTTAGGGTATCCAGAAAGTTTCCAAGCCACATACGCGAGAACATCACAAGGATCAGTCACAACAATTAGAACAGCGTTGGGACTTCGTTGTGCAAGTTTCGGCACAAAAGCTTTCATGATTTCAACATTTCTTTGTATCTTGTCTACGTGATTTTCACCTTCAATTCGTTTGACTCCCGCTGTGAAAATTATTACTTGAGATCCGGTCGACAATGATAAATCTGCGCCACCCGAAATATTTGGTCTGTTTTTTACAAAATGCGAAGTTAGAACTAAATCAAGTACTTCCCCTTCTATCTTGTCGTCATTCCGACTGATAATGACGACATCGTTCGATATTTCTTGCAATAAAATCACGAATGCTGTCGTCGTTCCCACTGTACCAGCACCAAAAATTGTAATTTTATTTCTCGATTCCTTTTTCGTTTGCGTAAGACTATTGAAAAGGTGAGTTTTAATCGTTGACATAATTTTGATGAACTTATTAATTCAAATAAACAAAAATTTAGAAAATGTAAATTAAAAAGTCAATTGTCTTTTTTTTGAAAGGTTGCTGCGCTACAAATGAAACGATTTTAGCATTATTAAGCTAAACTTTTTGTAGACACACGTTTCGAAACTATTGCTGGTCTTCTTTCTTTCCTTTCCTTATGAAAGATCAACTTTATTAAGCTAAAAATCATGACCTCGGTCAATGCATCACATCGGAATAACCAAAAAATTTTTTTTTGAATTCCAAAATATCTTCTGTTGATTAAATTTTGTCAATTTTTTAGCAAAGTAAACATCGCGTCGTTGGAAAGTTTTTTTTCTGTTTTGACTTTTTAATTTACATTTTCTAAATTTTTGTTTATTTGAATTAATAAGTTCATCAAAATTATGTCAACGATTAAAACTCACCTTT